TGAACGACGCTGATGTCGAGACTCGTCACTATGACGACAACTATCTGAGTGACGATGTCGCTGTCGACGCGGCTAGGTCTACGACGACTCGTAGGACTACGTCGAATCGCCCATCCGGCTCTGGCCCGTCCGGGTCAGCGCCGCGTAAACAAATGAGGAACTGACCCCCCCTCATCCATACCTTCGTCAACGACAATGCCGTCGTTGATTACCCACTTTCGTCAACGACAAGGCCGTCGTTGATCAATAATCTCTTACCTTCGTCAACGACAATGCTGTCGTTGATTGTCTATTCTGTACCCTTCGTCCTTCGTCAACGCAATCATCGTTGATTATTCATTTTCTCGTCGGCTACAACTCTGCCGTCGACGACCTACACTGTCAACATCGTCATGGTGGACGATGGTATTTAATAAACTCACAACGACGAGAAAGTCGTTCCATCATCGACAACACTGTCGTCGAGATCTGGGTGCATATGTTCCAGGAGAAACTCTAAGTGGGCTTCGCCTACAAAATACTATTATAGCCTCCTGCAATGAGTGTGCCCCCGTTTGCATACATTCTTCGTATGTAGAACGTTAAAAAAAATTTTATTTCTTTAAAAATGCTTGCTTTCCCCTTGTGTATATATGCTAGTACCCTGTCTGCGATCTAGTATCGCAAGGGAGGAGGATGTGAGGCCCCAGCCCATGTCTATATTCCGCCCACAACATCAGTTGATGTTGTGTTGTGTAATAATTATGTCGCGACGCTAATTTAGCGTCGCGGAAGCTTCTCTATTTATTTGTGCCGAGAATGTATAAGATTGTATATAAACCCTCGGGGTAGCTGTAAAAGGCGGATTAGCCTTTACTTCTACCCCGTCAATATACAGCCAAATCAAGCGTATACTTAGACGGATTACTGAGGCCTGAGGCGAACGGGGGAACGGAACGTTACCGTCCCCAAACTAGTAAGATAACCTTTCAGTCACCCACTCCGATTCTCCATCTCTTCCTTCAAAAAAATGAACGTCCCTGGACTCGTGGAGTTTACGAGTCTTGGGATCGAAGACAACAAAGGCCTTCTTGCCTTGCGCCATGCCAAGATGAATTCCAAGAATCGAACGATTATCGAGTTTTTGATGAAGATCGTGGTGGATGTGGAGGGTGGCTTTACAGCCAAAGGTACGTATCATGGTGACACTTGGTTTATTGCCAGTGTACTGTTCGTAGGGGGAGAGATCGTGAGGAAGTGCAGAGTGGGGGGAATACGTTTTTGATTAGTGCCGCATGTCGCAGCGCGTATGGCCAAGCAGTGCGGTCGACTTTCAATTCAAGCATAGCGATAGTCATGGTGACTAGAGTCTGGTTGACTCTCTCAGCTACGCCATTCTCCTGCGGTGTTCGCGGATTTGTACGCTCATGAACGATTCCGATTCCTTTTAGATACGACGAGAACTCATCCGAGAAATATTCGCCACCACCATCAGTACGGAGGATCTTGAGTTTAGACCCCGTCTGGCGTTCTGCTTCGGCAAGATACTCTTTGAATCTGTCGAGCACGTCGGACTTCTTCTTCATCGGGTAAACAGTAAGATAGCGGCTGAAGTCGTCAATGAAGGTGATGAAATACTTAAAACCTTCTCACGTTACAGTTTTGGTCTCGCATACGTCGGAGAAAACTCTGCCAAGGACTTGATCGGCGCAAGTATGAGTTTTGGAGGGGATAGGATTACGATGGTGTGAGGATGCCTCGCATTCTGCGCAATATTTTGGTTCGTCCTGCATTTCACTCCCAATCAGATCCATGCCCTTTACCATCCCGCTTCTGATCATTTTGAGGATAGATTCCTTCGAGATATGACCAAGGCGTTTGTGCCACACATCCAATGATGCGCTGGCGGTAATCGATCATGCAATATTGGAGGAGTAGGAGTTGGCGGCGTGGGAGGAGGTGATATAAGCCTTCTCCAAGGCTATGACCGTAACAGGTAATCGGTACAAACCGTTCTCGGCGTTGGCAACAGCAATGAGCTGGTCCGCTGAGTCAAAGATCTCACACTTTCCGCTTAGGAACGTTGCATATGCGCCGGATGAATTGAGTTGGATGACGGATAAAAGGTTATGGGCAATCTTCGGGCAATAGAGGACATTGCGAATGATGGTGTTTCCAGGTGAGTTTCCAGTAAGAAAAGTCACTTTCACCTGTCCAATGCCCAGCACTAAAATTACCTTTTTGTTACCTAGGACGATTTTTCAAGGAGGATCAAGGGGACGATAGGAGATGAACCACTCACGATTACCACATAAGTGTGCGGTGGCTCCAGAATCGACTATCCACTCGGAGCGTCGAGGTTCATTACCAGTGGGTGTTGCACTTAGTAAGTCTGAAGCTCCGGTGACTAAGACTTTGTCTTTTTCATCAGGAGAAGTTGCGACTTTGGCCGACTCCTTCAGCGTTGTCGACTTTGACTTGCCCTTCCCCCTTCCGCGTCTCGATCTCTTCCCTTCCAACCCTCCACCTTCCGACCAACATTGTTCTATCGTATAACCTAGTGCTCCACACTTAGGATTCGAGCAACAAACCACCGGTTTGGCAGTATTCGTTGTCGAGCCACTCGACTTTTTCTTCTCGTGACGACCAGACTTTCCACCATTGGTGAACATGGCAGCAATCTCAGGGTCGTTATTCCTGAGTTTCTCTTCTTGGAGTATGTGTTGGATTAGGCTTGTGGAGGTTACGGTGTTGACGTCGTCAATGTGGACGATGACGTAGGTCTTTATGGCGTGATACGTAGCGGGGAGTGCTTTTGCAAGAGCTATGACGAAGTCACCTTCATCAACCTTCCAGCCCATTTCGGATAGTTGGGCTCGGAGTTGTCGCATCTCATTGATCTGTGGTTCCAGCAGCTTAGAGTCATCCATGTGAAAAGTATAAAGATCACCGTGGATGATCATGGCATCGTGTGCACCACGACCGCTGTAGCGATTAGAAAGGAGTTTCCATGCTTCGTGAGCATGGGGAGCTTCATCAATTAGCATGATAGGTTCGTCACCTATATAGCACTTGATATATGTTAACGCCTTCATATCCTTCTTCAACCAGTCTGTGAGGTCTTGGCCTGTTTGCGTTGGCATGGCAACGCTGCCTGTTGACGTGTCTTGCACGACCTCCCAAACCTCTCCTATCTGAAGTATCGACTTCATCCTAGATGCCCATGTATGGTAATTCTTGCCCTCATTGTCTAAGACTTTAATGGGGAACCGGGAGCTGTCTGGGGAGATGGTTGTTGTTGAGGAACTGGCGGCTGCACTAGCGGTTGCAGTGGTGTTGGACATTGGGAAGGAAGGGGATATGGAGTTCACAAGGTAGGACAAAGTTCAGAGTGAACGGGGCTCGTAACCTATAAGACGAAATGTTGGACTAGCGATGTTGTCGCTCAGTCCGCTATGTGTGAACTAGAAATATATTGGAAGTATTCACCTAGCGATGTTGTCACTGGTGTATGAATATTAGATACAAGTTGTTAAACACATAAATGAAGGAGAAAACTTAGACTCACCTCAGTCCGCTATGCATGAACTGAGGAGGAGTCGTAAGGTCCAAAAATTGGTGTTTTATAGTCAGGCGCTATCAATGCGCACTGACTTTAGTAACAACTGATCCAAAAAAGGGAAACAAAGTAAATCTTAGTGCCGCAAAACTCAACATCAACAACGTGAGTTGGCCTCAGCGTATGCTTGTATCCCAAGAAATTTAACAGAATTGCATCCAGCACAAGCATTTGATGAAGGTTGGTTCATTGAATGGTGTGTTTCATTGAATGGGTCATGACTGTATCTCTCTTTTCATCCAGCATCACAATCGTTAAGGTCTCAAGGCACACACAGAGACCAATAATCGTGAGTTCAAATTCTTGCTTCCTCTTATCATGAGGGATTCCTACCTCATCGAATAACTTGAGTAATTCAACTCGTTTGTGGGGGTAGGTCAAACCATATGGAACATAAAGTTCCAAATCCTCACAGGGCTCGAAGGAAAAAACATTGTCTACATAATGCAAGAGTCCAGGTAAGTTTTTCTCTTCAATGCCAATCCAAAGGACCAGAGCATAAAAGGTACTCCAAATCACTCCCGAAGCCTGGTTCCCGAAGATGCAACAATGATCAATATGATATTGACCATCAACCATTGTCGCTTGTCGAGCCTGCCATCTCAGGTGACAAGGAAGCAATCTGAAGGCTGAACTTGCATCTGTTGGAATTTGTACATGTGGTCTTGGGAACCTAAATGCTAAAATATGGACATTCTGGGAGTCAAACCACAGAACCCTGCATAGGTACCAAGAGTGTGTTACCATTACACTAAATGCCTGCATTAGGTGGAGGTGGTTTCTAACACACCCCCTTCACATTGGATTGAGCCCGTGATCCACATGTGACCCTAACCACCAGGCTTCCAACAGCCCATGAGCCATCACCCCCTGAATTCATATTCAGGCCGGACTTACTGCTAATCTCCTACATGTCCACATTATGTGGTCTGAAGCAGCCGGATTTGGGTCCTTAGTGCTCTGAGCTACACCCCCTGAAACTTTGTCAGGCCGGCTAATTTAATGCTTGACTTCACGTGCCCATCTCACGTGGCAGCAACCGGATTTGGGTGTGCTCGGTGACTTCCGTAGAATGTCCACCATGTTGGAATTTGTACACATGGTCTTGGGAACCTAAATGCTAAAATATGGACATTCTGGGAGTTGAACCACAGAACCCTGCATAGGTACCAAGAGTGTGTTACCATTACACTAAATGCCCGCATTAGGCAGAGGTGGTTTCTAACAGCATCAGATTTAAAGAGCCAAGCAGGAGATCAACCATACTTCTCCAAAAATGATAGTAAGAGGTTTCCCAAATCATGTAAATTGATGACCCCGTAAGTACCAGACAGGATAGCCGCACTGCCACGTGACAACGAGGCCGCGGCGGTTGTTGGTCGTGCGCGTACAGTACAAATAACTTAAAAACACATATTTTGGCGCGTCCACAGAGCGATGTTGATCTGCTCTCAAACTACTTTCTCCCTCAGCACTTGGGACCGCTACATGACACAACAATGAAAAACAACCACGAAAACTTTGTTACAGTCACTACGTCATTCAATTCGGGACCGAAAAACTTGCAGAATTCTTCACCTTCACACCATCATCCTGCTCTAGTGCCATGTCTGAGCCTTTAGCTAAGAAGAGACGAGGAGAAGGTAATGGGGTGATCTCCAGCGAAGGGCTCAACGAAGTCCTCTCCAAAGCCATCAAGAATCATGACACGGCTTCACTTGCTCTTCTATATATTCTCGATGAGTATGACTTCAGCTTGAGTTCTTTACAAAAAATCGTTCTGGGTGTGTCCCTTCGCCTTATTAAAATATAGTTTTGGTCTCAACTCCAATTCATCTAGAGAAGAGTTTGGATGTAAGCTTTTCAGGTGTTAAGTATAACGAGATCGCTCTGTTCGTTGGACTCGACCCTTTTCGATTCCTCAAAGATATTGAAACTTTCGAGCTCCATCGCTCTCGTATCCCTACCAACCTTTTAAGATCCATTGTAGAAGACATGGATATTATGTTAAAGCAATATGGCCCTCTTTCTGCACATGAAACCGAGGAGGCCACATCCCGCTTCCTCTCTCCAGTCTGAGTGATCCCATCCTCTTCACCTGCAGAAACCTCACACCTTCACGTATCAGATATTCCACCGCCTCATTGCAGAGTTTAGCTTTACTTTCAGGAGCTTCCCAGAGTCCATCTTAGAGGGCCGTGCTACTATGAAAGGGAGAATCGAGTACTACCTCAGGGCGTTTGGCTCCGTCTCTGTTCTTATCATCCAGCTCAAGCTGAAAATCGGAAATGATAAGGAGCGTTTGGATGCTATCGCTCAAGTGATAGCCGAATGTGATGGTCAGTATTCACCTTTTTATCAAATTGTCGTCTGGTTGCCAGCTTACATGTTGTCACAGCATGCGATTGGAAAAACTCAACTGAGGGTTTCTTTGTACCTGTGTTCGGGATTCTTTGGGATGGCACCTACTTTCAATTTTTCAAGTTTGTTGGGGCTCCGAAGATTCCACATTCGTTTCTTCGAGGAGCCTTCGCCGGTGATCCTCCAATGCTTCGAAAGGGCCTCAGTCTTCCAGAGTTGATTCCCACTGTGACTACCCTTCCTTTCATCCAGTCTGTACGCTGGATAAGCGAGACAGTCTTTGACCTGCTGCTATGCGCTCACCTCTCGAGCATCGAAGCTTTCCGTGATCGATCTGTAAACAGGGGCAATGTCGCAGGGAAACGAAGGAAGAGCTCTGACAAATGGGACAATGCTGTGAATTCTGCCCGGCAGGCATTGGAACATTTTCGAGATGCTGAGAAAAAACACCAAGAAATGGACAACGCTGGTGCTGATCAAGCTGTTTCAGATGCACAAGTTTTTCTTACATCCAGGTGAGGATTATCAGCCTCTTGCGACACTCCTTCTGACCAGCTGCCAGCATAGAAGCAGTGCCCATGCTCGACGACACCAACGTACTTATCATGACCAACTGGGATGATGGGCTTGCGTGAACACGAAGATTTGACTCGCAGTATGTAGTATGATGGACTATCATGACGACTCCTTTGACCCTTTTCCTCCTTCACCCTCGTATTCTTTGTCTTCATCAATGGAATTGATTGCTTTGTTTAGTCTAATGTCCAGCTCCAACCGAACGCCAAGCACTCAACCGTTTCCTCGATTCCTCGCTCTTCAACTCAACCCACAACAGAAACTCTGTCTTCAGAGCTCGATGTCAACACTCCATTCACTAGTGATGCCTCTGAAGCATTATCGTGTCTTCAACATCGTTGCCAGGGAAGCAGGCCAAGTATTCGATAAATTCTGATTCGTATGATATTCCTTCCAATATCGCATGCGTAATCTGGCGGTGCCTCACTCTGAATAATCATTGTCAAACAAAGCTGTCTACCAGATCTTCCCAGTTTCCTCTCCACCCAGCTATGTGGGCCTTCAAAGGGGTGTTATTTAACTTTCAAACACAATCAAAATCAGATGTCATTGAAAATGCATGCAGTACTGCAGTGCCAAGTAAACTATCGACCAAGACATCGTGATGGCAGGCAACGTATAAGGACCGGACCCTTCTTTCCTCCGGCATTCTACCCTCCTCAGAAGCACTCTAAAATGGGGTAAACATGTCAGCCAGTGGACCTGGAGAGCACCTTGAACTTACTTCGGTGAACAATGCCAGGACCGGACTCGTCATACTCCTGTTTGGACACCCAGAGGTTCTGGAAGGTGCTGAGGGACGCTGCGGTGAAGCCAGTGAATCGCACGAAGCAACAAGTCGATATTGACATACCAAGAATAGAACCACCAATCCAGACAGAATACTTCCTCTCCGGGGGGGCGACGATTTTAACCTGAGTGACGACGCAGAGACATGAGCTTCAATAATTCAACTTCAAACCCAATGACGTGCTCACTCGCATGCTCGAGGGTGACAATGCAGTCAATTCCTTCTGCATACGATCTGCGATGCCAGGGTACATAGTCGTACCTCCGGAAAGAACGACGTTTCCGTAACTGCGCACAGTCGTCAGTTCTGAGTTCTATAAATCACATTAGCAAAACCTCACAGGTCACGGCGGATATCGAGATCGCATTTGTAAATCTACCGAGAAAGTGCAAGTTGGCACGCAGATGGAACAAGATGTCGCACGGATGCTCACAGAGTTGTACCTAATTGACCGTGATAGTTAAACGACAAGAAATCCAGTTCACGGCAGACGCACTCACGTGGTTTCGTGGATACCTGCAGCCTCAATGCCTAAGAACGAAGGTTGGAACAATGCCTCTGCAGCACGGAAACTGAACGGTGACTTAAACAGCCGCAGGGACCACATAGTATTAGATTTGACAGCTTACCGCTCGTTGCCGATGGTAATCACTTGTCCATCTGGGAGTTCATAACTCTTTTCCAAAGCTGAACTCTGCGACGCAGTCTGTAGTTCCTGTTCAAAATCAAGGGCAACGTAACAAAGCTTTTCCTTGATGTCCCTGACAATTTCTCGCTCTGCCGTAGTCGTGAATGCGTAACCGCGCTCCATCAGGATTTTAATCAAATAATCGGTCAAATCACGTCCAGCAAGGTCCAGACGCAGAATGGCGTGGGGGAGAGCGAAACCTTCGTAAATCGGCACAGTGTGGGTGACACCATCACCCGAGTCCAGTACAATACCAGTCGTTCGTCCAGACGCGTACAGAGATAGCACTGCTTGAATTGCAACATAGAATGCAGGGGCATTGAAAGTTTCAAACATAATTTGAGTCATCTTTTCTCGATTCGCCTTGGGGTTAAGGGGTGCCTCAGTGAGAAGGACCGGGTGCTCCTCGGGAGCGACACGCAATTCGTTGTAGAATGTGTGATGCCAAATCTTCTCCATGTCGTCCCAGTTGGTGACGATACCATGCTCGATAGGGTATTTCAAGGTGAGGATGCCCCGTTTAGATTGTGCCTCGTCCCTGGGAATATGAATGGGCGCCCAGGCCGCAAGAGAGGATTAAACATGGGTACGAACCCAACATAAGAATCCTTTTGACCCATCCCCACCATAACACCTTGATGACGAGGTCGACCAACGATCGACCTAGGGTTATATTTCTCAGGACCACGAACAAACACAACCATCATGCGCACTTACGGAAAGACGGCACGGGGGGCGTCATCACCTTTCAGATCGGAATGACGGACGTTAGAAGGTGCATGCCATTTTCGCTGCTAACACCAACATACCAGCAACTAGAGGCAGAAAACGGTATATATCAGTCAAATCCAAGAACTTGGACGCTCCTTTGACACTCACATCCTGCCTTGCACATCCCGGAGCCATTATCGATAACCTATCATCATGATCTATAAGCCAATTCGATTGAAAATTGCACAAGACGCGCACGAGAGCAGCAACTTCTTCTTCCATGACTATTGGACTAGCAGGAGATTGAGCTGTTGAGAGGTTGAGGGTAATCGTCAGTCAATCAAGACGGCAAGTTTTTAAAGGGTGAACAGGCGATGCGGCACAGTCTCTGACTGCGACAGGTAACGATCGGGGGCGCGCAGCGAACAATGAAACGAGTAGGTGGTGATTGTGAGAACAGACAAGACACTCACTGCAGCACTGCGGACTCTGGAAGAGATGATGGAAGGAAACAAAAATCGAAAATGGATCACTCCTGATTTCTGCGGAATCACGTGCTCACACGCGCGTCCTTTCACCCAAGACAACACCTTAAGTGCTGTTATCTAATAGCAGCTGGTCGGTGGTATTAGCCATATGCCTAACCTAAGCTAACCGCTAAAGCCCCCTTCTCTGGAAAGATTATTCATCACCCATGCCTCCGGAAGCAACAATGATAATGTGGGTCTTCAAATTCACAGCTCTTGTCTGATGCAAACAATCATCCGCGCGTCTAAGTGTCGACAACTCAGAATACATGCGTAATGGTGACTATGCACCGACTCGTTTTGGGGCACAATCAGATGCCGTCAGCGTGATCTTTGGTACCAAGACGCAGTCTAATCCAGAGAACACGGTCGGCGTGATGACCATGGCAGGAAAGACGTGTGTGTCTGTCATTGAATGTTCGCTATTCGCATACTCATAATTCCCCCAGACCCGAAGTCCTCGTTACCCCGACGCCAGATGTTGGCAAAATTCTCAGTGCTTTGCATGGGCTGAAGATAAACGGCGAAGCGGATATTGTCACAGGAATCCAGATAGCTCAGCTGGCGTTAAAACACCGTCAGAACAAGAATCAGAGACAGCGAATCATTGTTTTTGTTGGCTCTCCCCTGGCGGCAGATGAGAAAACGCTGATTAAGCTTGGAAAGAGGCTCAAGAAAAATAATGTCTCGATCGATATTATTTCTTTTGGGGAGGAAGAAAATGATGCCCGACTTCGGGCATTTGTTGAAGCCGTTTCAAGCAGTGACAACAGGTAGGGTGGCGGGTATCACAAATTACACCACGACACTGAGCGACATTCCAAGCCACATGCTCTCTGTTCCCTCTGGTCTCCACTTACTTTCCGACGTCATAATATCATCGCCGATTCTTTCCGGAGATAGAGGCATTCCCGGTGGGCTGGACAGTGGCGTGCCGAACAGCGCCAATGGATCTGGTCAGGATTTCGAATTTGGGGTAGATCCCAGTTTGGATCCTGAACTTGCCATGGTATGGTTCAGAGCACTGAGGATCTGTTAGCTATACTGATTGTTGACAACACAGGCCTTACGCATGTCAATGCAAGAGGAACAAGCCCGCCAGGACGCGGCAGCAGCTGCCGCAGCCGCAGGACTTCCACCGAGACACCTGCTGCGCCAGCCGCTGACGCAGATACTTTGATGGATGCTGCGGATGAGGATGAGGAAGCCTTGCTAGCACAGGCGCTGGCTTTGTCCCAAAGTGAAGATATGGAGATGGCGGATGAGGCAGACCTAGATGAAGCGGAAGCTATTGCGAGAGCAATACGCGAAAGTCATGATGAAGACGGCAGGGACAGTGCAAAATGACGTTTGTGTTTAAACTAGGGATTACGTAAGGATCAGATCCCTAATCCTATATCTGGACATTATGGCTGCGTCAGCGACCCACGTTGCTACAGCAGATCTTCCTGCTAACGTTTTTAAACTTGCGCAAACGACACAACTTGAGGCACTATACACTATCATACGCGACAAGAATACATCGAGGTGAACAATTCTGTGGTCGACAACACATGGAAGTTTACTCCTGGTTTAGGGGTGATTTCATATTTTACACCGATCGCATTATTCGCCTGTTAGTCGAAGAAGGTTCTTGAAGTCATTTGTGACCCCCAACCAATCTCTGAAGCATCGGTAGCAGGTCTTAACCATCTTCCCGTGATCCCAAAGACGATTGAGACGCCTACTGGTGAGCACAATAGGGAGTGTGAATGACCAGGTTCAGTCCCATGCCTTTAAGGTGTCAAATACGAGGGAGTTGGATTTGAGGGGCGAATATGTGGTGTTTCCATTCTTCGCGCAGGGGAAGTACGTGCATGCCCTCTGGAAGTTTGCTAGCACATTTTGACCATCCTCATGTCCACAGGCCATGGAGGCTGGCTTGCGGGAAGTATGCCGGAGTGTACGCATTGGGAAAATTCTGATTCAGAGGGTAAGTCCTTTATTTCCGATGAGTGACTTAACCCTCAGGAGTTCTTCCGGAAGGATGAGGAGACAGCTCAGGCAAAGTTATTCTATTCTAAGGTTTGCACTACACTTTCGAGCAACCCTTTGGTCAAACAACTACTGTACAAATAGCTACCACCAGATATCGCATCAAGATACGTCCTCCTTCTCGACCCAATGCTCGGTAGGCAGGCCCGTTTTGCGGGGCAGGTCCCCTGTGTCTTTTGCTGATGAGGATGTCCTTTCAGCAACGGGGGGAAGCGCGGTCAAGGCGGTCGAAGTCTTAAAGGAACATGGTGTTCCAGAGAACAGGATTATCTTTATCAATCTAGTGAGTTACCACACCTGTTTTCACCTGCATGGATGGACGACGTGCCTCCCTCTACGATAAATGCAGATTGCCTCGCCGCAAGGGCTTTCTGCTTTTTGTCAAAAGTTCCCTCAGCTGAGAGTCGTCACAGGGTGGATTGACCAAGGATTGAACGAAAAGGCCTATATGTGAGTCGTGATCCTCGCAAAGACGCTGTATGCCGAAACCGCTCATTCGACAAACATAGCATCCCAGGATTGGGCGATTTTGGAGAGAGAAGGTCTGTGAGAATCTCGAGATACGATGAATTCTACATCCAATCAATTTTTCCGGCAACAGGTACACCATGTAATGCGGGGTTTCCCGGAGGCATGATTCAATCGCGGACGACATCGGGGATGGTCAGATGTATGTATTGGGCCGCCAGGATATGCAATTACAACGGCAGAATACAATGAGGCAGGTAACCAGCCTCTCAGGGCTAGCCGTGCACCAATACAAATGCCAAAGGACAACAACGAGGAGTTGGCAGAACGCGCGGGCGAGATGTAAACAGGTTACAAGCATGAGCTTACGAAGATCTGCAAGAAGAAGGTCGTACCTACGCAAAACCCTGTAAGAGTGATGTGGCGGTGCTAGATAGACATGTGACAGGAAAAGCCTGGGACTTTTCGTCCGTGCCGAAAGCTACGCAAACCAACGCCAGCCCGCGCTCCAAGCGCTGTCATACTCGACATGTTCCCGAAATCCCTCTTCTATGGATCGAGGGCCGCCACCCACATTCATCTGGGAGCCAACAACTCATTCAGAAATGTCCTCCAACTTCAGACCGTGCCTCTTGGACCTTCTGCACCCAGCAGTGGCTCAATACTAAGCCTTCCGGGTGCCGCTAGCTCTAGCTGGGGTACTGGTGGTAGTCAGTATTCGGCCTATCAAGGCTACACCGTATGTGGGTCTCTCAAATTGTCTGAGCTGCCAGCTGAGCGCGTCTGGTAGGGTGTTGGCAGAGCTATCACTCAGGCAAATTCGTCTTCCACCGGGGATGGAAGTAGAGATCAGTTGGACGATTCCGAGGACCGCCCAATCTCCCAATTGAATCTGCGCCACCGTTTCGGACGATCCACCCGCCTTTTCCCACCAAGGTCCAGAAGCAGGAGCATTTCCCTAATATTGGATCGCCCGTATCGCCCAAATGACATCTCTTTTCCGCTGTCCCAAAATCAACACCGGCTTCAGCATACAATTATTTCCTCCTCATCGCGCGTGGACTCCTCACTCGGAACCGCTGAGGCGTCCATCCATGGCGGGCATTCGCACTGGCACGATTCGTCGGTGGCATCCACCGCAGAGCCGCCCCCCTCCCTGGGGACTATGCCGATACAATTTACCCATGAGCCCCCTGAAGCTTCTTCGGAAAGATTTTCTCGCAGAAACCACTCCGACAAACCAAAGGATCCGAATCATGCGATTGAGACCTCAATAGAAGCGGCGTTGCAAGCTCGTGATTACCCTCAGCTGCTTTCTCTTGTGGACAAGCACGGTCTCCGCCACGAGGCACCCAATAACTCGGATGCACCCAGCGCTTCAGTCTTTAATCAAGTCCTTATCGCTCTCGCCAAAGCAAGACCCCCTGGTGAGCCATTGGCTACATTGCTACAAGTATACAATGCTGCATTATCCAGAAATGTCGTCCCCGGGATTAAAACATATCACGTTTTAATCGAGGCCCTTGTCGATAGGGATGCCGAAATACAAGGTGCCTTGTCCCGAATTGAGGTTTCATTGCGTTATCACAGCCTCGGTCTCGGCTGGGATGGGCAGGATTTGGTCTCCCTTCGCGAGCTCTACCTCACAGAACGTGCATATGAGTCAGCGGTGGCCTTGCTTGACGCAGTGGAGCTCTTCCAAGATGGAGCAATACCCGCATGGACGATTTCGCGCCTAATCAAATGTTCAGCTTTGCGAGGGGACGTCGAAACTGCACGTCGGCTTTTCCCAGCAATTGACAAACATGCTGCTACACCCGATACGCGTCTCTATGCAGCAATGATTGACGTTTACAAGCGGGCGGGTGACTTAACTGGGGCAGAAAAAGTGTATCAGGGATTTTTGAACCAACTGGGTGCTACCGTCAAATCGGCCCAACGTGACACTCGGGTCCAAGACCGGATGATACAGGCCTACATCGAACTTGGCCAACCTGAGAAGGGCCTCGAACTCCTTGGTTACTTAATGGACCATGGATCCCTCGATGCCCACCCGCCTCTCCCCACTCAGCACACATTTTGTCGCATCATTGAAGCCTTCAGCGCCATTGGAGATGCCGACTCGGCCCTCAAGTGGTATAACCGACTAGCACAGCAAAAACCTGATCCTTTCATGAAGTCACTTAGCATCCGAGTCACTCCTGACATGTGGTTCAGCCTTTTCAAAGTGCTATCCCTTAACCGTTCCTCAGAAGATGTCAATGCTTTGATTCGCGATTTGCTTCGAAACATGCCGTTCACCGAGAAAGTGATCCTAAACCACGATTACTGTAACCTTTGGCTAGGATTGAACCTCCGTTACCTTCAAACAGCATCATCAGAAGCTCGCCGTCCCACTCTCGAACGTCTTGCGGAATACCTTCCATATATTATAGAACACCATTTCAACGGAATGCTATGCGGCGACACCCCACACTTGATCACCAAGCTTGCCGATATCGCCGTTGATGATGGTCTTCTGATGGAAGCAATTCTGTTAATCCGCCCGGTTGTGATGACCAAGGCGCAAGCAGTCGCCAAAGTCTCAGCACACGAAACCCATGACACATTCACCATGCAGCGTTGGACTCGAGATTTCTTTACCAAGCTTCTTTCTGCTGCTGCGACCGACGTCGATCCCGCGGTCGCTTTTCGTGTAGCCCTTGAATCAGGCCACTTAGTCCGTCAGATTGGTGGAGGTAATTATGGCGCTGGCGATCTTGTCATTGACCTTTATTCTCGTGCTATGCCCGATCCTACGAAATTTTCACCCCAAAACTGGGAATACATCGCGAATACCTTCTGCGACGTTGAATTGCGACGATTCGAGGATGCCTCATCGCAACCCCTCAATTTCCAGCGGTTGGTTGCCGACATGTCAATTGTTGCTCAGGAGAACCTTTCATTGGTTAACATTCAGCGCTTGGTGGAGACCCTTCGAACAACAAGGGGGTGGGACACGGCTCACGGCGTGCTCTCGCCCCTAGGCGAATTCGGATTGTCGCACCTTGGTACCCTCAACCCTGCCTCAAGTCCTGCGGTATGTGACCCCGCCATTGAAGCGCCTCAATGCTACCCGATCCCGATGGCTAGTACCGCACCCCAAGTAGCTCGTATTGACGCTGCGCACTCGCGGTTTGTCGACGAGCATTACTCCAATCCGTTTGTCAAATCAGCTGTTGCAACACCTCTGCAGTGTTTCGACAGATTCGAGCAGGGTGCTGCGATAGGGATTTACCCGTACCCTACAGTACTCGGACACCTCATCAACGCACTTGGCCGTATGGGTGAAGTTGACAAAGTACAACGAATCTATGCTGCCGCCCAAGTCATCCTGCAAACCCTTGAGTATGAGCCGAATACTCAGACATCGGGGTGGTTTATCATAGAGGATCAGATGATTGCAGCGCTTGCTCATTCAGGGAACATGGAGGCTGCCAATGTCCACCGACTCCGTATTTTGCAGCATGGTGGTGCACCGTCTGCTGACTCCTACGGGGCACTGATCGCAGCTGTCAAAGATACTTCTGACGATTCTTCAATGGCTCAAGTGCTGTTCGAAGAGTCGATGCAACTCGGAGTGACACCAAATATCTACCTCTACAACACAATGATCTCGAAATTGGCGAAGGCGCGCAAAACCGATTATGCTCTCGAATTGTTCTACCAAATGCCGCACGTTGGGATTCGACCAACGGCAGTCACTTTTGCAGCCGTCATTGGTGCCTGTTGTCGCGTGGGCGATGAAGAATCAGCTGTATATCTCTTCGAGCAGATGATCAAACAACCTAGATATCAACCGCGAGTCCCAGTTTACAACAGCATGATACAATTTTTCGTTCATCATAAGAAGGATAAAACCAACGCCTTGCATTATCATCGCATGCTACTGGATGCCGGTCTTGAGCCCACCGCTCACACTTATAAGGTAAGAATTGTTCAAAATGCAGCCGCCAGCGTGGTGACCTTTCCAGCTTCTGTTGGACGTTCATGGCTCCATTGAGCCTGTCGATGTAGCACAAGTCGAATTAATCTTCGCGGAAATGCGTAGCAAAATCGTCCCTCAAGGTACCCATTGGGCATCAATCATCGGCGTGTACGGTACTGGATTACGTGATCTTGACCGGGCGCTGTCATTATTCGACAGTATTGGCCGGTCCGAATGTCGAATTGATGCAGTAATCTACGAGTCCCTTTTCAATGCCCTCTTCCTGAACAATCGGTTGGATCTCGTGCCCAAGTATCGCCAGCGAATGGAAGAGGATGGCGTCCATATGACAGCATATGTTGCCAATGTATTGATTCGTGGATACGCACAAGCAGGGCAAATTCAAAGAGCCCGTGACATCTTCGAGTCTCTTGCTGACTCGCCTGTGGGGGTAGCGGCTCCTCATAACCACTCGCCAGTCCGTAACTCACTGGAGCGTGTGCCCCTCGACGCCCCAGTTTACCGAGAGGTTCGTTTTCAGGTTTCATTGTCAACAAATCAACTGCCTAATCCTCACTACACCAATCAGCCATCTTCTTGGGAATCTATGATCATCATGGAAATTGAATTCGGGGAACCATCGTACGCAGAGTTATTAATGGATCGTTTTGCTGCTAGGTATAGCCCAAGCTCGTCGGATCGAACTTCGCTAACTTGGTCTGCAGAATGTTTCCTCCAGCTGTAACGAACCGTGTCCGATCTATTTTGATGGATTATAGAGCCAGGGACCGTTAAAGCGCGAGGACTTCAACAACCCCTTCTTATATTTAAGTTTAATATAAGCACGCCCCTCATTACATAACCCCATATGCAGTCACGCAGCCACATCTTCATGCATCATGTACATTAGCATCCTTCAGTTGCACGATCTCTCCATTGTCACAAATAATTTTGAATCGCACTGAGAAATACCAGGGGTCAGATTGTCAAGAAAAGGTACTGGTGGTTCCCAACTTAACATATGGTGAAGGGCTGTCCCTTCATTTTCCTGATGCTGGAAAAATAAACCGTCCCATCCCCTTAAACATAACAAGATTAGGGCTTGTGCAATGCTGCGAAACGTGTGCGGCGCATACCCTCAGAACCTTGTACGCCAAAGCTGATCTAATAAAAATCCATAAACACAGATGCAAACATCTAGCCATTCACGTACGTCAACCTTCCCTTGTAGGAGGTTGATCTAGCAAGGGCTCAACAGATGACAGAAATCCACCGATTGTGAAATAAAAACGCACAGTCCCGAACACATACGGCTGGTTCAGAATATACCAGTGAGGCTTCATGCTGATCTTTCGTCCAACGTTCGCCTCCAGAAGGGGATCATCGGAAGTTTGCAAGACATGCATGATCTGACGGACAACTGAGCTAGCGATGCGCTCCTGGTTGAAAGCATGAAGTGTGAACGCAGTCCACACTGAGATCAACGCAACCCCAAACCCTGCGTAGCGCAAAAACCGAGGCTATCAAAGGGAAGCAAATTCTCCTGAGTGATGGAAAACCATGAGACATCAGTCCCTTCCCTTCAGATCAGGTAACTCCCGTTCTGGCGTTTGGCGAGAGTGGATGGCCTTGGGACGGGAGCACCCACGGGGAGGCCCCGGTGTCTTCCTGGAAAATCGGCAAAAAAACGATGTCCGATGACCTGATGCGGAGGCCCACACGCAACGATGGAAGGCCATGCAAACGTCAATTCGAAGTCCACAGATGCGGCAGTCACCGAGACGATAAAGCTATTTCAGCTCCCATTAGTTTTGACAGGAGTCTACAATGGTATATCACCACTCATAGCGTCCATGTCATTTGGTATGTCGTATGGATGCACATCATCTACAAAACAGTGTACTAGTCTAATCGAGAATTACCTTTATCTTTCCTGTATTTCAAGACTGGCCGAACAACTCCTCTGCGTAGATAAACATATATAATAAACAGAATGCACGAACTCGAAATTGCAACCAAAAATGTGCGGAGGGTGATCAGAGGGGTCAGGCTTTCTTGTGTGGACTATAACACAGGTCAACGATGTTCACGCAGATGTTCGCCCAATGCAACTCACCCGAAGCAATCGCTCGAACACATTTTCACCTGAAAAGGAAGGTGTGATAAGTACACACTGCCTCGAAGAATGCCACTAACTGTGTTTTGCTAGCAATTTGCCAGAGAAGACTTCATTCAGGGCGCGCACGAGTTTGTCATTTTGCAATTCCAATGGCTGATTTGAACCATTCACGTCGTAATAAATCAGTTGCTAAAGAATATCATAAGGGCCAAACGTGAGGAAAAGGAATCACAGCCGCACCTTGTGATTCGTTATCACGACCAACGGTGTTTTGTCTTGCTGGAAACCATACATACGACGTAGCCAAGAATCCCATCTATCGACATCCATCCAAACGAAGAATGTAGGATGGGAGTGGGATTGAGTCTTCCAAGTGTTGCTAAGCTCCAAAAGCAACTGTTCTGTTGCTGGTCCCTGCGACCTATGTACAGCGACCAGTAAAACGTGTTGGACTGTATCGGCACGCATCACATCTTGAAAATTCCCCGATGTGAGCTCAAAGGCACTAGGGAACCGGCGATTGGTCATCCACAATTGCAACGCATCTGGTATGATAAGTGCAGTGAGATCTAGTCTGTCGGCTGGTCTGCTGATGAAATCCCTAAAAAGGAAGAGGTGCGATCCTTTGCCGGCATCAATCGAAAATCGACGGAAGGCCTGCGGGCTCTCCACCAAATATACAGGTGGTCCTCCCAACTGAGACCGCGCCGCCTCCAAGACGATTGACTACACAGAAGCCTTAGACTGGAGAACTGGGAACCAGGAGCAAAGAACACACGCACATATTCCTTTTCGGATGAGACAGGGGACTTGAAGTAGGCGAAAACGACAGGCTCTTTTTTAACAGCATCTTCCAAAGCGTCCAGCTCGAGTCGCGTCAACCCGCTGCAGGGAATTATTAAAGCCACGATGCAAACGTCAGTAATCATTACCTCTTACCGTGCTGTAGTAACTGCTCTTACAATCCAACTTTCGAGATCGGTCAAACTTCTACTATCGCGATACGTGACCTTTTTCCCATTCTGATAGCTGATAATGAAAGTCAGCCGATGTGGGAAAACCTCACAACAATCTCACAGGAAAAGGGTCGGGTAGCCCTCAACATCCTCTCGGTTGCATAGGCTTGCATTATCATCGCAATTAACCTCCGCTATGGTGATGACACCTTTCATATGGCTCGCAAGTTGGTCCCACACTGTAGCACAGGGATGTTCGATAATGCAATATCACATATAAGATGCGTTACCTGGGGCTAACTTGTTACAATGACCACACCTGCGAAGTAAATTAGAGAACGTGAGACGCAGACCACCAGGACACACACCAAGGAGCAAACATCTTTACAAAAAGTGGTCCTTCACTTATTGCAGCATCGAAAGACTGCGAGTCCAGTCGAGAAACGTTCCCCAGCTCGTTAGGAACGCGGATTGGAGTGCCAACGTTTTTGATATTTCTTCTCGAAAACTCTTGTACTTGCCGATCTATGTATGCCGAAAGCTCTTCCGCGGCGGTATCTGCTTTGTACACTTCCACCAGCTCACCGTCTCTATACCTGAATGAATGGTTGAAGCATTTGTCACTAGAGAAGAACAAGCAGCTGAATCTGGACGTACAGAGACAATTGGGGATAGTATTCCACATCCATCGCATGACAAAGATCTGGGGGGCGCCATTGAAGGTGTTGGAAAACTGCTCGAGGGCGGTCCGTCGTCGCAAGCACACACCTCCATTGGCAATGCAATCAACCTGAGCCATGTTAAACCCAAAGGCCCTATAAGAGGCCTTGTCCGAGACCATTTGCTCCCAAGTAGGACGGAAACGTTTGCAATGCACTATGATTCAAACCACACACCACACACAGAGAACATCATTCAGGTCAAGTGTTAGGGCAGGGGTGGGCCTGGCACACACCGCAATGTGGACTGAAGAATTCGATAAACCTGTGATTAGGTATGAATCAGCAGAGGTAGGCGGAGTGATTTATATGACAAACCACAGGCCTCGAGAGGTAGAGGTTCGAAAATCTCTTTCATTGAGTGAAAACAACTCGTCCTTGGACTCAACGGGTGCGGCTGACGACAGGCAGAGCGCTGCGAATAAGCAGCTAAACGTCGATAACCAAGAAAGCATGAAAGGGATAGAAGAAATTAAATTTGTTATTTTCTGAAAGTGTAAGCAGAGCACCGCAAATAAATGCAACACATAACCCAATTCAATCATCCATTCGTCAATGGCGGCGCAATCCTGGGCGTATCCAGGACTCGCCCATGTACATGTGTGTCTCTTTACCAACGTCAAGAATTCTAGCGCGATAAGAGCTCGCCTGGTCAGCGCGGCATCTACGCCTGGCGAAGCAGGCGACGTGGAAAGGGCCGCCGTTAATTTTGCGTTTATAGACGCCGCCCCCGTCAGCTTGAACATCCACTCCCAATCAAGTTTGTACTGAAGCATGGAACGTCTCAGATCATAGACTCGCTTCACTTGCAGACCGCAGTGCTTCATGCCATCCTTTCATTCCAAAGTAACCAACTTCGAACCAAGAGCGTTCATTCTGAAATCCTGTTTGCTCTGAACCCGAGCAACAACGTGCGTACCTGTCTTGGGACCCGACCAACCGTCCCCTACATTATATACATATGCAGATCACGGAATCAATCAGGCGATTCGGCATTAGTAATTCGACGACGTCGATTATTCTTGTCAGAGTGGAGAATTGGACGTCTGGTCCTTCTCGCCAGGACGACGGTTTATATGAGAGCATGAGATCCATAGTTCAGGGTGACGTGCTTCCTTTGACCCATCTAAGCGACATCACAGATTGGGGATTGGTATCGAAGGTCAGCCCCCCGCACTATCAAGCATGCGAGCCACCTTGACAGACGATGACACACAGTATTACAAGATCAATCAGTCCTACCTTCCACCAAGCTCCCTTGGGAATAGCCCAACATATATCAAAAGCATTGCGGACACCAAACGAGTACGAGAGATTGTCATAAGCACTGTAGCGACAAAAATGGTGATGTAAGAATTCTGCGCCATCGATGTGTTATATGTAGTCGTGTTATAACTTAAGCCAAACGATTCCGGTGGAGGACGTTTGAGTTCTGTCCCATGAGCTCGTATAAAAGTCATCGCTCGTCGTGGGAATCCAGGGACAGACCAAGGCTGACAGTGAAACAACTATAATCATCGAAACCCCCAACCGCCAGCACTCCCAACTGTAATGCCCACACCACTGAGGGGGGCCAACCACTCTCCCCAAAACACTGTTGCGCCTCCAACAAACACTGAGAGATCCTCAGAAACAGCTGATGGACCTCTCGGAACACTGCAATCAAGTCTCCGAAGTCTCACGTACTCGCTACTCGAACTCTCTGTGTGTGCTCAGGACGTCCAACCCCCTCAACCTGAGGATGACCCAAATGGCCGAGTGGCAATGAAAATGTGAGACCCCAGAAATTTCAAGGACGGCCACACGATTCACGTCTGAGCTCATTCACTTTGCAACGCAGATCCGATATCATTACACAATTCAAGCAACTGGACGCAATGAAAGATGTTTTGTCGAGTCGAATTCCTATGCAAGTTTTGCGGTGAGGTAGTCATACATAGCTTGATGGAAACATGATCGCTCACTGAACACAGAGACGTTGACTTGAATCGAAATCCGCATCTCGTTACCAAAGAACGGATTGAGCGTGCAGCGGCAGAAAATCAGTTCATCAAGGGGAAATTAGCAGCCATCGAGGTGAGTGATACGACAAATGATTTTGCTGTCTGGGACTAACTTGAAGCGACGCAAAGTCGTATCGGGATCTACTCGGCGCAGCGTTGAAAGATACATTTGAGGAACTTGGGCCTATTTTGGACGCAACCAGTGATCCCAGTGCATATATAGGTTGATGCTCACAACTATGATGATTGCTCGGTATCCCCCATATAGCCTCTGTATTTTAGTCGAGTTACACTTGTACATTCCTGGCCCCCACGCCCCTCAAAAATAACTTTGCGACTTGGGCGCGAACTAGAAGTGTAAAATTCGGGAGCAGCTGTTGCTGTCGCTAGGTGACTCATGCTTGTCACACAACCCTCTTTCGGATCCTTCCCATGACTGACATCCTAGCCGCGTACAAGACGTTCGACCGTTCCACTGCCCGATCCACGGTGCATGCAACTCTTCATCTGATTACAAATTGTGAGAGCCAATTCTGTGCGATTGTCTTGGGACCAATTCTGATCAACCGCTAACAGCTCCCACGGCAGGATGGGATTCAGACAGTCGTCGCACACTTGCCGATCTCCTGCTCACGGATATCGCGCATGTCACCAGCACTTCGCGTCTCTCGCATCAAGGTTAGATTTTTTATTATTCCAAACTTGAGATGCATCGATAGCTTCCTTGCAGACGTGGAGGCAGCATTGTCAGCTGTCAAGGCATTGGGACGCCAAGAGGATGTATCATCCGTGGTCATTCATGTGAGCTTTATCTACTCTTAATTTTCAAGCCGAACCCAACAGGCTGGTAACAGCACTTCGGATCTCTTTACAACTTGGTGTCGAGCCAGCGACCCAATACTCGGTGGACGTTGTGAATCAAGCGCTTAGATGTATTGCAAATGCTCTCCTTCTCAATGACGCTGGAAGCAAAGCTTGGCTTGATCTGGGCGGTGGTCAATTAGCACTTGAGGAATTGAAGGTTAGGATGAAGTCTCATTCCGGGGCATCGGCGACTTACTAAACGTCACCCAGAAACCCCTTTCAAGCGAGCGTCTCTTCCTTCTCGCCCGTATTCTTTTTTTGGTGACACTCAAACCAACACCCTTTATCTCACTCTTGATTGAGAAGGGGCTAATTCGCGGGTTAGCGGTGGTGAGTTCGCACCATCCATTTGCGGCTATTACCCACATATCAAAACGCTTCTCAGGCCCTACCAGCTTCGTACCGTAATCTAAGAGCCCAGTATTCATTTGGGAAAGAAAGTTTGATCGACTTATTGAAGGTCACATTTAATTTAATGACACACTATCCAAGAATGAAGGGCAATGAGTCGCAAAAACCTGCCGACGGCTCCGAGCATGTGCTCGGGGACTTTTGGGACGATCAGTTTACAATGTGCGTCCAACCCGTTGGCAGCCGGTATCTATGCTCATGGAGCCCTTCAGTTTGGTCCCTACTCTGCTCGAAATATTCGACACACTCCCTCCAACCTCACCTCCCCTCCAGCCGCCCATGACTCATCTATTGCACGTTTTAATTCACCTTCCGGCAACTTTGCTATGTGAATCTTCAGCATCAACCCCCCAGTGTTCCAGCATGCCCCCTGGGGATGCGCCATTTGTTCCTAAAGCCGATGGGGTCGATATTCTTGAGAGGCTTTACAAACTACTCGAGAGAACGTTACACTTTTACGTGGAATATGATCCAGACGACCTCAAAGTTCGGAGAAAATGCCGTGAGAATGGAGTAGTACTGGATGAATTGGTAGTCCCACTGCCAATCATCCTTACACGCCTGGTTAAAGAAAATAACGAAGCACGCGCTCGAGTACGTCAATGGGTGCTTCCGAGGGATTTGTGTGTGGATTCATTAGCCTCAGTGAACCATATGCTCAATGTGTCACAGGGATCGGTCACATCCTCTTGAGAAGCGGAGAGATGTGCTAGGTTTATTCATTCGTATGATGACTTCCATTCATCATCCCCATCTCAAAGAAACAACGTCCGAGCTTCTATTTTGTTTGTGCAACCAAGATGGTAACTGAAACACTTAAACTTTGATTTCCATCTGACGAATACTTCCTCAGCGGCAGAACTTTCTGCCCAAATTGGCTACGGGAACGCAGCAGGTTTCTTGTACTCGAAAGGCATCATGTCAGCACCCACAACAGAGTACGATTCACATGGCAATCTGTTGAACCCTATCACTGGAACGAACGCGCCTATACGAGACAACAGCGGTGTTGATATGACTGACGAGGAGAAAGAACAGGAAGCGGAGCGGCTCTTTGTCTTGTTTGATCGCCTCGAGAAATCTGGACTAGGAGCGAATCCAATTCGGAAGGCTCAGCAAGAGGGCAGACTTCAGGACTAGGGGCGAGATTCCATGTTGTGCTGAAACTAAGGTATTAATAAAGGCTGGTATCCTGCCTAGTCTGGTCATGGCTGAGATAGGGTGCTTTGCACGATGTACCTGTACACAATATGTAAGTGTGCACAGCAGACACAAATATAAACAATGTGTTTCAAAGAGAAAAAGAAGGGATCCTCTTATCCTCTGAGCGTTAGCCAAAGGGCCCTTCGTAGTGGCAATGCCGCTAGCGGAGGATGCGCTGTTACACAAGTTTGGAATCAGTAAACCGGAGTGTCCCGGGTTTTGCCGTGGTAAGCCACCACCCAAATAATGACTTCTTTAACAGCATCGCAGACAGAGTCCAAAAATGCCAAGCTTCCCCTGGGTTACCGTGACCATTGCTCTACGTTGGTCGCACCCCTATCCAACAATGGTTCCTAGTCTCACTCACCCCGGTTCATTCAGGTTGCTCGTACCCTTGAATAAGTGCCGACGTACCAACAACTATGCTCCTTGGGAATGTGAACATGAAAGGTGATCGGATTGATTAATCTCTCCCTATTACCCTGCTTGTTCACATTATGGTATCCATGTTAAGACATGCGTATGAAAAGTAAGCCAACCTGTTCACACACTTGCTCTAGTGAGAAGACGACGTCTCCTTTTAGGTGCCAATATGATGAGTACGATTGACCCATATCGATCCGACATCTAAGCATCACTCTGAACCTCTCTTTCCTAGCTACATACGCCGAATGAAAGCCCTGTCGAAGCAGAAGCTCCAAGCGTTGAGTGGGGAAGAAAGCTAAACATCACTCGCATTATTACAACATCGTGGAGCCATTCCCCTGTGTACTAATTATGCCCTGGATGTCTGCCATTGACTTATAGCCTCTGCTACTTTCGACCGAATCGTCTCCGCTGTTTGACTTTTCCCATATGCATCGACGAATTCTCCCGCTGGATTCATAAGGTAAAAAAAGATCGAGTGATCCACAAGGTAATCATCCCCAGGCTTTGTGTCGGGTGGTGTCGAGAAATAAACCCGGAACGCCTTGCATGTTGCTTTGACGGCCTCGTAGTCTCCTGTAAGCCCGATTAACCGAGGATGGAAGTCTGTTATGGTTGGTGTGAGTACTCAACGGACATCTTGAAGCACTGGGTTTGCTGTACCTTTAACATATGCGGCCGTCCGCTGAACGGTATCCCGTCTCGGATCGCAAGAAATAAACACCGGCTGCACGATCTTTCCAAACTCTCTGTCTGGTATTAGAATTAGGTATGACAAGGGCTGAAAGGCATCCACACGAATAACAGGGAACATACCTAGAGAGTCTACAACAGAACCCATCTTATCAAGCTCATCAGGGCAAATGTCGGGGCAATTTGTGAACCCAAAGTAAAGCAAACTCCAATGCCCCATTAAGTCTTTCTCTGTGCACCGCTTGCCTTCATGCGTTATCAAAGAGAAAGGACCACCGATTTTAGCTTTCCCATAGCTCGCGGTAGCTAACTCTTGTTCTTAGTGAGATTTAGCGTGGACGGTCTTGCGTGTGGAAAAGAGAAGCACACGCACGTCTCTTTTCCAGCATTTTCGCCTTCTCAGTCGTGAAGTAATACCACAATCCACCACCAGTGGCAATGAAGAGTGCTGCCGCTTTCCACGTGAATGGCTAACCCAAAATTATTCGGAGCACGTTCCGGTGTTGAATGCAACCATACCCCATGAAATTGGCGCAATCCATGAGCTCCATGGATCCCTTGCCTCTGTAAAACTCGATGACGGAGAAGGGAACGGCGAGCAATGGAAAAAGAGCTGCTAACGAATACCATCAGGGCAACATCACAGCCACGTATTTCACACGCTCATTCCCTGTCCAAAAAAACTTCATTATGCCTTTCGCTCGCAAAATTAGACGGCACTCCATTTCTCAATCTGACCCTCGGTCCGTGAATCGCTCCCGGAACGGCAAGTTTGAGTATGTTCCCCGGGCCCAAAGCGAAGCAGGCAATGGCTCAATTCATGAAAGTGATGGGGCCGAGAATGTCGATGATTTGGAGATGGCTGAGGACGATGGCAGGTACGACGCTGTAGATGGAGTGCATCTACCCCAAGAGGGGCTTGGAAATGCTGGCCCAGAGCGTTTGACCAAGCCCCTTCCGGCATCAAAAGCCTGGCGTGCACCAATCAATGCCAACCCCTCTTTAATACCCATCCAAGCATCAATCCCCCGCACTACCCATGAAAAGCATAACACAAGACGCCTTATTGTGGTCCTTGAGCAAGCCTGTCTTGAGGCCTACCAAGTCAACACCGGGTGGGCTTCAGGGAAGGACGTTAAATATGCTCTCCTCAATTGTGACGATCATCAAGGTATACTAGCCAAAACTGGGAGAGATATTGCGGATGCACGCCCGGACATTACCCATCAGGTAAAGTGCACTATTCCCTTGGGGCCTTCACAACTAATTCGTGATGGGACAAAAGTGCCTTCTCACTCTCTAGACTCCCCATTGAACAAAGCGGGTCGATTACAAGTTTACATCCACACGGCGAAGGACGTACTTATTGAAGTAAATCCTCACATCAGAATACCGAGAACGTTTAAGCGTTTTTCGGGCTTGATGGGTAGGACTTAATCTCGCCAGGTCAAAGGGAGCAACTAAAATGGATATCTCTTCCCCAGTCCAACTACTGCATAGACTAAGTATACGCGGAGTCAATACTTCCGAAAAGTTGCTAAAAGTTATTCGTGTAAGCTTGGCTTGTCTACATCTCTTTAGGCGAAGCTAATGTCTTGCAGAACCCTGTCACCGACCATCTCCCATGAACACTCATAAGATTAGTAAGTGTAAAATTAGAATCATTGGTATTTCCTGATCGCATTCCAGCGTTATCCGGTGACGCAAAGACAGTTCGCCTATCTCAATACTTACCAGCCTTCCTGAGACGCATTCCATAGCCATATTTGTTGGGGCAATGGCACGGGGGTAAGCATTTTACCACGTAACAAGGAACAAGCGCAGGTCATTTGAAAGTGCCCCGCTTTTAGGAAGGACAGTTTCGCTGATCATATTGTGGACGAAAAAATATCTATCAGCGATTATGCACTTTCCGCGTCGGTAAGTGATGCTTCGCACACTGGAAACCCGGTGATTACTTGCATTTGGAACAGGTTGCTTGCGGTAGGGTAAGTCATCATGCAAGGCAACATTCGTACGAAAGAATTCTCAGTGGATTACAATAGTTTTGCTGTGCGATGGAGGAGTTGTGGGATATTGTTTAGAGTGAACACGCAGTAATAATTTATTGGCCCCATTGATGGAAAGATACTTCGAATAACACAGTACAACGTGGTAAAGGTTCATTCTGCAGAAAATTGGTCAACATATGAGTTGAAGTTCTTCGAGGAAGGTTGTGAAGTCCTCTTTCTTCACTTCGATAACACTGGTATCAAATGTCCCTCCCTGGCGCGTTCGAGCGTTCGAGCGTTCCTTCGCTTCTATGAAAGCAACACCGAAATGGCTATACGGAGCAGTCAGCGGAGTCTTCGGTGGTCTTTTGGCAGTTACTTTTTCCTAACATCCCCCTCCTCGGTTGTTGCTGGGACACCCACAACAAGAAAACTGTCTTCGGCCTGATTGAGGCAGGCCACCAACACTGGGAGTCTCCTCGTACTGCGATCGTTCATGTTTGCTTGACGATCACGAAGCACCTCGGATAGCCAAAGCCCTAGGCGGGAAAGCGTGCCTGGTTGACAAAAAGTCTGCACATCTGGCCCTCCTTTACTGTAGCGAGTTTGAAGGAACGATATGTCCGTACTACACGTTTGTCGATGAGCGCGGAGCCTTGCCGTACAACTGCACGATGCAGCGCTTTAGAAAGCGGCACTGCTCTTTGAACGAGCGTTAAACTAGGTAACGAAAAGCCGTCAGTCTAACAGTGCTTCGAAGTACACAGCACTAACTCGTCGCTCAAGGCATCGAACGCTGACCAAAAATTCTTCATCCACCATTGCTCAATGTCATTACTGCCTTCCTCCTTGTCGTTATCGCGGTTTCCGAGATCATCATGCGTATCCCCAAGGCTCCAGTTCCGCTCGGCGAGAGGGCTTATCCAGTTTCAAGCCCATGTCCCATATATGTGTCCCGCCAAACCATTCGCCACCTCCTTGACCACTCTCTGACTCTACTTCAATGCGAACTCCACCGGCGGCCTGAAGCAAAGCAGATACGCTTTCCACGACGTCAGAAGCCGGCAAGGGCTGGGAGCGAAACCCGTAGGATCGGAGGAAAGAAGGGTAGGTCAATTCCAAAAGTCCGTACTCTGGAGCAATGTTCTCCAGCCTTTGCCCTAGAGAGTGTCTAAGATCCATGTCCATGTGTTGATATGCCTGTTGAGCCTGCTGGAGGGCGAACCTTCGGCAACTTTGATAAGGGGGAAAATGATCATTGCTGGCAACATACCCCATCTTGGCCAAAAGACCTTGAAGGCGATTCCTGCCTCTTTCTTGCCATATCCCGAGCTTATTAGCTACGTAACTTGAATGAAACATAGCATCATACAAATTCCATTGACGGAACAAGCTGAATCGGAATTCGTGGCATGTACGAATCGCTTGATCATCAGGGTTCAATTCGGTGGGTTGTGGAACACTCAAATTCAGCCGCGCCACTTCATCGTTAAAAATCGCGTGATACCCCTCGTAGCGATCCCGCGGAATTCGAAAAGATGAATACTGGTGGGTGAGCCCAGGATGGCGAGCCTAATTCGGAACTGGTCAGCGAACTGGTTCATTAATGGTGCCCAAGAATACCCGCCACAACAAACCATTATCAGCTCTGTCCAACATCGTGGATAGTGCATAGATAATTCCAGACGCACTCTGACCATACCAAATACCGGAGGAATAATGCTTGTCCAGTCTGGCCCGGTATTCTTCCCGTTGAAGTCGAGACGGACCGGCATTTTGCTTTGGGAGAGTTGATTATCGATAGATTATTGAAAGTATGGGGAGGAACTGACCGCACTTGCATCCAAACGTCGGCGTCGCCGCGGCGGCAGGCGCGAATCACCGTTCGAGTTTGAAGAGAATATATCATCATTGCCCGACCCCTGGACACTCTCTCCATCATAATCCTCGCTGTCATCTTCTGAATCTGACCCCGATGAGTCGGACCCTGGATACATCTCCCGATGGCAATATCATCAGTAAAGAATAGAAGTTGTTTATTAATCAACTCGGAAGTACAGTTATACCTCCATGGACTCGTATGCTGCTTGAACCTCCGATAGGTTCCTGGCGCTACCATCATCCCAGACCGTGATCCGCTGGGCTTCTGGAGTTGTACCAAAAAGACTCGATAAATTTTGAGGACGTGTAGAGTCGACGACATGTATTGCCACATTGGAATTGAAATCGCCGAACCAGTCCGAGGAAGGAAGATCGAGAAGGGAACCAATGTTTATTAAGATAAGTGTATGCAGCTTCGCCGAAGCCGAAGGTTGGTTTATGATACTGCGCCTCGAGTGCATCGCTCACCTCTTGGTTAGTGACAAGCTCATCTCGGATTTCTTCAAGGTGCTGATAACCTGAGACAGGGATTATGCGATACCCAACATCGTCCTGCTTAAACAGCGTCGAGAGTATGCGTGCGGCACAGAGCGCGTCCACCTCTGGAGGAACAAGCAAGATCACGGATGCAGCAGAAGTAGAAGGGAAACGCCGGCGAGATGCAAGAATCGATTTGTAGGCATGTTCATAAGTCCGTGCTCGGCCGCTACCAGCATCGGGAGATACAAAGCCCATCGCGATCGCAAAGCATGCGAACCTGCGAATCTAATTTATGGGGCCCCGATTTCAACAGTAGGCAATACTGTACAACAAATAAACATTTCATCACAACACACAATCCAATTTTGACACGTAATGCGTTCACAGAACTCCTTTGGTGCTCGGGACTTCATTGTCACCCGTACGCTCTATTGCTTCACGTATTGCCAATGCGATAGCTTTGAATGCCGACTCAGACCTAAAATATACCATGAATACGTGAAATCACCTCAAGTCTGTGAGTAGTACTTCCCTATGATGATCATTCTCTCCTCTTAGGCAATCTACATGGAGAGTAACCTCAGCCGCCATAGCGAATGAATGGATGACATGTGGAATCATTTCAGTAGACAAATCGCCAATCTTCTCGCGCTTAAGGCCAAGGTTGACGACGCAATACGGCCTCGATGAGATATCGAGAACTGCCCGAGACAGAGCCTGATGAAATCTACCTTGAAAAGAATTCGACCATTATCTGAACGATCTCTTGCTTACTTCATCGAGCGGCGCGTATCCGCATCCATATCTTCGAATTCCTCGGCGCACTCCGAGAGCTTCTTTGAAAGCTTCGCCAAGAGCTAGGGCACAGTCTTGTGATGAAGCAATGCGACACACTACAATTAGGATTAGATATACCTATGAGTTTGAGTATAACATATCTGCTGTGTGGTGATCATCGATCTCCAGATCCCCCTTGCATCTCAGTTCTAACGTGATTCCTGCATGTTTCGAGAGGGCATGAAACATCTGGAAGCACAGATGTCAATTTAAGCCAGGCAAATTGGTGACAATTCTGAGACGGACGTGATCCAGAAAACCAATTCCAGTAGAGACTTTGATCTGCCGAGGAATTGATGGGTCTCCGTCCAAGTCAATGAAACAATTGATTTTCGTCTCGCTCGTGTTCCGCACCACGGTTGCAGATCGGGGGTTAGCCATTTCTTCTTGGACAAACAACGTCGATGTTGTTCCAGGAAAACACGTCACGAGGCCCTCCCGTGGGAATTCACAGAATCTGGCACTTAGACGTCGAAACCTGAAGCCCTCGGATGGCGAGCGCCCTGAGTAGAAGTACTACTTCCCGTGTAACTGCAGACTTCAACCACCTCAAAAATATTAGAGGCCCCACTGGCGTTTATAGGTCGCCCGCGCGAAAACGAAACCCCCTGGCAGCAAAGCCATTGGATGCCCACCCAAAGGACCGCATCAAATGGTGGAACATCGTTCCAGGGGACAGAGTCCGGCTTGTTAGAGGGCCATACAAGGACTCCAATCGCATTGTTGAAGTCTTGAGCATTAACAAGTACAGAAACATTGCGATGTTTAAGGATTTATCGGTTTGCCAATCCCGCACCCGAATTCAACGTGTACTCATGTGTTCCGGATCAGTATCCTAAAAAAAAGAATGATCCTGATGCTCCGGCGATGCCTGTTCAAGCGCATTATTCTAATCTGCAACTGTACATGGGGAAACGGAGTTCCCATCAAAATCCGACGCTGACTCTCGGGTTCTCTTAGAGTGAGTAACAGCCGACCCAATCGAGGATGACCCTTGCTGAATAAACGTCTTAAGCGTTTTCGCAACCCGGATACACATGACAAACCCTCGTTACGACATTCGTCAACAGAGATGGATGTGGGACAGATATGCTGCCGCCACTTCGCCCATTTTGCCTGGCCTTCAAGGGGAAGGCGGCCGACGCCGCCGTGTTACGCTCTCGGAAGCCGAGTCAATCCCGTGGCCAGAAATACCACGAAAGCAATATCCTCCTGGTCAGTGTACACAGATCTTCTCACTCAACAACTCATGAACACCTTCAAAGCAAATCTCCACGACACATCAAAAAACGCTGTCAACACCGTTACTTGGAAACCTATGCCGCCAAACGTGAATCCCCTGACTCGCGAGATATTGCCGCCAGATGTCTCGGCTACCTCTGTGAACTTCGAAGAGACTTACATCCAAGCCCTATTACAAAATAGACTATCGAATCTTAGTCCCTCCCTACCGATGGAAATTTATCTGCATGAGGAGCTGTCGAATCCTCATTCACGGGCGAAAAAACAAAAACGATGGCAAGTGCGAATGAAAGCCAAGGAAGAAGAGCGAAGTGAGATGATCAGAAAGGAGATGTTAGATCTTCGTGGTCGAAAACGTGCCGTAGCTCGTCGGGAAGCAATATTTAGATGGAACGCGAAGATGAAACACGACGGAAAAGAAGCTCGATACCGACGTTGGGTGCAGCGTGGCGGCTTGGAGCGAACCTCCAAGCGGTCAATAAGAAAGGCCAGGAAGGGGGAGAGGAGACTGCGGCGATTACGGAACTTGGTTTTGCAAGTTGGGACGAAAAATCAAGTTGTCCCTGGAGTCGAGACGAAGACAAACTGATATCAATTAGTGTATCATACATGCGCTGATTAGGTTTGAGCTTATGCATAGAATGGGTTACACCGGCAAATGAGATGCTTGACTAAGAAGCTAAATATACTTCCGACGAGGATCCCGCCGATGAGGAAGAACTGGGCGACGGTGGCAGCACCTTCAATCTGCTCTTTTTTGAGGATCGGATTATGCTTTATCGATGACGCCGCTGCCATGATCATCGACGCCAGATAGCCATTGGAAGTACCAAACATAAGAACGATGATAAGGAACAAAATGTCGGAGTTGATGATGACCGTGCCTAGTGAGGCGGGAGACGAGACACCGTTCACGTTGCAAACCAAAAAGATTGGAATAAATATTGTGCGACAGAATGAAAGTATCGCCAATTTTTGAGGCGACCAGACGAGTAATTGAGGATATGTGCACAAATGACGGCCAAGCCAGTCGCCGACGTTGAAAATGAGGAAATGCAATGAGACAAATAGGGCAGGCTGAGTAAGAACCCAGCCCGTTCCTTGGTTCACGGAGTAAATAGAACTTGTGATGGGAGGGAAAACAGACTGTAAAGGGAGGCTGCTATCAACATCACGATAACGAACATCCAGAAACGACTCACCAAAGTCACAATGAAAACATAAGCAACGGCGACATTGTACACTGCATTCGTCCAAGCCATATCTGATACTTTGACGGTACTCGAGATGTGCACTTGCACATCCTGTGAAATAAAGGGCTGGTTCTCTTCAGGTACTTCTTCCCGTCCAACTACTTCGACAATGGTTCCTTTGCTTTGTTCAAATGTGAGGACAACTGCGTGGTATGACGGTGTCTGCTGCAATGCAGAATGGGCAACTAGTGCCATAGCCATACACAGTGTGGTCACTCCAAAAAACAATGAAGCAGAAAAGGACTGAGATGGCGGGAGGGCCAACGAAGCAATGTCCTTGGACTCATTCTTCGCACTGACTAACACGGAAACAAACTGAATGGCAGAGACAACGACACCCGATGCCGCTATCGATAAGCCTCGGCAATTAAGTGATCCGCAAACCATATGTTTAGGCGTTTAAGCTCACCTTGCCCACTGAAGTGACTCTGAAGCGCACTGGATCCAAACAACGCCGCAATCCCGACGACTGCTGTCTGAAAGTACGAACCAGCAGCGGATTGAATGACGCCATTCAGTATGATGATACTAAAGAATAACCCTCCGGAAAAAGGAAATAGTGGCGAAATGGTAAGAACAACGAGCATCGCAATAACAATAAGGATAGATCTATTGATGCGGATCCTGGATGGAGTAGAGGTAGCATAGAACGTGGCATGAATCATAAATGCAAAATTAGCCAAGGACATTGAAGCGCTTAGATAGGACGGGAACGCGTCCTGGTATGCGGAGTGTTCCAACTTCGAGACGAAATATGTCATTTCATTGATCATCACTAAGACAAAGTGAAGTGCACATGGTCAATTACAAGCCCGGCGCTCAACACTGTTATCGATAGAGGGGATGGAAGACTTGCCATTCCATGGAAGAAGCACACAAATACCAAGAGCAAAAAATATCCATCGTGTGCGGGAAGAGCTGAAAGTCTCATGCCCTGGCCTTCTTGCATGGCTCGGGTTATAATAACAATCGTGCGTTACAACGCTCTCATCGCCAGTAGAAGGCATAGGCTCGAAGGATTCGAAGGCAGCCCCTCTGTAGGCGTGCAGTCAGTCGATGATGAGACGAATCCGATGTTCCACGCAACGGCATCTGCCGTCCCATAAGTGAGGGACCTCAGGTGGAAGTCGCAGCAACAAACACAAGGGGGTGCACGGGCACCACATGGTGAGAAGGCTTGGAGAGTGGGTGGTGGAAGGACATGAGAGTAAGCCTACGTAAAACTCGAGAGAAGCCGAGGAAGTAATCAAAACGATGTCATAAGGAAGGCGTGGGCGTGGATAGCGCCTGCAGGGGTGAAATGAGGAAAGGAAAATATAGCCGTCAATGCCCCTGGGAGTCATTGTGGGATGCCGGTATTCAACTTCGGGTCTCTAGCCTATCAACCCGGCCTATGTAGGGAACTTGACTCGGAGTAGGGTGCAGTAGCTTCGGGTACGATGGGAATATAAGGTGGCGTGGTCGAAACTTCACTGTTCTTCTTTATTCCAAAACACCGCGCCTTGAGCGCTTTGATTCCTCTTTGGTTTGGCGTACTACGCTCCAGATCCCTAACACTTATCTATAAAGTACAGACCTCTTGCCTCCCTCAGTTCACTCAACGTGAAGCTGAGGTGAGACATTATGATTCTCACTGACAATCCAAGTATGGAATATCAACGACTGGTTGGGAGTTGAGAGACCTTTTTGATTGTTTAATCTACTTCACATCATTGCGGCCGACAACGCTTATACCCAATCATTTCAGACTCGCAGTCTTTCACTGATACCACACGCTCTCAATAACTTTTTGTCTTCATCGCCGATTATCACAGGCATTCGCTGTAAGCGATATTGGCTTCAGTCGTATAAGATACGCTGAGCGCCATAATTTTTCCCTCTCCCTCAGTTCTCCATATTGAGACTGAGTCGCGCATCTAGTTAGTAACGTAGATATTCTTTCAGCAATCATATATTGATTTCAAATTGATCTGCGTTGGTTTGGATGATCTCGACATGTTAAATTGCCGGTCTTCCCACACCCATTTGTAAATGTACATGACCACAGATTGAGCTTCTTCCGATCGTCACGGTCGTGGTACAAGGGAGGATCGGACTCATGGCTGCACTCGCGGTAAGTCTTCTCATACAGCTTTCACGCTTCAACAGTGATCATACGGATCGAAGGGCATTGCGGAACCTGTAACAATCAGCTACAACGATCTAATCAACGCTAAAGACACGCTGGTGGATCCGATATCTAGAGCCTTTGGCTCCAACGAGGATGCCTTGGGGATTATAGTGGTCAATCAACTCCCCCCAGAATATCCCTCGCTTAGAGGAAGACTTTTGAAGCTCGCGCATAAATTTGGCTCCTTGGATGAATTAGTCAGAAGCAAGTACTCTGATCCTCTGTCTAACTATAGCTTCGGCTGGTCCTGGGGAAAAGAGATCATGAACGGAGCTCCAGGTAGGCATATTCCGATATGCTTTTACCAGTGCCTCAATGCGAACTGTCTGGGGATATTGCTGCGAATAGACACCCTGAAAGGGTCGTACTATGCAAACATCAGCATCCCAGGGCCAGAAAGTGCAATCAATGAGGACCTGCGCAAAAGTTACAGGTACGAGCGTTGCTCTTCAGCGCATAATGACTAGACTTGGACCCACCTGTGAGTCAAGGGAGTACTATGGGGATAATATCTGGCCGTCTCAAGAACCTGGGCTGGAGGCATTGGAAGAAGCTTTCGTATCTTTGGGCAGGTAGGTGACACCCACAATTGTCACTAGCTGCCCCTGCTAACATCGGACAGATTCATACTCGATATCGGGTGCGACCTTGCCACCGCTTGCCAGCCATTTGGTACCAGGAAGCATTTTTTGCGAACAGTCCTCACTTTCTGACTCTCACTACAGTTTCATCTCAGCTTCGAGACAACTCCGTCACCTTGTCAGAAATGATCAAAACTTCACCGATTACGAAAGCTCGGCTGTTGCATTACTTCCCTCCGCCCAATACCTCGACGACTCCAGACGATGAACCAGTTGATAGTTGGTGTGGCTTCCATAAGGACCATTCTCTGATCACTGGTCTTTGTTCTGCTATGTATTTGTCCAGACCCTCGGACTGCCCGGCTCAGCCGATAATCGTGCCATCCCCAAGTCCATCCTCGGGTTTATATATTAAGACTCGCGGAGGGGACCTTCGCAGAGTCGCTATCCCAGCCGATGCACTTGCTTTCCAGATAGGGGAAGCGCTCGAGTTGGCGACCGATGGCAACCTCCGTGCTACGCCTCACTGCGTGCGGGTGGGGGGAGGATCGAATGCGATTTCACGCGAGACTTTTGCGCTCTTCATGCAACCGGATGTTCGACGTCAGATTTCTACGAAGGAGACGTTCGGAGAGTTCAGTAAGCGAGTGTTTGCTGAGCATTACCAGGGCATCATGTAAAATATAATTAAGTTATAGATGGGTGACAGATTCGCACATGTTGTACAACGACATTACAAATATATCCCGTCTAAGTGGAAAGTAAATTACATATCTTCATCGCTACTGACAATTTCCTTGCTTTTTCTGTTTGTAAGTTGAGCGCGTGCTTGTCCGCAAAAGTGAGGCAGTAACGTACATTTTTTTGCGTTTTGACGTCGGGGCATCACCACCCTCATCCTCTTCTACAACCCGTTTCTTCGGTCGTGACTGAAGATTGCATGCGTCAATACGATGTATATCACCCTGAATGCGATCTCACCTTTTTGGGTTTGCCAGCCCCATCAGTTTGCTCTCCAGCATCCTCCTCGTTCGAAAGAACAGAATCGGGCTCTTCCTCCCCCATCGCTTTCTTTGCTTAATCTTCCTCCTCTTCTTCCCTCTGGATTCGCCGCCTTCATCTCCGCTAAAATTAGCCTCCTGCTTGGCTTTGCGAGCGGCCGCCTTCCTAGCTTTGTCGGCTTTCCGTTCATCTTCCTCTTCACTCTCTTGCTTTTGTCGGACTGCCCATTCTTCGACCTCTTTTCGCTGTGCTGCTCGACGTTCAGCGAGCGCCTTCGCATGCTCTTGGATTTCAAGAAGCTTTTTCGCCTGCTCGGCGTCCTGCCTTTCTTTCAGCTCCTGCCTGGATTTACGGGCCTGATCGAGACGCGCTTGATACTCGGTCTCATGGGCTTTTTGAGCAGTTAGATGCTCTGCACTCCGCCGAAGCATGGTATCACCATACTTGTGTCGTTGCTGAGCAATGTCTTGACTATAAGGTAATGGTCTCGCTGTGTCCGATGCTAATGAAAGGAAAAGCCTGCGAGACCGTAAGGAAGGGCATACTAAATACAAAAATCTGCAAACCCACTTTTGAGCATGTACGGCATGTGCAATCCCGGATTGCAAATCTGCCAGAGTCCGTTTATCTGGTGGCAAAGCAAACATGAGTTCACCTGCTTTCTGCTCAATCATGGCAATGTTGTATAACACAGCCTTATCATATGGTTGTGCATGGTACGCCTGCAGCATGCTCTTCGTGAGAACGGTGCAGAGTTAAAGCATGTCAAGCAGTGCACCTACAGTTTGCGCAAACTTCAATGCCTGACGCATGGCAGCGAAACTGCTGCTTTTGTTGGCTTTGGCAAACCACGTCCTTGCAAGATACATCAGGACAGATACGTTCTGACCTTGATAGTACCGTTGAGAGGCTGTCTCGTACTGAACAAATATTAATATCCTGTCACCAATGGGAAGAAATATGCAAGAGCATCTTACATTTTCGATCGCCTTCTCGTATTCCTCCCGAACAAAATGGCAGTGACCCATGTTAATGTGCACGCTGCCGTCATTCAGAGACTCGCGTACTTTTGCGAGGATGTCTAAGGCTTGGCGAGTATTGCGCAAGGTCCGATTACGAAACTGTATGTCCTCGGTCAGTTGTCCTGGGGTCCAAGCCTCCAAGGAATCTTCTGCAATGATGATCGCAAGTCCTTGGGCGGCAATGGCACAAGAAGGATCGATGCTAAGAGCTTTGATGAAGATATTGGCAGCCTTTTGAAAATTGTCCTTTCGCACAGCGACGGCTTGAGGAGATGGATCCCGACTCTCACGGGCTTCTTGATATGAAAGCCTTCCCGCCGCACACAAGGCATAAACATCGCGACCATCATCCTTGAGCACATTGAATGTGAATCCCTTCGCAGTCTTACTCTGGCCCGTCGCACAAAGAAGGTGAATGTAGAACGCCCGAACTTCAGAGTTTTTGGGATCCGATGTGAGAGCTTGTTTAATGAAAGTGTGGGCCTCGTCATAACGCTTTTCGTCCATGCGCATGATAGCAAGACGGCACTTAGCTAAAACTAATGATTGGATCATGGAAAGATAGCCGAGAGGAGCTACCCACCATCGACATACTCGGGGTGACGTCCAAGAAGCTTATAGTATGCGTCTTGTGCAGCACTTGGATCATCAACGTCCTCGTACACTCGTGCTAGATTATATAGCATGGTAGCGGACGCATTATCTGATTCCGATGTGCCCGTAGCAATAGCAGAGGGGAGAGCCTCCTCGTACAACGTTCGAGCCTCCTCAAAAGAGCCTTCAAGATGCCGGATGACGGCTAGGTTGTTGACGAGGTAAGAAATGGGAATTGCTGAGATACTGGAGTCTGTGCTCTTGATAAATTGAACTGCTTCCATTAGTGACTTGCTTGCTCTCTCCAGACTGTCTTTGCTCCAGAGATTGGCAATTTCGACATGTAGCTCGACGTCTCGGAACACATGCAGAACAGAGTCAAGGGTTCGGTTTGCAAGGAACGGTTGCAGCCGGGCCGGATCATTGAGGGCAGCCGAAATGGTTTCCATGATTTTGGATAATCTATCAAAAAGCTCCTTTGCTCGTGATTTCTCAGCAAGGACCTCTTGATTAGTTATCGCGGGACGTGGGTAAGCTCGCAAAGAGGCAAGAACCGGAAGTGCTTCTAGTGAAGCGATATCCAAGCTATGTTGCTTGACAATACTGTCCAAAGTATGGATAGCAGCCAGGATTTCATCTACTCTGGCAAGTCAAGGGAGCACAAAGAGATGATGCAGTGCCTGTCACCTACCGTTTTGTATTTGCATCTGGGCGACGCCTAAATTTGCCAGCAAATGTTTCGGAGCGCCTTCCACAGCTGAAGCGTAATGTCTTCTTGCATCGTCGAATCGCCCAGAGGCATGAGCGACACGAGCCGTGCGAAGATGACCATCAGTAAACAATGGAAGGGTGTCAGCGAATTGCATGGTACGCTCTGCGAGCCTGAGGGCCTGTAAATCAGAGCAATAAGTATCCTATCTGTCCCACAGTATGTCCAGTCTGACCGTGTTGATGTCGTTCTTGCGAAGGAAAAATTCGCTCAAGGCATTAGCAGCGGCTGCATTATATTTGTTGAGCTTGAAGACGGTTTGGATCCGTGTTAGCCCTGTTTTGTACAATTCCGCACGCTCTTCACTGGATCGAGTCGCTTGTTTGCTGCTGTTGAGGGCATCGAGGCCTAGGAGTAATAGAGCGGGCCAACTGGCAGCATCCTGGCCAATCAAGAAATTCTTACGAGGCTAGGGTCCGCTGCAGAGAAAGCTCACTAGTTCAAGACTTCGTTGCCATGCTGCACGGGCTTTGTCGTGATTATTCAGAGCCCATAGGCACAAACCAATGCCAATGCGTGGATCCGGGGCCACCATTGGATTTAAGGCGAGAACTCTCTGAAAAATCTTCAGGGCCTCCCTATGCTGCCGTCGCGTATAGAATATTCGAGCCTGAAATGAATCAGACGAGCTTTAGCAAGTGTGGAATGGAAAGATGAGACAGCATTTCGCACTTTCCCCAGGAGAGAAGGGATGTTCGAAGGTCGCAAAGCGAGGACTTGCTCAAAGGCGTTCAACGCATCATCAAGTTGCCGGATCGACAGTAGGTAATTCCCTGTTTAAACACATTATGACGATGCTTGACCGAACCGATGAGGAAAGGTAACCCACCTCTAGTAAGATAGATCAGAGACTGAGTTCGCACATCATCCTTCGATACCTCTCGTGCAGCAAGTTCAGCGGCGTGATTCATATGCTGAGCCGTTTGCTGGTGGTAGTGCGATTTCGGTGACGCATTGGCCATAACATCGCCTCCTATATATCATTAACGTGAAGGTCAGTATCCGATTGTACCTAAGGGCTCAGCTTCGAGCCGCTCAACTCACGAGCATCGGAAATGATCATTTTTGGCGCTGTACGTGCTCGTTCAAGTAGTAGGTTGCCTAACAAAGCATGAACTCTCGGTAACGAGGCTTCGTCTCCATTGCTCATAAACCCTTCGAGCGCCGTCATCCAACAGCACATTCAGGAAAATGAAAGTCAGTGCCACTCCATCGGAACAAAAGGAGTTCCAACTCACATTGAACAGCGTTGTTCGCTATGTCCACCGCTACATCCACTAGCCCAAGCCTCCAGTACTCTGTAGCGAGCCTTACCCATGCTTTTACATGACACTGCCCCTCGCGTAACATTTCAACTATCGTCGAGCCCGGCTCAGTGTTTAGATTGTCCAGGTCGATGGTGACGATTTCTCCACTGGCAAAGTGGATATCCAACGGACGCACGGGCTCCGCCATTTCTTTGTATCCCTACTCCCAGCAAGAGCTCTTTGTTTACAAACAGAAGCCACCCAGGTGGATACGATGCCAGCGGCCCTTGCTGAAGGGCTTTGCTTAGGTAAGCAAGATTTCACCGTACAGCCACTTGGTTGGCTTTCATGAAGAATTTCACCCGAACCATTGTCGCCACCATTATCATGATGAATGATTTACACTCACATCCCAGTGGAATTGAACGCAAAGGCCATTCGCCCTGGGGGAATGATGGATGTGTAAGAAATGTCCGTCATGCTTCTCCCTAATTCCGAATTCGGTGTTGAATAGTTGTATGAGTGCTTCATCGACGATGCGAGGGAAAATAACAGAGCCCCAGTCTGCTCGTGGTTCCCCCGGTTTTCCACCTGTATAGACTTGGCTTTACGTGATACAATGTTTCACTATACCCACACCCCATGGGTTATTCATAGCATCAGCGCCTAACATTCTCGTGCGTAACAGGGTCCGACTGCATGCAGTATTTGAAAACATCCCTCCTAAACATCGTCATTGCCGGTGACTGTTCTATATGTGATGTACAACAAACGAAGAGGCAGTAAATAAACAAGCTTGCAAGATCATGGAGAAGACAAGCACGGGGTCCACCCTAACGGCCTACCGAAACTACCAAGTAAAACGGGTAAACCGCAAAATTTACAGAGATGGATCCTTATACATAACCAGCACTCCAAAACTGGGTATGATACAGGTATCCGGAGAATGTTTCGAAGTAAAATACTAGTGGGGATTTCACCAGGGTCAATCCCTGTTGGGTTGCTAGGTTTGCTTCCCGCACATAGTGATCTGAATGTGACGAAGGGGGTATAAAAAAGCATGGACTTGCCAAGGAAACAGGAAGACGAAGCAACGCGGAGGTGAAATCGGCAGGGTGGGGGAAATCAGAATATGAAGCCTGCGTTTTAGAACGCCGGAACGCCAGGATTCGACTCGACAACGAATGCGTTGAAATTATAAGTCGGTACATTGGTTTCTTGATATGTATAATTCTGGCTCTGAACGCTCAGGACCTGCTGACCGTTACGGGTTACTTCCGCAGATAATGGCCCGCCGGGGGCAAGAGGGATGGAAACTTTGTTCAGTCCAGCTGCCATATTAAAGGTCCGCGAATTGCAGGGAGAGGTGGAGAGAACAACAGTGGCTGGATCCTTCAAGAGGACCCAGGCCCAGAGAGAATCCGACACCTACAAGAGTACGCGTTCAATAGCGAGTTGCGGAGTAATCGCCATTTCCTTACCAACTCCCAGTCCCTAGGCTTCCCAACAGGGTCCGAAGAAGTGGCGAGCTTGGAGTGGGGTCGGGCCCATATAACAACCTTATCGTCGAGAGGCGTCGGGTACGCGCCAGTCTTAAAGGCTTGGGCGTAATAGCGTGTTAAGGTCAGCCACGCTGGAAGGGAAAGGGTCAGTCAGAATTTCAAGACCTCGAGATTGGAGTTGAAGGCAACCTTGATGGTCAAAACCATCCACCCAAGCTTCCGAGTTGGGCTGGGCACCTTCAATTGGACCAATGTAGTGTGATTCGCCAAAATCTAAATGCAACTGTAAGTACGAGCCAGGGTACGACAGCGAGAGAGACGAGCCATTCCAGGAGATGATTTGTACAATGGGGATGTGGTCTCGTTTCGTGACCAGGTTTTCCCATCGCTTGGCATACAAATGATCATCAGAGAGGTAAATCCACTGAAATTGTAAAATCAGTGAGCATACATATGCTCAGTATAACAAACAACCCCACATTTTTGTTGTACGAGTTTGCGCCATAATGAGTGTAGAACCAAGGAGACACAGCAGGCATGTAAATTTTTCCATTCTGGGCAGGATCTTGGGTGGTGGGAGGGAGGCCCAGTCCGACAAGGTACTGATCATCACTGGTCATGGAATCGATCGGCTGCGGCAGATCTGTTGAGGGAACATCGGTAGCATGGGCGAGGTTGGAAGGAAGGTCACTGGCTTTGAGATCAATAGGCCATCCGCTGTTCCACTAGGAAGAATAAGTGAGGATCAGAGCTCGAAACATGCCGTCAAATGGCTCACGTTAACCATGCCGTCGAGAATGCCGCCAATGGAGCCAAATTGGGACGGATCTGTGAAGAACGACGGAACAAAAGCAACATTGGCCCCGTTGAAGACGGTACTCCACCCATCGCTTGTGCTGCCGGTACCAAACAGACATGTGTTGCCACTAAAGGTGGAGAATAGGGCCTTTCCATTATACATGAGCTGAGCGGGATGGTTGCTGTATTTGGTAACGTATTGCCGAAGGGCATCAGCGTCAGCGGAGGAGGCACAAGGCATGGCAGTCATGTCGAAAGAAATTAACATCTTGAAGCCTGTTCCAGATTGCTGCGCAGCAGTGTAGGCATCATTCACGCGGGCGGGTTGCCAGGAGTCACTGCCAATGTTGAGAACGAAAGCATCGCTAGGGATATTGTTGAATGAGACGAGTGAAACAAATGCGCAGAGACACCTACATGTGATTGGCTGAGGCCAGCTTGATGTCATTTAACCAGTCATCGAGGGTGTATGGGAAAGCGTTCCCAACCATGAAACTGCATCGACGCGAAGTGGTTTCGGACGTTAGAGGCTTCTGGAACGAGCCAGCCGAGATGAACTCACTGAGTGACGACATATTTGGGGGTAGAATCTCTCTGAGATACAGGGATAGGCAAAGATAAAGCAAGAGGCGTCAAGCCAATGGTGAAAATGATGAAGAGCAAAGCAAACATAGTGGCAAGCGAGTGATTCGATTTAGGACAAGACAAAGAGTATGAGCAGTGTTTAAGTTTGAAAGAAAGATCAAGAGAGCGATGAGCGTAAAGGAAAGACGAGTTCGAATCTAGTGGTAGGTGAGACTGAGACTGGTTGAGAGGGGAACAGTTCACCTTTGGTTTAAACCGTTTAAAAATCATTTTTGTCATGTTGTTCGCCAATAATGTCCGCCATTGTTTGTCTCCAAGTGCGCCTTCCCGGGTAGTGCCGCCCACTCCGCACAAAAGCCACAGATTAGAGATCAACTCAATTTGTTAATTCGGTTCACTCAACAACGGTTGTCAAACAAACAATAATAATCCTCTTTTGTGTGTTGACAACAGAAATAGAATACATAACTGGTGGACGCCGGCAGAACCCGCTACTCGCTTGTTGAAAGAAATTAATTTTCGTTGGTGACGATAACAACGTTAACCCATATATGGATAGAGTCTGCGTATGAACAAACGATACGACTTACGTGTAAGTGTGGCTGTGACATTTCAATACAAATGGTCGAATTTGAAATTGCATTTTCGTCTATGAGCAATGACAAACTGGCTCCTGACATAATACAACAGCCATATCCGATCCAGATTTTGTGGCTCAAACCGCAAGACTGAGCAGAGCAGCCAACAATGACTCCAGGAAGAGGTTGGCCGACTCTCCGACATTGAGCTACGCGTCACCTTCACACCAACACAAAGCCCCTCCCCCAAGAGTAACAGCGAACACTTTTCAGAGTGCATCGATTCCGCCTGGGAAGTCTCAGATATTCACCACAGTTGAGCGAGTCGACCATAAAGGAAATTTACAGATTATTTGGCCCAAGACTCCAGACATCCCCCCCTTTCCAATGCCCTTGAATAAGCTACTACAGCGTGCAATAGCCCAGCGCAATCCAATGTCTCATAGCAGAATTGGCAAAAGCGGATGAGAAGATTGCGCAAATGCAAACACTGCTGCTGACGCGCATAAAACGATGGACACTTCCCCCCTCACCAAAAGACCAAGCAACAAACCGCTCCAGCCAACCCTACCAACTCAAAAAAACCACCCCAGCCGCTGGATCATTGTCACTACCCCATCACTCCCTATCAACAGGCGCAATGTGCGACTGATTCAATCCGACGTGTCAGTGGGCTATTGAAGGAGAAGCAACCCACAGCAAACAAACGGGTCCTTGCCATGATGATAAATCTATCTTGATACCCGCGGCGTCGTGGCAGTGCGGCTGTCGATACACCGTAGCGTACATGAAGGGGACTTTCTATACATGATGTGTGGGTAATCTGGTTGGTATCGTCTGGTGTCAGTGATCTTTGAGTTATGTGGTGTTGTCGTGGTGTTGACAAAAAAAATAGAGAATAAAGAAATCATTCATTGTGTTCATCTGTACCAATAGAGGCTGGTAACCTGCCCATGTTCATCTCGCCCCTCTCTCTTCCTCTCCTCTGCCGTTGCTTCGTTTTGTGCCGTCGTGGTCTCTCGTCTACCCTGCTGTCCGGGTCCCTGGGATCGTGCTCCTCTCCGCGTGGCGGCCGTCGGTCTGGTGTTTGCCACCTCTTCTGGGATTTTTGATGAAGGACGCAAGTCTTTCTATGCCTTTCACTTTTCCTACGAGGGTGTGGAACCTGGTCTGGTTGCCGCGTCCAAGTAGGTGTCTGTGTCTGTACGCTCGGGGGCATTCCGCTAGAATGTGGGTCCTCGTCTGTGTGGGTTTGCCGCTTAGCACTCTTTGTTCTATGCCGAATCGGTGGTAGTATTCATCGATGTGGGCGTGTCCTGTGTGGAATTGTAGGACTCGGCTGAATGTCTTTCTGTCGAGGTTGCTGAAACGTTTGGTGGGTTTTAGTTTCGGTGCGAGTTGGTTTGTGAAGCCTGATCTCGGGGTGTTTACCCGGCAGGCTTCGGCCATCTCTCTCTTGCGTAGGCTTTCTACATATGAGAGGGATTTGAAGTTTGGGCGAGCTGGCCTGAGGCGGCGACGTCTTTGGCTAGTTGGTCTGCTCTCTCGTTGCCCGTATGCCGAGGTGTCCTGGCACCAGTGTAGAGCGATTTTGACGTCTTCGAACTCAGTGAGGATTTTGCAGATTGTCCTTCTGAATTCCCCGGCCGGTTCCTGTGCTTTGTGTGGTTTCCCTGGAAAACGCGATTCAGTGCACCCGTGTTGTCTGCGTATATGACAATGCGCGAGGGTTTAATGGTGACGTTACCGTCATCTAGGGTTCGTCGGATGTTGCCTGCGGCTGTCTCCAGCTCCGCTTCGACGTGTTCGCCCATGACACCTTTCCCTTCGAATATGACCTTGGTGCCACATCCGGTTTTGGTCCTTCTGTCTTCTTTGTATGGGGAGCCGTCCGAGTATACAAAGAGGAGGTCTGGGTCATCTTCGCATTCGGTGGTGAATGCAAGGTGGTCATCGCGGGTGGATGGAGGGTTGGATGCGTTCGGTGATGTCGTGTTCGGATAGGGCTTTCGAGGTGGGGGTTGATCTTCTCTGTCCCTGGGAGGATGTGGTTGGCGATCCGGGTGATGCAGGTGGATAAGCGCTTCCGCGGGTCCGTCTTGTATTTTTTCTGGGGGTTGAACACTGGGAGGGGTGGTGGTGCGGTGGTGCGGGTCCTTGCCATGCTCTCCTCTGCCTGAGGCAACATTGTTCGGAGTAGTCGGTACGCATGCGGAGGACGTAAGTCGGCATCATTGATGCAGCCAGGCCTACTAGATGATTGCTTGGCAGGACAGAGCCCTATACTGCAACACACTTGATGCACTTGATGGTGTATCCATGAAGGCAGCACCAGGAAGTGATCCATACACCCCGGAACAAATTCTCCAAGAAGGATATGGCTCACTCTGGGACCACTTCAGCCCCATCTCACCACCATCTTGGTTGGCCGCCACTGAGAAGCTGCGAACAAACCAAAGAGCATCACTTGTTTTCACATTTGGCAGCTCTGAAAAAGCCCATCAATTCCAGAAAGCCAAGTCATTTTATGTATCTGGAACTCTGGGCTACAGTTCCTGACTACAAAGGCCACTCTCATCATCTGTCGCACCAGTGCAAGCCTGCCACATATGCAGTGATGAAGACCACGACCATCCTGAAGACTGCCCACCGAATTGCATCAACTGCAGCGAGAACCACCGGCATATTGCAAGAAGGCACAGATTCCGTTGGAAGCACAATGAGAAGCAGCCCATAATGTATCCCTTCTTTCTTTTTCCTTTCTTATGTACATGTCACCCCCCTTAACACCACAATATACATCAACTTGACATCACCCATTTTCATTTTCCGTCCTGATCCTACATGTAAACTCCAAGTAGATTACTGTAGGGATAAGACACGATAAGACGCGTCATCACTAGTAACAACAACCTACCTACAAGGCACGCTGTGGGGGAAGGATTTGCAATGCCTCTGAGCCTCACATGTACTTTACCATAACGCATCGGTTCAGGTACTAGAAATCTACATCATCATGAGTGTGTTGTATTAATTGTGTCGAACAATCAAGTAAATATAAGTGTGCGGGCTGCGCATGAATTGACGGAGTGTCCGGAAATGTGCAAAAAAAAGGAACGGTGTGAAAATGCATGAGACAAAGCTGACATGGATTGACTGAACGAGAAGAGATTATTGAATATCGGCGTTGCTGAAACTCGAACGACGTCGTCTCGTTGGTCGAAGGGATGGTCTCCGTGTTTTCGTACCAGTCTCCACGACGTTTGTGTTGGACATCCAAACGTCTTCCTGGGACTTCAACGTCGCTACTGACCCTTCGCTAACTGTCCCAAGGACAACGCCGATGCCCGTTACTGCACTCTGGATCAGTGGAAGTGGCTTACCACCGAATGTCCGTTTACTCGGCACCAGTGTCGGCAAACGGGAATTCCTCATTCCAGGCCCCTTCTCTAAGGAGGCTGCGACATATGCAACGGCAGACGGGAGGGCGGACGGAGGGGACGCAGCGCGGGATAATTTACGCGAGGGTATCTTGGACAGGGTCACGCGAGCCAGTTTAGTTGGGGAATCCGCAGAGGCATTGTGGCCCTTAGATGCAGTCGCAGTTAGCATGCGATTAGTTGGCCGTGGACCAAAATTGAGAGGAGCAATAACAGTAGCTGATCGGGTATGGGACGCTACGCCACCTTTGCGTGGACTAGGATTACCATGTGCCCGCGTCGTGGCACGAGTCACACGTGCAGTGGAGGGAGCAGCATGAACGCGTTTGGCCGGTGATCCCGCTATGGCGGTGGTTGTTTTGACGACAGTCTTCCCCGATGGGCTGGTCGATCGAAGTTGCTTGGTCACAGGTGCAGCACCGCGAGTCGCTGATGCCGAGGGAGTCCGATTCCCTAGAACGCTATGTTGACTGCTAGAGTCGCTAATACAATCCTCTTCTTCATCCTCCAGCATCTCGAGTGCCACGCGCTTGGTAGTAGGGGTCTTCCGCGGTTGACCAGGTGGAAGCAAAGCCTCAACCTCTGCAACAGAATTCATCGAATTTAACGATGGTCTCGATGGGGTAACGGGGACAGCGGGAAGTGGTTTATCATCCAGTGGAGGCGTGATCGTCCTTGGCTCCTCGGTTATCACTGTATTTGCGTGATCTGCCTTCCGAGCTTGATCCAAAGCCGCCCACTTTGCCCAATGCAGCTGTTGCTGATAAAGATATTGCTGAAGAATTTGGACTCATAAGCATCATGGTCATTGCGTAACCTCTAGTGCCAAACCTGTTGAGGACCAACGACGCAACCTGGGCGAGTAATTCTCATAAAAGCGATAGCCTCGTTCGCGGTAAAGTCATACTTGTAAATCAGATAGGCTGTCAAATAGTTAAAAAATATGGTTCCGTGTCGCACATATCCAGCAGCTTCCGGACACACCTCCAATTAGTGTTCCAGTTCGACCAAGTCCGGCTTTGCACTGAAAGAAGCCATAGCATTGGCATATGATGTGGGCACGGAGAAGAATAAATTGGCATACATGGACAGCAACGACCCCCCCTGCTTCATGCACGGCTTCAGAGCGAGAGATAAACTCACGAACAATCTGGTCCGTTGGATTTGTCCCGTCGTCGAAGTAAAGCTCTAGATGCTCCATCCCTCTTTCCTCAAAGGTGACCTTATCATATAGGGGGTTATTCAAACGAATGACGAGCTTGACATTCCGCTCTTCAAAGTAATCCAGACAGTTTTGATAAGGTTGAGGAAGTTTACGGCTGAAAGAGGAAGCAGTCGGGGTAGCTTGGCCAGGTTGCCGCTTCTGTTGCCGAATCCACACGGGATCGTTAGGACTGGCGAATGCAATGAAGCCTGGAGTAATCCAATTCCAATCTCCATTCTCGACCTTCTCGTAGTACTCATATTCTGCAACGTTAAAATCATTCATATTTATCAAACCATTCCGCAAGGCCTTCCAGAAGCCCCACAGACAGTCATGAATACTGGTGGCGAAGTCGGAGCGACCACGTCCGGCGTCGCGGAACGGCATGAATTCGAGCTCAGCAATTGGCTGAAATGCTTCCCAAGGAGAACGGCGGAGGACAATGAGCTACAAGATAAACTAAATTACTCGCATTTTCTCGATAAGGAAAAGTAGCGTACAGTATAAAGAGCCATGAGAAGCGCTGCGTTAGCCTTCTTGCGGGGATCATCAGATGAATACAGCACCAAGCAGCGAGATTGCAGCATCTCATCCTAGGAAGATGATGGGCTTCTTTGGCCGCAAAAAAGACCAATAAATACCTCTAGAAGTTCATGAATGTATATGCATGCACGATACACCATTGCGATGTTTAGGGGACCCCAGTCCTCAAAGAACGATAAATACGTAAGGTCGTCATCAACTGTGAAGTAATGATACTTTGGCGGGGTATCATCGGGTGGTGATGGAGAGGGCTGTACTTGCTTTCGCAGCGGAGGTGGTGATGAGCGGTCCGCGTCGCGGTTTAGGAGCGTGGCTGAAGGTGGAGGACACGGAAATGTTGTGAAATAGAGACTGGACAGAGGAATGTCAGCGGATGATAAATCTTTGGAGCCACCTCGAAGGTATCACCGGTCGGAGAACATGCACAACGGCTCGCATCCGTGGGTGGCCATGTCAGTGTCCAGAAAGTTAGACACAGTTCAAACGCGATAGAGAGTGTTTTATGCTGTCAATCAGCACTGCAGATAATAGATTAGAGTTATACGGCCTCTAGACACTTCGAGTGCGCGCGGCGTGTGAGGAGCACGACTCAGTCGGGTGTTTCGTTCTTGAACACGCGAGGTGGATTCTCCCCATTCAAATGCCGGTCATTTGCGAATGCATCACGTGAGGGGACCACGGCAAAATTTCATTGACAAAAGGGCACGTGAATCAGGAAGCTGTGGCTATGCTGTAAGTTATCAAATAATAATGTCGGAAAATCCCGTATATCGTTTAAACGCCCGGGAACGTTTCATGGCGTTTTTTTACAACAACTATCCAACAGCCGATGAGAATGCATTGATCAGATGTGGTAGTACTTTGTGTGTTATATGAGACGGGTTTTTGACGATTTTGATGCTGCTGGAAGCATTTATGACATATTTATTAAGTTATTAAAAACGTATTCAAGTACATCATAAGCAATTTATCACAACGTTTAGACGCCAAAATTCACGTTTACACGTCAAATTTTGGCGCTTTAAATGTTAAGTCTCGTGTTTTTGATCGATCTCGCGATTTTCCAACCAATTTCCAACAATTCTGACTCAAAGAGCTACTGTAGTCCTCTCGTCTCATGATTCAAGCCGTTGGAATAATGCTAGCGATATGCTGCTTAGTTCCGTAGTACGTGAACTACTGAGGAAAGACATTTTCTCGTTTTATAAGCGAGGCGCTTTGAATCGCGCACAAGCGCATGGTAGTATAGTAAGTTTACCAAGAAAGGTGCACAACGCTGCGAGCTCAACTCCGTGAGTCAGGTCACAGCGGACGTCGATATCCCGATCGGCCGAGAGATTCTACACTTTTAGGAAGATAAGAAACATCCGACAAACGAACATCGGTGTTATGTTTGGCCGTACGGTAAGACCTGATGCTTCGGGCAAATCAGGGTCAGCTTCACTTGCTGCACAGTTCACATGCCACTTTTCCTTAGCTATCTCGGTTTTCGCTGCAAGACTGGACCGGCCAGATTCTGCAGCTATATTTTGACACTGATGGTAGCAAACCTGCAACAGTGTTGAAAAATACAATCTGCAGCGATATTTAATTTCACTTGTATATAGCTCTACTTGCAAATAAAGTGCTTTACTCACTCGCCACGAATATCACAACGCTATACAGATTCGGACCTAGACCTTCACAGGAAGTAAGGCCGTGTGGAAGCCTGACGGTCGTATGCGTGAAGTGTTACATCAACATATGAGCAAGTACAGCTATACATGACTAGTATGCAACAAAGTCCCACCAATGCAATAAGCTATCGAGACATGGAGCCGTATCACAAGGCTCGTTTTTGGAGAAGTTGACGGAAAACAATGAAATAGACACCCCTACGTCGGGAACGTCCCTTGCGACAATTACGAATTCATCACGCCGACACTGACGGCGCATCACCGGCATCCCATGGTACTTTCACAGCCAGCTCTTCAGACTCGAGATGCTGCGTCAAGTGATCGGTCAGGTGTCGCCTACAGCAGCCAATGTTCGAACCATACCTCAAGTAATAACCCGACCACACTGTCCACCTCAGCTACGGGTATCTCACCACAGCCAGCACTGATCAGCTTACGATAATCCGCCATCCGTCCTCCTGTTCCTGCTTCAGCCTGATAATTGACAAATTCCTCCATGTCCTTCTTGAGCTTTCCCCTCGCGCCCTTTATCTCAGTGCGTAGTCTCTCACACTCTTCATGAATCTCAGTCTGGCTTCTGTTTGCGTCAAACGCGTAAGTCGATTCAAGGCGTTGTGCGTCCTCCATCGAGAGTGTATTGACAGCAGAAGCACCCGGTTGTGCAGACGTCGCAATTGCAGAGATGTTAGGCGGGTCTTGACCGTGCATTGCAAGCCACCGCGCTTCTTTTCTTGCTCTTGTCGCAGCCATATATTCCACCCTTCGAGGTACTCCTTCTCGATTTTCGCAAGCAATGCACCTTTTGCTTCCGTCAAGGTCCTTTGTGCCTCGTCCAGACCTGAAGCTCGCTCCTGAAGTGTTTTGATCGTTTTTTGGCTCTCAAGAATTTCGGCTTGAATGTTGTTCAACAACGCATGACCCTGATTGATGTCCCTCTCCTTCTCCGCCAACTCGTTATCGAAGCTATGGGCTAAACTATCCATGAGGGCCACGACATCAGTAAGGCATCTGCCGACAGCTTTTTGAGCTGCAGTTGAATGATGCAATCTGGGGTAAGCAGATTCGGTAAGGCCAGCCGCCTCTCGAAGAGACAAATTCTGGGAGCGCATGACGGGAGAAGATCGGAACCGTTCGTCTTCTAAAATGTAGTCCTCGCATGTCTTGCCATCCTTGTTCGGTATTGTGGGATCTGCCCCATGGTCAATGAGTAATTTCACAAGTCGCTTGCTACGGCATCGGGCAGCTAACGTCAGGGCAGTTTCCCCATCCTCGTCCTGGAAGTTAATGATATCGGCAAGTTCTTGAGGGAAGTCAGCAAGGCGACCGAGAATGGTCTCCAAATAGTAGCGTGCAGCGTGGACTTTAACTCGGCCCATCGTCACGTCAACAATGTGATGGAAGACTGTCCGATTCGAGTGGTCGATGTTGAGCGTAGAGCGATGAAGAATTTCATATAATTCGGGGAATTTCCGGACATCATAATTGTTGTTGAACATGACGCTCCGCATGAGAGCAGTCTGCCCACTCTTATTGGTCCTAAAAACATCTGCACCTGCACTGATAAACAACTTTACAACGCGCGTGCGACCCATAACGCATGCCCAATGGAGAGGTGTATGGCCTTCGTCGTCGATTACCATATTTGGATCGAAGTCGGGGGTGGGTTCAAGAAAAGGTTAGGAATCGTAGGAGTGTCGGATATGAAGTATGTGAGTACGGCATGGCCATACAAGGACGGATCCATCTGCTCGGACTCGGTAACATTACGGACGATGCTCGCAAGACCATTCTCATGCTCAAAAGCTGCGGCGTGCTTCCTCTTGCGGGACCTGCTGGCCCTAGAGGATTGCGGGCCTCCGCTCTCATGATCGGACAGATTATGAAGGGGCCCGATAGGCGAAGGTGTACGAGAGGGAGAAGACAAGCGGGGAGGCGAAGAGGACATTGACCCATCCGCGGATCCCAATGGCGTGGAGGCACGAGAATAGTCTATCGTAAAGATCAGCGAGAATAGCGCCATGCACCATTGCGCGCTCACCTTCGAGATCCTTTCGACGAGGCTTGGTCAAAATAGTTGTGGTGTGTTTTGGCGCGAGCGGCGGACTTGACAATTCAGGTTGAAAATCGACCAGAGGTCTAATAAGGTGCTCCACGTTGAACTGCTTGGCGAGAGACACCCCTCGCTCTAGAGGCACCCAAGTGCCTGGCTATAAATCAGGACAATCGGGCACTCGGTTTGCACTCTACGCCCTGCTCACCCTGATACTTCCCATACCCCCCTTGTACTTTCTCATGCTCTGCCTTCTGCACATCACCTACCGAAATTTTCATCAGTGGATCAGGCTTGGCTCGCTGGAAATGACAGGCATACGTTCCAGTACACGAGTTCTCTGTGGTTTGTCGAAACCCGCAACCTTCAGGATTTGAGTCGCGTTAAGCCACGAGTCGGAGCGACGCCTCATCACGGCAACACCTTTACTTATCCTGTGATTGTGAAATCAGTGCCGATGGATGCTCCAAGACGCGATGCGATACATTTCGTAGACAGGAACACCACTATAGGTCGCCTATAACAGATTAGCTCGTGCTCTTCGCCCAAGTCCATACGTTTGAAATACCTTGAATATTTGAGCGTTAGGGCCTACCATGTCGGGTGCCTCTCGTATTATGAGCGCGAGACCGTCGCGGTGTGGACGCGAGCACGGGGTTAAGACTTAACACCGACAGTCGTGCTATGTATGCCCTCACTGTTACCAAATAGAGGCTGGTAAACTGCTTACACTTCTACGCGCCTCTAGACGCGCACCCAAGTCATCTGCTCTATGTAGCAATATGTTATTACATAGACTGCTAGAATCTAGCACTTAGTTCCCGAATTATATTCAATGTTAATAGTTACCTCGCGCTATACTACTAGGATACATGAAGGTGTTTGTCAAGGAATGAATGAAAGCAATCTCACATCAGTTCCGTTGTGCGTGAACTGAGGGACGTAAATGGAAATTTTTCATGCTATAAGATACCAAGAGAGACGACACTATGCCGCGCAGCGTAGGTTGATGACTACATAGACAAGTTACGAAGTGGAATCCGTTCGCGACTGGGTGTATTTGTGCACACATTCAAAAAAATAACGGAGGTCCTCTGGCTCTACTCCCGGAGTTATTCCATGACCGAGATTGAAGATATGGCCCTTCGATTTCCCATCGACTTGGAAGCCCAGAGCGATCCGTTGGACCTCTCGCGCAATGGCCTCTCGTCCTCCATACAGCGCGTTCGGATCCACGTTACCCTGCAGAGCCACCTTCCCCCCAGACAATAAACGAGCTTCAGAGGGTTCCACCAACCAATCAAGGCCCAATACATCCCAACCACTGGCCTCCGCCAAAAGCTCAATTGAATGGTTTGCGCCTTTGGCAAACAAAATGAACGGGACCTCGGGAACGGCATGATGTTTGAGCCTAGATCGCACCTCCGACGCGATCACTTGGTAAGTTGGGAAGGCGAATTCCATAAAATCATGAGGAGATAGCTCAGCCGCGCAGGTATCGAATAATTGAATAAGCTGTAACCACTGTCAACACGATCCTCAAAGGCCCCTTGCAGAAATGGTGCATACTTGGGCTCCGGCTCTTATCTGGGCGACTAGATAGTCGACGCATACGGATGTAATGCGATCTAAAAGCTTCTTGGTTTCAGATGGATACTTGAAAAGCCAGGTTTTCGCTTTGGTGAAGGTTTTGCTTCCACCGCCTTCAACCATGTATGCCATTAAGGTCCATGGAGCACCGCTAAACCCAATCAACGGGACCTTGCCTTCGAGCCTGTGCCGTGTGAGTTTGACGGCCTCAAACACATAGTTTAGCTCTTTGTAGACGTCCACATGACCAGGAAGCCGATTGAGATGGGAAGGATCAACTAGAGGGTTTGGAATGACTGGCCCATGGCCAGGATCCATGATGACTTCGATACCCATGGCCTGGGGCACCACCAAGATATCGGAGAAGATGATAGCAGCATCCACAAGTCCTGCGTATCTTCGTATTGGTTGCAACGTCACTTCACAGGCCAACTCAGGAGTTCGGCAAATTTCGAAGAATTCATGATCCCTTCTGACATCTCGGAATTCTGGACATGGATTAGGCTAAGCACCATGTTCGATGCAGCCGATTCACACACCAGGAAGATAGCGCCCAGCTTGACGCATGACCCATACAGGTGCTCGCTCAGTCACTTCCCCTTCACTCCATCCATGAGCGATGCGCTGGGATCGCGAGAGAGACGACTCACCTCGCGCTGCGCGCAGAATAAGATCATTCTGAAGCTTTGGAAAATCCTCCATCAATTGTCACGAAGTAAATAGATCACAACAACTCGGAAACTACGGCTACAAGAATCCACATGGTCAAGTCTCAGCAAACAACTCTTTCTGGACTCGTTCCAAATCCTCCACCGTGTCGCTTTTCTGAGCTCTGACGGTGTCTTGCATCAGGATTGTCGGGGACTCCTTCGCAACATCCTGTTTGGGCAGCTCTTCGTGTTGCTCAAGACTTGCCGTGGTTTTGGTAGTCGGTCGGACATCCTCTGTGGTTTCCAGATCTTCAGGCACAGGAGGTAGGAAGACGGGATTATCTGCGGCAGCGACAGCGGTGCCACCTCCCTCAACCGCCGAGGATGGAGATTGTTGAATATATCCCTGCGCAGGTTTGGATTCGACGTCACTACGTATCTGCTCCGCAATCTTTTGTTCAAAGACATTATAGCCCGGAACAGCTCCTACATGAACACCTTCAGTTGTCTGTGCGGGCGCGTGAACCGCAACTATCCCTCCAACTTCATTCTGAGCATCAGGATCTTTGCCGACAATTGGAGCCCCTCCCCCCGCAGTTGCGAGTGGAGCATTGATAGCCGTGGGAGTGATGGGGACTAGATTTTGGTACTGAGAATACTGGCAAAATAGACGTTAGCATTTAGAACAATCAGGTAAATTGTCCCCCGTACGTTGTCATAATACTCCGAGCTACATGCAAGACGCAAAGTCAAAAGATGCATCTTCGAGTGACAGTATTGATCTCACCATGAGAAGTCCCAGTCTTTGATCCATTTCGCTGATTCGCATTGTCCCCTTGTCCACACGTTCCCGTATATAAGCGAACTGAAGTGGAAGAAATTATACATTACTAGTAGGATGAGGACGAGTCCCACTTGCAAACGAACTCGTGATCGTAATGTGCCAAAAAAGAAATCGAAAAGAGCAGCGGTGAGCATGATAGCAAAGTATAGAGACGGGAAATAATGATGCAGAAAAAGCTGGCGTTGCATCAAATAGAAGGGGAGATAATGCAATGCCCATCCTATGGCAAGGAAGCCGCACAATGAGTCGTATTTATTAATTCGACCTTGTAGAGATCTGATTAATGACGGCTCGACGCAATCGGAAATCACTTACTATTTGTGAAATCCTGAAATCCACGTTTCTGGCGAAGGACAAGGACGACACGGGCCACAGCGTAAACGGCCACCGACGAAGTGCTGAGCCACCAAACAAATGGATTGCCAAGGAGGTAGATGTGGCGGTGGTCCTTGACCCAAAAGTTCTGCAATAAACGTAATTCAAATAGAGTCGATTAGATCATTAGCGTTACAACATACAATCCCTCGCTGAAGGAATGGCCAAGAATATGGGCGAGAATCGTACACGTGCTTGTCAGTCAGTCCGGCATTCGTCGTCCACATAACTTGCTGCAGCTCCCAAAACTTGGCAAAGAACCCGGGGATTCGTAGTTCGCCTTTTCGTTCATCGATCCAACTATTTCAAAGGTGAATGAGCATGCTTAACCGTTACCATCCCAGCATAACTCACACTGTGGGTGGGTGCTCGTTTCAATGAACCACAACGAATTGGGTTTCACCGCGTTCGTGTTACAGGTCACCTCTTGTTGTTCGAATCCCCACTCAGGGAGCCTCACTTTATGAGAGAATAGATAGCAGCCGGTTAGAACATGACGCAGCCTGAACGTAGTGTGCAAGGAGCGCAACCGCGTTCCAGACTCGCGATCTCTCCCGTCACCGTACTCGATCTCCACTGCCCAATTGTCATTAGCGTCGCCACTGAAGCCAGCGAATCCGTAACCAGAAACCTCGTTCTGGAAATCAACGTCGGATACAGGAGGTCTCAGGCTGTGTGAATGAAGTCTCTTCTTTGTTGTAACATGCTCCAGACGAACAACATCCCCATTCTTGATGAACTGAAGAGACTCTAAATCATAATTGTGGTCAGGTTGACCCTCTTCGTAGGGGTGAGTTATCTGCCAGAGATTATTCTCGTCCTGATGCGGATACAGTGTAATCTGCTGCTCTGAGGGTATAATGAGCATGCGGATTTGGCCTGTAAGTTGATAACATACGGTGGCTTCCTCCAGGGTAAGCATGATCATGGGAGTGGAGATAGCCGCCCTGGTATTGAGATGGCGCATTGAGATTGCCGACCCAAAGGCAACATCTAAAGTTGAGGTGAGCCGGCTCACTGCACTGTGGAACCCAAAAAAATCGCACCAGCATATGTATCGCTCATTCCTCGCCCGCTTAATGTATGCTGAAATGGCGCACTCATGAAGCCATCCCCGTCCCCCGAACTTTGCAAGATTTGGAAATGAATGGCAAACATTGCCATGTAGAAGAAAATTGGGAGGACTATGAGACATAAGGCGCGGGCTAGGAAATGCTTGATGAACATGCGAGGGGTGACACGAAGATCCCCAAGTAGGTACCATAGTTGAATTATGGTAGCTACCCCACAGTGGCGATAGTAAAAAGTCCAACCCACTTGACACTGACAACAGCACCGAGCGATAGACCAGTGAGTGTGAGCCACAGCCACCATTCCTCAGTGAAAGCATGACTATGTTCACGGTCCTCGTTTGTAAATGAGACCCAGCAAAAGACGGCAAGGGCAGTGAAAAAGACCAGAGGTGAGTCCAAAAGAATGTGCCTTGACTGAGTGATGAAGCCATTCTCGAAGAGAATAAACAGGGAGCCAACGAGTGCTGTCGTTACCCCGCATCTGAGCTGTCTAAGCGTAAGGTAAGCCAGCGGTACGACACCGACGCCTAGCAGGGCCGGGAGCATCCTCATGCTTGTATAAGGAACATTGTCTGGGTACACTCTGTCGAAAAAACTTAGCCAGAGTTGATGACAGGCAAAGCGACTGCTCACTTTCCAATCTCCTTAAAATCAAACGATCCGTCATAACCTCTAATGAAAGCAACTAGTGTAATAAGGAGCTTGGCTAAGGGTGGGTGGACATCAACGAAGTATTGTGTCATAATATACTTTGACGCAAATTTTCCAAAGTGAACTTCATCGAAGCTAACGAAACTAGTATGAGATGCGGATGAATAGGAAATATGGAAGTACTGACACAACACTGTTGGGTTGCGAGAGACGGAACAAACGAATACCAAAAGCAAGGAGAGTTATGACAATAAGAAGGTTCCATTCCACATTGTTGATTTTTAGCGCCTCGGGGAAGTGGTGTTTCCGAATGTCTCCGCTGATAGCGGTGGCACGTTTCTCGTCTGCATCCAAGTAGCCTTGGGAGCGGGGGAATCGTTGTGGGGCGGGTGACGGTGGATGACGAGATTGTAGCATTACAGGACGTACCCAATTGAGGACGAATAGTAATGGGAAGGAATTTTTCGCACCACAGAACCAAGCAAATGCAATAACTTTTTGTGAAGCTGAGGTGGATTGTGTGAGCGTTGGCTATCGCGCTTCACGGAATCAAAAGCGCATTGCCAAATTCAATCTTCCTGATCTGTGCAACTTCCCGCGCCTAGTCTGGCGTTGCTTCGAGCCAACGACCCGCTTCGAATTACCTTTGGAATGACTCTTTAAACTTTATAGATTGAATTTGGTACAAACGAACTCCGTCGTTAGGCCCTTTCTCGTCTCCCTCGACGTGCAACCGGAATGGGAACGGACGTTTCTTTTTCAGCCCGAAGCGCCGCCGACAAACGGAGTCTCTCGTTTCTTGGTCCTCAGTCCTTTCAGGCTTTCTCCTTATGACCAAGTACCATTGATGAGTACAAGCTATGTTACAAAAGTGAAGGTTACGTGCCATGACCAGTTTCCGCAAAGCGACGTTTAAGGCATGAACATCTTGACTTAAATCTGAAGCCAACACGCGATTCATGCCCATATCCCGTCGCGACGACTCGATAGACTCTACCACAGTGCTAGCATGTAGGATGCGCACAAAGCCGCTTGCAGAGCCGTGAAGGACTGCAGTCTCATGACAGTGTTTAACCAGAGTGGTTATTTGGCTTGTCTTATCATGGATAAAGCACTAGATTCCCGACTTTAAAGTAATGGGGAAATGCACATCGTAAACAGTAAGTTAAGCAACCTACTACTTGCCCAACACTCATGCTCTCAGGCGCGGCGCACCCCTAGGAGGTCAGTTTTCTAGGAATGATTCTGGAGGGGCGCTGGCGCCTCTGAAATTGGATCGGGGGGACGCTGGTAATGAGATGCTCAGTGCACTTTCAACCCCGGCAGCTGCTACGGTGCTTGCTATACCTGCTACTTGGGCGGCGGGATGCAACGCTTCACATCACCTCCTTGCTTTTGATATGGCGCTTGTAACATTGGCTTGAATACCTAAACACTGTCTCATGAATGTTGCCATTATTCAGTTCGTCCTAGGGGAAGACCAGGGTTGTGCCTAAGTACCGTCAGGCACCCGCTCTTTCATTTGTCCTCGCAATTCAATGACATTTTCCGGAACGTCAGTACTGAGTGTAATGCGGATGCTGGCCACGTGCAAGATTTGGAAGTTGTCCAGCGCTGTTGTGACCGGCCCAATGAATGACGAAATGAATGGCTGCCGGGGTCAAGAGAACAGTTACTGGCGGCACGACACCAGTGCATTGGCGTGGTTAGACACCTCTTCTCGATAATCACGTTTTGTGCTAATTTCCTGTAGTTGAATCTCCCTGTGACCTCAACATCTTGTGGTTGGCAGCCGGAACGAGCGTCTAACCCGTTTTGCTCGAACTCGACGCGATTCAAATGCCCCATCTATACAAAGACTTGTCACTCACTCTCCTTGAGAATCTGATCATGGCTCGAATAGCTGTAAGTAGCTCATTGCAATATGTACTATGGCTGAATTGGATCACTGCGCAGTGGACGTGATCGACGACCATAATTAACCTCAAGTGCCCTCGCGTTTCCTTGGGGTAGATCGCAAAATCGTGTCGACCCTAAGACGAACTAATCAGTATGTGCCCACAGCACGAACACAAAACATGCTTGCCTGATGATCATCTCCGCAGCCTCACTGGCGCTCAGGACGACTTGCCTCTTCAGTTTGTAACTTTCAGTTACCCCTAATTCCTTCATCGATGCAATTGTCCCGAGGGCCACATCTAGAGAGGATATCAACCCAAGTAGGAGTTCCACCGAAAAAAATGCATGCCTAAGCCATAGTCTGATTTACCCTCATAGTGTGCTGCCCGCAATCTTGAAACTAGGTCTGAGGAATCATAGCCAGCATTGTCAGCCAATATGATGGGAATCTGGGGGAGCCACGTTAGTGCATGCAGGGATATCCTATAGAGATAGGCGGGTATACCTGTCGCAATGCTTGTACGAAGCTCTCCACAGCAAGTTGTTTTTTCCCAGACACTTTGCGGGCCGCCTCTTCCACTGCCTTACTCATCAGCATTTCTGAGCATCCGCCCCCAAGAACAACACGCGTCTCTTTGACTGTCTGTGAAAGAACGGACAAAGCATCGTGCAAAGACCGCTCTGCTTCATCTAGCATCTGGTTTGTTGAACCCCGCAATACCACCGTACATGCTTGCCCGGCAGCCACACCTGAGAACTTGATAAGCTAAGAGCATGCGATCATGCGTGAACACTCAAATTAAGTTTCTTTACGCACACTACGTTACCTTGTCTTCACCAATCATGATCTCTTCAATTAAATCACAGTGGCCCAGCTTCACAAGATCCGGTCTATCAAACGTCCCAGCGATCTCGCCACCTGTGACGAGAGAAAGACGCTCAACTCCTTCGAAGTCCGCGTGTTCTATGCTCAGTATACCCTTCTCAGCAAAGAGTGACTCGGGATAATTATAGATTAATTGTCGGTTAACAAAGCAGTTGATGCCATGGGCCGCGATTGCATCGACCTTAGCCTTCATTTTTTCCTGGAGAAACTGAGTTAGCATGCATCAGCCAAGAGTGGATTGCACACACCCGCTCCGCTCTTTCCAGATCTGCGAGTTTACCGGTGCTGTCCACTTTCACTCGAGCACCAAATATCTTTATCTTATCCGTATCCATGGCTGGTACAAATAATGAGGCTACACCTCAAGACATTCTGGGAACACTCACATGTATTGGCAATCAGGATTTTTGCATTTTCCATCCGTTTCGGACAACTTGTTCCAATTTGTTTGTCAAGAATGAAGCCTGCAGATTGTTAAGAGCAAATGGAAAATCCGTGCATCGTATTCCGCACCTTCATCTAGGTATGAGTCTGTCAACTTCCCCCCGACTTTCTTGATGACTTGGATATGATCCAAATCTGTTGAACCCTGCGTTCGAGGATTGTAAGGCGAGAAATCACACGAGCATACAGCACTTACACGGAGCCGAAGTACGGCATCAACAGCGAGGTTAGCGAAGTAATCCTTATCCTGCGCCAAGACCTTCGACGACAGTGTTGTCCGCGCGATGTTGAACAAATCTTCTCGAAATCTCACTGGATCCGGACTGTTCGATCGCCGTCTAAATATTTATACAAGTTTTGATGGACGAAACTAACCCATGATCCTTTGCGGATGCTTTCAGCGCATCCAGTGAAACCGCAGTGCCAATCCGAAACCCTTCTACAATTGTTTGAGGGTGTATCTTCGAAGCAACGAGCTTTTCAGCTTCGCGGAGCAGCTCTGCAGCTAGTACGCAGACGCTGGTTGTTCCATCTCCGACTTCATCATCCTGCACCTTCGATATATTGACAAGAATTTTGGCTGCGGCATTATCCAGTTGTATTGACTTCAAGATCGTTGCGCCGTCGTTTGTGATATTAACTTCGCCGGTTGAGGCAGATTGTAGTATCTTGTTCATGCCTTTGGGGCCTAGTGTTGACTTCACCAGGTCCCCGAGAGCGAGAGCCCCCACGAAGCTTGAGAGACGTGCAGACTCAGCGCGCTCCTCTGCGAAAACGATTAAAATTAAAACATCAATTGTTCCTGAAATCTCACCAGTGGCCTGCGAGAAATAAGGCATGTGTTATGTCACCCGAATAATTGATGACGTTGAACTACTTACTTCCTCGCTGAAGATACTCGCAGACATCTGCAATCGTTATGCAATCGTGTTCTGAAGAAACTCACTGGAATCACGAGACGTGAACTGGTGAACTCGGCTCCGTCTACTAGTATAGGGCGGCATGTCATGGAATCCCGCTCACTGTCAGCACAGCAAATCGTAGACGAGTTCAGGCGCTCGGGTAAGTTTGACAAGCTTAGGAAGGATGCTATGGATGCTTTCATCAACAGTGTGACGTTGGTTTCTTGTCATTCATGGTATTCAGGCTGACCGGCAATTCAGGAAACCAACTCAGTTCTGATGGATGAAGTGGACACTATTGCACTGGAAGCGCTCGCCAAGATGCAATTTCTTGCGCCGGGGAAAATTGGCACTGAAAACATCCTTTCCAACATCATGAATAACCTCGAAAGGTAGGATCAAAGAGCCTCCCTCCAGTGTTCTTGGATGGCCTTACTTGGTAGATTTCCCCACATCGACCGGGCTATGGACGAAGCCTCCGAGAATTTCGAAGAAGCAGACTTTATCTCTGGGATTGATGACGCTATTCAGCGTATTCTCCAGTCTGACGCCTTGGAGGATCCAAGGGATGAGTCGGAGGATGAGAACTCTTCATTTTCGGGGTCAATTATTGATACGGATGCGTTGAACGTACAAATTTCTCAAGGTGGCGGGGGCGCGCAGGCTGAGATGGTACCCTCTGAAGCAGGACATGCTTCAGAGCAAGTGACCTGTGCAGAAAATAGGTTCGCCTCAACGGCAGAACAACGACCTGGCTCAGGTGAGCACGCAAAGGACTGTGCTGTGATACGGATGCAGTTATACCTTTCCCATTAGGTGAAATCCAGCTGGACAAACATAATGAAGAGCTGGCTATAAGAGTGGCTGCGATGACCTGCCCTTGATTAGGACACAACAAGACTCTCCACTTCCATCGGAATTAGCAGTCGCAGGTCCGTTACGTACTGCAGTGCGCTGGCTTCGTGCCTTTCAGCTCTCACTTATGACCTCTGTCTGCGTCCATCAGAGACCCTGGTAGCAATGACAGCAAGCTATGCCACGAACGGCGTCTCTCCGCCTCACTCGAATCCATAAAAATTATTAGACATTGATTTCAAGCATTGTGTATACGACCCAGACTGAACCTCTTGTTCTTCAGCTCAGAAGGTGCATGCACTCGCACTCCTGGGCCGTTGTCAAAACTCAGACGAATAAGGTACCACTTGAGGGACTGTAATACGGCCAGCTCTGGGCAGGCCCTGGACTCCGGATGAAGTCACTGCTTCTGCCAGTATGGAGTAAAATCAAGCAATCCTTGACAAGCACCCTCCACGTCCACTATTTCCTTTGGCGCATTCACGGTTAGTACCTCGCTATGCTCCTAGATAAATCAAGCCAGTGAACGGGAGCTTCAAAGATCCTCGCATCGTGATTTCTATTATTCACCTGGTGAACAAGTACCTCATCCTGGAAGACAGATTCACCGAACAGATTCGTCATCGGAACAAGCCACTAACCTCTAGTCGGATTCCAATGTTGTGAAAGTGCTTCGGGTATGCTGGATCTGGTGGGACATACACCCCTGTTACAACCCGTCAAGGATCCAATGTACTCCATAAAGCTGGGCTGGAATACCTGGTTCGATGGTAATTACCATGCCTGCCATCAGGCTGGAGGTATTTTGTATCAAGAGATACAGGGCCAGATGGTCGGTACTCACGGTTGACTTCGCCGATCCACATTCGACTCGTGCAAGTCTTTGTCTGGGCATGAGTTTGGGGGTAAAGACTGAGCGCAAACATGACAAACCCATTCCGATAGGATGACTCAGGAAATGTGGATATAACCTATCCACGTCTCGAAGAGATATTTTGAACCCAATGTTCCTCAGCTCCGTGTATAGCACTTCCCTACTTGCTTGGTGCAAAGAGCTCAGTGTGTGGCCTGATGTGGCTGTCGCAAAGGGTGTGATTTGTTTCAATGTATTTAGTACTGCCTAAAGTAAATATGATGGATTAACCCTCCTGAATTTGGTGGAGGCTGTCGCGAATTACTTGGTACAGCTCCTTTTGTTGAGGTGTAAATGTCCCTGACACCGGCCATGTGCGGGCTAATAATTATTATCCCCAATGCGGGTTCATGGAGGAAGAAAGCACTCACTTATGTCAGAGGCATAACCACTTCGTTATTTGCCGAATCGAGGCAGGTGTCAGCGGACGATGTACTGCAGGATTTAAACTGTTGATACCTAAATTCGCACCCAGCATCCATTAGGACAAGATCCCCTGGTAATAGTATTTGATCGTTGGATGTGTAATGTATCACAAGGGCGTTTGCGCCGGATGCTACGACGGGTACATACGCGGGTCGCTCAGACCCTTTTAAAGCACAGAGGTATTCGAAGTGGGCAGCCAGGGCCGATTCAGAGAGATCAGCAGCCGTAAAACGCATTGTCTGATCATGAATATTAAGTATCACCATTAGACTGTTCACAGTCTTATCACCTTAGCGTGAGCACTACCACTTATCGATGCTGCATTTCGCATCAGCTCCAGTTCAGCTTTGCTTTTTATTCGTCGAAGCTCGTGGAGTTCATGGGAAAGGGATTTGACTTTAGATGCGGGTAGGAAATCAATGGGTGGCTGAAAAGAGGATTCCGTTAGATAGCGCAAGAATGATCTACGCCGCGCGGAAATCTTTTTGGGAACATCGATGTAGATAAAGGAGGCAGACGAGGAAATGGATTTGAGGTGTGATGGGAAGTACTCTATGTCGCGAGAGTCATCGGCCCCAAATAACGACGCAGCTGACTCTACACCTGTGAGGGGGCCATCCCAGAGTTCCTTTTTGGGATCACGTTCGCGAAGAAACAGGCTCATGTGGTAGCCTCGACCACTGGTGCGTTTTTCTGACAAGTCCGCGTCGGAAACATAGAAGCAGACATCAGATAGGAGAACATTAGACACTCACCTAGTATCACTGCTGACTCCGGTTCCAGCAATCCGGTTAAGTATAAAAAGTCCGATGATTGACGGAACTTGTAGCTGGCCAATCACTTCACAAATTGAGCCATGCAACTCGAAGGGAATTCTTACAAGATGTCTAAAGATATAATTTGGCATTAACCTTTCCCCGGGCTCAGGGAGCATTGTACCAACTTTGAGAGGCAAATTTAACACCAGCGGCCACTGAGACGACAACGCTATTATCTGGGAGCCCATCCATAAGGGAAGCTCTCCGACTCTCATACTCCTGCGTGCTAATTCCCGGAGTTATCTCATTTGGCTTCAGAAGGTGGGGATGGGCTGTCCATATCGCGGGTCAACTGAGTAAAAATCCCGGAGGTGTTTTACTCACTGAAAGCCGTTGGCTGCCCATAGCGTCGGGGAGTATTGAGAGACATCAGGTGCATAGACCGACACAACGGCATGGTGGCACAGCTTAAGAAAGCGCGTCGCCGCACCACTGGAGAGATGTGGAAGCTCATCAACTGAATACAGCTGAAATAAGGAAAGCAATTCGGCCAACTCCGCACCCCAATATGGATAAATATCACCTGACCTGAATCATGAGCTCTAAACCCTTGGGCGCCTTCGATGTTGCCATCGTAGGCACGGGCTTGTCCCAGTCAATCCTAGCCGCGTAAGGTCCTCCCTTTCCCCCATGTCAGTCTTCTTATCCTGCACAGTGCCCTTTCCAAATCGGGTTACAAAGTGCTGCATTTGGACCCTAATCAATATTATGGCTCTTATCATGCCAGCCTAACCCTCGATGAGCTTGTTATGTTCTCCGAAAATTACACACCACAGCAGAGCAGTCATCCGAGGTACTCAGAAATACAGTATGATTTCCCGCAAACAAGCGAGCCATCTTCAGAACTCAGCAAGATGTCCCGACACTTCTCCATATCGTTGTCACCGTCCTTAATACCTTCGAAGGGCGCGATGATAGATTCTCTCATTGGTTCAGGGGTCTCCAGATATGGTGGTTTTAACCTTTTACAGGGCATCGGTATGTATGTTGAAGAAGGGGAAACCGGGTACTTTCGTCCGGTCCCAGCTAGCAAAGAAGATATATTCAAAGACAAGAGTATGTCACGCGTAGAGAAACTGAAGCTCATGAAGTTCCTGCGTTACATTGTATCCGATGAAGGCAAACTTGAGCGTTCGTTTGGCTAAAAGCGTTCACAGCTGCATGCTTACCATTTGATCAACTCTTCCCAGCGCGAGATGAAATCACGATAAAGGAACTTATTTCGGGCGATTTTGGGCTTCCACCTTTTATGGCCTCAGCTGTGATCTATGCTCTGGCATTTTCTTCATCGGGGAATGGTGAGTGACTCAGTTTCAGTGCGGGTTGGTACTGGATTGTCCGTTCTCTTAGAGTCCTCGGCGGCCGCTTTGTCGCGAATCCAACACTATATGCTATCGTCCGGCCGCTATGGAAATTCCCCATTTTTGGTGGGCCATTATGGCGGGTTGGGAGAAGTTGCACAAGGATTTTGCAGGTAAGGGGAGTTCGGTGTGCGTCAAGATGATACGATCCCAAAAGCCTACTAGGGCGTCAGCAGTCTACGGAGGAGTATATATCCTGGGCAGGCAAATGGAATCAATCAATTTCACTGAAAAGGGTAGTCCATCAAGCCGTTACAGGATATGTGTGAACGATGTGCCAGACATCTTGGAGGCTAGAACCATTGTTTTCCCCTCATCTGGAATTGCTTCGGTTTCATCCATTCTATCGGGGCTGAAGCCCACCGTGACGGAACAAGAGACGCGATTAGCCCGGTGCATCGCAATCCTAGACTTTCAAATTGTATTTGAACCGGCAAACCAGCCGCCGGCAGATACGTTCACTATCGTCTTCCCCCCACATATGGTTGGAAGGCATGAGAAGGCAGTGGTTGCATTGGTAACTGGCGAAGGAACACTGTCGTGTCCGAGTGGTTATTGTACGCATTGTCCGTGTGCAGAAATCCCCACTCTCACTTCTGGGTCCTGTAGATATCTCTTATCTGGTAACCGAGGTCGAAGAGGATGGCGTCAACAGGACGGCGGAGACCATACTGCGACCGTACCTCTCATCCCTTCTGTCAAAGGCTACCACCGACGCCTCCAGACAATCCCCAAAGGAGCCTCTGTTCGAATTATTCTATATCGAGATGTCGCCCACACAATCAAAATTTCAGCCGCCCCCGGTGCAAGGTGCATATCTGATCGACGACAGCTCTCCTTCTGTAGCATCATTCACCGAGTGTGCCGATCATTGTGCAAGAGAAGCCGAGAGGGTTTTCTGGGAGGTGGTAAAGTTTGTAGAATCTGACTCAGGCACCGAAACACAGGAACGTATCGCAGCGCCTAAAGCTTTCTGGCCCATTTCACATTTGGGAGATGGAAGTGAGGCTGAAGGCAGCGAAGGCTTCTGACCCATGTAATTGAAGCTATAATGTAGGCTGGTTCGTCTCGGTAGAGAAAAACACCACTTCAAACATAGTTCCAAGTGGAAATTCTACTATAAACATAGGCAGGTGACCAGCCTCCTACATTTTTCAAGTTCCTGAGGATTTGGCAGAACGAACAATTTGTTCGGAAGCCCAAATGAAGGAAACGTTATTTGATGACGCGCCTGCAGTTTCAGTCAATGAGCATCTGATGTACTTGTTGAATGTTTCGGAGCGTTCATAAATTGCCATTTTCTCATGATAAACTGCCGTGCAATCAGTATCCCTGGCTTCTTTGGGGCGTTTACTTTCTTAATCAGGAAGGTATGAGGATATCTTCATCCCCAAGGACAGTTTGGTACATTGGTAGAGTGCTCATTTGCAGTCCGGTTTAGATGTTGTGCGGATCGGTGTTGCGTGATGAAGCTCCTCGGAAGCAGAAGTGTGGCGTCAAAAATAACCTAAAGTGGGTGACAAAAAAGACTATGTGGCTGTGTAATTGCTATTATATTGCCAGCGAAATTGAGCCTTCGGAGAAGGACAGACGTTTGAGCACGATACACGCGACGTTGCTGCTTCGTATCCTTAGCCCTGTTGTCCGGAGCCCTCGCCTATAATGGCGGACTACGACTACGAGGAAGGCGCTTTCATGGCGCTTTATTTTCTACTTACGTTTCTTGTAATCATCCTCATACCATTGACGTGGTCCCTGATACCCACTCTAAGTGAGCGTGGCCCACCCTTCCGATCTTTGATGGACTTACCTTATTACGCGTTGGTGGACCAGGAACTGAGGAAATTGAGAGCTGTGAATGCTCCCAATGTTCGGACAAGCACCGACGGAGAGCAGCAACTAGAACAGTGTCCCTCTTCAGGATTGGTATTAGGTCAGTCCTCCCGTCTGCATGATGGTACAATTCCATGGCTTTCTCCATACTAATGTCTCCTTTTTTCTCATAGAGGCATCATTGCGAGCATCCTGTGGCTCATATTCATCGCCATTGCATACAAGCTTGCAACAACGACGACTGAGTCAAAAATTTACGATCCATTTGCGATACTGGGACTTGCCCCAGTGAGTTAGTCTCGTTTATTCTCATCCTTGCTATACTGAGGCCTTTGTGTGCTAGACGGAGGACGCGAAAATCATCAAGAAGCATTACAAGCGCTTATCTCTCAAATTGTGCGTTAAATTCTTCAGGCGCTATGGAACAGACTTTTAGGCGTTCTTTCAGCCATCCCGACAAAGTTAAGCTAGCCATCAACCAAACAATGGAGGACGTATCGGCTCGCTTTGTAAACATTACCAAGGCGTACAAGGCCCTCACTGATGAAACTGTGCGGGAGAACCTTCGCCTGTACGGAAACCCTGATGGGAAGCAAGATTTCAAAGTTGGAATCGCTCTCCCTCCTTGGATCATTGAATCTTCCAATAATGCTTACGTTCTTGGGGTATACGGGCTTCTCATTGGAGGTCTTTTGCCTTATTTTGTTGGGAAATGGTGGTTCAGTTCAAGGCAGCTGACTAAGGATGGCGTCAAAGGGCGTACTGCTGAGATATTTTTTAAAAACATCAAGGAGGAAGATACAGTTGAGAATCTCCTTCACACTCTTGCGTTGGGCTGGGAGGTTGAGCGGCATAAAGCCTCGTCATCCCCTTCAGAGGAGAAGCGGTTGGAAGAGGAGATCTTGAAAATTCTGAAGGATAAACGTTCGGCAGTAATAAAGGTGTGGAGTACCTCCGGTCATCCGGCACAGCTGACCCGGCTCCCGTCCAGGCTACCACGGGATCCACTAGGACGGCACTCGTACTACTCTACGCACACCTTCTTAGACTTCATATCCGTGACAAGAATTTGTCGAAAGGTAAATTGTCCACTGTTTATAAAGGAAGCATCGGTTTACATCAGCGAAAACGCAGAACAAACAGCTCTTCTGCTGCGTCTCCCCCAATTTCTGTCGTCCATCCTTGCCATCACTCTCGCCCACAATTGGCTAGCAACTGCTCTCCATGTGATGCACCTTCATGCATATCTAGTCCAAGCCCTTTTACCACCTGATGACCCCCGCTTGCAGTTTCCCGAATTGCAACGCGCAGATCTCTTAAGGCACAAAGCACTTGACGCTGGAAGCTTATTCGATGCGCTCGAGGCCAAGGGCGATAAACGCATCACATCGATAAGACGTTCTGCCAAGGCACTTGGTGTTCTCAATGTGTTAGATGCCCATTTTAAAGGTGAGCAGCTTGCCGAGTGGGTTGTGTTGTTGCATTATCAGCTCACGTTTGCTAGTTATTGGGGAGCGTATTGTAACTCCTGGGGCAATAGTTCAATTGACTTTGAGACTCCAACTGACATCCCCGTTGATCAACTCTGCAGCCGATGGAGAAAATTTTGTCCCTCCAGATCCTGTTCGCAGGTCAGGCGAAACTGACGTCGATTTTTCAAAGCGTCGCGCAAAGGCTGCTGACGAGCGCGAGTTAACATTTCTGAATACTAAAGCTGAAGCTGAAGATAGGAATATTAACAAGCAATTAGCACACGCGCCGTACTGGTCAGAGGTGCGCCATTCTCCAAGGTAGTACCAATCAAGTTTAAACTCTCATATAGGACCGCAAACCTGGCTGGTGGGTGATGATAGGCGACGAGAAAGTCAACAGAATCATCGTTCCCCCAATTCGTGTTACCGATGTGCCTTATTGTGACGTGGAAACGGGTTCCAAACCGGATCGCCTATACAAACTCCAATTCCAGGCTCCCCCTGATGTTGGTTCGTTTGGTTTTCAGCTGCACTTTGTTAGTGACACGTTCCTCTGGGACGATATCCGGAGACCCATTACTGTGAGTACCAGAGTGACAGTTTTGGGCATGTATCTGATGTGTTTCTTACAGCTCAAAGTGGAGGATCTCTCTGCTCTAGCTGCGGATGAACAAGGAGCAGAGGACGAGATTTCCGATCCAGATGAAGACACCCTTGCTGGTCAGATGGCAGCTTTGCGGGGCGGTCCTGTGAAGAGGCCCGCCAATTATAACAGCGATGATGGGGATAACGACGACGATGACGAGAGCACGACAGATGGAGACCAAAGTAGCAATTCATCGGACAGTGACAGCGCTAGTGACAGCGACTAATTGTTTTGGGTGCCTCACCAATATATAGTATATGATATAATGACAAACGCCCGCTCCTTGTTACACCTCGGTCAATCTGTCAACTTGGGGTTGCTCATTCCGAACTGGGGGGTGTAAGTATTGAGAAACCAATTCAGGGCTTGGATTAGGTTTTCCTTTCTGAGTATTTAGCTGCAAACTTCAGCTTTTCCATCAGGAGCGCCGAGGGCAGGAGTCTTTGGAGCCAAAAAGTGAGAGGTATCAAAATGACTCTCACCGACTTGCTGGTCACGTGCGACTCTGACCAAGTTCAAGTTCGACGTTTTATCCATGAAAGCGGTTGGGCTCGTTTTTCGTCTTTTGCCGTTCGCTGTGGGCGGACTAGGGCAAAGCTTGTCTGGTATCGCTGGATACTCTTCACGGTACATCCCCCAATCCAACATAATTCTAAGGACTAACAAACTCAGCTTTCAGGAAGGCAATTCGCAGTTTAGACCTATCTCTAGAAGACAACATATGCTCTTTTGATGCTATCGTGGTCGTTCACCAACCTGGAGTAAGTATGGGAAAATGAGTTCGCTCAGCTTCTCCAGCGTGCATGACCTTCCCTTTGGCTCACCTACAGTTGTCATTGGATGATCTCTACGCGGCTCCATCGTCATCGCTGCTGTCCTCACTTTTCTCCGATGCTCCATGGAAGCGTATCTCGCAGCGCACCGTACCTGCGGAACCTTCCGACCTGCTGAAATCAATACAGGATCGATGTCAGTATGACATTACGGAGCTTCACCTTGGTCAACTTTATGAAGAAAAGGATGCATCGAATATCATTGCACGGCCAAAGATCATCAGTCTGCCTTTACCTCACCTCACAGACAAAGGGCGAGCTCGTAAGGTTGCAATGTCTTTTATTGGTTCGTCAAGGGATTTGTCTCCGCTGCCTCCTCGGGGCTGACCTGTTTCTGATCCGCTAATAACAGTCTCAGAACTTGCCCGCGACCTTCAAATAATTGGCGGCACCTTCGAATCTCACTTTGTAATGTTCGCCAGTGTGCCCTACTCGACTACTTTCAAACGGGAGATGGCATCCACTTCGAACTCCCCTTTTTTCATTCGGCAGGCCACGCATGCCGATCCTGTGCACGGTTATGCTGGTAATACGACCCTTCCTGAAGGGGGGATACTGCAACGATACCAATTGCTTACTCCTGGTATTCTGACAATTCTGCTTGTTGTGGTGCTGGTTTTCTTCCCAATTTTACATGTTGGTATCTCTGCCTTGTCGAGCATAAAAACATCGCAAAGGATGGATAACCCTCACAAGGACAGGAAGGGACAATAGGCTTTTCTGTTGTATATATTGCGATCTCTGCAACATAAATAGCTCGTAGCCCCCTCGCTGTCTGAGGACTGAACAATCAACTTCATGATCGGATTATCGCCAGCAAACCAGCAGTCATGATATGTGGTGTTATTGCAGTTCTAGATAATGCGTTGGGGCATGTACAAGGAAAAAGGGGAATGATTAGGCAAGCATTATGCATGTGGTAAGATGCAGGGTGATAATACAAAATGTGTGTGGCGATGGTATCACCAGTGTTCTCTCCTCGGATATCAAGTGTACACGTACCCAAAATGGGATTTTAGCATTCTATAGTAAAGTCCCTCGATATCATGTAGAACGATCGTGTTCAGCGAAATGCACGTCTTTTTGCATATCGGTCACTGCACACATCACCTCCACGGCAACAAGATGATATGGTAGCGCGCCCCAGTCTTTGAACCCCCACCGAAGTTTTGCGAGGACTGCAAGTTCGTGGAAATTGCATGCCCAGTCTCTTTGGAGGTCAGATATGTTTCGCTTCCACATCCCTAACGTTGAGTTGGCCGATTTCCATACGAGGAGTGTGCTCAGCTGCACCACGGATGCACAGGTGCGAGCTGAGGCAGATCCGATAGGAGCTGCCACAAGGGGTGAATTCCCTGGTACATGGACCAAGTAAGAGGAGCATATAGGAAGTAGATTAGTGGATTCTACTTCTGCGATCAGTGCTGCTTTGGAGCTTTGTCCATGTTCAAAGCTGTCAGTCCCAAAGTTAGGCAGCGTGGGGGAAATGAAATGAAGCCGGAGCGCAGGGAAAATGGCGAATGTAGACGAACTGCCATCAGCAAACAGCGTAGTAGAGTCTTCGCCAGACTTCACGGGAGCGAATTGGCCGAGATGTTTCGTGGACAGAAATGTCACTGATCCATCATCTACAGAGAGAATCTCAAAGTTCAGAGGACCGTTTGCAGCAGCATCCTGAGTGGCTTTGGTGGCCAAACATAGTTCCCAGGCTGGAAAAGTGTAAAAATCAGCAGCGATAAGCATGTCCAAGGCAGTTCAACTCTACCTTCGATTTCGGCGAGACCCATGTAACCCATTTTTGCAATGACAGATCTCCACTCCACCTGGACGCGTCGACTGCATTCAATGGAAAAATTGAGGATAGTTTGCGCTACCAGGCTTTCGAAAGACTCGTCCATGGACACATCACCCATGTACCAATGACGAGTTTCATGGCCATGACCACGCTGATCCACGCAAGCCGCAAAAAGCCAATCCTTATCGCGGGACAGTTTATACCCTACATGAAACAAAAGGTATCTGTCCGTAACATCTGTAGCATGGGGGGGCCATTCCAGTGCAAACTTGAATGTTGGCGCGCTCGCACGTGAAATGGTGAAAGAAGGAGCCCGAACCCATGCGCGTTGATGGGGCATGCGCCGGAACCCCTTCTGACAAATCAAGCGATCCAAACACCGGTTCAATCGCTCATAGACGCTGGTGACGATGTCTATCAACCCGCCATGTTTGGCCAACTGAGAGTGATCAACGACACTTGCAAGTGGAACAACATGAAGTAAAATGCGCTCTCCAAGAAGGTCAAACTTCCTGACGAGGCCCAACAACCCCGCATATCCAATGAAATCGGCGAGAAGGAATGATGGAGGTGCAATTAGATACAATACCACGCGCGCCGCTTCATCCAGATCACGAAGAAAGATGGCTAATGGTGCAGTATCAGCAGAGATGTCAGGATTTCGGGTGCAGAGACTGACAAAGTGTACGTTGGTAGTTCGCCCACCGCAAGGGAACGAGACCCCTCGGATGCCAGCTGGATGTACCAATAGTGTGGTTGCCTAGGTTCCGCGCCTAGCGCAAGCTGAGCAACTCTGTGAGCAATAAGTGATCAGACTCAACTCACAAAGTAGACCTGAGAAACTCGTTCCAGCCATGAGGTAACGAAGGACTCCATATTTGAGTCATCCTGCTCGAACAATGCGTAGCAAACAACATCCTTTCTCCCACTCAAAGGCGACAGCCCAATCTTCTCCCAAAACTTGAGAGCAGATGGAAGTACCTGAACTACCGAGTCACCTCTACCTAATGTAAGTAAAGGATCATCTAGAGATGTTGTTCGAGCTCGCATAGGAGTATCTTTAACTTCACAGAAGGGGATTAACCTTACTCAAAGAGCGGATCACAAAGCTTACCAGAAACAGATCCAAGCGACGCAAGATCCAAAGGTATGCCGAATCCAAGGTCTGTTTGGAGACACCGGATAACGGAGACAAATTCCTGCGGCCACTCTTGTAAGTTCCCTTCATTCAATGGAGGTGAGTCTTGTTCTTTGAAACACCGGAACCAATATTCGTTCTCGACGCATTCATGAATGATGAGTTCGGTTGCAGCCCTTCTGCGATCTCGCTGTACTGATGCAACAGGAATCACACCGGGGGAAACAGGGGTGGGGGCAGAATTAATGGGTTTCAGAGTCCTCTCCGTCGCTTCCGGTGGTTCATCATCGACCGCTATGGCAGGTGCGTTGAACACGGTCGGCCAAGTGCGAAAAGGTCGTGAAAACGTTTGGAAAGCAGCCCGATCCAATCGAACACGTAGAGCAATGGCCACGGGAGACTCAATGTCCACTGTATGAGGCACGGGCCCTTCTGGATCTGTTTGTTCGACAGCCACGCCATTTATGCTGTCTTCGGAAGCGACGTCAGAAACCGTGTCAGAGACGGCATCACTGCCATCAGTAGACATCCTCCAAATGTGGTCATTGTCATCTTGAGTTTGTCTTGATACTCCACTTGATGGCACACGACGTTGTCCTATGATACGTTGGATCATACTGACTAATTCTGTTTTCGGATTAGATAGCGCGTCGTAAACGTCCCGTATTGTACGCTCCATTGATACGCTTCCAGCACCAGGTATTTGCGACAAGCGTACGGAAATGGGAAGACAGTGCTGATGGTGGCGCAAGACGATACCGCGAGTCATGTGGCTCATCGAGAGAGAGTCTGGCAGATCCAGTGCTGTGAAGGCCTCCTCATTACCCGGAAAATTTGGCACAGGGGTGATCGACGACGCATCTGGCGGCCACGTTGTGTATCCGGATTCTAGGAAGCGGTTGGTCAATGGGAGGCCGTGTGAGTCCGCAGCTACAGCCACCGGAATGTCCACGACCTGGACGGGCTGGACTGGCTGTGGCGCCTTTGGGGTAAGCAAAATATCCTCTTTCCATTGAAAGACTTCAGTGTCGGATTCCTTCCCTAGGGGGGAAGCCTCCCCACTCGCAACAATAGGCAAATTTGATGGTGAGTTAAAGTATATCATCCCCTTATCACCAAGAATGTCATTGAGATCAACGGTATCGTTCGGAAGCCGATCAGAGCGCTCTCCTGGAGGGTCGTCGCCTGACGGAAATGTGATGCCAGACCAGGCAACGTCATCTATGACAGGTGGATCTGTGTCTATGAAAGGCTCAGTTACTGGGAAAGAGGATTGATTTTGTACGGTAGTCGTTGAGTTAAATGATGATGGTGTTGGAAAGGATGACTGAGGATTTTGAAATTGAAAAAAGAACGGATTGAAATTCGCGGAAGACAATGCCGCGGTGAGAGCATTAGGAGAATCTTGCCCTAAGGCCGTGAAAGGTGAGAAGGATGAAAACTGGAGGGGTGAATGTGCATGCCAAGCGGATTGGTGATAAGAAGAACCGGGACTCAATCCTGGCGGAGAAGGATAAGTCTGGGTAGCGTTTCGAGGATTGTGTGTGATGAAATTAGTTTTGGGAGATGAGCTTTCAATAACCGGGGAGTTGACAGATTTGGGATCATTTGATCGTTGCAGATCTCTGACCCGTTCTCGATCTTTGACTACGGCATCGACAAATTCATTCGCGTGACTAGCGATCGATTCGAGATCGCGCACAGGCACAGAACTAGAACGTTGGCACGATGTCCTGGGCTTGGAGGACTCCACCTCTTTCCCCTTAGGCGACAACATGATGGTTGAAGGTGAAGGGATACGGCGAGCAGGGGCTCGAGTCGACGATACCAGGCACATAGACTTCGGCCAAGTCAACAGGATCCCTTGCGCCTCTGCATTCTGTTCTGATCGAGATGACGACGGTGTATTAATGTCTTTGTCATCTTCAAAAGGTATCCAGCATTGGAAGAAGCCATTATTGGAACTGGAGGAGTACCCGTGCCCGCAGAGCTCGTTCCGGAAAGTGGAATCCATGTCCGCATCAGCTGCTATATCTTTCACGTAATATGCCGGAGTCAAGAAGGGAAGTAGGACAATAGGAAGGCCCGGCTCCATTTTCGGTCGAGTCTCCTGAAAGGAAGATCTCCGCATCACTAATTGGGCGAGAATCCCTGTTGCAGTGAGATGCAGATGAACCATGCTGGCCTTTAATGGTTGGCTATCAGACTGCCCGTTCCAACCAGTGCCCCATTCGCCTAGTGTTCTTGATCCACGAAATATGAAGCCTCCTGGAATCTTCTGAAGAGTGTTTGAGGACTTCAAGGAAGATATACACAGCGAGTCAATGATGTGGTCCCGAACAGCAAGCAGAAAGTGTGCGTGAGCGCTTCGAAGCGACAGGCGAGGAAGAAGACAAGCAGATGATAGGTAGTCTCTGATGTTCCAGGATGGCGGACAACTGGCACATGGCCGTGGCATTGATGAACAGGCTTCGGAACATGGATACACATCAACGGGCCGATACGAGTCGAACGCCTCCTCTGTAAGGTAGGAGTTTATCAAATTGTTAACTTCCCTCCATGAAGCTTACCGGTAAGGCCGTCCAACGCGAGACCATGCAGTGTCACAGATGGAATTGTCTCTCCGTCATCGGAGTATATGGCGAATGTCCAAAGAATTTGCTTAACATGATCAACAACGGCTAGCGGCACATCGACAGTCCCAACGCCAGGCCTCCAATGTTGAATGATCTTGCGCCTCCCTTGCTCCAGAGCTAGCTGTGGATGAGTGTGGGTTCCTGTTGGCCGGAAAGCGCGGTACAAGATCCTCGGAGACGGAGGAAAAGCCAAGGGCAAGTGAGCCAGCTGCCACGATGCAGGATGAGGCGCAACAGGTGCCATCATTGAGCTGGTAGTCAACACACGGCTAAAGGGGAACGCATGAAGGGATTCTTTCGCCGTTTTGTCGAGTTAGAGTGCTCACGCACTCTTGAATTACGGCAAACTGCCGTGTACAGAAGCTCTCACTGGACAAATGGATCTAGCCGGAAGCGCAATTGGACCATCCTCATCATTCAACATCACCTCGCTCGCGTTCACTATTTGTAATTTGAGATTAAGCAAGACTTTAGTCAAGCTGAAGGCTTACTCGTGCATAATTTGGGTTAGCCGTTCCACGATGGAACCTGCCCCGACGGGGCCCTGGCCGGAAATCATCATGCGTTCTCTCTTTATCGCTGGTGCATCAAGCACAACTTTTGAGAAGCCTTTCTTCGGGTCCTGGAATCGTCTGCTCAATGCCATGTTTTCTCCTGATATTTTATTCGAAGTCGTCCCTCAATTCCCTCCTGCCACCAGTTCGCGCGATACGGTGGACCTCGTTATTCTTCTCCTCGTTCATGTTAACACCTCGCCTGTTTTCATTGTTGAAGTTAAGCCACCCGCTGAGTTTCATCGCAACTCCAAGCAACAGGAGGCGGATAGCCAAATGCGTCAGCATTTCCTGGATATGGCTGCTGATATGCAGATCCCAGTATTTTATAGTGTACCTGCATTCGACATGAGGATCACATTTTACAAATATGTCAAAGCTGCAAATATGTTAGAGCTGAAGAGGATCACCCCGATTCACAGTTTTTAACGGATACCGCTCCCCAGGGCTGGTGGCGCTGGGATATTCTGGAAGGGGAGGGTCCCGATAAATTCCGACAGATCGTTGAAGAAGTGAAAGGAGTGTGCAAAGTCTTAGCATTGCCGTCTGGCACAACTACAACCGCGCAAGATCTGCAATTTATCATTGTAGTTGTCATTCTGGTTGTTCTTAAACCATATTGCATTGTCCCATGCCAGTTTCTGAATCAGAGCAAGAGGCAAATATATGTAGAGAACAGTGAACTGAAAACCGAGAGCAGTACCACCATACAAAACATAAACGGATTGAAGCGTGCGGATAGGCTGAAAGGGAGAGGATGCGTGTGAGACGGATTAAGATAGTGTGCAACAAAAATAATAAAAACAGGTAATACGACATTAGGTGGGTGTCTTCCTTTCATCAGGTTTTCCCTGGTTGACAACACCATCGCCAGGCTGGATCCTACCGCTCGCTGCAGCGGCGGCAGCAGCGACCACACCATTACGGCTGTTGAATGGCCCGCGACCGCGTCCTGACCCCCGGAACCCTCCACGGCCGCGGCCTCTCCCACTTTCACCGCCTGGCCCATCACGTTGCTGTGAACGATCTTCCGCGATAGAAACTTCGATGGTGACCCCTTTGAACTTCTGGGATTCCGCATTAATACGACCGCATACGACTACATGTTTACTCCTACCTCAGAATGCCTGCCTAATCCCTCTTCCATCACTTCTTTGTCGCCAAACTCCACAAATGCGACTGGCTTTTGTTGGCGGCTTGCATGATTCAGCGGAATCTTAATGTGAGTGATCTGCAAAGGAGACGTAATAACATTGTACCAATCAACCGAACTGGAGGATAGTACTCACTCCCGCCCTTGCTGGTCCAAAGAAGTCTCGAATCTCATCCTCCGTCACAGGAACAGGGAGTCCGCCAAGGAAGAGCGTGTTGGGGTTGCGGCGCGGCCGGCTAGTCAATGGTGTGCGGCCACCAGTGCTCTCGCTCTCACCAGTGGGGGAAAGAAGCCCTTGATCGCGTTGTGCAGAGGATGAAGGAGCAGGTGAGGCAGGTGAGGCGACGTTAGAACGGGGAAGGGGATGTTTGGCAGCAACAGTGGCAGGGGTGATTGAGCGATCAAGCGGAGGCGAGATAGCCCCAGCAGGAGAAGCTTTCTTCTCTTCCTCGCGCTTTTCACGCTCTCTCTCCTTTTCTTTCTTGTTGGGCTTTCTTTTATTCGTTCTATCGGCCGTCGCTGAAGTCGGACTTCCTGGAGCCGTAGATGCAACGGAGGCCCCATTAGTTTTCGGTGCAGTATCAGCATTCCCGTTTGCTGGATGAGAGGATGTGGACAGTCCTGTGTTACGCAAAAAGTGTGACCCCCTACACATGACCAGACAAATGAATGAGAGGGTTTACCTTGCGGGTCAGAAGAAACCATGGGTGCAGATGGAACTACTGAAGTTTCAACATTGGTGACGGGCAGTGCTGGGTCTGATTTGCGACGGTAGGCGTAATTAAAACCTGTGGAGTCTCGTTAAACCACAGCTATCCAAGAAGTATGCGAAAATATTGACCTTGGCTCTTGAGTTCGCAACTAACTCTACCCTGGTTTATATCAAGGATTAAGTGTCCATAGGCGGCATCACAAAGATTCCAGTTCCAACAATTCTTCCAGGCGGGCTCTTCAGCGGTTGTTCCTCCATGAGCAGGGGGAACGCGTTCGACCACGGAGAGGCACTTCTCGAGCAAGATACGTTGGTTTTCACTGTTCAAATTTAAGATGATGAAACCCAGCTATTGTTTATGGACACCCACTCGATGATGGCCTCCACCTGCGTCTTAACGTTCTCCCACACTCGCGAGAAGCTTTCCTTGCCGCTCGAGAGCTTCTGTCGGAAACCTTCCATATCGCCTTGAACGCTAAACTCGTTGTAGGATGACGCGTAACGGAAATGGAGCCCCGCGGACACGGTCAGATCCGCTTTCAGAACCAGAGCAAGCTGTGCAATTATCCCTTCTCGGCCAGGAGAGGCATGAGAAACGAGAAGACGAGTTTCCGAATGATCGTACGTCCGTTGTGCAGTATCTACAAGCTCGCCGATTTGAAGAGCAGTCGTCCACATGGTTCCCTGACCACCGGCAATAGTAGCATTGCCTTCACCATTGTCAAACATCTTGTGAGGTACAAGTGCGCCCCCGAGACCCAGTAAGCGGAGTTTGACCCCGCCCACATCCAAGCAGCGAGAGGTTGCCTCGTCAATGACATGAAGATTCTCAATTTCATACTCCCCACTACGGAGCCTCTCCAGAATCGTTACGTCCTCGCAAGCACCCCATACAGTGTACACCGGCACGGCTAACTTGATTTCTCCAGAAAGCAGTTTCGGAAATTCAGAGAGAATTGGGCGGGATGACGTGGTGACTGTGTTGCGGAGAGCCTGAAGCGGTTGACCGTCAGCTAGGAGTTGGTCCCTCTCCTCATTCGAAATCAGAGGGGAGTACAGGATCAGGTGGCGCAAAGTTCTGCAGCGAATGTAACAACAGTAAGTTGAGAGATGGTTTTAAAACCAAGGGAAGTGGAAGAACAAGTTTAATGCAACGGGTAATGTGACTGCACAACCTGGCATTCGTACTCACCGATCGTTTATCCTACTGAGGCTTGATGAATCTGTACGGGGTTCAGGCGTGCCGTCAGTGAGCCGTGTCATCATGATCCCCTGCCGCGCATGCGCACCGAAGAAGCCAAAATCCCCCGTATGAATGATGGCCACCACATCATTCTCACTGGCCAGCTCGTTCAGATTTGAGAGATGTCCTCTGACGTCTGCGAGACACAATATCCTTCCGCGATTATTTTGGCCAAGCACTTTCAACAAATTCTGATTAACACGCGCTGCAGGTGCGGGAGATACGCCCGGACGAGAAGAAGCTGTAGAACGACTCGCCATGTCGCTTCGACTGTTGATACGGGTGGTTGAGTGTAGGGTACCGAGTGGGGGACGTTCAAGGTCGAAATTTTGCGAAGTCACTAAAGTCCCGTGACCACCTCCGCGACCACGTTTGTTTGCGTTGGCCCAGCTGGCCCAGTTGCCAAACTCCGAAGTGGGGTCCGACGTTTACCAAAAGAAAGAGATTGGAAACTGGTGTCCATGAAAGAAAAAATGATAATATTTACACCTTAATAGAGGCTGGAGTCCTGCCTAAGAATGACTCAAACAACAATTTACGGGGAGGCCTCAGTTTTGGCGCTTCCGACATGACAGACGGCCTACATTTGAAATTGTCATAAGGAATTTCGCCAAGCGTATAAGAAGATTACTGACATTCCAGTCCCACACTCCGTTGCTGGGTTGCCCACGATTATGCTCTCCGAAACCCCTGCAATGCGATCGCTCTTTCCATAAGCGGATGCGTCAAAAAGATGGTCTGTGGTCTTCTCAAAAGATGCCAGCATGAGGACGCTATCTTTCATCTTCGCGACCCCAAATCGAGTGATTCCGAGAACTTGACCCTAAAGGAAACCTTACGGTTTTAGATTGCGTCGTGCATTGAATGCTAGGTAGCGTCACCTTATAGGTCATGACATCCCCAAGTAACATGACATGCCGAGGATCTATGCTCATGCCGTGCTCTGACATGGTAAACTGTATCTCGTTTATGACAGCACGGCGTGCGGCCTCAATACCGAGGACTTTCTCCACTTCTATGACGTGATTGGACGTAGTGTGTTCTCCAACGATTCCTTCGGATTCCTCAGGAATACAGCAAAGAAGTCTAGAACGGAACCTACCCTCAGTGGTCATCACATTCTGAAGGCCGTACCCCTCAACCAGCAACTCCTTGTCTCCTTTATTGCCCGCCGGTCCAGATTTGCTTCGCACGTTGATTATCGCACGCTGAATACTTGGAATTCCTTTCACAACAACGCCAGGCAGAGCTCGCTGCAGTGTCCGGAGTTGATAGTACTGAGCATCTCCTGACATAAACACTTTGATTCGGCGTTTTTTCTGATCCACTTCGACTGCCTGATGCGAAGAGTAAGGATCAAGATCAAAATCAAGACAGGCAATCGCGCACCCCTATTTTGACCTTCAATTTTTTTGCATCCACTATTGCATCTCTGATGTCATCCGGAGTAAGTTCCAGCTGACAATAATACTATTGAGAAAGTCAATACCAATTTCACCACTGCTCGGGCTTACCTGTAGCTTCCGAATGGCGTCCATGTCAATGTGAATAGAAATATAAGAGCCATTAGCTGTCCAAGTTTCTTCCAGGACGCTGGCAACCTATCGATGTCCCGTCAGGGAGTTATCTTGCAGCCTTGAGTTTGCAACTCACGTCACCAAGATATGTCTTCTCCAATCGACCTTTGACAATACGTGCAGAAGTTTCACTCTTGGGAGAGACGAGCCTGGCAGTAATAATAGGAGTACTAATGTTCTTTGAAGCATTGATGATCTCCTTGATGCGTGGAACGCCCAAGGTTACGTTCATTGAAGCAACTCCAGCAAAATGGAAGGTTTTAAGAGTCATTTGCGTACCAGGTTCGCCAATTGATTGAGCTCCGACGGCGCCAACCGTGGACCCTGATGACATGCCGAATTAGATGATCGCTATTGCAGATGCTCAAGTGTGTGGATACCAACCAGGCTCAATTTTGGCTTTGATATATTTGACAAGGGCTATCTGCAAGAAATTCCGAAGCTGAGCCTCGGTGACTTTGGACATATTATCAACAATCAGTTTTTGAGCAGCTGTAAATAGAAACGCATTAGCAGCGGCGTATCATGAAGACCTTGGACATACGAGAAGCGCCCATGTCTAAATCCATCTGTTCATCCCAGTCATTCGGCATCTCTTCAGCATCGAACATCCCGTGTATCTGGCGATAGCGCACCAGACGGCGAACAACGTTATCCAGAATGAAGGAACGAACAGTAGCAATATATGCCGCAGTACATTCTGACCTGAACTTCGGCTTTGAAAGCTCTACATCTACAATAGATAAGATCTCGAAGGGCATCAGCGCCCGTCCATTTCGTCCAGTGCTGGTCTGCCGCACAGAGTTCAGCCTTGTATGGGGAAGTCCGGAGATAGGTAGCAACTCGCCAATGCATGTGTCCAAGCCCGGAAGAATTCTATTGGCTGCGCATCACCCTCTAGACACGCAGGATCGAGTCCATCGTCCCCGTAGCGAAATTGGACAACTCCTCCCACCGAGTTTCGAACAGACAAGTCATAGCGTGTAGACAAATCCTCAAGTGCCTAGTGATGGGGATGTCAAGGAAATCGTAGGAGCACATTAGTGACAGGTAAACCTTCATGAGGCGACGCTGCATATAACCGGTTTCTGCGGTTTTGACTGCTGTATCAACCAGACCTTCGCGACCGGAGATTGCGTGAAAGAGGAACTCCGTGGGCGTCAATCCCGAGTAGAAGCTATTCCTGACAAAACCCTTTGCTGGGGGATCCTTAGACTTTTTCAAAAAGTGGGGCAAGGATCGATCTTGGAAGCCATCGGGAACACGGTGGCCAGCAATGATTTGTTGTCCTACACAGGCTACCATTTGAGAAACGTTGATAGTTGATCCTATGACAGTTTTGAGATCGCTGAAAAATGCGGGAACTCCTTCCTCACCCTTGGAACCACAGGTTGCCATGATGAGGGGAGCATTGTGTCTGCTTAACTCCTGCATACACACTTTACCTACGTCATCGCGTACTTTCGACAAAACTTGAGAAATTTCAGCTTCGAGCGTTTGTTCTTGATTGCACCCCGGTCTGTTGACAAGCTTCCCTAATTTCGCCTTCTCAATGAGGGACCTGCATGTCTCATACGCAGCTTCCACAAGCTTGTCCTTTTGGTTGCGCAAATTATGTCCCGGAATGACGTCGTTAATACCAAGCGAGAAACCAAAATTCGCTGCATAGAGCGCAAAAATGAGGGGATATGCCTTTACACAACGAACCTGAACCTACCAAGCCATCTAGCACACAATTTGGCTAGCCTACTCATGGCTGTAGCGGCAGCATCAGGGCCATAATCTCTCAACATCACCCCGAAAACTGACTTCTTCTTCCCGGCTCCGATTGTTGCTTTGTCCATGACACCACACATGATCTCGCTGTTCACGATGACAAGCCAGCCGTCATTGGGGGATAGGTCAGGAGCTAACTTCATCCCTGATGGCCAGAAGCGTGGATCCGGTTTGTGCAGGGTGGTGCATTTAGATTCAGCGTTGATAAGTATTTTAGAGCTCTTGTTGGGCCGCATAAGACAGCTAAAAACCTGCTTTCCTGTCCATAATCGGGCAGGCTTCAGGATTGCAGGCGGTGGTATATCTATGGAAACGCCGGCGTCTACGAGATAGGAACAGATTTGTGTGAACTGCCGGCGACTGTAGAAACGATCCTTGCTCGAAAGAAGGAAAGAAGCCGTAATAAAATCCTGGATGGCAGATATGACCGGTTCCCCATTACGTGGCGTTACGAGGTTTTCTTTAACACCCATGAGGGTCAGAGCTTCCGTTCTTGCTTCTTCAGTTTGCGGCACATCTAGGGAACGCCAGTGTTAGCGGACGGATGAGCTACTGAGCAAGAAAAACTAACGGAGATTCATTTCATCTCCATCGAAATCAGCATTATAGGGATTGCACACACACTCGTTCAACCTGAATGTCCTCCAAGGACGAACTTTAACCTGTCATACGTTAGAGACTCCACATTGGGGAGAAAGCCTTGCCTACTCTGTGACACATGATAGACAGCTACCAAATCTCGTCAGCCTTGCACATGTGGTGTTAACGGCTCTCACTTTGTGTAAGCTGGGTTGTCGGTTAAACAAAACAATACTGGGGTTGGGTTTGAGTGTTGACCCCGGGAGGAAATCATTGCCTTCATATAAAGGACTTACTCTCCATCAACTATGTGTCGCTCTACAGTGTCACCAATTTTGAGATTCTCGGCCGCTTGAATCCGTGAGCCAAACTTGAGATACTTTTTGAAACCATCGTTGGCTGAAATGATGTAGTTCGCGCCGGGGTGGACATCTACACCATTTGTGACCGCCTGTTTAAGCTGATTGAAGTTGTGAAGAGTGACCCTCTCAGGGTAAGTGAGAATTTTGGCAACCCGCTCCGGCACAGCAACCTAGTGAAAGAGATTGATACGCTTACATATATGTGGATCCGTTCAACACACCTCATCGATGCGCAGGTTAGGGTCGGGAGAAATGACAGTGCGCCCCGAAAAATCCACTCGCTTCCCAGAAAGATTCCCTCGAAAGCGACCTTGCTTCCCCTTCAGCCGCTGGCAGAAACCCCGAACAGGTTTTGAGCCACTGACTGCCTGAAGCCCCGGAAGTTCACTATGAACGTACATAGCGACTGTCAGTTGGAGGGCTTCCCATGCTTGCTGTCAAGACAACGTCAATACGATAGCAAGAGTCAGGGTGACAAAATTACCATTATGAGAGAAGTACTTCCGCCTTTGAAGAGATTCAGCTTTATAACCGCACAGCAAGTAGCCATCTCTTGAAGTTTAACTGAAATATCGTCTTCATTGCTATTCATTGTCATTAACAAATGTGCAATCCTTAGAACTCACTGCTGCCCACCTTGCCCCGTCCTGTTGCACCGATGGACGTATACAAACCGGAGGCACAGAGAGATATTGCCAAATGAACTCTTCCGGTCGCCCATGATCTGGCCGTAAGCCTAGAAGTTCGCAATCCTGGTTCGGAAACACGCTTTAGATCCTCCGATTCGCGCAGCGGAATCGCCTCACCTCCGCGCTGATTCTCTTGAACAGGTCAAGGACTCTTAAAGGATTTAGGTCTTCGTGAGCTTTGCCTAGCATGCCCTCGAGTTCCCTGCTCTCTCCAATGGCCGATTTGAACGTGTTCTTCCATTCTGCATACTCCTCTTGGGTCCGCTTGGCCCTGAATTTTTCGTGTACTATCTTCAAGATTGCTCCAGGAGCTTTCTTCACAGTACCATTCGTAGCAAAACAGTAAGGACAGTAAACCACTTTACGGCATGCCAGATTGACAGCTTTTGCGTTTATCTGACGAGTAAGATTCTCAAGGTTGGGAGAGCGGAAACGTTTAAGATACCTCCGCCGATCGCCCTCGTCCAGCAGTACTCTAGCGCAAGTCTGTACACAAATGGCAACATTAGAAGAGGCTTGAAAAATGAAGAGGACTGTCTTGCTTTGCATATGTCCTGAAGTATTGTGATGACATGCTTGAAGTAGCCCGGATGGAAAACAGGAAGCGTGAGTTTAATGTATGCATAATGGCCCACGCATGTGGCATTTCCTTCTCCACAGGTTTCGCATCGTGACCCTTTGTCAGTGACACCCTGAGTCAAGCGGGGAGTGTATGATCAGCACTTTCCCAATAGCGCCTAAAGTCAATGACCACGCACTAAACGACGATCCAACGGTCCATGTGCAACAGGTTGTCTGTCCGGAAAAGTGTACATGTCCCTTTGAAAGAACTCGAACTCGGACATGCCAACAACATCCTGAGCAGAGAAGAGTCCGAATTGAATTTCCTTGCTGAAAGTCATTATACTTCATGTCCATATACCACCCTAGAACAACCAGCGGCTCACATCTTCTGTGGAATAGTTTGAGGCACTGTCTCTTTCATTTTTGCGGAGAGAAGTCTCGCTCTTGTTCAGCTCGATTAATCACGATCAAGCCAGATATTGGGAATTGAAAACCGCAGGTCCCGTGACACACCACTCCCGAACTTACGCGTTCGCTCAGGAAACGCGACTTGTGTCGTGCAAAACCTTCAACGGACTGATAACGTTGCGAAGCCTATAATGTCAAGGTCATCTTATGACAGGTTTGTGCCGATGCACGCTCGCCGATGGCTGCAGAATAACTAACCCCTCAATGTGTCGTAAATTATCTCAAGATACCTAACCGTCTTCTCACCTGAGGGGCGCCTTTACCAAGTAGGCAAGTGCAGTTTCTCCCGTCTCGTACGATTTCCATTGACCATATCATTATGCCTCAGAATATGCTTTCAAAGCCATTTCAGGCTCGGGACACACCGCTGTCGCGGTTCGCGGGAAGGATACGAGTGTAGTTATCACCCAGAAGAAGGTCCCAGTACGTTCTGGTGCCTAATTCGGCTGGCATCTCATTGTTACACTACTGATCCCTTCCAGGACAAACTGCTCGACGCTTCGACTGTCACCCACCTTTTCAGTCTAACACCCACCATTGGATGTGTGATGACAGGCCGTCTCGGTGAGGCATTGTTCAAGATCCCCATCCAAGCTCATCCTTATGTGACAACAAGCCGATGCTCGTGCCCAAGTCACTCGGGCACGTCAGGAAGCAGCAGATCATCGGTACAAATTTGGCTACGAGATTCCACCTGATGCACTCGCTCGACGGCTAGCAAATATCAACCAGGTCTACACACAACGTGCTGCGATGCGGCCCCTCGGCATAGGTACAACCATCTTCTCCATGTTGGATCTGATTCAGAATTCTGCCCATCGTAGCAATGATTATCATTGGCCATGATGAGTTTCTGGGCCCACAAATATTTAAACTAGATCCCGCTGGCTATTTCGTCGGATTCCATGCCACGGCCGCCGGCCAAAAACAGCAAGAGAGCATGAATGTGTTGGAGAAAAAATGGAAAAAACTCGATGGCAGTGGCGGCGAAGACGCCAAGAGGGCAGGACAAACTCTGAATCGGGATGCTGTCATCGAAGTACGTGGAGGTCTGATGAACAGAGACATTATTGACCAATTCTTCGCAGCTTGCAATTGAAACTTTATCAACGGTTCACTCGACTGAATATAAGCCGGGCGAGATCGAGATTGGGATAGTTTCGACATCGGAGTCAGAGCCAGAGAAAAGTAGGGGGAAGTGGAGAGTCCTAAGCCAGGATGAAGTCGAGAAGGCTCTCATCGCGTACGGGGAGAAAGATTGATGTACACTACTTCAATTGTGTTCTCGTCGGGACATGTGTAATCATTTGGCCAGGTATTCGATCCTTAGAAGCTACTGGATAGTTGCAGGTGATTACAGTCCCAATCTAGTTTTTTCTGGAGGGCATTACAGCGCCCCCACTCTGTGTTGGAAGGGCGGCATGAATTGGATAGGAGGGAAAGACGAGACGTTAGCGCAATACTCACTTCGATTGCCTCGATTTCCCATTCTTCTACTGGGATGGGATTCCAATACTTGGAAGCACCTTCTTCCCAGAAATTCCGACCTGCATCCCTGCTCGCCGCCCTAGAAATGCTCCCGGGTTGGTCTGCGGGTCGTATTGAGCTCGCTTCAATCTTTTTAAGAAACTCCCCAAATGCCTCTTGGATCTCTTTAGGAGCGCTAGGGTGAGGGTGAGGCACATGCGCCGCTAAAACCAGTTTCGAAATGTAATCAGCTCGTGAGCGACATCAAAAGGGCACAACGTGTGGTCGTACTTTTCGGCAATCTTCGGTCTGGGAACCTTATCAATACATTGTGGACATGTTTAGCGAGGCGAATTCCTGAGGGCCGCATGGTGAACAAGTGTGTGCTGCCAGGGAATTATGCAACGATTCGGCGGGTCACCTCCTATTTGTGCAACGATGTGGTCGGGTTCACACCGGGCTACCAGAAAGTCCGTGGGAAGGAGAGGCTGTGAACACAGCCACACATACATTCTAATTTTCTCGACTGTCATTCGCCAGATGGGGAAGCAGAAAACTGCTCGGGGTGCACTCCTCGTCGCTAATCTTCCGCAGCTCCAGAACCTCATTAAAAGGGATCCCGAGGGATACAGAGAGGAGGTGTGACTATTTGCTGTATTTATTCATTCCAACCAACCCTGATCAGATCCCAAGTTTCTCCAACAACTCAATCACTTTGACAGCATTCGGCAAATATTCGAGATTAAGCCCGATGACGAGGACGAGTCTAAGAAATTTAGGGATCTCATTGGTTTTATTTCGCAAGTAGCGCCATGTTATCCCAAGGAGACTGCCAATTATCCGTCACAACTGTCCACTCTCTTGCTGGAGAACTATGCAATCCTCAACCCAGAAACCCGAAAAGTCCTGGTTAGCAATCTTGTTCTGCTTAGAAATAAGAGCGTTATTAACCCCCTCGAGTGAGTGCGAAAACCCAATCTTTCTTGGTTTCACCATGTTCACCTGCACTTCTTGCTTCTCAGGCTCCTCCAAACATTGTTCCCGCTCCTTCCAATTACTACATCCTCTGGGCTTCGTTCCACGATACTGCACACAATTCTGACTGTTATGAAGACTGCGAACCAGAAGACTAAAAATCACAAGCTTAACCGCGCGGTTCAAGCGATGCTATTCGGGATGGTTGAGCGAGGGATGGATGGAGAAGTTTTAGGGGACAAAGGGAAGCTTCGTGGTGCTAAGAACGCAGCAGCCAATAACCCCCCGGAAGGGAACAAAGTCAGGGACGAAGCTATGTGGGCTGTCAATTTAACGAAGGAATTATGGAAGAAGCGCGTTTGGTGAGCTCAAAGAAATTGTTAGTTCCATTCTGCTAACATCATTAAAGGACCGATGCTAAAGCAGTATCAATAGTGATGCTTGCGTGTCTCCATCCCGTCACCAAAGTTCAAAGTGCCGCCATCCATTTCTTCCTTGGAAGTGAGGATGACGATGAAGAAGAGGAGGAGGATCCGGATCTGAAAGGGGAATTACGGAGACATACTGTAACAAAAAAGAAAGCCAGTTCAGACAGAAAACTGAACAAGGCCAAGAAACAGTCAAAGAAAGTGAAGTGACACAATTACTGCTGAGTCTATAAGCACGCTCAATATCTGCAGTTCTGGGAAGAAAAAGAAAATAAAGAAGCAAGTCCGAACTTCCCTGCCCTCCAGTTATTACATGATCCGCAGTCATTTGGGGAGCGGCTCTATACGTTGCTCAACAAATACGGTACGGACCACCCCCAAGTTTTTCTTCATCTTGTGCTGAAATTACTTCCTAGACAAGAGATTTTCTTTAGATCACAAAGTACTCATCATGCAACTCCTGAGTAGAATAATGGGTGCTCATCAGTTGTGCATCCTCGGTTTCTACACTTACATCATCAAGTATCTAACGCCTTTCACGCTTTCCATTCCTTCGATCCTCGCGTGCCTTGCACAGTCCACTCACTCCCTCACTCCGCCGTCTGTTCTCGTTACTCCCATTCGAAAACTCGCTAGTGAGTTTATATACCCTGGTGCCAGTGGAGGAGTGCATGCGGCTGGTATTAATGCTATCAGGGAAATATGCCGGCGTCAAATATGGGTAATGGCTGAGGGAGGCGACAACACCGGAGAGGCTCTTGTCGAAGGCGTGACTGAAGATGCTATTAATCGTGTCGTGGATGACAACGATCCCAAGGACCCTCTTCCAACACCTGGTAAAGGGGAAATGCAAGATTTATTAGCAGACCTTGTAGAATACAAGAAGAGCAAGGACAAAGGGGTCATGATTGCGGCGCGCGGTCTGTTAAGCCTGTACCGTGAAGAAATGCCAGGTTTGCTGAAGCGACGAGAGCGAGTGAGTCAAAAATCCACGGACCCTGAGCGTGATTTATGGTGTTTTAGGGCAAAACGGCAACCATCAGTATGAAAGCTGGATTACAGCAACCGCTTCCTTTCGGTCACACTCCCGACGCCGTGACGGGAATTGACGGACTAGAGGTACGCACGGAAAACATCCCTGAACGGTTCTCTTATGACTTCAATTCGTAGCTTCTCGAGCAACAGATGGACCAGCGCCAGTCCAAGGCAGCAGATGAAGCAGAAACAGACGGAGAGGATAAATGGAAAGATTGGGAAATGGAATCCGATGACAGCTCGTCAGACTCAGGTGGATGGATTGACGTTGATTCCGACAGCGACAAAGGCCTAGAGATCAGCGATAGTGATGATGACGAACAAGGAAAGAAGAAAGTTGAGGAAGATGGAAAAGAAGCTGAAGAGGATAAAGATATGATGCAATCGGGCGCTGAAGTGGAGACACAAATCCCGAATCTTGCAACCACAAAAGTGGGGACCGCCCCCCCTGGGTGTTGCCTGCGTGCTGATCCATCCGTTGCCTTAGATACTCACGCCTGCCGACTTCGCCATGATCGATGACCTCCGACTCAAGGCTGCCACTAAAGCTGTTGAGAGTGGAGGAGGTGCCGCCGCCAAGCGCAAGTTGGCAGCTATCGAAGCCTTCAAAGATGCCAATGCTTCTGGTGTGCGTGATCTTAGCCATGCCTTCGTCTCTGAAGGCGATATCGTGGGACCGCGCAAGAGGACCAAACAGGACTATGCAGAACGAATGGAATCCGTCCTGAAGGGTCGCGAAGGAAGAGGGAAGTTCAGCTCGACGAAGTTCGGGAAGAAAGCGGAAACTGGGGCCAGCTTAACGAACAGGGAGAAGGCAAGGAATAAGCCCCTCATGATGGTTTTGCAGAGTGGTAGCATACGCAACAAGAAGAAGGCTTCCATGAGAGAGAAACAGAAACGAACCTCAGCGCATGCTGCCAAGATGAGGAAGGCACGATGATCGGACTACTATACTGCTTGTTGTTATTTGTCTGAGCAGACGTCCATTGCAATACCATACCCCAGTCAAGGATGAGTGCTTGTGACATGGAAATGTTAGCCACCACGGGCAATGCGTGTTCTAACGGATTTATTATCCCCTACACGCAAATGAAAGATATTCAAGGTCTTCATACATCGAGAAGACCACCACAGTGACCAACACTTCTTCCTGTCTCAAATCCCACTTAAATATCGCACACACGCCATGACGCCACTTCAGCAAGAGCAACAGCCCTCACTTCCCCTTCAACGAATTCTGTGTCCTCGATTCTTTCGTCGCCGTCGCCCCCTGCATTACCATACCCAAACCCAAACCCGATATCAGCCGTACCACGCCTCGGAATGGTTTTTACACGAAACCTGACGTCTCCATCCTCCTGAACCCCTGTGCACACCGAGTCAACAACCCCTACGATAGTCATTATGCTGGGAGTGAGTGTCGATGGGTCTATACCCAATTCCTGTTGAGGAAGCAAAATGCTGTCAGAGGGGATTCCCAACCCGGAAGAAAAAAAGTGATAAACAAACCAACGCACCTGAGTAGCCATGAGGGTTCCAGGTCGCAAGCATGACAAATCGACGACATGCTTGAACGACCCCCATTTAGCATCATAATATCCATCTTCTAACAAATCCTGGATTCTTGCCAGATCACTTGCAGTCAGAGAAGAACTCGGTGTGCTGCTGCGTGCGGGAACCACAAGTGCATCTGACAACATGGTAGAGTCCCCTCCCTCTTGTGCTGCCCCATAATCTAACTGGCCCGTGAAACCGTTCGTATCACCCCAAATATCTGACTCGACGTCTACGGATGTCACTATAAAGTTCGCCGGAAGGTTCACCCGCTGAGATGGAGGAATAAGTTTGGGTGGTTGGTCGATGAGTTCCCTTTTTGTTTTGACGTCCGTGGCTCCATTTAGAGTTCTTCCCTTCGATTCCAGCTCATCATGTTCATCGGAGTTTTGTTCGTCTCCATCCTCCAATGTGGTCATCAGAATTTTAGGAGTCCTTACAGTGCCATTCTGTGCCGTGGTTTCGGGGGCATCACCAAATTTAATTCGGGTGGGAATGATTCTCTTCATAGCTTGTTTAAACCCTCTCTTCTTATTCTTATTTTTTAAGCTATACATCGATGGGGTCGCGAAGGCTGCTGGAGGAGGAAAGGGTGTTTGTGTTTGTGGTTGAGATTGAGATTGAGATGGTATTGTCGGGTGTGAATGGTCGGGTATCACACCAGCCGATGTCAAAGGACCTGATGAATGTGACTCGGTGGGGAATGTCTCAATATCAGGAATGTCACTCAATTCTCGCAAGGGGTTCTCTCGGCGCGCTTGACGTAACTTGCGACGACGAAGGTTACGCTTCTGAGTCATCGTACTCCCTTGCCATGGAGGTGTACATGGGTGGGATCCCGTGCTGTTGGATGCCGAGGAACCACGTTAACGTGAATACCTATCACCATTGGAAGTTGAGGGCGTACCGAGTGTGCTTTGAGCTTAGCGTGACATCCGAGATTCTTTCTGGTATGGCTGTTGAAACCGTGGCCCTCGTTGTGTAGGCAGACGGGGATGATGATGACGGAAATGCTGATGCTGATGTTGATGCTGATGAGGATGATGATGAAGATGAAGATGAAGATGAAGATGAAGATGAAGATGAAGACGAAGATGAAGACGAAGACGAAGATGATATCTCTGAGGAGGGATCTTCTGAATCAGAAGATTGACCTGAATGACTAGAATCGGACGAAGAAGCAGATGAGGGATCCGAGCTAGAATCGGACGATGACCTCTTTCGTTTCAACCTAACCTGGGATCCCTGGGCGGTGCGAGAACCTTCCATTTTAGCTGTCCCCCCTCCCCTCCGCTTCTTGGAGAAGAGCATTTCAGATTCTTCTAATTAGTTACAAAGGCAATGTGAGTCCGCGGGAGTGTTGGCATTAGCACAAATTCTGACAAACCAACAAAAAAAAAAGTGGCGCACCGACACCGTTTGATGCATATTTCCTTTTTAAGATCTTCTTCTCTTCCGGCTTCTTCGCAGACCTCGACGGCTCTGATGATAGTAGCCCAATTCTACACAAAAGCAGGGGATTAATGCCTAACAGAGATAGGTCCGTCAAGGCCATTACACTACTATATCACCGGTTTGTATCAGACTTAGAGGACTGCTGTCGAGGAGCATAAAGCCATCAATTGACAGTCCTATCATAGACGCGTCGGTGCCATATTCAGACAGGACCTGCAAATCATCTACAATGCGAATCTTGAGGTCTGCAACCGTTTGCGGTTCATTCTCTAATGAAACAGTAGACGACAAGTGTTGAAGCCTTTGCGGGTACAAAGGGTACCAAACTTTGAGCGGGAGCAGGGGCGGGAGAGTGATGAGGCGTATTCGCATACTTTGTCCAGAAAGTCTTCCCTTGCCCACCAAAGGACGAAAACTAAATTATCCTCATCTCGGGGCGGCACTTGCCGCTTCTGGTGCCCTAACCATGCGAGCGAGCCTTTGTCTGCTTCGTCGTCAGTTCTCCCATCATTATCACCGAATACTGGGAAATGTCTTGTACTAGAATCGGTTGTCTCAATTTCGATTCCCAGCCGAGAATGATTCACTCAGGGAGGGGTTGCATCAGACAAAATATTTTTTTTTTACAAATGCAGCTAAGTCGACTTTGTTCCATATGGATGAAGGAGGGTTGATAAAGCAATGAGTCTTCCCTTTGTAAAACGGGACCTTGATTCCTCGCTCCAATTCCCTAAACTAGACCAGAAATTGCACTCATGCAAGTTGCGGATAGTATTTGATAGTTGCTTCATCATGGAATGTCTTTCCGAATGAAGTTGATGTGCATCAGGACATAATGAACCTCGGCGCTTGCTAATCAACAGCGTGAGCTGTACATCTTGTGGCGTCGGTGCATTGGTGCCGAATAGGCGGCTATACTTCATTTTGCGGGAGGAAGACGACAGCGACCGAGTGATGAACATGAAACGGGGCGCGAGATTAAGATCGAGAGATCTTGAAGCCGGTTACGATATTCAACGCTGACTGAAAGGAAAAAAGTCCAAAGGAAAGCTTGCTAGTATCAATGTATAGCCAAGCGATGACTCGCACAGCCAGCAGTATCCTTGGTGACAAAGGCGGGAGGAGCAGAGATGATCATCTGGGAGGAATTCTGTTGCGCCAGTGCAGGGTAATTGGTTGGGTGGGACGGGTTGAGTTGTTCAGACAAAGGCTTGATGCAGCCACATCTCGAGGTTGCAATGAATCTAGGTACCTTGTTCTACGCAGAAGTATGTAGCATGATTAAGGGATCAATCTCTCCCTCGCTTGAACAAGATCTTGATCTGTCGTCGGGGAAGCTGCGCTTTTAATTGTGCTTTTTCGCGAAATCTGGTTCCAAGGGCGGAACCATCTTTCCAATTTTAGGCGCGACAACAAAGGCAACTTGCTCGGCGTTGACCGTGGGTTGAACGTCCAATATTCAACCTAACCATCCATCGGGCCATGGAAATTGTCCCAGCCTTGCTTGTCCTCCCTTCCTCTCTAGGATGTTCGTATATCATGATGAAAGGCGCTCTCCATATTCGCGTACGCTTCTAATTCAGTCCCTTCAACGGCGCTACCCAAACTTGCATCTCCTGTTTAGGTTGAATAAAGGCAACCCTCTCTTCGCCTCTCTCTATAAATCCTACCACCATCATCCATGTCCATCGTCCTCCAAGCTCATCGACAGCGAATACAACTTACCTACAGCTTCAGGCACATCCCAGAGTCTTCTTCTCGCTCATCTACGACACCTTCTGTCCTCGCGTCTCGCCCATCTAAATCCACCAACGCGTTTCTACACGCAACAACTTAACAACTTTTAATACTCTTACTCATCCTTGTACGTCCTGACGCCATACGTTTGTGTCGAGGACATTTTTGCTTACCGTTCTCGCATCTTGAAGTCCTCATCTTTTCATAATGTGCTACAACGTCCACCTGACTACTGTCTACCGTGCATGCAGCCACTCGCATACCAAAATCCAAAAAGATGTTGATTGCTATCAGGCCGACTGCAAACGCTCCATTTCGCATGGTCGCAACTGCCGATACTGCATGAAAGACCCCGACTTCTGCCGCACCAAGCGACTGTACGTCCACGATACGTCACCCTTGATACGTCCTTCACTCATATAGCGTTTTCTTTTCCATCCATCTAGTCCTCACAAAGACGTTGAGCACTTTGACAGCGTTAGTCTCTGCCCATGGTGCTCGTCGTCGCAACCCCGCATGGGCATGCGCGTCTAAATCCTGTTTGACGCCGAGCGTGCTGTCCACTCAAATAAGGGGTTTGGAGTGATGGGAGGGGGTATATTACATCCTAGTAATTCGCCCTTGGCTCCTTTTGCATGCTTGCGGCAGGACCGCTTGCCTACCCTTCCTGTTCCCAAAGTTGTCTCAAAACTCCTCAACAACCTAATAATCCCCTTCAACCAAATCGACAATTCAGCGCCAGGCAATTCGGATATCATACAACCAATGGGGTGACCCATCACTCATTGGTATCATCGAGATAGGAATCAAACCAGTAAACTGCTCGAGCCAACTTTATAATAACTCGCCGCTCAGTAATTGACTAGAGGATTCGCGCTTGCCGGACCTTACAGCAGACCTTACTATACTCTTCCCCAAACTATTCTCTTCTTCTGCGTAGCATACGATCCTGACATTAACTCCCCCCATGATCTCGAGAATTCTCTGTCGTCACGTCATTTTCACTTCCTTACAGCATTCTCCAATCGTCATACCCACTGCTTCCAATCGGCCTCATCTCTATCCATTGCTTCCCTTTTCCTCTCCTGTTCGCGTTGGAGGGGTATTTTTACGCTGGTGGGAGGGGGGGCAAAATAAAAGAAGTCTTTTTCGATCTAATTCCGAATCTAGATTTGACTTTTGCTTCCTTTCTGCTGCTTCTTCCATCTTTTTCCGCTTGCCAAATTTGACCCTAATGAATGTTTGTGTGTGTGTGTGTGTATATTGTATGCGTGTATATTTCAAAAGCGTTGAAAGAGATCTCATGCTTCAAGATGATCCCACGATCCACGATCACCGCCATTGCCTTCCTCTTTGAGAGGAATGGTTGTGTTTAAATTGACTCCTGAATGGGCGCAATCTACCAAGAAGGAAAGCATGGGCTTCATTCAACCCGCGGACGGCGGCATTAGAGGGAGCATTACAATCACACGTACACACGACCATGCGTGGCCGATCCTCCATGAACACGAGTCTCAATAAGGATGCAAGAGCACAGACAAGTTGACGATATATATATACGGATTGTAGATGGCATTCTGATACCGTTGCTCTGAGAGGGAAATAAGGTGGGGTGCTGACGGTAAGTAAAGCGGCTCGGAGTCCTCACGGATACGTACGTACGTTGCAATGCAATGAAATCCAATTGACAACGTGCCCAGCACTTACGAAAATATAGCATATCGTTCCTTAAAGTCCAATCGATCTCTTTGTTACGATCCACTTACCCTAGGCCTAGGAGTTCTCGAACTTTTTTTCTTTGTTCGTGACTTTCCTCACTAGGCAGGCATTAATGAACGGAGCGGATATCGATTCACTGAAAAGGTGACGATGACGAGAGGCCCGATTAATGCTGGGCCGGCCGGGGAATTGAAGGCTCCCAAGGCGATTCGGAAAACACTGCTTTTCATTTGGAACAAAAAGGGGGAAAAGTAAGATCTGTAATATATAAGTATTACCCCCTCAAAAAAAAAAGAAAGAAAGAAAGATCAAAGAAACGGAAGGAGATTACAAACAAAGAGATTCTAGAGACCTATTTGGATTTTGATAATAATTATCATAATCTGATCTTATCCTTATCTGAGAATTTATTTCGAAATCTCGATGAGGACTAGTACATACAAGTTCAGCCATTTGCAACGTCTCTTTGATGCAAAAGCGGTATAAAAGTACAAGTACATACATAACAAGGAATTGACCGGGAAATCGATCTTTGGGACCCACGCCTGGCCTTGCCGACAAAGAAGAAATTCTAGATTCCCGCAATGCAATGTGTTCTTTTTTGTTTTTTGTTTTTTTTTATGTCCGATTCGGTCATGACAAGGAGTGGGATCGAGGAGAGCCATGTATGCATGCATGCAACGCGTGTGACAAAGACCGTCTAATTTCCCCAATTCGTGCACGACAAAGTACTTGTTTCGGGCAGCCAAAACCTCCTATATAACTCCAGTTTCGTCGGGCCCCATGGACCGTACGTGCCGCGTGTTCCGGCATAGACGACTCTCCTAGCAATAGCTACTGTAAGCTCCTTGTCCCCATGATGCAAGCATCATTCACAAATTCGCCTCCTGTCCGGGTGAACGGTTGAACAATGGGTCACTAGCACATTGCCAGCGATGATCTGTTAACATCCCAATTTAGGGGGTAATTGCTCACTCACCCGCTATTGCGCGATCCGCAGATCGACATCAGTGCTGGCCGAGTGCTTGCATGTAGCTCGTGATCAACAAACAACAGCCACAGATAAGTTCTCATGACATCCCATGGGTCAAACCGGCGAACCCCCATCCCTACAGCGCATGCACGTCCAGCTTCCCGATATACATATGCTGCTAAAACGTGGGGGCTAGGCCTGCCGTTCCAGGGAACGATCTCGGAACCGGTTAAGGGGCTCGCAGCACGATCTTATATGAGCATACCATCCGCCCCCGGCCGACCGAGAATCCTCGTCCTCTGATGGAAAATGCTATGCTCATCACACGCCCCCTTGGACGAACAAAGGGGAAGATGGGGACCGCCAGGTTCACGGCATGGAGTCAAGAGAGGGCGGACAAAGAGGATAAGATTACAAGTCACAAGGTGCAAATGACAAAATTCAGTTTTGATTAACATTAACACCAACATATTGGTTGAAGGTTTCGTTAGCATCGTCCACCTCCCTCATCCTTTGGGACAAAAAAAAAATCAAAATCATCCGAAGACAGATCAGACGTGTGTGCATGCAGATACTGCATGTCTGGCTCAAAAGAATAGGGGCCAAGTCGACCGGTATACGTATGTATACACACCAGACCGTAATCGCAGGTCCGCGGCCTTCCCAGCGCGCCAATTACAATTAGGTAAAAATGGTTGCAAAAAAAAAAAAACAAAAAGGTCCATCTCCATTTCCAGGACCCTCACGACCGCCGTATTTCGAAATCCGCAGGTGCACATGGTATGTACTGTACCTCCATCTCAAGGTCGAGCTCCTTCCATTCTCTGACCACTATGATGACGTATATATAGTTCGATTTCCCGATCCTCGTGTTCCAGCACTCACATGTCTACACCCCACAGTCACTGCGTAAAGGGGGGTGAAAATTGGACCTTGATTAGGGACGTATTCAGACCTCAAATAACCGGGTATCTGGAGTTGTCCGATTAGCTCTGAATTGCGTTCCTATGTAAAGTTTGAATATGCGTGTATGAAGGCCTGTAGAATATGAACGTATGCAGTCTTTCTTTATGTACGCAAATTAGGTGAGATTGTTACATAATCGGCGTGTAAATACACATGTATTCGGGCCCCTCCGTTCCCCACGATCCCACCAGCCATGAATCTGTCCAGTCTCGCTGCATGCCCCGATGAGATCACAGATGTCTTAACGCGCCAATTCTGGGCGTCTTGGACAGATGAAAATAGATTAGCTTACATTAAAGTGCACCATGCTGATGTTTGGACGCGTTTCAACTCCGATGCATCCACCATACACCCCCTGATTCCAATTGATCCCGCGCTTATTCAACTTTCTACCGGTTCTATGGAATCTAATGGGGTGGAAAACACGTCCAGAGAGACCGAAAATGTGTTAAGGGCTTCTGTGAATGCTGTTAGAGGACGCAAGCGCCGTACCCTTGCATCAGCCCCCAAGACAATTGCCAAGAAGCTGGCGCGGGATCGAACACAATCAGAGAAGAAGGTTGTGAGCAAAGCAAAGGTATGTATTAATATTGGAACTCAACTTAAAATAGCCATGTTGGTTTGAATCTCTGCTAGCGAGAAATGGAGAAAAGAATCTTTGCAATAACGGGAATGAGCGGTGCAAAGGGACCATGGCCACCTCACAACTCCGAACGAAAAGATGAGAAGTCAGGACTCACTTTCCTGAACCCTGACTTCCGAGTCGGTGTGAAGATGACTGACCCCGCTAATCGGCTGATATGGGAACAAGCAGCTGTGCAGGTTCATGAAGCTATTTGTGTACGTACCTTGAAGGCAATACTGGCATGGTAGACTGCAAATTACTTTCTAGGCTCCTGACAAAAAGCCCTGTTTCATATAAAGCTATAAGATCGTCAACAACCAAAGCCATGAGATGTTGTAGTTGTTCCGTTGAAGGCTCTTGTGGTCCAGGTGTCATTCCGGCATGTAGGAGATTACTCGTACGATAGCTAGAATTTCAAGAAATCATGAGTCAATCAAACAAATTTATCCGACTCGCATGCACACCGAAGTTCCGGGGGGAGATTTGCACAACAAAATGATAAAACACCACTTGAATGAGTCGGTGCAAAGACACTACGACGGCATGAAAACCTTTTGAGAAAATGATTAGGAAGAATACTGTCACAAGAATATGAAAGACGAACCAATCTAGACTTAATGTCACTCCTAAACGAAGCTCACCTGTATCCTTGTTGATACGGAAAAACTCCTTCCCATCCTTGTCCTTCATCTCTTTCCAAACTCTGCCATCCATGATACTCGTATATGCACCCATATTTCGATGAGTAGACCCCCACTGTTCGACCTCAGCTTCTATGTCGCTTCGTGATAGAAACCCTGCGAGGAGTGCTGAGAGGGGTGCCACAGGCATAACAACCTTCGGTTTTGCTACCTTCTGCCCTTTCCCCCATATCAACCCCTGGAACGCGTCCACAAAAGAACTCCGATAAAGCGGAATTTCGCAGTGTGGACAGTGGCGAACATTTTCACCATGAGGGAACAGTTGCCAACATCTCTCACAAAGTACAAAGATTTTAGCGGGAAGAGACATGCGCAATCGGTTCAGAACTGTTTTGAGAGTTACCGGGAAATCATCAAAGCATTTGATGATACGGAGTTCAATCAGAATCTTCCGAAAGACCCATAGCAGCAGGTTGCATGCACGGACTCCAACGTGGTGGTGAAGATTGAGAAAACAAACAAGAAGAAGAAGGACGCGGATGATCCAAGAATCAGAGAGGCTCATATATCTCTCGTTGGGTTGAGACACAGCATCGTGACTAGCTTCGGTGGACATGTCATATAAATGAACACTTGAAGAAGTAGCCGTCGAAAACTGTACAGGAGGGGGCCTAGGGGCACTTCCATCGTGAGTTTGAGGGGCCGGAATAGGTGCTCCAGTCAAGCTTGTAGGCTGAAAACTGATCAAGTGGGGCACTTCGGGAGTATCAACATTCGAAGGGGTGATGAAGAGGTCGCTATGATCGCTATCCTCATCAACGATATCATTGCTAGGAAAGGGGATGTTGGTATTAGGTGTGCTATTGGAAGCCACAGTGAAGAAGCTAGTGGGTATTCCGTGAGCCAATTCTACAAGATCACAGAGAATGGTAGACCTCATGTGACATACCTTACATGGGGACATCGAGAGGACGAAGTGGAACTCCAGGAGGTTCCCCGTACTCGTTGTTGTCGAACATTTCAATATCTGGTGGCAGAGCACGGAAGTATCCAGGTTTGGGACCTGTGCCGGTGCTCGAAGCAGAAGGCTCACTGGCAGAGGAGCTGCCCGCTTGTGCAAGAAATAGCACGCCAAAGTCATTAAGCGATGCCTTTTTAGTATGACTGAGACGCACCATGAATATCCAAATTCGTTAACATTTTACGCTGTTTTCCTGTCCCAGCGGCAGCCAATATTCGTGTACGAGCCCTAGACGAGCCCCTTGATACATTTTTGGCATTCCTCAAGTGTGAGTCTCGAGTCGTTGGAGGGACCCATGTCCCTGGAATTGACCCTTGCTTTGTACATACGTTGCACTCACAAAAGACGTCTCCAGCAGTTCTCGGCATCACATGATACACAGTGCCCGATGGTGGACACAAAAATCAAACAGATAGACACAAGCCAGCTGCCGTTTGGTTGTTGCAGTGGTTGGCTTAAAACCTAAGAGGTAACTTCCCGAAATGAACTAAGGTGATGCGCAAAGCTGTGTAGCATGACGCTTCTGATTTTCGCATATCTAGTTTCGTTCGTGCAGCTCCAATTACGGATGAATCCAAAATGCTCAAATATTTACATATCAGAATCGGTTCAAATATCTCCGAGTACATCCAAACAGGTACCTACTGTGGATCCAAAATTTTGACCCCTTTACGCAGTGAGTCAGCCCCTAAATCAATCTTGTGCTCGGGTTATGCGCGGTGATTGGCGTTAAGGGGAGTTTAAGAGACCCGTCCTCCGCAGCCCCGGCTTCCTATTAGACCAAAAACCGTACCCGGGGGAACGAGCTAAGGCGAATAGTAGCCGGCAAGCGATGCGAAGAGGGAGAGGGGGGATGATATTGCACAGCTGGTAATTGATGCCATGTGTTAACTTCTTGTGCACTTCAACCTCTGAATTGGCTGTGTGACCCCCCTAATTTCAAAGCCAGTTTACATTCCTACCAGGACCGTCTCTGCCAGTGTGCGTCGTCTGATAGATATGCCCATGGCTTGTTCATTACCCAAATTCACGTTTCAATGATTTTTGCACTGCGGGGGAATTGAAAAAGAGAGCACCAGGCCGGATTTGAACCGACGACCCCGGGATATTACCATGACTGCAATCCCATGCTCAGCCACTGAGCTTCTAGTGCCGTTGACTGCCCACAAATATTTCTGTTCACGTATGAGTGGTTATTTATGGTGTCTGATCAAGTGGCTAAATCAACCCTTCCTGGCAATGCGGAGAAACGAGAATAACAGTAAGGCTTGATTAATAAGATTAGGTCAATTAAATGCGTAAAAGTAGGACAAATTGCAATCGTTTGAAGGAAGGTGGTTTGTCAATGTAACAGGAACGACAAGTTGCAGGAGGGTAAGTTTTTCAATGAGGGTGACCATTGTAGGTGGGTATCTGTGTTGGATCGATCTTGGTTATCCATAGTTGAAGCTCATTGGGATTAGGTGCGGCTAGCGCATGGGAATTCGATGGTGTAAATAAAGTGAATGTATGCTTGCGCTGTGTCGTTCAATACGCCATTTAATAAGGTGCATCTATCAAACGGGATACTAACTTACGCCAAAGAGAGCATCCATGTTGTCACTGCGCTCCACTTTGACTCCGCTGCCGCTGAGACTGATTATTCCGACTTCATCTAGTTCATTAGAGTGTGCATATACATATAAATGTGGCCTATTACCGAAACATGATGATTACAGGCATTACAACAATAAAGCGGATGCACGTACCTCCGTAGAACGAACCATCTTCTTACCCATAGATTTTCGCCCGCATCGGCAAGTATGAGAAGATGCCCTTTCTTGGTTGCACCATCGCTACGTTGTCGCTCAGCACAATCAGAAAGGCATACACTAAGGAGATACACACGTTCGAGGAACAAGTTTTGTGGAGGCTACCAGTTTGACAGGTTCCAGAGGGGCGTGTTTGCGCTTCAATGCGGGGCGAGGCGTTCCCTCTTCAGTGGGAAACTGGGTAAGATCCGGCTGGACCACAAATGACTTCAGCAGAGAAAATGTAGGTCGAACAAATAAACGCACGCGTCCACGATGGCCAAACCGCCGCTTCCATAGTTCGATAACCTTGTGTAAAAGTTCGTCTTTGTTCCAAAACCGGTCGGCGTTGGACACCGAAAAGAAGGATGGTGGTAGCGAAGCTAGAACCGCACGAACAGCATGTACGTCCGCTGCTCTTCGTTCCGTGGAATCTAATCGTACGTAGTCTTCAACGACGGAAATCCCACGAGGCTTCCAAGACCCGAGCACTTCTTCGCCTCGGACGTACTTCTCTGAAGTATCCAGTCGCCAGAGGTCTTTCACTGACCTTGTCAGCGGAGGAGTAAGTCGGAGGCTGAAGATGGTGCTAGTCTTTGACAATGCTTTCGTTGACGTAAGCATATTCACAAGCCTCCCTGGAGGCTTGGCATCACGACCTTGCATGACAATGGCAAAATCCATATTGAACGTTGCTGGGTCTAAGCATGTGTCTATGTCAACTGCGAAATGTAGCTGCAATAGCACTCTCTGGTTTGGCGCCGTGACACGATTAAGGAGATGCGAGTCATGAACTCCAGAATCCCACAACGCCTCTACAGTTAGAGAGCCAGTACCATCTGGCCGATACTCAACGGAGGGGTGCCGGAGTATCTTAAGATCACACAAGTCCTTCGATGCCGTGTCCTGTAGACGTCCTTTCTCGTCTAGCAAGCGAATCCTCCCAATTCGTATTCGACAAACAAGGGACCACGGCAGTTGGCGACCAGAGTTACTGGTGAGAACCAGTAGGATTCTTCTCTGTAATCCCTGGTGCAATGTAAATGAACCGGGATCTAAGTAACCTTGTGAGCGAACAGGTACTGGTCTGTATTCGCCATTCGCTGTCAACTCCAATATCCGAAGCCAGACAGTAACGTCATGGGCCTGCTCTGCGACAAAATCGTTCTCAGATCTGCGCATTGCAGAGGGCATGGGGGGTTGGGGTGAATTCGAGGTAGCACAGGATACTGATGAGGATGAGGATGATTCCGGGGGAGCACGTGTTATGCGCTGTTCACGAATTTCATCCCACCGCTCTAACCGTTCAAGATATTGCGGTTTGACGATCGCAAAGAACTCTATTGGAGCATAGCCATCACGAAGGTGGTTAATCACCCGATTGGTCATGGCGATCGAAAACATTCGACGGAATCTAAGTTCGGAAGACACCGAAGTGTCCAGATCTACAGAGTTCGAGGTAAACACCTCCTCGGTAGCAAGTGATGTTCCCAAGAACGCGGAAAGTCGAACTTGAAGGTGGATTGCGGAGAAGTCAAGGGAAGATGGTCCTTTCACATTGTCAACCGTTAGGAAAAAACTGAGTTTTGAGCCAGTAGGAGCGGCGCCAGGCAAAGGAGAAGATGCGCGGCTTTGAGGTAGTGAGCCGTTTGGAGAGCGCAAAGCGGATGGGGGATTCACCGTCCGAACGTCAACTCTGCACGATCCGATGGCTTCCGAGGTGTAACGGCAGAATATTGGGACGGTGGACGTCGAAGACAATCTTCGGACTAAATTGGCAAGACAGATGAGAGCGTTACCTACGAAAGAGTATTCAGGGGCTGGATTATCATAAAATGCCTCCTCTGATGCAAAATGTTGGGAGTAGGATGGTCGGTCGATAAAAGCGCTAAGGTTCCGCATTCGTTGAACTTGTTGCTGTAGACGGTCCAACGACCAGACATACACCGCATTATGCTTCTTATCGAGGACCTTCACGCCTACAGATGGTTGAGTGGCAGACGCGAGAGCAGGATCGGTGACATTCCCTATTTCTCCTAATCCGGCTATGGACAGAAGTGCGGATGCTGGGGCTGCTAATGCACCTCCTGCTGCAATCGTAAAATTGTAGGTGATGTGTTTGTCCAAGGTTTTACTGCTGAGAGATAAATCACGGCCCAAAGCGAGAACAAATAGCTTACACACCTTATGACATTAGCCTCCTTAACTGTCACCGCGTGAGCGAGGATGGACTCAGCCATTGAGAATGATCGGTGAGCTCTCCATCGGTCAAGAACCTTTCGAATCAAACGCAATTGTCTGGCGGAGTAAATTGTAGCCTCGAAGGCCGTAAATTCTGCACTGTCTGCAGCGACTCCACGGGCCCGGAGGTCCAGAAGTCGCTTCATCTGCAATTGCACCATTCTAAGCTGAGTTTCCATGTTCTCCTTCTCTGCTCTGATATCCTCCGTGTCAGCATCGTGTATGGCGCTGAGCCTAGCTTCGAATTCTTGTTTGTTGGCGTCCAATTGCCCCTGAAGCTCCGTTATGCCGTCCAGATCCGGTGAACCATTTGCCCTAGTGTCTAGGCTGGTAGCATCCGTGAATGCATCATGGGAAAATGGACGTCCCGGTTCGCTCCACATGTCTTCCACGGTGCTCATGCGACTTTCGGGACGATCTCCCTTAACAGAAGAGTGATGCTCCCGGCTAGACTTCAGCTTCGTGATGCGATCAAAGAGTTTGTTCAGGTCCTCATCTGGGAGACTATCTAATCCTGGATCCAGTCCGTGCAGTCGCGCTAGAGCAGCTTCCCGTTGGGCAAACATCCAATCTACGTCCTGCTGAGACGACGCAGATCCAGCAGGAGATGCTGGACGTTCGCCAAGCACTTCTAAATCCTGAGAGAAAGTGACAACGTGCATGCTAGTCTTCGCGCGGTCCCTCTGCCTCCGGACCTCCACGGGATTATTGAACCGGAAAACATGGCAGTCGCCTTCGCATATTATTCAGCTAGACAGTGACCAAGGGAAAATGGAGTATTTACCCAAGATAACTCGAAATCCTGAACGCAATCTTATTGGCTAAGGCAAAAGAACTTCAGTATAAGATAAGTGCGGGGAATGGGGAAGTCTTACGTGATCAGGATCAACTTGCTTCCCATTCACCAGCTGTGGGAAGGACTCCTTAGGAACGATCTCACGAACACAGGGAAATCAACGCACAGTTATGCTGCCTGATAAGGAATGGAGCGTGACAAGATCCTCCCGGTTCTCGAAATAACAGTGCTCGTCGAGTATGTTCGAGCCACTGAGACGGATTACTGAAGGCGTTTCACTGTCGAGCTTTCCAACCTGTCATTTATTTTATCCCCAATCAACCTTAAATGAATAGACAGGCAAACAAGTGATAAACGATCTTACCGTGGTGCGACCGGGCTTCAACTGATAAACCAGGCATTCGCTCATCAGAGGATCTATCGTAAGAGTTAGCCTTGGCCCGCACAACGTCAATTGGATTATCTCACCTTCGTTCTGATTTTCAGTCACGAAAAAAATATGAGATTATGAGCTTCCCTAAGGCATAGAGGCATGTAACCGACCAGGTTGACTAAATGAGGCATCTGCAATCTCGGAGGTTCAAACATCACATCGGAGTCGTGTCGATATCTTCTCACCTTCCTTGGAGTATGGACACCAACGTTGTTTTTATCTACAGTGATTCCAAGTTCTTCTAGCGCCTGTTCGCGCTCCTTATGAATCTCTTGGGTGCGCTGCATCTTCTCCTCCCACGTCTCATTAAGACTCTTCATGAGCTTCTCCCTGCTTTCCAGTTGTTCTTGAAGTTTCGCTTTCGAGACGGTCTTCGTCTGACCATCCTTGGTTTGATATGTAACCATTTGCTTGGAAGCTGGTATGGTCGGATCAAACGTGGCTTCTCCGCCAGAACCGCCACCACCGCTGGCAACACGGGCTACAAGAGAAAGCAGCTGTTCTTAACAAGCCCATTCCTCGGCAAGACAGTCAATGTACCCACCTCGCAACATTTCGAGCTCTTCTTTCAGCTCGCGCACGAGTTTGGCATTGGGGTCTTCATTGACAACCGCCTTGTTCTTGATCTTCTTCGCTTGATCAGCATATCGAAGTGTACTCAGTGTTTCATCATAGTCGGCCGGAGAGATTGCAGCTATCATGGCAGTTTTTGAATTCCCTCCTAAGCTGTCTTTTAGCAGCCATGTCAAGACCTTTGTTGAGTCAGGCACGCGTCCAGGCCATGAATAAAGGACAGGATTCTTACAGAGTCGCGGTACGGAATGAAGTCCTGAGTGGCTTTCTTAGGTTTTGCGCCTTTAGGGTCAGCACTCGCCTGTGCAAGCGCAGCGATGACTTTCCAAGAGTTGTTAGAGACTTGTTGATGTTTGCTCCTTCCTTTAACCGTGTCCCTGTGGCTCCCGTGGAGTTCGCTCGTTCAGAACCGGCAAGATCCACCAGACTAAGCAAATGTTAAGTAGGGGATTGCTATGTTGGGCATAAATAGCGATATGCACGTTACCTGATACGAGAAACCTTCTCGGTATCAAGATTTGTCTCAACGTCACATCGCTTTTGCGTCAGCACCAGCGTAAATACGGCATGCGACCGCGATGACCTTGTGGTACATGAATCAGATGCTCAAATGGACAACAAGGGCAAATCTCACGTCTCGTTCATCTGAGTCGCCGCTACAGTGCGCGCCTTATTCCCCTCATCCATCAGTGTCATCATGTCGGTGTAACTCGACACCATAAGCTTCGACAGATCTTCGACGTAGGGTCCCAAACTAGAACCGGGGTCAGTGATCCAGTTATTGCTGATCAGACAACAGTTACATTGGGTGTTCTCGAACTTTTAAATTGCCCTTATTTTTTGGGTTGAGGAGGTCCTTGACCTTCTCGTTGTAGATCTGTAAAGAAGACGGTGACAAGATATACCAGGTGTCTGGAGCACAATTTTTTTTTACCTCAATATATGAAACTTCCACAGTGAAAGCTAGGTTCGGATCCGCACTAGTTTGCTCTTCCACTCGTCTGAACAATTCCTCGCATGTCAAAGGGATAATCCCTTTGTCAGCGCCATCTGAAGGTGGATTATTGCCAAGCCCAGGTAGCAGCCAGTTTACTTACATCCCATCATACTGTAAGACTTTCCGGAACCTGGAGAGAGTGCATAAACACTTCATACGGATATTTCAACAGGAGACGAACCAGTCTGGCCATCTGAGTAGTCATCATTAGAACTGAGTGCAACGGAAAGAAAATCAGTCAAATTTCTTACTCACAAGTTAAGATACACGCATTGAAGCCAGCAAATCCATGCTCAAGGAGTTCCTTCCCAAGATCATCGTAAAGGGTTTGCTGGCTGCAGTAGTTGGTATCATTACGAGCACCAGCTGACCAATAAGACTTGTCGAAAGTAAAGGCCATTGTCTTACGCTCCGTGGCGCGCCCACTAGCATCCTTTTCATCAGGAGGATCTAGAAAGGTCTGATTTCCTTGCATGCGAATAAGGAATTTCGCGCCCCGGGCAATTTCTGCGGAATGCGAACGCGTGTTAAATCAACCAAAACGCGAGCGCCCGACCATAAATCCCAAGACACATCACCCTGTGCTGACCCGGACACATACCTCGCGCGTTCAGTGGCCTTACGCGGACAACGACCTTGATATTTCCATCCCCATGGTCACCCATTGCCGTCGGCTTCAGGAGTGATGCGTGAACAAGACTTCAGAGAGCAGATATTTGCACAATAAAGGTATATAAAGCAGCTATGGGAAGTCTGTCACGGAGGAGATTGATGTCAACGAGCCTGTCGTCTAGGGCGTGGCCAATTGGTGCGCCGCGATCGTGGAAGGGTCAACGGCCGAAACCGACAATCACATGTTTCTTCATCAATCAATAGCCCAATATGTCGAGCGAATTCATAGACTCCGGTCCACTTGAAGGGCAAAACTCTTGCTTATCCCTGTTGAAACGCAGCCTTGCTCTGTGACGTGAGGCCCATGTTCTACTTGGAAGGCATTTATGTTTGGTGGTATGTTGTTCTTTCACACGAGTTTGCATTGAAGATGCAGCGAACCCAAATCCCTCGCCCGAGCCCATTCACTCCTGTGCCTTCATGAGATACAACAGCCTTGGCGGTAGTGCTTTCAACGAACACCAAAAAATTCAAATGAGGGTAGTCTTGGTTACACCTATCGCACTGACAATGAGATCAGCCGTAGAACAGCAACAGTCCCATAGGGCTGGGTGGACTTTGCCAGATGGAAATGATATATAAGTATACGGTAATGAGACCAACCCTCTAGGCCACCCATGTCTTTCCAAGTTATCCGACTTAGAATAGCTTTTTTCTAAAAGAAACAGAGCCCCGTGAACAACATCAGGGAACCTCGCTTCGGCCCTTCCACAATAATGTAAGCGCTTGATTCATGCCGTCCCTGGAATCCGAACGGCATGGTGCGAGCATGCATCTCGGGCTCAAAGTAATTTCGCTTTATCGTCGTGAGAGCCTGTGTAGATCTTCAAGGTGCCAATACATCCCGCACACCACAAGGAGGTCCTAAACACCCAAGATAACACTGCGTGCTCGGGGTGTGATTGAAAGCTCGTAACGTCAAGCCGACTTTAGCGTCATTTCGCTCTCGGCAGGCAAGAAAATTGAACAAAACTCAACGCGCTGCAGTCGGACACGATGCACGGTCTGAATCAGGAGTCTTTGTCAAGGAAAGGTAAACGCGATGGACACGGGAAGCGCTCCTCGTGCTCATCAATGGAGACCGAGCGGCCTCCACAGGTAAAAAGAAGCATAGCGCAAGCAAAGCCTTACCGTACGATGTCCTGAATCGGCAGGAAGTGCAGGTGCGCTCTTGTCGAACTCGGTCAGAGTGCAACTGCTGCTCAGCCTAATTGAAGCAATGATCAATTCGCTGACAGGTTTTCTGAGGTGACAAGTCAATTTGAAACGCCAGTAACTGAACAGTTCATCCCCTCCGATGATTCACGCACCACAACCACCAAGAAGATCACTCAAAGGACTCAGGCATGATAAACGTTAGTATTCCAACATTATTGGGCGCTCCAAAAGCTGACATCAAGATTTACTATATGTACAGAAAAATGACGCTGAAGGCGGCCAAAAAATGCAGAAGGAATAAGTCCTACGGTAACAAAAAGCTCACAAGAATAAAAGAGAACATGTCATAAAGAAGGGGACTCTGAACACCCGAAAGTAACAACTATGAAGAACAGAACAAGCACACACACAAGTCCGTGAGAAAGAGCCAGGGCAAATCATATACTTTTGAGAATTCGACAGCGGGAAGAGAAGCGGCGGGATTGATGGTGCGCATAACGACTGCTCACTGAAGGTGAGGCGGATCTGGGGTCACTGAAAGGAAAGGGTAAGCGGCTAGCGGAGAGGACTCCTTCACTGTGTCCAGTTGTTCGTATAAAGCACAAGAGGATCAACATATTCCTGCTGAGCAGGGTTGCCCCCAATGATGCTCGCGTGAGCCATATCACCACCGGCGTTGGACACATCACCCATATTCCATCCCCCGCTTGTAGCAGGTCCACCAAACCCAGCTGCCGCGCCAGCCCATCCACCGCCGGAATGTTGAGGCTGCAAGAATTGCGGCTGGCTAGGTGATCCCTGAGTAGAATTTATACGCTGTTGTTGTTGCTGATGATGCTGCACCTGCTGGTGCTGCTGCATCAACGAAAGCTGGAAGGGGTTAGGGAACCCCCCTGGGCCATTAGCGGGCTGTGGGGACTGTTGAGACTGCTGAGTCTGTGCGTACTGATTGTGTTGCTGTTGCGCAAGTAGTTGCTGAGGATTGAGCGCGGGCGAATTTCGAGCCCCTGCTGCAGCGCCTGGGTGCACGGATGGCGGTCTAGCAACACCCGTTTGATGTCCTCCCATCATGGAATTGGGATCTATGCCGGTGTTACCACTATGACCGGAACCAGTAGCACCACCCATCGACATCCCTGCCATCATTGGCAGATGATTCACTGCGCGCATCTTATCTATCGGCGCGTATCCCTGCTGGGTGGCAGCGTAACCGCCAGGTCCCATGCCCGTCCCCCCAGCAATCGCAGCAGGTCCAGGGCCCATACCTTGCCGCATGTGCTGCAGTAGACCCATCTGGTACTTCTGTTGCGGTGTAATATTCGGGTACACGCCATTCTGAAGCGCTTGTGCAGGCCCACTACCGGGAGGCGGTTGTACCAGTCCCTGACGGGGTTGATCCTGCTGTGATTGTTGTGGTTGTTGCGATTGAACAGGTTGCTGTTGCTGTTGCTGCTGCGAAGGATGGTGATGCTGTTGATGCTGCTGTTGAGGGGTTTGAGGGACTTGAGGCCCATGCTGGGGGCCTGGTTGTTGAAGGCTTTGCTGTCCCTGCTGCCCAGGCAACAGTTGCTGAGCAGGCATCGAGTAATGCGAGGCAGATACGTTCCGGTTCGATGCACTACTACTGGGCCGCATGCCACTTGGACCACTGGCGGGCGAGTTCATCGTTGTCGGACTACTTGAGTATCCAAATGGAGGCTGACTGCCCGGAGCTCCGGCCTGCCCATGCTGCTGCTGGTCCGAAGAATGGTTAGTGGGAGGCTGAGAAAGGCGTGGACTTGGCGCCACCGCCGACTGCGGGCTTCCGCTTGCTCTCGGATCACCCCCGACGCCCGGAACATTGGGCACGACCGACGCGCTACGCGGGGGTGGAGGTGGAGACATACCATGACTTGAAGAAGGAGGCGCAGGGGCGGAAGTGGGAGTGGAAGCCATCGTACCTGACGCAGATCCGACAGCACTGGGAGGTCGAGGACCTCCAGCTCCAGCAGCCGTTGCACCAGCTACTAACGACGTAGCAGCTTGTTGTGCTTGTGCCTGTTGCTGGTGTTGGTGTGCTTGGGACTGACGGTTTCGTAGTGCCAGGTGCATCTGACGAGTGATGACAGTCAGGATATCACAACTAGGCAGTGATATACCATCGAACTCACCTGAAGCGTAGCAAGCTGTTGCACCTGAGTCTCGAACGGTAGTTGCAAGAACCCAGGGCTCGACTTGAGCAAATGTTGCACAACGGGCCCAACCATTTGTGGTGCATGAGTCGTCCCCAACGTGTTTGTCGGTGCACCAGTCGGACCGAGCGGACCATTTCCAATCCCACTCGCCTTTAACGTTTGCACCGCCTGGTGGATGAATGCCTGCTGTTGCTGAGGGCTGAAGGCGTTTTGTGGTGAACGGAATGTAGGATTGGCATTGGGGGCGACACTCCCACCAGCACCAGGTATGCCAGCGCCAGTGACGGCTGCTCCTGACTGAGGAGGGCCAACCTGGGTGGGTTGTGCCCCAGGAGCACCTGGGAGCAGGCCGTTCGCCTGCGGAGGCAAACCGCCGCCTCCTGCAGCAGCATTGGCAGCTGCCGCACGGGCTTGATGTTGCTGATATATGAGCGCCTGTTGCTGACGCCTGAACTGCATCTGTTGTATCGCCTGCTGCTGAGATGCAGGATCTTGACTAGGGATTTGCTGTGGTCCCTGGGGGTTCATGCCACCATGTGGCTGTTGTGGGTGATGCGATTGCTGCGAAAAAGGCATCGACGTGCGGATATTTGGGAGTTGAGAAGGATGGGAGGGTTGCTGGGGACCGGCAGTAGGCGATATGGCACCAAGTGGGGAGGACTGTTGGGGGGCATTCAGTTGGGATGTGGTGTGAATGGGGGATGGGCGCATCGGGGCTCCCATCTGAACGTGAACTTGCCCAGGTCCTTGAGTGGAAATTTGAGATGTCATTGGGTTGAAAGGGGGCTGAGGTTGAGAATGGGTCAGGTGCGGAGGGGGTTGTTGGGAATGCGAATTATCTGCCGTCATTGCTGGCGTCGAACTTGTCGCTATCACCGGGCCACCATGATGACTGGCCGGCCCATGATGCCCGGAGAACGTAGCACCATTGATCCCTCCGGAAGGATCTTGCGATATCGAAGGCGACGATGAGATTTTACGATCTCCGGTATCGAGTCGCTTCCGTCGGCGAATCCCGTCTTCTATGAGTTCCTCGTCTCGCTCTCTCTTCAATCCGTTCACACCGTTCATGACCATGACACCACCAACCACCGATTGAGGTTGAGGTTGAGGTTGAGGTTGCGCTCCGGGTACGACCCCGTTCACCACTGGCCCATTTATTAGAGGCGGCGGGAGTGGTAACCGCGGTCCTTCCTTTTCTATGATGCCTCTCAAATGATCATACGTCATCACTAACTTCATCACGCCACTAGCAGTTGTCTGAGGAGGGGGGAGTTGAGGAGCAGATTGATGGGCTTGAAGGAAGAGAGGAAGGACGGGGGAAGGGGCGGAGAGGGGAGGGATTGGAATGGACTGCTTGATAATAATATCAAATAATGAGTAAAGATGAGTAAAGACGTGAGTAAAGACGATTTACAAGGTCGGACATCACGCACCGTAGGGGATGACTCTACTTGTGCTGCGATCCATAACAGATTAGCCTGAAGACGACCGGTATAGCTGAGCCGATAAAGCCAGTAGTCAGGTCAGCAGCCCGGATTCTGAGTCAGGAAGCGAAGGACCAACAAACTCACTCTTGGAATTCCGGTCGACTTATCAAATTAAACGCCTGAAAGTCAACGCAGGCTCTGAGCAAAGCACCAATGCATCAGAAAGGCCCGATCACGATGATAAGTTAAGATGCGTACTTCAACAGTTCCGCGTTAATTTCCAAAACCGCGGCAACTTTCTGGTCTTGAGTGGACACAGCAGGCTCATTTTTCAGTGAGGCCGGGGTCGCTGACTTTCGAGGTGGTGGAGGTGGGGGTGGGGTGGGTCGACAACAAGCTGTTTCCCTTCTGATGAAGTGTTGATTACCTCCGCTCTGGAAGGCGACGATGTAGGCGTCGTCCCTGCCGTACCATTTACCGTCGGCGACCGCTTGTCCTCAGTGACCCCAATGGTGGTAGCTGCGACAGTGGTAGCCGATGAGACAGATTCGGCCACAGAGTGGCCTTCAGCTGATCTCTCATCTTTGTTTTCTGGAGGGGTGCAATCCCCCTCGTGAGGTTTCAAGCTAGGTGATGAGGTGGGAGTAGAGGTAACGGGAGGAACAGAACATGCGGAAAGTTCAGGTTCAGCACGCTCAGCTTTAGGTTCAGAGGGAGTTGTTACGGTGATGTTGTTCAAAGGGTCTGAAGGCTCAGCGGATGCTATCGTGGGAGAGGGTTGTTCTGGCGGGAGAGTGGCAGTAAGCTCCTCTACTTTTGCTTCTGCATTGTCGTTAGAATCAGTGTCGGACGGCCTTAGTGCATCTCGGGACGGCGAGCCATCAACGGGCGTGGGAGGCAAAGTGGTAGCGTTGTCATCAGTCTTGACAGTTTCGGCTGGCACCTCGGGTGCAGAAAGGGGCGTGGTATCAGACTCCATTATAGGCAGCCTACAAGCATGATGAACAAAAGGTCAATCTCATCTTATTGCCGGAAGGCGAAGTTTTCGCAAGAACAGAGGGCAACAGCACGAGAGAGAGAGTTACAACCCGTCGAAAAGGAGAGAACTGTAGTAAATTTAAGCAAAATACACTCACGATTGCCAAGGTATATGGGAGTCCCCGGGTAGAGGAGACTGTAATGAGGACAGATAAGCGCCGTAAGCTGACCGTGTGTCGCTTTTTTCGGTCGCTTGTTACACACAAAGCACGAAAGATGCACTGAAATTCAAACTCCGCTTGAAATGCAGGTCACATGCTCGACTCGCCGAGAACGGGGGTAGACAATGGCGTTACTTATCGGAGAGGATGAAGGATGTGAGAGAAAGGTTGACGAAGACATCATGGGCGGGGAAAGGGGGGAAGCAAAAGGGGGCGCGCGAAGGCGGACCAAGATTTTGAGCGGCTTACGCGGGATGTGGTAATTAGACTCTGGATGGAAAATCTGCCCAACGATATATCCCAACAGAGATAAGCTCACCGTTCCATTGGGTTGATCCCACAACAAGATACATAAATTCCCTGAAGACGAGTTGCGACTCACGCGAGTTTATCATACTTGAACATATAAATTTCACCTCCTATACGATTGCTCATATATTCATTGATCGGCCCAGGCACTAGTGGATTCGCTCCTCCAGGTTGGGGGAAATGTTTCTTTCCCTGTGTTTATGCGAATATGTTCTCGATTGGAAACCTTCTTTCACCGAGGGTGATCGCGGGCACCATCCTATTCATACAAGATGAATAGTATCATTATGAAAGCATCCAAAACACCCGGTTCGGTAGTTCGATCTCAGGATAGGTCAATAATCAACAGGTCGAACCTAATTGGGGACATACGCCTGATGCATCAAGGCGTGTCACAAGGGGTCTCAACCCACGCAAAATGAGGAGACCCTAAACGAGGGGCAAGTCCGCTCCAGATTCATGAAACTGAATGGGGATTGTAAGGAGGGGATGTAGTTGGCGATATCGAACCAGATAGCCGTACGCGCGTGGCCATCGGTGACCGAGTGGATCAGGTGTCAAATAGGACCAGTGTTCTCAAGCGTAGGTCAGGTCACCGCCAGTCGCGTGCGTACGCACCTACCTCATGTGTCATCTCCCCCTCTTCAAGCACTCCAGGTGTGGCTCTCCTCCTGCCTTTCTTCTTTGCCAGCTCCTGCCTTTTTTTTCATTGCCAGCTTCCTGCCCTATGATGTCCTTATATCCAATTTCGTCGTTAACAGAACTCAGTTTATGCCACTCACCAATTGAGTCGAACATCTTCCACCTAGACGGTTTCCCTTAGTTGATTGAATCAAATCACTTCCCACACCATGACCCAAATACGGAACTTCTCCGTGCTGCCTCTGCAGTGTTCTTCTGCCGCGCGGGTCCTGATCGCTGGAATGCCCTATGCCATCTCCAGCGCGTTGTTTACTGCATGAGTTTGGTATCAAGTCACTTCACTCAAGACCAATTGGCAGATAGGTACGTACGGTCCACAGAAGATGCGGCGTCAATCTTTGCCTTCATACCACAACGTTATCACAAAGTCACTATGAAAAGTTACCAACAAAATCAGTGCAGAAATAATGTCACACATTCCCTGCACGTTTCCCGTACATAATCACTGGAGTAGCACTACGGTGCTCGAATGGCCGTAGGATGCTTTCACTTCCGGCAATCAAATAAATCAAAACACATTTGCCAATTCCGGATCCCTTACACAATGTCCTGGCGAATCATCATAGCAATTCTTATTCGTCGCTGAGAAGAGTGAGAAGGGCTTGCCCAGCTGGTAAATGAAAACGCAGCGCCCAGCTTGAACTTGGAGCTGAAACAATTCATAATCTTGACCTTTCTCAGTCACCTTGAAACTTGGCACGCAATAGGATCTTCTTCCCCAGACGACGGCCGCCCATAGGATACCCAGAAGCGAAGCGGATGACGGGTGAAACGTTGAGGATGTTGCATGTTCCTCTTTACCTCTCGTGTATATTGAGGCAAAATGGTGTTTCCGACAGCAACCGGAAGATGGCGGAAGATGTGTAGGAGCAGAAACTGGTGCCATCAGTCAACGAGTCCTCTAAGTTGTGGGGAATTACAACATTAACAAGCAAGTCCAGTCCCATGAAAAACCAAAATGCAATGATATATAACCACCGTAAATAATTGTAACCCAAAAATCATGACAATCCTCTCAGAAAGTGGTTGCTGTGAGAGATTCTCGAACCCTTCAAATTTCGGCCGCGCCTGTGTATGTCTGCTGAGAAACAAGGGGATGTTGTGAGGGTGATGGTAATGTGGGCATCGAATGCGAACGGGAAACTTCCAGATCTTCAGAATACCGCGACGTCTCAGGTGAACTGAAAGTGACGTTAGTCAGCCCCACAGATCAATCCGCAACGCACCTCCACCAAAGAGCAGTGAAAGATGACAAAAATCACGAGTGCTTACCGCTGATGCATCGCAATACTGTCGCCTCCATAAGACGTACGCTCCTGGGCCGTTGACGGCCGGCTCGGCGGATACATCTGCTGTCCGTATTCCTGAAACCTCGGAACATCCCATTCACTTGACGTCCGAGCAAAGCTATTCGACATCCTTGCCTGATGTCTCGTCCGCACGTCATCCTCAACAACAAATTCATACTCTTCGGCGTCTCTATCCTCTTTCTGCGGATCCGGCACTCTTGCGTACATCGCATCGCGATTGCCATATGAACGGTATAATGCATTGTGTGCGGCTGAGGGTGGGATTCGCCGTTTGGCTCGAATGGCGGAATAAATAACCACCCCTCCTATGAGGGCCGCCACGGAAAGGAGGGAGCCAACAATGGCGCCCACTATCCACCCTGTTCGGTCCTTGGCTTTTGCCGCAGTAGACGGGGTCATCAATGGTAGACTTGCACTCGATGTTGGGAAAGAATTGGTGATAGAGAGGGTCGAAGTGGACGAGGAGTCTGTAGTTGTAGTTACGGGTAGTGTTTCACTGTACTCGAAGCGATCGCCAATTTGTTTCGCCCGCACTTTGTCAAAAGTACCACCTGTGTCGGAGGGTTTGGTATATGCCCAGCTCGGAATTCGGGTCCCCGGGTCAAGGGATGCTACAGAGACAGACAGCACCGTCGGTTTGGCACGGATCAACGTTCAACATTGGAATGTGATTACCTGGATAACTAAAAAAAAGGGGAAATAAGCGTCTGTGAGAGGGACAGTAACTACTGACTTACAACCCCTCGGGCACAAGGAATTCATCAACACAGTAATATGCCCAGTCATACCATGATTGGAAGTCCTGGCCCTGGCATACTTCGAGGGGTGGGCAGGGTGGATGTCTGAGGATGATGACCCAGAAACTGGCACTCACTCCCGCAAGCCGCTAACATGGAATATGTGACGGAAGAACATGAACATGTCGATAGCGATGCTGAAGGAAAATTTGATATTAGTATGTACCAATTTTTACCTGACATTCGCGCACAGTTTTTGGGCCCGACTAAAGATATAGAGTAAAGCAATGGTGAGCTGTTCAGGTTAGAAACGTGGGGAAATGGCCTCACCATATATGTATCCATCTTTCAGTGGTGGTACCGTGAACGCTGTGCGCATGCGTCACTTGGGGATAAGAGAATACAAGCAAGGGTCACTCACATCCTGCGAAGCATCGAGCCTGGAGATAGGCACCCATAAGACATGGACTCTAAACAAGCCGAATCAGGCTCAAAAGAACAAGGGGATGGGACAGGGAAAACGCGCTACCTGCCCAAGACTGTTGTTCATCTATAATCGCAGAGCGAAAATCAAATGCCCGTTATTCAACGCAAAGAGTTTTTCACGCACCCATCTATACTCTGGCAAGCACTGAGCTGTGCTGACCACCTGAAAGGCAATGCGATTGTGAGGTTTTGATCCACCAATGAGGGCGCATACCTTGCGAGATCAGGATACGCACTCCGGCCTGAACGTTCACGGCGGACAGCAGGACAGTTATGAGGACGGATGCTCTCAATGCTGAACCAACCATTGCAGATAGACTCAAGAGGGGTAGAGGATTGTAAGAGACGAAGTGCCCTTATAAGTCAGAATGCCCAACTCGTGCCTTATCTAGCAGTATGAGCAGATCAAGGGGAAGTGGGACAGCGCCTTGCATTCACTGTCATCACCGGTGAGGTGCACAGCAATGCCTGTTCTCGCTACAATCCAATCGCTGAATGCCGATCAGTTGACCTGTCGTACGAATAAATTACCTGCCAAGCAAAGGCACAGTCCGGAATTGGCATTCTTGCCTGCTGCTCCGGCCCGTAGCTGGGTTTGTGTTATGTGGTGCAGCCATCCGGACGATGACACTCACACCATCGCCACCCGCGGGACCTATGTTTTTGGCCTGAGCAGATAGAGTCGCTAGTAACAGAGATGGTTTGCCCGATGATAATATAGAGGCTGGAGCGCGACAGTGCTCGTTGGGCGTGGGAACTTTTCGACCTCCGATCACTTGCCGCAGGCTTATTTACAACTCGACGATGGAGAACGACGCAATTCTAACCAGGAAGATTGGTTCTAATCTGGCGTGACTCTAAGACCCCCAAGGCTTTCGAATCGGTCCTCAGTACTTCGGATGAGTTGTAATTCAGTTCAGTACAGGTGGTTTGGAGAGTGGCGGCTCACGATCGGTGGTCGATGCTTCTCCTTCACCAGTTTGTTCTGAAGTTCCACAAGTATATAGAGTGGTTACGTAGTACGGAGACAAATATTTATGGGCATACAACCCGTCCCACCCTTGGGGTAGACGGTCGTTGGAGATCGATGCACAGCATGGTTGAAGAGGATATCCAGTTTTGCGAGCTCGACGATATTGGAAACGGGGTCCTTCCAGATCCGTCGCATTCCCCCCCCCCCCCACCGAGGAGTAATTCCAATATCATCCTCTTGGTGTCAGTTCAGTCCTTCAAATGCACTGCCATGCAGTGCAAGCGGCTGGACAGAACTCAACGGCGGAGCTTTGCGTTTCCCGGTCTCTTGGTCTATTAGGCCATAGCTTCGCCCGTCTCGCATGGCTCAGGCGCTGTCCCTTTTGAGTGATGATAGTTTCGTACCCGCCAGGTTCCGCTCCAAAGTCCATGAAGGTCTTCCTTCAATCTGGAACAAGCGGAACCTCGACCGCTTTCTCTGTGTCATTACTATTTACCTGTTGGCATCTTCGCCTCAACAGCACTCCCTGCATCGCAACCTGAAGCTTGTGGTTGCTTCTAAGTCGACCATCTGATTCGGGTGCATTTTGAGGATAATGCCCCCACCCCTTCTCTCCTTCTCCACAAATGGCTCACTCAGGGCTCCGTACCATGTCGTGGTCCGTGCTGCAGGAATTTCACTCATACCGGCACTCATCCGGAGCCTTGTGACCTGTTGTCAGTTTGCATCTCGATCCGAGCTTCTGGATCACAAGGCAGTGCTGAGCGGCATGTAGCATTCATGCACTGCCAACGTGCTGCTTGAATGTGGTATCGGTTTACTAAGCCCATGTTAGCGCCGATTTGCGAACTGCTCACCCTCAACGGTTTTCCGGCCGTCTTGGTTGGGGCCTCTCGCTGGCATGTCGCAACTTCCTTCCTTTCTTCCTACATGGACCCGATTTAGACGCCACCGGCCTTGTGGTGTTACAACTCGGAAACGACGTGCTATGATTATGTACTGCTAATGGTAACTTAGCCGGGGTTAATTCCTTTATTGTTCGCCAAGCTGCGCAAAATGGCCAGGCAGAGATGCAAACATGAACTGACGCGACGTCTTGGCCAGAAGGGTATCGGCGAAGAGGAGCGAAATGGCAACGATGTCACAGGTCCCTTGGGACACCTGAGCCTGATGCAAAGCTTGTTATCACGTCTGGTCGCCTCCACGAGGCAGTGCTTCCCGTATCTGATGAAACTGCCATCATTCCCCTCGTTGTTGGCACTCAAGTTATGAAAATCCATACTTATACTGACTCCTAGCTCCCTGCACACCTATCTGGCCCATGATGCGACACGACACGCATTGCATTCTCAGTCTGCCAATAACATATCGACCGACCACAACGAGTAGCACCCGCTACCTATGAGAGTATTCCGTTGGACGGAAAGGCACATAACTTTAGGCAAGCATTAGTCCTTTAGTGGCTTTTCGGAAGATACTTGATGGCGTTCGCGAAGGTAGCGCATGAGGAAGTTCCAGTCTGTATCCAACAATATAGTCAGTATTGGCTAAAAACGAATTTACCGCTCAAGCCTACAGGTTCAATTCTTCATCAACCACGCTCCTTCGTATAAAATAATAATACCATATCCCTGAAAGATGTCCGCTCGAGTCGCACTGCACAGTCGCATTGTGGCCGGTGTAACGCTGCAGAACGGCCTCCCACTGTATGACGTAGAATCCTCATTCGGCATTTGCGAACACAGCACGGCAGAAGATGATGCACCTATGAAAAGTTCATTACCTCCAGCCAGTACTGAGGAACGTAGATGGAGAATGAATCTAGACCCTCGGCCATGTGATTGTACCATTTGCACGAATTTCTTCTTTCCGGCAGCTTCCAAGGTCTGTCGAGGAATTTCGTATGATCAGCAGCAGGCGGTGCACAAAGACGAATGCCCGCTTCAGTACTAATGTCCCTTGAATCGTCGCACTGGGATCACATTCTATGTTCCAATTCTACTGAGGAAGTGCGCAAATGTACCATCACAGTGAAGCAAATATGAGGGGATATTGCCTCGGGAGGAATTGGGCCAGAGACCATGAAGCGTCCATGCGTCTGGAGGGCCATTGACCCTACCGGGGCCGTATTCCACAACTGGGTTGAGCTGATTTAGCGCACTCAATCGGTAGCTAGCTGCTGATAACTTTCAAGGCGGTCGTCTTACGGTGGTCTGCCGCCTATGCACCATTATCAGTGCGACAACTTGAATAATGGATCATTCGCCGAATCCCAACGTACCGGGGGCATTGGAGCAACAAAGACCCTTCTGTACCGTCGGGTTGGTGTACGACTCCTTAGGATCACCGAGCCATTTCCTCCTAAATGGAAGGGATCACGCACAGCGGAACGATAGCATCTTTGCCCGCTTCGATGCAGGAGGCGACCCACGCAGGAGCAAACGAGATGAGCGCGAAAACCCGGAGCATCTGTTAGCGTTCGACTGGCCCGGGGGAAGGAGACATGTTGAGGCGTGCACCCGCTCATGCAAAGCATCGTCACTCCCGGATCCCGCTTTGCTTCCCGCTTTGTCTTTTCCGCTTATAACGAGCTACTTAACTTACACGCATCCTCTTTATCCCTTGCCACTGCACTTTATCACTCTACCGCTTCACCACTTCAATTTCTGTAATATGGTACCTGCGGTACATCATTTAATAAGTAGACTTGTACCGCAATCTTAATATGCCGGGGGCATGTTCTACACTCTCATATCTATTCCATTCCTCTCATGTTAGTGATAATATTGTAGCCATGGTCCGATAAATGTTTATCATAGCCACGGGCTTGGCAAGTTAAGGAACAACACAAGAAAATCGCTTGTAGAAAGCATGCCGTAATGTAACTATGATACACGAAAAAAGGTGGGAGTAATAAGTTATTGAAATGGAAAGAAAATGCAATGTGCAAAGAGGCGTTGAATTGGCAGCGGAAATGAAGATGAAGGCTGGTGAATTGCGAAATAAATCAACGATGCGAATGCCAACGTGGGCGGATGCGAAAAGGTGGTAGAGCTAGGTGAAATGATATAGAGCAGGCTAGGGTTTGCGTTGGTTATGAGCGAGGGAAGGGTCATGCCAAAAGTCGCAAGCTTCTCCGAAACGACAACTAGGAGTGGGGAGGAGAGTCAGAACATAACGGTGATGGCAACAACAAACTACTTACTATCCTTTAGCAAAGAAATTGCAGAGTGGCCTGGGTCGGTCACCTTTTGGCCCTCCACCTCTCCCGCGACCTCTCCCTCGCCCACGGCTTCTTCCTCTATATCCACTGCTACTGCTACTACTACCACCACCACTATCACCACCCCAACCATCGTCACCTTCGGAACCCCAACCATTCCTGGCGGATTCCCTCCCATCTGTGCCCCATTGAAATTGCCCATCGTTTCCGAAACTACCCAGAGCACCGAAACCGTTTTGGTCACCAGGCCCTTGACCGTAGCCATTTGGCACAACTCCAGGGCCAGGGACAGGAGTACTGCCCCCAATCCCAGCACCCGTTGCTTGAGCGAGTTGTTGTTGAAGCGCTTGCAACATCTCGGGTGTCATTCCACTAAGCACTTGTGAGAAATCAATGCCATTGGTTCCCAGTTGTTGCATGAACGCTTGCGCCCCGGCGGCTGATCCGAATGGTTGTGCCTGAGACTGAGCCGGCTGACCCCATACGGGTGCGCCAGCATTCGCACTAGAAGGCGTAATCTGGGCCAGCAAGTCACCTAAAGAAGTTGGAGTGGTTGTGTTCAGCCCTGCGATAATCTCGCTTATCTCCGGCCCTGGAAGCATCGCCACCGGCGCAGGAGCATCCGGGTCAGAAGTCCCGATTCCGGGATGCAATTCATTCGCGGAATCGGGAATGAGGGAGTCTGACATGTAAGACGCGACTAGGGCATTCTTTTCGCGTTCTTCTTGAATTTTTTTCTCGACGCTGTCAATTCCGCGTTCCTCTAGATCATTTTGAAGTATTTCTATCACTGAAGAACATTTGTTTTAGGTTACAAAGATCATCAGTTCCAATGATCCCCGTCAATCAGTGTGAAGGGCCGAAACTGCTTGACGTTTACTCACGTGTAGGTTCATACCAATCTATGGCTTCCTGGAACAAGTGGCCATGCAATGCACGCCCTTCGTCTCGATCCAACGCTTTGACGCCGTTTAAGGAATGCATTGGCTAATGTATGAACAGAATTGCCACGCGAACGGAGTGCAGGGAATTCACATTCTGCATTGGTGACGGTTCTGGAAACGGAAGGGCCAATACATACCTCAGACGCATCGTCACCATACTCAGCTCTTGTTATCCATCGAATGGACTCGAGCTTGTCGTCAGTTGGGAACGTCACGCTCTTCTTGCGCTTTCCAAACAAGGACTGCATGCTTCCCGCCACGTTATTCATATTCAAGGTTGTAGGGGGTGTATCGACGCTCATTGGACTGTCTATTTTCTCAGCACCAGTGCCACTAGTACTGCCTGATCCACTGGCCCCGCTAGCTGGCTGGGTGGGGTCCATCTTGACTGCTGGTGTACCTTTGGCAGTCAATGCTTTTAGGGCTTCTTGGAACGGGTCCACATTCGAAGGCTGAGCCACACCGGGACTTGTCGTGCCCTCTTCCTTTTTCGGTACTTTCTTGAAAGTGGGTAACGGTTTCTTCTTAGGAGCGGAGAAGAACGAGTTGTCTGTCTTGGCAGCTTTTGTCGTAGTTGTAGTTGAAACACCAGGCTCGGTCTTGACACCAGGCTCTTTCTTCACCAAAGTTGTTGTCGTGGTTGCTGCGGATGTCGTTTGGGGGGTCGGTTTCTTCATTGGGGGAGTTTTGACTGTTGGTGCTTCAACAGCCTTTCGTTTCTTGTTCGCTGCATCCGCAGGGCTGAGCGGAGATCCTGCCTTGGATTCTAAAGTGACATAGGTTCATTTTGTGATTTTGTCAGAAAAGCGCACATGCTGTGCGAGCATTCGATGTGACATGAGAGGGTGCAACACACCGTCTTCAGCTAATGCTTTCTTTTGTTGCTGTGCGATGAGATTCGTCCATTTCTGGGTAAGGATCGACGCCAGGTCCTTCGCGGCTGTTAATCACAGAATCCGTTGAATAATCATCATCAATTTTAAAGATTGAATGTGAGGATTGGGGAAGAAGATTCAGGGAGTGAATGGGAAAAGGAAATAGCACATGCAAATCCTCCATCCTCTTCTCGGCCACGGAGAGGAGCAGTCAACAGGACATATTGAATATAAATGCTCTAGTATGGACGTCCGTATCCAGCGGATGGCAAGTCAAGAGGAACCTCAAGGGGACACTCTCGGCTTGGTCCAACTCTTTCTTATGTGCACCTCACGGTGGATTGGATTGTGGCGGCATGCTCTGAGGAGCCGAATGTGCAACGTACCTTTGCTCGGGGGATCCGCAACAATATTCTTTATAAACTTGCCGATTCTTGACGTCCTGAGTTCCTCAAAGCCCAAGGGAAGTCGGTCAATCACCTGTGATCGCCGAAAAACCGATCAGTGCAACATTCCACTAGCTACGTCACAAAGCGTTACACCCACATTGAGAAGTGGCATGAGGGTTTCTTCCACCTCCTTTCTGCCATTTGCATCTTTCTTCGTCGATGCTGATTTTAGCCAAACCCGGAACATTTCCATTCCATCTGGGTTTTTCGCCCAAGCTTCATAAAAATCTTTTCCGGCATTATCACGCATGGCATTTAGTATATCTTTCCGTAAGGAAGGAGAAGTCTCTGAAAAACCCATCTGAGCAAGAGCTTTGATTAGACTGTTCGCTGCGGCGATTGGTGAGCGTTCGAGAGATTCAGGAGAAAGCAGCTCCTTCAGTGCTGTTGGCTGAGCTTTGCGAAGTAGACTCATTGTCGTAGGTCGGGATGACGAGGACATGCTAGGCGGGGCAGAGGAAGGCGGCGTCAGAGCTTTGGCGGGCTTTGGGGCTACAGCGGGAGTTGCGGACTGGGATTGGGAATGAGGGCGGGGAGGTTGACCATAGAAGCTAGAAGGATCAGTAGGAGCAGGGATATTGGGATGCAATGAAGATGGGGATATGGTACGATATGTCGTTTGAGTGGTGGTAGGGGGAGGAGCGGCGTACTGTTTTGCCAACGGCGAAATCGAAACGAGTGCAGGGCTTAACAGTCAATGAGAGGGTGAGTAACGCAGGCAGCCGCGAGTTGATGACATGCTTACTCAATTGTAATTTGTTGGGGTGGTTCTGCTGCTGGCGGGGGCGCGGAGATAGCAGGTACGGGAGTGCCATTAAGAGCGCCATACGAGTACGACGTTTGCGGTGTGTAAGGATTATGCGATTCTTCCGTAGAGGGCGTAGACGAATATGTGGCAGTATAAGGAAAGGACGGTGCGGTGTACCCAGCGTAGTACGTGGCCGGATCAATAGTTGACGTGGGGGTGGTGTAATCTGTGCAAACACATCCTCAGCGTCCGCTTTCTAAGGTCCAAGGGTTTTCGCGGGACGCACTTGTAGAATTATGGACAGTAACGTTCGGTATCGGGTTCTCAGGATGGGACTCATATGAAGTGTGTTGTGTCATCGGCGGTCGTTCGGGTTGATGATTGTGCGATGGAATCGTATGCCGAGTTACTGGTGCTGGTTGATGATACTGAGGCATATACGATGATTGCGATTGCTGGTACGCATTGTCCACAACATAGGATGAATGTACAGCAGCGTGGGGGTCATAACCATTCGTTGCTAAGCCAGACGCCGTGGGAGAGGACGCTGACGAGGTCGGATCAGTGTACCAAGCGCTTGTGCCCAGTTCGCTCTTCAGAGACGACCATGGGTTAACATTTCCGTTTTGGTCTAGTTCAGGTATTGAAGCGTGCAAGTAGGGGGCTCACCGAGGGTAACTGCATCTGCTCATGGATCCATGACTCGTCTGCTGCACCGTTCATATCGTCCACTTCTGTAAAAAAAATGTAACAAAAAAACAGGGCGACGCATTCAGCATTAATGACATGTTCATTCTAACACCCTCTATGTGATGGGGTGAACGGGAAATGGTTCTTTGCCTTTTTATAACGAGATTTTCAAGATAGCGTGCTCTATACGCTACAATCTCTGTCTCTGCGCTTCTCTTTGGACAACCACGCCACTTTTTCAAGTTTTTCAAGTAGGTCCGCTCAGTGTCTCTCACCAACGCGAGGCGATGAGAAGGGGTTTTGTTGAGGGCACTGAAAATGGACAAAGCGTGCACTTAATGTCGGCTATTCCCGTCGGCTGCACCCGCCCCCCCTGGCAAGTAGAAATTGCTTGTCCAAACCAATAACTTTTTTCTTCCCCGTCAGTTGCAAAAATGGAGTCGGGGAGCCATCGGTCCTGGCGCTTGTGGGCTTAGATTGAGTTTCGTCGGTGCCGCCGATGTGTTGTCCGAATTGGAAAGCAACTCGGTGAATCGAATTTAAACTTATGTGGGCCGCCTAATTTGCCTCAAACTGGTGATCTTCTGAAGCAATCGGGCCACAAACCCATCATCTATTTCAAGTGTTATTGGCCGACAGACCCAGTCGGCGTTTCCAGTTTATGCATACTGCATACTTTTCGGCTGACGGCATCACGCTTGTTACAATTGGTTAACAATGCTGGGATTGGTCCCACTATTTCGTTCTGCACACAGGTGGCATTGGTTTGTTTCAGCTTCACACAGAGCTGTTGGGTGCAGTTCTCCGGGACATTTTCTTCGAAGGTAATTGGGTACAGGGCGACGGGAAGTGGGAGCATCTAGAGTGTTGGACATGATGTATTGATGATCCAAAGTCATTGTAGTCTAATGATTTTTTCAGAATATTTTATTAATCTGACTGCCTCGATGGTCTGATCTGGCCTACTGGCTTTCAGATATATTCCGATTGGTGTTTGTTTGTTGAATCGAGCTTGGAGCAGCTGAATCCAAATAGCATCCGAGAGTCGCTGAAAATCTCCAGTTTGAGTCTTACCCCCGACTATTAACCTTACTGACCCAAGTGAGTCCCAATAACCACAATCCCAACCCACAACCTTGTTTCCAACCGCACTTCAAGCACTCCCACCGTCATGGCTTCTCATGAGGATGGAGTAGCGTTGCAGATGAATGAACAAAAGTCCCAGGTATGTCGTTCTCAACATGTTATGGCGCGTCGCGTCGCGTCTTCGAGATCAACCGGGTTTCACATTTCTCACCATTCGCCCTTCGCATCTCTTCAGCTCAGCACCGCGCTGACTGAGGCTGCAAGAAGCCTCCGTCTCGTCGCTGGCATATCTGAGCGCCTTGCTATCGTCCTGGACAAAGTAGACCTCACGCAATCTCCCGCAACCCAAGCAAAACAGTATCTCGACATCATCCTCGCAACAAATGCGCTTACCTCTGTCGCATCTCTCAAGCCTAATCCTACACCTCTTGATAAACGCAAACGCGGAGAAGGCAAACGGAAGAATCCAGATGCGCCCAAGAGGCCTCAATCTGCGTACCTGCTTTTTCAGGCTTCCGTGCGTGGCAAGCTAAAGGAGGAAAACCCAGAACTGGATAACAAGGAACTCATGGCCTATATCGGGTCCAAGTGGCAAGATCTGTCAGAAAAAGACAGGAAGGTGGGTTTTTTGTTTTTCAAGTCCTGCAGTGTTTGTGACCGAATCCTGCAGCCTTTTTATGAAGCACATGAGAGAGGGAAATTGGAGTATGCGAAAAAGCAAGCTTCTTTTTTAAAGGGCTCAGAGGAAGCGGCAGATCAGAAGGAGACTAAGGGACCAACGGAGACGAAGGGGCCTACGGAAACGAAGGAGCGCAAAGAGAAGGAAAAGGAGAAGACGAAGTTGCCCAACAAGACAGAAATCACCGACAAGTCTGCCAAAGTCAAGGGGCGAACATCCAAGCCGGAGTCAAGAATCGAGGTTGTAAGCATTGTATTCCATTTTTTAAGCTTGTGTGCTCAGGAAACTGTTTCGTTACAGGAATCTGAGGAGGGCGAATCGGACCCGGACATTTCTGAAGATGATTCGGAAGAGGTGGAAGAATCGGATTCAGAGGACGAGCCAGAGCCACCGAAAAAGAAGAGCAAGACTGTTGCACCCTCGAAGACGACTTTAAAGAAAAAATAAAAATGGTGTTTTTTCGTGACCACTTCCACCCCTTTTATGACTATGTTGTCCTACATACTCTGCATGACATCGCTTACTATGAAAATATCTCAGCATTATATGGTAGTCATTTGTTCTTATATCCCGCTCCTGTTCTTTCCCCCCTCGTTGTCATCTTACATTATCGTTTTGTAGTTGTGGGCTTGTTTATTCAGCGTTGGATTTGTCGATTCTATGGCTTTCGATCAAACTGTGCAATGCTATGCTCGGACACTGCAACAGTACTTCATCTGGCCGAATTCACTCTCCGGCGCACACGCACTTGGCATAATTCGCGCAGTTTTCGCAGCCAGTGTGTATGTGGCTGTGTCCGATGGGGAAACCATATATTCCCGAGAAACCAGGTGGTTGTTTACTTCCCCTAAGCAATGTCGCAAGCACCACCACCCAACCCGGACAAGCGTCCCTTGCCACCTGGTCAGTTCCCTTCAGCTAAAGGTCGAGCTCGCAATGGGCTCGATCGCCTACCGATCCCCTCGCTGATTACTTCCCTCCCTTGGTGCACTTTGTGACTTGACGCTGGTTTGGACATGTGCTTTCTCCTTTCTAGGATGGGTCGAACAGTTTGATGAAAAGTGGGTATCTTAGACGGCAGCTTTGTTCCCAATTTACTTGATTGTGTATATCATGGAATTCTGTTGCTCATCGTTTGCACTTTGCGTGGTTTTGGGCCACTCGGATTCATGTTTCGTTGGTGCTTCGGTTGCACTTGCGACTCAACTGCAGGTACCAAACATGGTACGTTCTCCATCTTTCTCCCGTCAGTTCGACATGAAATATGTCCTTGACAGGTTCTACGTAAACACTACAGTCAATCCACCTCAGAGTTCGTGGACTCATCCGGCCGCTGCGGCACCTCCACCCCCCGGCCCTCCCCCTCCGTCGAGCGGCTACCACTCACCTCCTCCGAATAACTACGGTCCTCCACATGGTCAGTGCACTTCGGCTTTGTGCTCACCCAAGTAGAGATCTGTCCATACTTACCAATCGCACTCTGGGGTCCCCCTTTAGGCGGGCATTGTGGGCACCCTCAACAGGGTGGCTGGCAAGGTGGTGGAGGATATGGATATCCTAGTGTCCCCGGCGGATATCACAATAACCAGCCGTATGGTGGGGGATACTACGATAACCGTGGTCATGGAGGTTATGGCGGTTACCAGCAACCTCCACCTCAACCGACATATGTTGTTCAGCAAGCTCCACCTAAAAAGTCTGGGTTGTCAACCGGTGCCAAGGTGGGTTTGGGCGTTGGAGGGGGCCTGCTTGGTGGGCTTTTGCTTGAGGATGCTCTTGATAATGCGTACGACAATGGCTTTGACGCTGGCGGTGAGTACACGCTGCATGTCGATCCCTTGTCTCGCTGGTCCGAACGTTCTTGGTCTAGATGATTATGGCGGCGGTGACTTCTGATCACCTCTTGGAGAATCGAAATGTTATTGTCCACCCAATTTACGCAATAATGCCCCCTCACTCATATCGCTGTGACCGATCATCGTGCCTCCCGACTGATCTCTCTTTCTTCTTCGGGCTCCTGTTTCCAGTTTGTGGCACAAGATCTACATAATGAACTAGATGTTTCCCTGTACAATTTGTGTGATGATGGTGGTTGTCACTTTCATGAATCCCTAGGTCCCCCCTTCACCCCTACCCCTCTTTGGTTCCAATATTCAATTGTGTCGTGGTTTGCTGTTTAATGTAAAATGAAAATCGTCGCTATGCCGAAAGATACCGCACCCTGATTATCATTCTCATGCGTAGTTGCAGGATTGGCGGCACAGTAAACCCGTGCCCACCATTGATAACAAGTGCTCATGGGAATCCATGCCCGACAGTACGTATAAGAACGTTGAGAATTCACAGAATGGAGGGAAATCCACATGGCCTGAGGGGTTCAACCAATGAAAGAAGCGTATCGTAAAAGGAGGATTGCTACAAAGTCGGCTCCTGCGGGTTCCGCCGATGGCCCCTGGACTAGGAGGACGGATCAAGCAGGAATGGGGAGGAGGGTATGTTGAACTTGTAATTCGAATGAAGGAAATAGCTAAAACCTTGCTCGCCGGGAAAGTGTGCGGAAGCTGATTAGATCGGTGGGCCTGGGTGAGTGAGGCTAATTTGTGTTCTTTCGGCGATTTTCTTGTTTATGCATTCTTGTGAGTAATACGGTCGGCCAGGCGGGCCCGCTGTCGGCTTGTGTTTGCGCGGAAGTAAATCTATGTAGTATAGAAGGACGTTTCAGATGCGGAATGTGGGTTTAGGGAACAAGGAGCTCGAGAGTTATTGATGCATGAGCGGTCGTTTCATCCTTGATGCGGTCGTGGATTGTGTCGGGCTATGGGAATATTAGTTGCGTCCAAGAATAGCACACTCATAGCATATCGTAGTCGTCCAACTGTGATAGGGAGGTGTAAGTACGTCGAACATCGGTGAGGTGAAGCAGGACGGCTAGATGTCAGTCATACCTCGTCGTTGTACCGCATGACATGGCGCTTGATTTTCGAGGAGTCCACCCATGTAACGTAATCCTCCATGTGCCTAGTGGTAAGTTGGGAAAGGAAAGGATGTCAACATGGAAGAAGAAGTGAAAAAAGAGCATGGTAAAATGTACCTCACCACTAGATACGCGGGATCTGTTATCGTGTCAACTCCTACACGAACGTGGCCTTGTTCGATGTAGGTGACAGCCTTATGTTGAACGGCGCGCATGGAAAAACCAAATCACCAGAGGGAGAGAATGGGTCAAAAAAAAAAGTAAGAAAGAAAGAAATGGGGGAGATAGAACGTTCGACTCACCATCTTAAGATACTGGCACATCTTCAATCTGACCATCACAACTGCTAACCGTCTACGACAGAACGCGCTGACGGTCAATTTATTCTGAACGTCTGAAAATTTCGTGTCGAGTTCCAGAAGGCCCATATCGTATAACTTGGAAAGAATCTGGGACTCCATTTTGTGGCGGTAAGGGTCTTTAGCTGGGAGCATGGTAATGCGTGCAGCTAAGATGCGCATGTTTCCCACTAATTTGTTGTATCTGGATGGATGATAGACAGTGGTAAGTTATTTATGATGGCTTATATTTAAGAATAGGGTAGTTCACTTGTGATAGTCCTCTGGATCTTGGAGAAAGTATGTCCGAATGATGCGTAGATCTCGACGGTCTTTTTCCTTCCTCCACTGTTCTCGCGAAGAAAAAACAAAAAAAGGCGTCACACCCCATCAAAGACTGATAGGACTTGGAGCAACGCACCTGAAGGAAGTCGACCTTTTTCAGTAACTTCTTCTCGTGATACTTGAGCTCACGCATTGCTTAGGCAGAGAAGTTGCAAGCGCCTGAAATGAATTGAACGGAAGCAAATCGCTGGCCAACTTGGATTTGCTTTGAACCGCCGTGCCGACATTCATGGCGCTTAGTGTTCGGCCTGTTGTTGAGGCCGGGAATGCGGTCATGTGTACTGTTATATCGGTATTTGGTGTTTTGATACTATCCAGTGGGTTTGTTCCTTGTCTTACAATCGACGAGTTGTTGTGTCCTGACGCAGGGGGTGCTGCATTTTCACCGTCATAGTTGTGAGATTGATCCATTTGAAAATTCAGATGACCTGTCGTCTCTAAACTTAGTTTCCTTTGCAGCTCGGCTATGGTTTTGACCACCATGTACGTTTGCTTCAAGTGCAAATGAACCCCACTCTCACAACTCGCCCTTTATAGTGGGAAGCGCTTATGGGCAGCACGGCGGACCCAGAGAATGGGGCAGCTGTATGTCGCCAATCTTTCAATACCCAAGTTTATCATTCCATTACTTACATACGTCCACCGTGTCTTACAGCCGTTTTCGGCTTAGTTGTCACGTGATCCGTTTTGATTCCGCCCTTGCTCGTTGCCCAAAAGCAGGGCTCAACAAAGAGTGCACCATGTCTCAGCAACCACATAAGCTAGTCACTTGCGGTTTGCTGCAAAACGTTTGTATATCTATTACGCCCGGACCTTTTTTAGCGATAACGATAATTTTTATTTTTCATGATTTTAGGTTTTACCCCTTTTACACGATTTTCTCGACAACGGCTGGATAGAATGGGCTGTAAATTGGGCAGAAATAAGTCTTAATGTGTCCCTCGGGACCTTTTTTTTCTTTAGTAAATACGTTGCGTTTTGAGTGTTTTATTACTCAAATGCTTTCTTTGGTAATGGAAATCCGTTGTACATAGTTTTCTCAATAACCACTGCGTGGAATACGATTAAACTTATGCCAAACACACTTAAGTAATATATCTTAGGATCCCCTTTTTTTCAAGTCAATCGGTTGCTTTTTCCGCTGGCATGAGCATGTATAACCGCGGGGAATGTGTAAATGATAAAAAAACGAAAATGCAACCGATTAACTTGAAAACAAAAAGGTCCCGAGATATATTGCTCAAGTGCTTTCTGCGTAAGTTTCGTTGTATTTCACGCAGTGGTTATTGAGAAAACTATGTACAATGGATTTCCATTACCAAAGAAAACGTTTGAGTAATAAAAAACTCAAAACGCAACGTATTTACTAAATAAAAAAAAGGTCCCGAGGGACACATTGAGACTTATTTCTGCCCAATTTACAGCCCATTCTATCCAGCCGTTGTCGAGAAAATCGTGTAAAAGGGGTAAAACTTAAAATCATGAAAAATAAAAATTATCGTTATCGCTAAAAAAGGTTCGGGCGTAATAGATATACAAACGTTTTGCAGCAAACCGCAAGTGACTAGCTTATGTGGTTGCTGAGATATGGTGCACTCTTTGTTGAGCCCTGCTTTTGGGCAACGAGCAAGGGCGGAATCAAAACGGATCACGTGACAACTAAGCCGAAAACGGCTGTAGGCGGCACGTCTGTGCTATCATGCTGCGATTGTTTACGCAGTATTAGTAGCTTTTTGCGGGTGCCAGGTGCGTTGCATCAACTACCGTACAATCCTCTCCTGGTATTGACCCTCGCACCTACCGAAACCACCCACCCAGCTATTTGTTCACCACAGAAGGCCGCGAGGAGAGATTCAATTACAATGATCCGTGATTAACCGCTTGTGAAGTGTCAATCACATTGCATATCATTGTAATCATATGAGTGCGGCCCCGCGAGCGTGGCGGGATGGGTGTACACAACGAGTATCTCCGCCTAAATTTTTGCCGAATTCGTCGTTACCTATTTGCCGACGGCTGCTCCGTCTGATTGCTGGACAAGCGGACTACAAAAATTTTTGCGCACTACATGGTCGCGTATCAACGAGAACTGCGTTTGCACACAGGGACATGGGAGTGTGAATTATTTGCAGATCGAAAAGCATCAGGGCACAATATTCTCATGGGCCACAGTGATTTTTAAATTAGAGTCATATCGAAAGCATTGTTTACGTGACGAGACCGTTCGAGTCGACGGACTTGTCAGCGGGGAAGGGGCCAATTCGCCGGTGTGCATGGGGCAGTCAAAGGAAGAAGTTCTGTGCACGGCCCCCGTCTTATCAATGCATGGTCGCCATCAGCCAGTTCATTATCGTCGGGCACTCCGGATGCGGGTCGTACAGCTCGTTGCTGCTTTCATTGACCTTCGCCTTCATTTTCCAGTTCCCATCAACACTTTATACTAAACTAGTTCTAGTGAAATAAAAATTTCCAAAAAAATAAACCTGATTCCCAGGAAACTTCCATTTCAAGGTTGCAACATCGCCTTTCCTTCCCTCTCTTCAGTGACCGACACGGCGGGACGATTGCTCTTCAACAGTCTTCTTGTTTGTGCGTCCCGTCCGTCAAGGTACCAATCGATCGCGCCGTGCCTTTTACCGTCATCAACAAGACAATTTGACGACGGCAATCGCGTCCCCAAGCCTTGGGTTGAACAGCCTTCGCGACATCCAAACATATACAGCCCGAAGCAGCTACCCCGCCCTTATTTGAGGCCTATCTATTCGCAATTCACTTGCTATTCTTGGGGTTCTCCAAGTGGTATGAAAAATTGCGTTCTCTGAACGTCTTTCCCTCCCCTTTTTTGTCTTCGTTGCTCGAACTTTCAAGGCTCTTCATCTCCCTCAATCTAGCGTCGCGTGTAGGCTACAGCACAACACCAAGCGCCCCAACTCAACTTTTTGACGGATTAAAAATCGTTACAACCCCCTGGTTCATGCCCTCTTGTTTAGCATGCAGCGAGCACCAGACCCATCGATGCAGCACATGCAGGGGCAGCCTCGGGCGAACCCAGTACACGTCAGTACAGTTTGGTTTTGCCGTCTTCGCCCTCAATGCCGCCTAATGCGCTGACTTGTCACATGTCCTGCCTCCTATCAATGTCCAATTCCAAAACACTATTCAGCCCCCCTTCCCCCACATGCAGCAAGTCCCACAGCAACCCACAACCCACCCGAACCCTCAAGCGCCTCTTCACCCCTTCCCTACAGGTTTCGCACCGGCCCACTCGCAGGGAAATCTCCAAAACAACGTTTTCCCAGGACATGCAAACTCACAACAAGCTCGGTATAATCAGATGCTTCAAGGAGCCGCCAATGTTCGGCCACGTCCGAATGAAACGTTCATAGGGGGTGCAAGTGCAGGTGTTCCAGGATTCGGTGGAATCCAGCCCATGGACGCCTCTCAACAGATGCAGCATTTGGGCGTAGCAGGTTTCCGGCAGAATCAGTTGCCTTCAGGGGCGAATACGGGCCAAGCGGCAGGTCAAGGTCGAATTGGGAATCCCGGACAAACTATGATTTCTTCGTATACTCATCCTCACTCCGGGTACGGGTCACAGCAGCCTGGCCTACCGTTCGGCCATGCTGCTCAGGGAGCTGGACCGAGCAGTCAGTACCCCGGTGTCCGAAATGTTTCTGGCCCGTTCCCTCAGCTGCAGCGTTCCGCATCCCAGTCCAGCATTGGCACACCTGGTACCAATGTACATTATAGTCAGGGGGATACCCTGATGGGCAACGTGGCCAATCACTCCAACCCAATCGGTGGTGCGGGTGCTGTAAATGTTTCCCAGCCAAGTGGAATGGTAGGTGCATCTTCTACAGCAATGAGTGGCTTTGGCCAGTCCATCAATGGTGGCGCGTCAGTAGCACGTCAGCAGTCGGTTATTGCTTCTTCTCCGCCCCATCAAGATGGGATGGTGAATCCTGTGATGCCTCCCTCGACACCATTTGGTGCACGACCCCAGGGCGAGGGGATGATTAATCAAAGTCACCCCAATGCACCTACACCACAGACCCACCAGGTACACTCCAACATTTCAGCTGTTGAATCACCGATGAGTATCAGTAACGGTCAATATCCTGTCTACGACACGCCACGGACGAGTGCGACGCCCATAATCTCTGCCCAACAGACGACCTTCCCGTCTCCTCGGAATCCGCATATTCCTCAATCTCGTGGTCCAACTGGATCACCCCACCACCACAGCCCCCATCCTGGTCCTCCTGCCAGCTCGGCTACCTATTCTTCCAGCGTCCCTTCTTCGACACCGCGCACGCAGAATCCATCTACGACCCCGTCCCACAGTCCTCCAACAAAAATCAACATACAACAATTCTATCCGCCCACGCCCACAAGTACGTTTCCGGCACGAAATGACATGAATCCGGTCCCTCCACCGCTTGCTGATTCTCGTGACGCGATACAAATTCAACAGGAGGCAGCCCATCAATCATCTTCGTATGGGCGACAGATTCAGCAACCTCAACCACAATCTACCCAACCGCCAAACCCACAGGATGGGTGGCAAAACCATGCCCCGCCTGACCCTGCACGTCCGCCGCTACCACAAAAGCAGCATCAGCAGGGCGGCCAACCCCCCGATTTGACGCAGACTCCTGGGGATCGTTTAGGTAATGAGGAGCAAGTACCTGCTCCCCTCAGTATGCCCCATTTTCGTAATCCGATGCAGTCGGCTGCTGAAGCGCAGGCTGCGTATCGACCCCTTCACCCAGGTGCACCGGGAGCCCATTTCGGCCATGGTCAACCCCAACAGATGCCTGGCCAACCAGGCCAAACGAACTCTTCGGGGGACCCGACTCCAAACACCGTGCCGCAACAAACCCCTAATCATCTGAAGCCGCAATATCATCCGACACCCGCAGATCAACATGCCCAATACCCCTATCGGGCAAATCCTATGACGGCTCGCCCGAGCTTGGTGGGAATGGCAACCAATGCGAATTCCAACATGCTTTCCACGGGTGGGATCGTGCGAACTCCCATGCCGGGAGGGATGACCCAAACTGGGATTGGAGGGATTCCGGCTTCACGTCCTGAAGATGCGGCCCTGCGGTTCGGTGTACAGCCATCTGGAACGTCTGATGCGCCGATTCAAGCTCAAGCACAACAGAACGGCCCAACAGCGAGACCTGATGGCGCTCCTGCTGGACAAGGACAAATTCCCCATAATCTGCAGCAGCAACAGCAACAGCCGGTGGGATCGCTTGGTATTCCCAGCCATCCGTTGGTGGGTGGTGGGGTGCAGCTTGTGCCACCTAGTGCTCAACCGCAACAGCAGCCACATCAGGCGGGGATCGGGATTGGCAACCTCGGTCAATCAGGACAGCAACCACCCTTCACTCCCCAATCAGGTGGAATTCCACCTCGACCCCAGCCGAGTCTAGGCCCGACCGGTAATTCTGGTCCGCATCCTAATTTTGCTGGCCAGAGGAACCTAAATGGCACGCAAAGTGCCGGTATGGGCATTGCTAGTGCTGGTGGAATGCAGGATAGTGCACGGCAGCAGTCATCCCAACAGACTCAACAGCTTCAACAACCACAGCAGCAACACCAAACACCACAACAAGGGCTACAGCCTTCAGCACAGCAGCCACAGACGGGCGCTCCGATAACGAACGGGCCACCCTTGCAGTTACCTCAAACGCAGCAGGGTCGTTTATCCTCAGCTGGACAGCCGCCGCCGCAAGGTGTCGATAACGGACAGCAACGCCAGCAGCAGACGCAATCTCAACAACCCCAGGGCCAACCGTCGACGCTGCATCAGCGACAACAAACTCCAGTTCCGACAAGCCAGCCTACACTGTCAAACTCGTACGCGCCATGGTCTCAGCAGCAGTATCCCCCAGGAGTCGATCTCAATTCACGATCTCAGCAGCAAGCGCAGCAGTCTCAGCAACAGCATCCACTTGGTCAGATCCCGCCTTCACACCCGCAATTACCCTCGAGCACGCCAACTAGCGCTGCACTCGGACCCGGTGCTTTGTTGACGAATCCCCTCCGGCTGGGAGCTCCCCCCTCCTATAATCCCCAACTTCCTAATTCCGTTGCTCAGACGGACCCCAGATTCTGGGCGCAGCCTAGGTATTCTTTCGGTGTCTCCAACTCAAAGCCCGGCCATTCATCCAATCGTCTTTCTTTAGATACGTCGGGCAAGGTCAAGGTGTTATACGGATCATGGAATTTGGGAGTGCGATGTCGGGTGGCTATCGGGTAAGAGCACTTACGTGGGTGTGTTACATTTCATCATAACGGTATCCTCTCCTTTCACAGCGCGATTTGGCGTATTGGCAAGGAATCGCAAAAGATTTCTTACTTCCCGATGCCAAAGATGTTATGTCCTTGACCATGTGGAAAGACACAGAATCGACGAGCTTCGTCGTTACGGAGTCCACGTTCCCTCGCTTCTTCATGTCCTATTTCAACTCGGGCTTGTTGCGAGTGGCTTTGAATCTTGGGGGGGTTCGCGAAACTAGTCAAAGCGCTTACGAGGGTAAAGTGAACTCGGAGGAGACTTCATGGGTCTTCACTTTCACCACTGGTTACGTGGTGACACTCCGTGGGCCTCTCTTTGTGGATCTTGTCGCTCGCCCTACCGACGATAGCGAAAAATATTCGCTCCGATTTCGTCGCATTAAGTTTAACACTTCGCAGGTGGACAAGCATCTGGATATCAAACAGATCCTCGGTGCTCGGCGGGATGGGGATCCATTCTCGCCTCGATTCCAACATCATTCATATCTAACAAATGGCAGTCTGGAAGGTGGTAGCTCAAATGTTTCTGTATCATCGACCCCAGGAGAGGAGGTTCGCGATGATGATCCGTCCCAGACAAAACTTCCTGGCGACAAGTGGATCCTACTGGAGAAATGCTGGATTCCTCCCGATCCTGTCAATTCGTATGGTTTCACAAAGGTTACCGAGCGAACTTTGGATGTAAGGTTGACCTCTGATCCCTTAAACGGAAACGATCGCTAACGATCGTTTCTGTCTCGCTAATAGATTGCTGCAGACCTGAATGTGATGACGGACTTGATGGATGCTGCAGCAGGCGATGTGGGGCCACGAAGTGAGTCTCGCTACATCTTCTGTGAACGAAGGGCTATAACCTTCTAACACAGCGCCTTCTTGTAGGAGCACTTATACAAGCTGAAGAAAGGATTCGTGCAGAATATCCTGATGCACCCCCTCCTCGAACTATGCAACGGCAGTCTGCAACCCAGGCTGAAGTCCAGGAACCACTTCTAGCATGTGAGGTGCCCAAAGCCTATTCAGCCGCCTTTGGCCAATCGGCCACTCCCGCCACCAATGCTCCTGCAAACCCTCGGGCATCCCAAGTCACGCAGGCAACCCCAAAACTTGCGAATCGCACCACCTCTGGTGGGAACCAAAATGCCTCTCCCGCTTCAACGTCATCCAAGCGGCAAGGCGCGTCTCCGTCAGCAAGCTCCCCTTCGTCCCCCCAGTTGTCCCAAACGGCAGTTGTGAAAAGAAAAGTAGATGTCGGAGATGAACCGATGGAGTCCCCGACGTCATCCGCCCCTCCGACCCGCCGCGCTCGCGCATCTACCACAGCGACCAATGCCAGCGATGACAGTGGCCCTGCACATGGCACACGAGCAACGAACAAGCGAAAACCGAGCCCATCGACTATGCGTGGCGCACGAGGACCCCGGAAACGGTGACCATTGTTATGAAATTTGCGTTATTTTGTTTGCCCCTCAGGAGTGAGATTCCTCTCCCAATCTGCCAACCCGGTTAATCCATCGTTTTTGCTTTCTTCGTTATATCGTCACTTTGTTTGATTCTTAGTAGTTTTCTTGGGTCCCCATTGTACTATCCTAATCTTCGTTAGATTTGTATGAAATAGCGCATCTCAGGTGGCATGTCAACTCAACGTTGACGCTGCCTATGATTATTGCGAGCATGTTGCTGATTAGTGTGTGTCACTGGTCTAAGAACTGCGACGTTCATCCATGCATGCATGTTGGGTCCTAGTGTAGTGCATTATCACTCTAGGCAGGTTACCAGCCTCTTGGAATATTTGGGGATCGAAAAGTACATTCAGAAAGAAGAATCAGTATGTACGCGGTCATTATAGCACACGTAGGTATCGATAGCAATCATACAAGCCGAGAGATTGGTGGGTCGGGTCGGGTTGGTTGGTTGGTTGGTTGGTTGGTGCTTTCGGACAAGACGCAGACATAAAAGACATGCTAGTACACATGGGAGGGCGCGATTCTGTAAAGTGAGGGAGCAATGGATACATTTTTTAAGCATGGAGAGAGAGCAGAGTACGCATTTGGACGGGGAAGCCGTAAGAGTGGCCAGATCATCTCATGGCTTGGGACCGTCGCCTAGGTAGGCGATTCGATCCTATAAGTAAGCTTGAACACAACTCTGAAAAGAGTGGTACCGGTCTCAGTGAATTTTTCCAGAAGGCCCCATTTGCGGCGACTTGCACCAATTTAAGCCAGTCGTTCAAAAAAAGAACAGTGGTTCAAGACGATATACGAAAGGGAGGTAGGCTAGGGGAAGATAGATGAACGATGAGCATAGACGAGTGGAATAAACAGTATTATAAGGTAAAGTTAAGAGTGTCCGAAACAACGAGAAGCTATAGTAGAGACGCGCCTCCGCCTGCATATGCTTACCAGATACCGCTCGAAGGTGGGGAGCACGTTGTCCGATAGTCTAGCGAACTATGTCAGGTCGTATGGAACAAGACGTCATGGCTGTTAAGTTGCGCGAAGGGAGGAGAGTAAAGAAACGAGACGAACCTAAACGACGAGTCCACTAGTCTAAGGCCTGGACGTTAAGGTCGAGTACGAAAAGACGAGGTGGAAAATGAAGGCGAATTTAAGCAGTGATTTACCGGTCTAAGCACTTGCTTTTGATGATGTCGTTGTCGTTGTCGATGTCGAAATGCTCAGGTGAAGACGTTGAGGTGCGCGTTGGGGAACCCGTTGGTCCTGATGCGCTGGAGGAGCCACCAGAACGGGGTGGCATAGGTCATATCGGAGGACTTGGTCTTACCAGAACCGCCCGTGAGCATGCCACCGATACGGCCACGGATGTCGGCGATTATCGAGCCCGAATCGCCGGGTTCCGAAAAGACCTCCGACTTGCTGTCGTAGTTGATTATCCCCCACTCCATGGAGGTTTGGTTGACTGACAGATTGGTGAAGTAGTCGCGAACGATTGAGAAGACTCCGTTCGCGCGGCCAAGGGTGGTGCCGGTGGCATTGCCGCTCTTGGCGACTAGCAAGCACGGTTCGCCGTCTGAGTACCACATGTCGGGGGCGCGCATCAGTTCGTCGGTCATGGTGCCAATTAGCGGAAGCAGTCGATCATGGGGATACTCGAACTCCCAGTTGGCGTCTCCACGGGGGAAACATTTGACCGTAAATTCGTCGGGCGTCAGCTTCGTTCCTAGATGCAAAGAAATATTTAGGTTGGTTAGTAGATGATCTCAGTCGGATGGATGGTTAAAACGCACCGAGGTCTAACTTATTGCCTTGGAAGCCGTCACCGAGCTTGTCCCGGTTGACCTTGAAAATTCCCCAGTCCTCTGTGAAGCGATGCTCACCGGCGCCGAGACTGATGGCTGGGGAGCGGAGGACATCACCAAGGACGCGGTTGTCGAGTTTTTTCCAGTCCTTATTGACCCAATTGAGCAACGCCCCAATTGCCTCCATCGCGTTCTCGGCCTTGTCCAGCAACCCCCGAGTCTCGATCCGGACTTCTTTTGCCTTCTCAGCGTTGATAGTGTTAGTGCCCTTCTCCCTCTCCACGAAAACTTCAATCTGTTTCCTCCAGCGCTTGACCATGATGCCGTGTCGTCCGATCATGAGTTTGATCGAGTCGGCGAGGTTGGTGAAGGCTCCCTTGCCGAGCAGGAGGACGTCTCTAGAGGGCGCACCGGGATGGCAAACGTAATCGACGTTGGCTTCCTTCGACCCGATGAGGACGTGACGGCACGAAAGGCCCAAGAGATGCGGAGGCCGAGGGCGGGAGTTAGGGGACTAACGACATCGACGAGCGGGTCTAGGCCATCGACAGGTTGGAGAAGCCGAGGACCGGCCTCGCGTGTGTAGAAGGATTCGCGGTATTCGATGTCGACGTCGGTGACCTGATAGTCCGAGAGAAGGGCTAGGACATTCTGAGCCGCATTGTGGGCAGCCGTAGCGGAGGTAAACTCGGGGAAGACGCCAATCCAGATGGTGACAGGACCGGCGACTGGTTTCTTAGCCTCGACCGTTTCGTCATCCTCGTCCTCTTCTCCATCCTCAGGTGCTTCGTCGACCCCGACCTCCTTGAAACGAACAACGTCTATCGTCGTAAAGCGGATCTAGAAATCTTAGTTAGCAAACTCTACGATATGATGGGGTATTGTGACTGACGGTGTGAGCGTCCATAACCTTGACAACTTTCCAGGCCAAGTCGTGGTTCCAGACCTTCGTAATCGGATGGGTGAAGACTTCGCGCAGCTCCTTCAAATGGCGCTGGGCCTCAGGTCCGCTGGGCGGGGACCACTGCTTCTTACTCGTTCGATAAAGTAACGTGGGCTCAGAATGCAAGCCTGCATAGTACGACTGAGCCTCCGCATTGGAGACAGCGAGCGGATCAGGGGTGTGGTGGGTAGCGCTTGACGCGGCGTCGCGGGAAAAGCCTAGTGAGGAGACGGTCGACGCGGTTATGATCGAGGAGATAGTAGCGTCCTGGTCAACAGAACTCTGAGTCTCCTCGTAGCTCTTGGCAAATTGAATGCATTCATCGATAAATTGGGCAGAGAGCACTGAGCGGAGAGAGGGAAAACGAGATGGTTAGTATAGGATAACCATAAAAAATCTAAGGACAGACTCAGACTCGCACCCAGTCGTCGTTGCTTCTGAACGTGCGCGTGCGACACGGGGATAGCTTCTTCCCACGCCTTCATTGCTGGATATTCCCGAGAGCAATCACATGCGTGCATCATATCTCTGTTGCAAAGCTCACTAGTGGCGCTAACACATTGTGGCGGTTGTTCTCATATACGATGCCACATTAGCCTGATCAGCCAGCGTGTTGGGCATGGAAACAGCACCAAGCGCTTTCAAACAAAATCAAGATTCAAGCTGAAGAGGTCGAAAATCTCTCAATGACCCATAAGTATCCCCTTCTCTCATTGTTCCTCTATTGTTTCTACTATGTCAATACTTCGTTACATTTCAATTCCGGTACCGGTGGCCCAAGTGCCACTCCAAATCGTTTGGGATATTCTACTGCGCGTCACTCTTGATCTCATTTGCGAACTCCAGTCTCCCCAAGTTCGATACCAGAACTCGACTCTGGTCAGAAGCACCTAAGATGCCGCATTCGATGACGTTTCTCAGACACGATTATATGAATTATGGCTTGACGTGCATCGAGTGATATCATCTCAACACCCATCGCTCTCCATGCTTCGAGTTGATCATATGACTAGGGCACCATACGCATCGTAGCTCGACGCACTTGTAAACGCATATCGGCGTATTTCTTGGATTCACGCTTCAGCGCTTGCACTCCCAAGCCTTGCCCCGCCCTCATCCCCCCAGTCGTTAACTCGTTCGGGCGGCCGGACTACACCACGATCTTATGGTTAAGTATGCGTGCCCAGATCGAAATAGCATGGGAGCCTATTGGGAAGGGAGTTAGGTGGGGCCACGACGGAATGTAAAATTTCCTATGTAAAAGCTTGGGGGATGCAACCTATAAAAAATCCATGGATTACTGTTATCCCCTTCAGCAGCTCGAATGTGTGGGTGAGTGCAAGTCAACAATGCTGCTTTGAATATTTATCCGAAAGACGACATTATCTTATTCGATCTAGCTTAGTCCCCCGGGTCTTGCCAGTAGTTTTGGCACTTCGTCTTCTTGTACTCTGCGGAACGCCAGAGACCCATCACCACCAACAACAATATTATGTACATTACCAAGTCTAACGTTCAATAAAGACACAGTACATGATACACAAGGCTTCAAAGACTGTCCACAATTTTACACAGTAAAAGGCATTGAGTGTATAGTCAAGGAAGTGACGAGTACTTAAGCGCAAATTGGTAAATGCTAAACAATTTGGCTAATATCGATGACAATTGGGGCTTTTGACTCGCCCTGGACCAGAAATCGAGTTCCATTCCTGCTGGACTGAAGGCGGTATAGCCCAAGCCCGGGCCGATCGCTTTCTGGCACTCGATGGCCGTACCACGGGAGCAAGGAAGTAACTGGCTGATATTTCGCTGGAAGATCAAATATTTTTCTGCCGTTGAACATGACTGATTGAGACCAGATGAGTGGGTTTTCCCCTGTTGCAGAGGAAGCCAACCAGGCATTCGTTTCTCGGTAGTCATTCAGTTCTGGCGAGAGGTCGTAAAATGGGCGCTTGATCCAGGACTTATCTTCAGAATCATGCGCTGCATCATCAGAACGATGTGCATAAGCTGTATCGTCTTCTGCCAATGGAGGAGAGGCTTGAGTGAATACAGGATTAGGGACGAGATGCAAGTGAGTTGGAGGGACACGGTTGGGATTGATGATCCAATGAAAGGAGTCTGTCACACGATAACATGCAATGAGCTCGTATGATCGAGTCGACCATATGAAAGCGTTGAACCCGGCAAACGCGCTGACATATCGTGCACCTGGGGAGAACCCAAACGTTCGACGGTGAGGCCTGGATGAGGAGAATTCAGTGCCCCCATGGCGATGGTTGGATGGAGGGGGTGCGAAAGGGATGGACAGGCCCGAAGGAGAGGTGAGGGGCTGGATGAAAGGATAGTCGGAGACAGATATGAGCGTCATGTTATTGTACCAAGGGTTGTCGAAATTTCGTGGTGCCCGTATGATGAATAATCCATTATCTGAGATGGCGGTTTCAGCAGGATAGAGACCAGAAGGAAGATTGCCAAGCTTCACAGGGGCCATGCCATGGCCGAGGACTGTGACGTTCCCATCAATATCCTCAGTAGCAACTCTGTGGCTACCATGCACAAATTCAACCCAGACAGGGAGATTGGCTGGATTGTGCTGCAATTGGCAGATCGTACGCTGATGGTCAATATCGGCAACTTCGATGACACCGCTGCCAAACCCGAATGCAACATAGCGACCATCAGGGGAGAGTGCAGCACAGGACACAACGCCATTACGAATATCAGGTTGGTAGAATTCAGCTTCGTAGTTGATCTCCTGTCCCCATCGGCGAACCCTTTCAGTCAACTTTGCGTGCATGACTTCTTGGGCCCTGCACAAATCCTCGCTTAATGCAATCGTGTCACCAAACTTGTCATGAATAGAGAAGACCCGAACGCCAGAGAGGTGGCCATATTGTTTGTAAACGGAGGGTTGGGCGAAAGGGAGATCCATTCGATAGAACCTCCATGGAGAGTACTCGGCGGATTGATTTACCCGATGTAAATCTCTCAGAAGTTGGATTGAATCGTGATTCTATCAAAGATGAATCAGAAAAGCATCGGACAGATAGTTTATACTCACGTTAAATTCAAGTAACTTGGAAGGAAATATGCGTCCATCCCAAACCTCGCTCGTGTGGTATTGCAAGTGCATAAATGTTAACAGGCTGTTTCGCGTAATGAAGGAATCAAACTCGTTTTGCAATTCATTGGACTCTTGTGAAAAAAGTTGCGAAGGGTCCAAGTGCTTGAATAAGTTTTCAACAACATAGTGGAAGCGGCTGCGATAATCCTTCTTTTTCGCCTTAAATTCATCCCATTTCTCTTGTTCTCCTAAAGAAATGGGATCAGTGGGTATCCCAAACACGTTCCGCTCACAACAATCGTTGAAATGTCGAAGGAGCGGCAATCCAAGGAGATACCCATTCACATCATCGATGAAAAATACTTTGTCTTTCTCATCACCAATTGGTTCCCCGGTTATGAATTCTCGTGCCGTTGCGTGATAGAAGGTGATCTCACTTTCGTTCTCCGAGGGAAGATTTATGATCGAGCTGATTGGTTCCAACGTCGCATAGATCTCATCCTCACTAATCCCAAACATCTGCGACATGGAAGACACGTTCCTCAGCCCAGACGCCGTAAGAATTGCGGTGATTACTAAGCGATACATCTTGGATACATCTGGGGGGATTCCAGCTGAATCTACCTCATAGGCTTGCCGAAGGATTCGCAAGTATTCGTGGTTGAGGTCGGCAGGTGTATCAGTGACACTAAGCAAGCCTTTGAATGCGGACTGTAGGGTGCGACCACGCCGTGCCTGCCGGCAGACATCGCGAATTCGGATCGATGCAATGACGGGCAACCCACGACAAGCCCGGGAAAAAGCATCGAGTTCCCACTCTGTTGGCTTCCACGAAGAGTTCTCTCGAAGGCCATCCTCCACCATGCGGCGGACAGTATAGAAATCTTCATTGTGCTCCATCTTGTCCACGTCTTCACATGGTATGGTGAGCTCCTTAGTTCGAGGTTTAGACCAAGCCAATATGACTCCTTGCTCAGGACGACTACTAACTAGCATAGCAAATGCCGGTGGAAGCTTTTGAAGGGCAAGTACCAGACCCATCAGGGACTCCAATGTCTCCTGGTTGCCGCACTCATCGAGACCATCCAAAACGATGACGAAGCGGTCCTTACCAGAGGGGAATCTGTCCTTCAGACCACGCATCGGCTCAATCATCAGAGTGTTCAGTTGTTTTTCCAAAGGAAAACCCCGAACGGAAACCAAAGCCGGTTGCCGAAGGAGCTTGACAAGCGAGAACTTGAAGTCCTCATTAAAGCATGCCAGTTGGTGTGCAAGGGTAGAGGGGAATTGTTTGATGGAATCCAAGCCCGATCCTGGCTGATTCTTATCCCAAAAGAACGACGCTGCTAGACTACCCTTTGTCTCGAGAGTGGAAGCGACACTCTTACAGATCGCAGTCTTCCCCGTCCCAGGAGAACCCCGCAGCCATACGAAACGGTTCTTGGCTTCACTCAGGTGCTCGAGGAGGGATTGTTGTATCTTGGCCCGCGTGCCCGGAAGGCACTCTGATTTGCTCGTCACACAAGTGTGCTCGGCCAGAGCTGGATTGAGTCTCGAAAGCACAGCTGGAAGTATTGGTGAGTAGTCAGTCCATAAGCATGTACAGGCACGAACATTCAATTGACGATTGCTCGGCACGAAGCAGAGTTAAAATTGATATTCTTAGCTATGGCGGAGGTGGTTAGTCAGGATGCAATTATCCAAACAATCCCGAAGCGTGCGGACCTGGAATCGACGAGTAGCATCATTTAGGTAGCTCTTCATTTTCGTTATTTGCTGTGTTATATCGGGAGCTCGGATAATCTTCTCAATGACGAGTTTTTTCTGGACTGATTCAATATCCTCTAATTGCGTTTCCAAAGCCCTACGAAGAGAATGAGTGAATGTGAACGAGAGGAAAACGAGATGCGTACCCATGGAATTCTTGCACTAAGGCCTCAAGCTCAGGGGTGATTTCTTCCTTAGTCCACTTCTCAAGGGGCTCAAGCACCGATTGTTGCACCTGCTGAATTACATCACACAACTGGACGAGTTCCTCGGTGTTACCGCTGACATTCTACATGTATGCACCAAGGATGAGAGGCAGCCACACTCAAGATCAACAAGGCGATTTCCAAACCTCATAAATTTGAATCCACGACAGAAGGATGCTTGGGATCTGATCAAGATTGGGGATGGGGACGAGCTTGAGAGCAGCGGCCGCGGTTTGGAGCAAAACTTTAGTGCCGCCGATGATCATATTCTTCCGATTGCTGTCGGATCCACGAGGTGCTGATTCAGCTGTCGCCGATGAAGCAGTCGGAACTGACAGGCCGATATCTGCAGGTTGTTGCTGCGTGCGGACGCTCGCGTCGTTGTCACCAACGAGTGCAGTCGGAATCACTTCGGTGGGGAGGGGAGAGAGCAGTGACCGTGGATCGTTCTGGACGGGTGCAGTCATGGGATGATTGGGCTGGGGTGTACTTGATTGGGAGGGGCGATTGGGATCGGGGCCGGGGCTTCTCCGGAATATCCTGTCTCGAAGGCGCATCCGTTGCTTCGTGGCATTACCCATTGAAGTATCACCAGCAGAAAGGGCACCAGGATGTGATCTTATAGACCGATCATGATCCCCCTGAATCGTCGTTCGGTCGTTTTCAGTCGCAGAGACAGCGATCTGGGTGTTGGAAACATTCGGGGTTGGTGCCTGCGGCTGGTCATTAGGAGTCTCAGGAGCGTGCGGTGGCTTCGTCTGAGAGGAAATGCGGTGGAACGCACGGTCTTTGGGCATGGTGCACTGGATGCAGCTAGCGATCACAAATGGATGTGTTGAAGGAAGCCTTCAGTACTGGCAGGTCATTCATTTCACATGATATATGTATAGACCTGGGGCTGTTCGCCCTTATGTTGACAAGCTGTAGAGGTGTTCGGCCAACTCCGATGCCGCTGATTGCCAGGAAGGCTCTTAAATGCTAGCATCTTTAAAGCCACTGTGTCGCTCCGGAGACAATGGAGCACTATTTTGTCTGCTGACGCTTCCGCCGTGGACGCCTAGACCTGTGCAGTAAGACTCGATCGACCGTCAAGTCCTTTGACAAAGTTATTCATCTCACCTCTCGCAAGATAGTCACAATGCTTCTCTCCATTCCACATGATCTGTTCCTGCGTTTACATCCTATTCCCTTCCCCCCTCGCTTTATTTAACTCCTATTTCCATTACTTTATGGTGATCTTATTTCACACTCACCCTAATACCAGTGTCTACCGCCATCTCAACCAATCTTCCAGGTCCAATCCTTACAGTGCTTGTCAATATATATGCGTAAGTAACTCCAGCCGTGCTCACTCTTAGAACTAAGAAATTCCATTCCATATCATTAGGCTAATTCATCAAGCGCGAATGCAAACAGAAAATCTGTTCATTCTGCGTTCAACTTCATATCCATGTCTCCATGTAGCACGCCTACTCAGGCATGGGACTCGTGTTCACAACGCATGGAGATCGAAAGTAGCCTGACATCCAAGCGGTGTCACAGTACATAGTCCGGAAATTGCGAGGTGCGTCTCGGGACCACTCGACATCAAGTGGGCGTGTTGAAGGAACATCTCCTTCACTTCTATTGGCATACTGAATGTCGAAGGATCGCACGGTGATTGAACCGCGGTTCGTTACAACGCGACACTGGTGGGCCTATAAACTAGCTTCTGTCCAAGAAGCTCGGCCAACGATCCATCCTTTTCCCTGTCTCTCTTTTTCTTCGCCTCCGCTCGCGCCTCTCCCCCTGGAGTCCTAGTCCACTCGTTATGTTGTCCTCGACTCCCTGTTCTCTAAATGCCCTTTCCCTGCCCTCTCACCCCTCACGATCCTTGTTAAGCTAAATGCCCTACATTGGGCGATTGTAAGCGAACGCAGACACAAACGATGGTGACTTTGATATATGCTACAATAGTTCATTGTGACAAGGACTCCGTCGATGTTTCCTCGCCATCGTTACTGGCCTTCCCAAGGGAGTAAAACTAGTTCGCGGGTACATATTTCTTTAGATCACCGTTTCGCACCGAAGTGCTTGTGTTGGATACTTCGGCAAACCCGCACAAACCTGGGTGACCAATGGCCCTCGATACCTTACTGGTGTATTGCAGTGCACTTCGCATAGCCCTCCGTATCCAATGGCTATAGGGTCGTCCGGGGCCCTTGTGTTTATCTCGTATATCCTTTGTTCACCAACTTTGCGTGGAACCGTGCTAGTGTTCCTGGTAACCAACCACTTTCATACTAGCATTCTTTCGCGTCTATCATTGCCTCTGAGGAAAGCGGCCCAAGTGACCAGACTAAATTGCTTTCTCTCCAGACCGAAGGTTTCAACTCCTGAAGGCAACCACCAAGAGAGCTCAAGTTGACATAACGTCGGGCGTTCTCCGAGGCATGTTGCAGGCAGTGTACATAAACCCCCCTAGGAGCCAAAAACAGCAGTTAGATAGGTCCAGCACCAAGAGGCAAATGTGACACCCTCTGCAACCGTGGTTTCTAGAAACCGGGCATACTACCGCAAAGGCCATAGTTGTCTGGGTCGCATCAAGTATCATGCTTCTCTACATCCTTAATATATCTCTGTAGATGAAAGTTAAACCAAAGTTATCGCTGGGGCGAAAACGATACTCTATACACGCAATGGATAACATGATAATTGCCCATCTTGCTACAGAGCCGGCCCAGTCACAAGTAATGTTAGGATAAAACTGCTTTAATAATATAATGCAGAGTTGAGAGCATTGATGGTTCGAGTTGAATGTGTTTACAAGAGTCCAATATGGGCGGATGCAATGACAAAGACTGAGCTGAAACTTGGTATGAGTGAATCACGATGGAACAGGATGTCCAATCACCGTCCGAATGAAAGTCCACATGACATGCTCGATTGCTGTCCTGGGCTGGCAGATTCACATCATCATTCGCATCTGAAGTTGGCACAGGGAGATGTATGGGATGCAGTTACCCCAACGTCTTGCTACTGCTCGTGTAGCTTAAGCTATAAGCACCTATTCCAAACGCGTGTTCGAGGGTCCCCAACACTCGAGAATGTGGCACAGGTGGGCTTCATCGCTTCACTCGCATTGTCTAGTCTACTAAAATCTGGGGAATGAAGTGATGGGAATGAAATATCCCAGTGTAAAAGATGCGGAGAAGCGATGCGTCGGACAGAGTTAGAGGCCGTTTCGCTTCCTGAGCTAACCCACCAAGTGGTGCCAGTGGTTGTGTCATTGTCAAGCCAGCATGCGGACGACAGTGCCGGATTTCTCATAGAGAAACCATGTGGAACAGGGGTGGTACAGCTTGACTGCCAAACATTGGCTGCACGCGTAGTGTGAAGGAGAAATGTGAGAAGGAAGCGGACGAATTGGAACAACACTGAAACGAGTTTGACATGAAGAACGTGCTGCCGACAAGGAAGACCCTCAATGATCCATTGGACCGCTTGGTCCAAGAATAGTGTTTCCAATATCGACGAACGGTACTCACTACAGTGGCGCATATAACCGCTTGTCCTTAGGGAATCATCAGCAGGCACAGAGTGCCACTTTCCATTGGAGGTGGTTCCCCGGGCCTAGTAACGACATTATGGAATACTCCATGAGTAACTATTACGCGCATCGTGCACAAGTAGGACGGTGCATTGAAGCTTTCTGAATGATCCGAGCCGTAGGAGTTGGGAGTACAAAGCGCCATCAGCCGACGTAGCAAGCCCGGCGGAATCAACCGTATCCAAAACTATAGCCTCCGGAAACTAAGCGAAGAGAAGGCATGTTCCCGTCGTAGAAGTGGGGCACGGCAGGTCATTCGCAAGATTAGACGACGGAACGCTCGACGAAGATAATTACAGGGCATTAATCGAGCGAGTCGGGAGGATTCGATTGCGCATGTTCTCAATCCCCCAATCGTCCTTCAGCGTTTCATGATGTGATGTTGAGTAATTACATGGGGTTAGGTAGGCCACATACCACAGGAATGATATATATTCCCGCTCTACGCTGTGGCCTCTGCATTAATTATCGTGGCCAAGAACCGGGTGGCGGAGCGAGTCTATCTGGGGGTTAGGACAAACCTTGATCACTTGTATAGTGAATATTGCCACCGAAACGCGCGGCCACAGGCGGTGACTCGAAGTGCTGCCCAGCCGCAACTACAATGGGCGGTCGTATATAATGGTCTCCCCTGTAAGTGACAAATTCCGTGGAGTCCTGCCTACAAATTCCGCCATTTTATGGTGTCGCCCCACCCCACACCGGGATCAACTGGACTACGCCATCCATCTTACGGTTACGTGCACCCCTATCGCAACAGCGTGGGAGCATATTGACAACTTGGGAATTAGGTGTGGCCATGACGGGATGTGCAATTGTCCGGGTAAAAGATTGGGTGATGCATGCAACCGATAGAAATCCATGGATTACTGTTATTCCTTCAAATATGTGCGTGTGCGTGTGTATGTGTGCGTCATAAGCTTAGCGCAAGTCGACATGCAACGCTGCTTTGAATATTTATTCGAAAGACTTATTCGATCTAGCTTAGTCCCCCAGGCCAGTAGTTTTGGCACTTTGTCTTTCTGTACTCTGCGGAACGCCGGAGACTCGTCGCCACCAACAATAATATTGTATAAATACATTACTAAATCTAACATTAAATAAATACTTAAGCCCAAACGGGTGCTCTGGTGAATGCTAAACAAGTTGGCTAATATCGATGACAATCGGGGCCTTTGACTTTCCCTGGACCAAAAATCGAGTTCCACTCCTGCCGGACTGAGGGCGGTGCGGTTCTTGATAAGATTCTGGCACTCGATGACCATACCACGCGAGCGGGGAAGTAGCCGGGTCATATTCCCCTGGAAGGTCAAGTATTTCCTTGCCATTGAGGATCACTGATCGGAACCAGATGAGTGGGTTTGCCCCTGTGGCAGAGGAAGTGAGCTTGGCTTCCAATACTCGGGGGCTGCTTGGCGAGAGGTCGTAAAACGGGCACTTGATCCAGAACCCATCTTCAGAGTCATGCCCTGCATGCTTGGAAGAATGTGCGTCATCTTCTGCCAATGGAGCGGCTCGAGTGAACATAGGACTAGGGACGAGATGTAAGTAAGTTGGAGGGACGCCAGGATTGATGATCCAATAGAAGGGGTTCGTCACACGATAACATGCAATGAGCTCGTATGATTGTGTTGACCATGTGAAAGCGCTGAACCCATCAAACGCGCCGACATATCGTGCATCTGGGGAGAACCCAAGCGTCCGTCGGTGAGGCCTGGATAAGGGGTTTTCAGAGCGCCGGGGGTATAGGGTGGATGAAGAGAGGGATGAGATGCTCAGGTCCGAAGGAGAGGCAAGGGGCCGGATGAAAGGATGCTCAGAGACAGATATGAGTGTCATGTTATCACACCAAGGGTTGTCGAGATTTCGCGGTGCTCGGATGATAAATAATCTATTGTCTGAGATGGCAGTTCTAGCAGGATAGAGACCAGAAGGAAGCTTGCCAAGCTTCACAGGGGCCATGCCATGGCTGAGGACTGTGACGTTCCCATCAATATCCTCGGTAGCGACCCTGTGGCTACCATGGATGAATTCAATCCAGTCAGGGAGATTGGCTGGATTATGGTGCAATTGGCAGATTGTCCGTTGATGGTCGATATCGACGACTTCGATGACACCGCTGCCAAACCCGAGTGCAACATAGCGACCATCATAGGAGAGTGCAGCACAGGTCACAATGCCATTACGAATATCAGGTTGGTAGAATTCAGCTTCGTAGTCAATCTCCCATCCCCATCGGTGAACCCTCAGCTTTGCGTGCATGACTTCTTGGGCCCTGCACGAATCCTCACTTAATGGGATCGTGTCGCCAGGCTTTCCATGAATAGAGAAAACCCGGACAGGAGAGAGATGGCCACATTGTTTGTAAATGGAGGGTGGGGCGAAAGGGAGAACCGATCGATAGAAGCTCCATGGATCGTACTCGGCATTCCAAGTTACCTGACGTAAATATCTCACAAGTAAACGAAGAAACGTGACAGGAGCTGGCAGGTGATTTGAATTTTGGGGATGCGAAATAATGAATGGCGGAAAGGGCCGGGTTACATGGGTCCATATGGGGAAACACCCAAAAAAAAAATCCCAACGGAAGCAAACCAGCCCACCACGGCACGGACCGAATGAATCCATCCATCCGTTTCGGGCTCAGGTTTGGATCCGGATCCTTAAATTCCGAGATACAAGTTGGGTTGGACCGTAATTCTATCAAAGATGACATCATATCAATTAGAAAAGCAGTAGTTTATACTTACGTTAAATTCAAGTAATGGAGGAAATATAAATCCAACCCATGTCCTATCGCCATAACTGTTTTGCAAATGCATAAACGTTAACACATGGCCCCGCGTAATAAAGGAATCAAACTCCTTTTGCAATTTATTGGAGTCTTGTGACAAAACTTTCGAAGGGTCCAAGTGCTTGAACAAGCATTCAATAACATAGCGGAAGCGACGGCGATATTCCTTCTTTTTCGCCATAAATTCCTTCCATTTCCCTTCTTCTCCCAAAGAAGGCAGATCAGTGGGTATCCCAAACTCGTTCCGCTCACAACAATCATTGAAATATCGAAGGAGCGGTAATCCAAGGAGATACCCATTCACGTCATCGATGAAAAATACTTCGTCTTTCTCATCACCAATTGGTTTCCCGGTTATGAATTCGCTTGCCGTTGCGTGATAGAAGGTGATATCCTTTGCGTTCTCCGAGGGAAGATTTATGATCGAGCTGATCGGTTCCAACGTCGCATGGATGTCATCCTCGCTAATCCCAAGCATCTGTGACATGGAAGACACATTCCTCAGCCCAGACGCCGTAAGAATTGCGGTGACTACTAAGCGATACATCTCGGATACACCCGAGGGAATCCCAACTGAATCCACCACATAGGCTTGCCGGAGGATTCGCAAGTATTCCTGGTTGAGGTCGATGGGTGTATCAGTTACACTAAGCAAGCCCTGAAACGCCGACTGTAGGGTACGACCACGCCGTGCCTGCCGGCAGACATCGCGAATTCGGATCGATGCCATAACGGGCAACCCACGACAACACCGGGAAAAAGCATTGAGTTCCCACTCAGTTGGTTTCCATGAAGATTTTCTCATGACATCCCGGAGACCTTCCTTCACGATACGGTGAACTGTGCGGAAATTTTCATCGTACTCTATCTTGTCCACATCTTCACATGGTATGACAAGACCCTCGTTTTGAGCTTCAAGCCAAGCTGAAAGGACTCCTGGCTCAGGACGACAGCTAACTAGCACAGCAAACGCCTGTGGGAGCTCCTGAAGGTCAAGTACCAGCCCCATTAGGGACTCAAGCGTCTCCTGATTGCCGCACTCGTCGAGACCATCCAAAACAATGACGAAGCGATCCGTACCTGAAGGGAATATGTTCTTCAGATTACGTATCGGCTCGATTACCAGAGCCTTGATTTGTTTTTCTAGAGGTAGATCCTGAAATAAGGCCAAATCCGGTTTCCGAAGTCGTCTGACAAGCGATAATTTGAAGTCCTCGTTGAAGGATGCAAGTTGGCAGGAAAGGGTAGAGGGGAACCGTTTAATGGAATCCAAGCCTGATCCTTTCCGATTCTTGTCCCAGAAATATGAGGCTACCAGGACGCCATGCTGCTCAAGAGTGGATGCGATACTCATAGAGATCGCGGTCTTCCCTGTCCCAGGAGATCCCCGTAGCCAAACGAATCGGTTCTCAGGTTTCTTCAGGTGCTCGAGTAGGGATTCTTGAATCTTGAGTCGTGTGCCTGGTAGGCACTCGGATTTGGTTTCCACGTAAATGTGCTCGGCCGGGGCCCGCTTGAGTCTCGATATCTCGGCTAGGAGCATTCGTGAATAGGCAATTCATATGTATGTACACAGACACTCACATTGAACCGATGCGTGCTCGGTATGAAGCAGAATTAAGGTTGATATTCTTAGCTATGACGGACATGGTTAATCAGGTCCGAATTACTCAAACAATCTTGAAGCGTGCGGACCTGGAATCGATTAATAGCATCATTTAGGTAGCTCTTCATACCAGTTATTTGTCGAGCTATCTCTCGCGCTAGAAGGGTCCTCTTGACAATGCTTTTTTCTCGGGCCGCTTTAATTTCCTCCATCTGTTCCTCCAAAGCCCTACGGAGAAAATGAGCGAGTGCGAGCAAGAGGGCTAAGGCGAACAGATGCGTACACCCGGATTTCTTTCACTAGGCTGTCAAGCTCAGGAGGAACTTCTCCAGTCCACTTTTGGAGGGGCTCCAGCACCGAGGCTTGCGTTTGCTGAATTACGATGCACAGCTGCTTGAGATCCTCAGAATTACCCTTGACGTCCTACATGGATGCAGCATGCGTGAGGCGATCACAACCAAGATCGTCAAGACGGTTTGCTGACCTCATATATACTGATACAAGCAAGAAGCGTGTTGGGGATCTGGTCAAGATTTTTGATGGGGGTGAACTTGAGAGCAGTGGCTGCGGCTTGGAGAAGGAGTTTGGTGCTGGCGACGATTGTTTTCTTTAGATCGCCAGAGCTACGAGATGCGGATCCCACAGGGACTGATGTTCCGATATCTGCGGGTTCTTGATGCGTGCGGACGCTTGTGCTGTTGTTCTGGATGTAGTGTGTTGGGGGCATCGCACGCGGACTGTCAATTCTCATTTCGGTAATGAGTGAAGATAGCGGGAGCGACGGATCGGGAGGGATCTGGGAGTTGGGAACAGAGGGCCCTGGGATGGAGGCCTGCGGCGGATCGTTCGAAGGCTTTGAAGCGCGATGCCAGTGGGAATTACGATTTCTGCGCATGGTGCTAAGTGCAGCGGTGGGTTGAAGGGACCGTTTGGCAGCAAAGCGCTCAAGAACTCTCACAAGATATATGTGCAAACTGCATTGTGGACATAACAGGTAAGATAACGTTGGCCGCGCGGCAAGTAATGAATTGGCTTCTTGACATTCGCAATTCAACTGACTTGTGGAATGCCTTCGATCAAATGCCTTCGATCAACGGCGTAACGGTCTAAGCTACTTGGTAGAGATGAAGTGGACCGAGTTCAAAGATGACATTGCGCACTCGCATAAAGATCTTTCTCACCGACTGTGTCGTGATGCATGCATGTAATGCCGAACCCTCACTCAGCTGTAGACGACAATGCTAACAGCCGTTGAAGGTATTTAAATTTGGTGCTGGGCACGTAAATCCAAGCGTTTAGAATCCAATAGCACTTCCACAGTCGACTCGGAGTTCAGCACTAGCAGGTCTAATGCGCAGAGGTGATACCTCTGTAATGGCCGTCTCTAGAAACTCTATGGATGAAACGTAAACAGAGTTGTTACTCGGGCGGAGGCGGTATCCGATGCGCATGATAGGTACCGCGATGGTTGCCCACCTAGTTGGCCAGCCGAAAGCATTCTTGAGCTCCAATATGTAAAACAAACTGAATAACGGTATGAGTTCAAGGGCAAACAACACGAAGAGCTAGAATGACTGAGTACGTAGCTCAATACTAATACCGGTATGAGCGAAAAAGGGAACGTCCCAAACGAGGTCCTCTTTCGTCTCAACCATTGTGCCCTGCCGAACGTTCCACTCCCACGTCTGACAAGCCAGAAATCCACGGAATGAAGTGATGGGAACGAATCATCCCAGCGTCGGAGTCATTAAGGAGAAAGGGGCAACGAATTAGCCCACTTAGTTCGCTCAGATCGTGAATTGCCATGACCGAAATGCTGATTCCCCTGGAGGGACAGTGCTGGCAACAGTGAATATGCGAAGACGGATGCTCTGGACAGAGGCAGGTGTCACTCCGTTCCCTAGGCCAACCTGCGCACCCCAAGAAGCAGCGGTCAGGCCATCAGGAGTCACGGGGACGACAGCGTCGGAACCTCTAATGCAGAAACCATACCGAATAAAAGGTGATACGGCTCGACTGCCAAACTTGGCTGCGCACATGGTGTGAAGGAGGGATGTGAGAAGGAGGCTAACAAATTGGAATATTGACACCAAAACAAGGAGGTTCCGCATGAAAGGAAACACGCTCCCAACAGGAACGATCTCGCTGTCCCTTAGACCGCTTGGTGGAAGAGTGGTGTTTCTCTACACCGAAGAATAGCGTCCGCTTGCGCCACAAGGCAAGACTGTAGCCGCCGAGATCCAATTTGAAGCGCAGATTGGAATAGGAATGGCCAGACACTCACCAGAGACGCGTCTCTTTGCGCGTCCCCGAGACCAAGGCCACCACAAAAAATAGTAGGTGGGCAGGACAGTGCCGAAGGCTTTCAGAATGATCCAGGTCATTGAATCGCTGGGAGAGTTGGTGCATTTACACAAGATAAGAAGTATTATAAAACTAGCGTAATATGCTCAGTTCTACGTGAACTAAATGTGATTGAATATGGGTACCTAGCGTGATAAATGAGTCAATCTGAGATGCTATCTCACCTCAGTTCCGTTGTACGTGAACTGAGCAAAGACGCAAACATCAAAATAAGCAAGTGCTCTGAATAGAGCACAAGCTTGGTAGCAAGATAGGTAACACAATCTGCCGGCTCGTCATGGCGTACGTCGATAACCAAAAAATTCTACGAGAAGTACGTGATCTCGTACCTGAGCTATAGCCACCGATCCTATGTAGCCCCTGTGAGTTTCCTCTGCGGATCCTGGGTACAGTTTCTTCCGGAACAAACAAACATCGCCCACCCTTTTCTCACGGGTCTCCTTAGCTTGCCTCGGGCGACGGGCGGTATCCATATAGCCCACGACCAGTATACTCCATCCAATGGAGCATTCTTCAGGCTACTGTAGTTGTTTTCTATGGGCCACATGAGCCTTTTCTCTGGGCCTACCAGCACGCTTGCCAACTAGTTGCCTTCGGTTCCCGTCTCTCATTCGTCATCACGCACTGGATCTCCAAAAAAAGCATCAAAGAATAAAACGACCTCCTGGTTTCTGACCCCTTCATCGATATGGACGAACCCTTGCTTTTTGCGGTGCTCTTGATCTTCATGCTCATTTGTTTTTAACCTTGGTTTCTATTTCCCTCCCCGTCCACACTTTGCACTCCAGCTATGACCAGGTCTTTCCTTTGGATCTAGGTCAAAATCTTGCTTGGCATCGCATGATAACCGAAACACGACCACCCTACAATGCCCACTCCGATTTGCTATATTGCAGCATTGGGTTGTTCCTCCAACCTGAACTTTGGCTCTGCAACCATATCCTGCTTCCTGTGGGTTACGTTTCTGTATGCGAACAGCCAAGGTCACTCCCTCGTCTGAGACCCATCATCTATTACATAGAACGTTGCTCCATCGAGCTCATGCATGCACTACTTCTATCTTTCCATGACCAATCTTTCAATAAAGATACTGGGCAGAGTCTCGCTGTACTTGCTGGCACACCGAGATTTGGATTCAAATTACTCGATCGCCCCACCTAAATTTCGGCTGGCGACACCAAAGACCTGAATCTGCTCACGTGTGCCTTCGTCCGAATGGTCCCCTTCTACGTGCTGAGTCACGGCAATTGTATTATTGGGTATCTGATGAACAAGTCATGGGGGAGTAGGCTACGGATGCACTGCTCTTACCTTGCAAGGAAAGTGGGACAACTCTATTGAAATCCCGTTCTCTCTCCAGAGTCTCGAGCGCGAATGTAAACTGGTGTGAAGGAGAGGGAAGTCAGTATACGAGACTTTGCTTTGATGATAGTTATGCGCATTGCTTCGTGACGGTATACACACTTTGCTAAGAGGGATGTAGTATAGACGCCTCCGAGCACCTAGGGAGTATTACTAAGGTCAAGCGTCTGCATTAAATGACAGGTTTTACTCACAAAGACGAAACTCATGGGGATAAATTGGGGGCTGTGGAACCCAACCTGCCCCGAGAAAGGCTGTTAGGATTACGCATCAAAAATGTTGGAAAAATAAACATACAGACAACATGATAGCCAGCGCCAGAATGCTAAGTTGGGGAGATAGAGGAATTTTAACCTAGTTCAGTAACAACAACACAAATCATACCCAGTTAGTAGGCCAGTGCTTATGGCATATGCTGTTAACTTCCGTAACACTGTGTCCATCCTTTAGGCAGAAATCTATTCATTTAGTTCTACAAGAGTCAGATCAATCACATACCGCCGAAATCCTGTGCGACGCTTCTGGAGGAAATATGACATAGCGAAGGCAATCACGAGATCAGCCACTGCCTTTGAAGGAATGTAAGTGAAATATCCCGGTCAATGGGAGCGCATACCTCTAGTGTTAGCCACGATATAGTGAGTGGGTGTTTGGAAAAGAGTACGCTTTCGAGACCGTGAGTAACATTTCTGTCAGGTGAGATGACAAGAGCCTATCAGTAGAAAATCGCTGGTTTTAGATGGAGAATCCTCTTACGCCTGAATAAAGAGCACTGTATGCAGTGCGCGCGGGGTGCAGAGAATATCAGAAGTGATTTAATCTCACAATCTTGCATCTCACCAACACCGGTCCCTAGGTCGAGACAATCAGACGCTCGAAAAACACTATCATTCGGATCCGCTCACCAAATTGCGCCAGGGTCAGGAAAACCTGTCAATAAGGATCCCGTAAGAAAGGAAATGTCTGTAGGATGGACGGTGGTGACATACAAGCGATATTGGTAGCCAGATCGATCCACTGACTGGACACGATTCAGATGAATGTCAAAATCCTTGGGGAGAAAGGACTACCGGGGGGACTTACGTCGATAGAGTCTCAAGACGAAGAAAAATTGGACGATGGCAGAGCAAATAACCTAGTGGAGCGAATTATGAAAAGGTACATAACCTCCGGTGTACCGACTAGGCTCGGACCGGGGTTAAGTGAAATAATGATCCTACCATAGATAACTGGTAGAAAGTATCAAACCTGTCGTGGGACAAAGTCACACCCAGTGCGATGAGTCTACGGGAGGGCCTACCATTTTATTAAAACCGGCTCCCCAGCATGTTCAACAATCCATATGTACACGTAAAGCGAAGTTATCCTAGACAAACAGCAAGTCATTGACAAATGTATCTGACGCGGCTTTTGGCTCACACTTGAAACATCTGTACGAGCCTGAAAGTGGTGTGCGCAGTTACCCAACCATCATTCAAATGTAAGCTACAACTGGCCAGCACCCACCATAAGAATCCGATGACGGCCTTCTGAGAGATATGGTCCTTGGAAAACCTTTCGTAATAGAGAAAAGTCTGAATGGTGATTACACCGAGGAGTCTAAGTATTGCAGGAAGGGGAAGAACGTGAAGTTCATTCGCGTGAGCGCCGGAAGATAAAAGAGCTAAGATGTCATTATCCACGAAAACAATTGTCAATGCCATCGACCACGCACGCAGCCTGGAGTACAATCCCGGAAAAGACACCCACGGCGAGGGATTTGAAGTTGGACGGAGACATACCCATCACGGGCCATGCCATTTGGTGAGGTGATCTGAGAATGGGAAACGGGAATGCTCAGCCTAACCCAACTGCGTAGACTTGCTATGCGCTATAAACATTCTCGCTGTTCGGCAAATCGTAGCTGTTGGAATCTATCATTATCTATGAGTCACCGGAACCTTTCGGAATGTTTCTGGATTGTCGTGGGAAATCCCCAGATAACTACTTTCCTTAGTCGCGCTTGCGTACAGTGTCAATTATTTTACACATCGCAATACATTCCCTGTACATAGAAATACGCACAGACGTGCGTTGAGAAAAATTATCAGTAAAAGTTTCTTCGGTCGATCGCGAGTTGGAGCCGCTGAGTAGTGATTGGAAACCTCTCAGCCTAAGGGTCATATCTATACACTCGGATCTTTGCTCAACTTTTTGATTCAGTTTCACTTCAGTTGCTACTATGGCTTCATCAAAGGATGATGGAATTTCTCTCAGCGGATACAAAATCCCTGCTTCACAGTAACCGACAAGGAAAATTTCTGCAAATCGAAGTAACTTGAGAGGAAATATACATTGACCCCAACTCACATCCCTGTAGTAGTGCACTGCGCGAATGTAAACACATAATTTCGGAATCAAACTCGTTTTGCAATTATTGGACTCTTGTGACAAAAGTTGTGAAGGGTCCAAGTGGTCATTCAACATCATGGATGAAAATTACTGTCTTTCTCATCGCCAGTTGGATTGCATATATGAATTCTTCATGATAGAAGGTGATCTCCCCTGCATTCTCCAAGGGAAGATTTATGATAGAGCTGATTGGTCCTAATATCGCACGGATGCCATCCTCGCTAATCCGGAATATCTGCGACATGGAAGACACATCACTCACCCCATCCACCATAAGAATTGCGGTGACCACTAAGCGATACATCTTGGAGGATTCCTGATTGAGGTCGATAGATGTATCAGTGACACTACGCAAGCCCTGAAACGCCGACCGTAGGGGTGCGGCCACCGATGTCTGCTGGCAGACATCGTGAACCCGGATTGACAGGCAAGCCAGGGAAAAATCACTAAGTTCCTACTTTGTTGGTTTCCATGAAGATTTCCTGATGACATCCCGAAGACCATCCTCCACAATACAGCAAACGTGGAAATCTTCACCGTACTCCATCTTGTCCACATCTTCACATGGTATGACGGGACCCTCATTTTGAGCTTTCAAGCGCCAAGCTGAAATGACTCCTGGATCAGGACGACAACTAACTAGCACAGCAAGTGCCTGCGGGAGCTCCTGAAGGCCAAGTACCAGTCCCATCAGGGACTCAAGATTCTCCTGATTCCCGCATTCATCGAGACCATCCAAAACGATGACGAAGCGATCCTTACCTGAAGGGAATATGTCACACATCGGCTCGGTCATCAGAGCTTCAATTTGTTTTCCCAGGCGGAAATCCTGAACTGACTCCAAAGCTCGTTGCCGAAGGTGTCTGACGAGCGACAATTTGAAGTCCTCGTTGAAGGATGCAAGTTGGCAAGCAAGCATAAGATGCGATACCTCATAGTGATCGCGATCTTCCCTGTCCTAGGAGACCCTCGTAGCCAAACAAATCAGTTCTCAGGTTTCTTCAGGTACTCGAGTAGGGATTCTTGAAATCTTGAGTCATGTGCCTGGTACGCACTCGGCTTTGGTTTTCATGTAAATGTGCTCGGCCGGGGCCCGCTTGAGTCTCAATATCTCGGCTAGGAGCATTAGTGATTAGGCAATTTATAAGTATGTATGAGGCACGTACATCGAACCGATGCGCGCTCGATACGAAGCAGAATTGAAGTTGAGTATGGTTAATAATTACCCAAGGAATCTTGAAGCATGCAGACCTGGGATCGACGAATCGTATCACTCAGACAGCTTTTCATACCGGTTATTTGTCGGGCATTTCTCGCGCTGGAATGGTACTCTTGACAATTTTTTTTTCTCGGACCGCTTTAATGTCCATTTGTTTCTCCAAAACCCTAAGGGAGGATGAGCAAGTGTACCAAGGCGAGCTGATGGGATTCTTGCACTAGGCTGTCAAGCTCACGAGGGACCCCCCAAGTCCACTTCTGAAGGGGCTCCAGCACCGAGGCTTGCGCTTGCCGAATTACGACGCACAACCGCTTGGGATCCTCAGAATTGCCCTTGACGTCCTACATGGATGCAGCGTGCATGAGGCGATCACAACCAAGATCATCAGGACGATTTGCTAACCTCATGAATACCGATATAAGCAAGAAGCGTGTGGGGATCTGGTCGAGATTTTTGATGGGGTGAACTTGAGAGCAGTGGGTGCAGCTCGGAGGAGTTTGGTGCTCGCGACGATTGTTCTCTTTAGATCACCAGGGCTACGAGATGCGGATCTCGCCGGGACTGACGAAGGAGCGGGGACGGGTGTTCCAATCTCGGCAGGTTCTTGATGCGTACGGACGCTTGCACTGTTGTTCTGGATGTAGTGTATGGGGGGCATCGTACGCGGACTGCCAAGGTCTATTCCGGTAGTGAGTGGAGGTAGCGGCAGCGACGGATCATCTGAAGATGGGTCCGGGGGTGAAGGGAGAATTGGGTAATTGGGTAATTGGTAATTGGGTAATTGGGATAGGTAGTGTTTCGTTGGCCGGAACGATTGCCGCTTCAGACCCCGAGGAGGGTTACTGGGTGTTTACGGACCGGGAGCTCTGGTGGGATCTGGGCGTTGGGAACAGAGGACCCAGGGATGAAGGCCTGCGGCAGATCATCCGAAGGCTTTGGAGCGCGATGCGAGCGGGAATTACGATTTCTGCGCAGGGCGCTAATTGCAGCGGTGGGTTGAAGGGAGTGTTTGGTAGCAAGGCGCTCAAGAACTCTTGCAAGATATATGTGCAAACTGCAGCGCGTCTTTGTGTACGTGAAAGATAAGACAACGTTGGCCACGCGGCACGCAATGAATTGGCTTCTTGACATTTTCAATTCAATGTGTGCAGAAATAAAGGTCTAAGCTACTTGGTAGAGATAGATCAGTGGTCTGAGTTCAAAGATGACATTGCGCGCTCGCGTCAAGGTCTTTCTCACCGACTGTGATGCATACATGTATGCCGAACCCTCACTCAGCAGTGCCTCAGCTGAGCCTTAAATGCAGCTGCAGACAGCAATGTTAACAGCCGTTGAAGGTATTTAAACTAGGTGCTGGGCAAGTAGGCCCAAGCGCTCAGGATCCAATAGTACTTCCACAAACATCTCGGAGTTCAGTACTAGCGGGTTTAATGCCAAGGGGCAACACCTCTGCAATGGTCGTCTCCAGAAACTCCAGGGTGAAACTCAAACAGAGTTGTTGCCCGGGGCGGAGGAGATATCCTATGCGGGTATGTAAAACAGACTGAACAACGTTGGGTTAAGTGAAATTATGAGTCCGAGGGCAAACAACAAGAATGACCGAGTACGTAGCTCAATACTATGTAATACAGGTTATGAGCGAAAAGGGGAACGTCCCAAACGCATACTTGAGTGTCTTCAGTATTCGGGAATGTCGCACGAGGTCCTCTTTCGTCTTCGAAACCATTGTGCCATGCGGAACGTTCCAGTCCCATCCCAGCGTCATCGTCATTGAGGGGTAACGAAATAGCCTCCTTGTTTGGTTCGCTTAGATCGTGAATATGCTGATTCTCATGGCAGGAGGGACAGTGCTGGTAACAGTGAATATGCGAAGGATGCTCCGGACAGAAGCAGGTGTCACTCCGCTCCCTAGGCCAGCCTACGCACCCCAAGAAGCAGTGGTCATGCTATCAGGAGCCACGGGGACGACAGCGTCGGGACTTCTCACACAGAAACCATATTGAATAAATGGTGATACGGCCCGACTGCCAAACTTGGCTGGACAGTAGTGCCAAGGAGGCCGGGTTGTACGATCGGGATGTTGCGTTGTGTTGATTACATACAGGGAGTGTGGGAAAATTATGCCACGAACGCATGGCTCACTTCTTTCGACTGGTTGATGTCTGTGCTAACAAAGGCTGGTAACCTGCCTATGGTTGATGTCATAGTGCGTGGTGTTAGATTAATGGCGTTGAGTGCTAAAAGTACGATCTGGCTGACAATCGAGGCTGCAAATGCTTTGCTATGATGGACCCGTTAACTTCTCAATTCAGACGACAGTTCCCAAATTCAGGTCAATGGCACCTGCTTCCAATGGGCGTGAACAATTACACAATTACAAGGCATTGTAATATGTACGTTAGAACGGGGATCCCCCGTTCCCGACATGGTCATTGACTGAAGAATAGTGCGACGCTCATGGTCACTGCACGGAGTCACAATCAACCTAGTCTAAAAATTCTCTCAACCTGCCTGTTGCTCTATTTCACAGTACTGATGATGCTCCAGACTCGTACCCAGTCTGACGATGCTCCTTTGGATGAAGTCTGCAATTGATGCCGCAGTCATGCCAACTGGTCAAAGTGTCCGACTAAGTACGATTTCTCAACAAGTAAGGTCCTACTCTACCTCCCTCGTCAACTACGGTGGTGAGGAGTTAAGGGGTGCTGCAATCCAGCGAAAGTTATTGACATTACAATGTTTAGAGTGTTACGGAGTGTCACATCGGAGATAGATGTCAGTGTCCCAACACCATGTCAACAGGGAAAGCCCCATAAATTGTGCGTATCAACGTTATCTTTCAAGGTCTCCCACATATCCACCACATCAATTTCCAGCACAAATTGCGACAACACTGTTGCCAAGGCTTTCGCGAGCATTTGTTCACTGAATGATTTCTTCGGGATGACAAATACGATCTTCCATTGCCACGCCCCCTTGTGTTGCTCCTGCAGCACATCCCAAAGCCTGTTAATGTGAGGTTCCTTGACTGGGTGTCGTGGAGAAATCATGTACTGAAACATGACAACACCGGTGATGGTGTGGTTCTCATCCCTTTCGAAAGCGAACGAGTCGATACCAGGCAGGTCCCCAGGAACCGGTCGGTAGTACTTGGCAGCATCCAGACAAGGGACCTTATCCACTGGAAAACCGGAGAATGCCTCCACCTTCTCATTGTCGATGTGTTCCAAATGGAATAGTTTTTTGTTGCCGTCTTCGAGTCCTAGTACGTGAAGGGCAGCTTTAGTTTTTCTGAGGATGTAAAAATGCCCGACAGTTTCGAACATCAGACCGGCTGTGGAGGGTGTAGAGGGCTCCCTTATATAATCGTAGAAGTACTGGGCCAAACTTTCAACCACTTCCAATCCTTTGTTTTTCATGAGCTTGTTGAAAATAAAGAGGGAAATCACCTGCGTGCTTGGTCTTAATCGACAGACACGACCATTCTCGTCTTGGAAGGGATTGACTTCTGCCAGATGGTGGTGATATTTCTTGGCTTCGTGTTCACCGCTTGCTGGAAGAGGGAGATGGGAGTGCATCCCATAATAGCCGAGTCGAGGTCGATATCTACCTGCTCTTGCGTACGATCGAGTAACTGCCTCGCCGAACCCCCATACCTTATGAACGCAACATGCCAAGCTTCATCGTCAACCCTCTGCTCCTTCGCATAACCGCTGGGAGAGATGAGCACTACTAGGCATCTACCTACACAACTGGCGGCTTACTGGGATACACACACTTCTTGCCAGCTCCATCTTTTCATGTAAAACGTGTTCGGACTGTTTTTCCTTGCCCCTCTTCTGGCTCGGACGACGATGCTACCAAGATCCTCCATCGCTGCTGCAGCAGAGTGTTGACCTCCGCAGCCGAAGCAAGATGAGAGAGAACAAGGCCATCCAAATCGGCTCCTTCAGCTACGGAGAGCTCGGGATTCCGCCAATGTAGGAAGGAATCATTTGGAATCATGTAAACACCAGATTCGAGAAAGGCGAAACGTATCAAAGGTGACTTGGAGAGCACGGTGAGCTTTCCTTGTGCGAGCCGATTCAGGAGACAGTGCGTCGAATAGACAGCCTTGCCTTTAAGCAAAATCGGTCTGCGCCGATGGAACCCAGCGATATCTGATTGTCTCTGCTCCTCCACGAATGCATCGAGCTCGTTGTATTCGTTCCGCACATAAAATCTCATTTCGAGCACCTCGGATATATTCCACGGCACGTTCGGGATCTCCATCAGGTTGTAGAACAGTGCTCCAGTTTTCGCCGTAGCGTCACCCATCGTGACGTCCTCTGGCTTAGATTCTTGAGATTTGTTATTGAGATCATCAAGGTCGGGTACGTGGATCGAGGAGCGAGTAATGAGTCCACGCAAGCGACCCTCATTTCCCCAGAGGTGGTTGCGGATGATGGCCAAGCCGCCGTAAAGTGGATCCTTCTCAGTGATAAGAGAGACTGTTGGATAGGCGGAGCATACTGAGAAGTCAACAATGTGTGAACAAAGAAGTATTGCGCATCTGTATTGGCCGTCTGTTTAAGGACTACAGCAAAAATTGGAAGGATTAGCTGAGCTGAACAGACGAAACGATATGACTCACTACGCTGCACTTTGACTACCACATGGGCCTGGAGTCTTGTCCAAAAATGTCGTTTGCTTCATCATCAGGACCATCAAGAGGATCCTTCGTAGTTATACTACCCGTTGCTCTATCAATAAGCTTTCCATCGCCCCTTATCGTCAAATTATCAGGCTTCTTTGGATCAGCACAGCATTCTTCAGACTGGAGGGCCTACCCACTTACCTTGTACAAGACAAGCGCGCCGACATTGTACTCGTCACGCAGCAGCTTGTGCTTCTCATAAATTTTATCACGGAGATCCCTGACAATTCTGACACCCTGAGACATTGGACCTAAGGCAAGGCTGTCGGGACAGATGACGAAGTATGTTAGACGTTTCAGAGATTGCGGTGTGGTTGACTTGATCACAGAGGTCGGTGGGACGCGACGAAGTTTCGAAGATTGCGGCGTGGCTGACTTGATCATATTGAAATTATGAACTAACGTCGTGTAACCGCTCAGTTCTGGATACGTGAACTGAGGAGAGAGAGAGAGAGAGAGAAATTTTGTCGTGGCTTTTAAAGCCCATCGCTCGCTGAGAAGTCTAAGTCTTGCACGATCTAAAATTACAGGGAAAGCAAGGTGGATTGTGAAACAGTTGGCCAGACCCTTGATTAATGGTGAAGTTGTGATCAAGAGACACAGTATACTGACGCGTAATAAAGTTCCACGACTGCGTCCATCAGCATGGACTCCAAAAACGGAAGCATCGGGCAATCCTTCAAGGAAATGTCCGTGCGCAATTAGAAATATAGTCCAACGGACTCAATGGACCGTCCACAGCGTACCAAGGAACAAGAAACTTCAACAGATCACGGAAGTCGGGTGGGCACGATGACGTTTCAGGTCCTAGATTCGGTTCTTTTTGAGAAGCGGAACCGGAATCGGTTCCGGCAAACCGGAACCGAACCAGTGACGTAATGAACCGAAACCGAATTGCATTTCGGTTCCGTCCCGGTTCGGTTCGGTTCGGAACCATTTGAACGTTCTATCTGGAAAGATGTAACCTTTGGTCCATGGAATTAGGTTGGTGTCCGACACTTCGAGTGTGTGTAGTTAAATTTCCTTTCCAATTTTTTTTTCAACCATCCCTAAATGCGTCCGACCCTGATCTCTACTTTATGCATGTACTTATGCGCAATATCCAACGTGGTTGGCTACAATCCTTCAATGGTTTTGTGGTTCGGTTTTGGTTCGGCCGGTTCACGGTTCGGTCCCGGGTCCTTGCATGGGATAGGGGAGATGGATGCAATTGCACCATCATTGGTACTGTTAAGCGTCTTGGACTGAAACGAGTTGCTCATGCTTCTCAGTAGTGCCTGGGTCCACTTTTTATCAACTGATCGTTCTTGCGCCCAAGGTTGCTTCGTTCGTATGACTGTACCGTCAGCGAGGAAAATGCTTTGGAACTGTATGGAGGCCTTTGTGAGTTTACAACGCCGGACTTGGTCCACCCCATCTCTACCGAAGATCCACAGTCTGCCAGGACGGTACCATTTCCGCCATCGCGCAGTATTGATGGGCAATTAGCGGGCCCGCACGTGCGCGCGTCGAATCCGCGGCCGTTATGCAAGTTCCTAACTTGAAGCAAGGAAAAATATGAACAATTTCCTTACTGACGGCTTTTTTCGGCTTCAACGTTGTCCTACCTGTTATGTCCACTGTACAGTACATCATGTGAGCAGTTCTGCCGCCGAACGTCTCCTAGCTACACTCACACGATGTCCGAAAGGCCCTCAGCCCCCAGATTTCTCTCTCAGTTTACTAGGTCGCAACGCCCTTCTGAGCCTCTTGATGATCAGCCGCGGACTTCCATCTCTCCTGCTTCCAGCATCCGGATCACTGTTTCCGCGACTGCAAGCGACGTATCGGCTCACAGAGATCACCATGGTGATTCTGCAGGATCACATCCTGGTATCCTTGCTACTACAGCGCCTATTCTTTCGCCTTCTACTGGTGCCTCAGGGGATGATGTCACGAAGCAATCGACGTCTTTTCGAGACAGGATCTTTGGGCGATTGAAGAAAAGCCCTAGCCCCGATCCCAATCGTCTCAACCAATCAACCAATGTCGATCTCGATCATCCTATGTTGACTACACCCGCCCAGACATCCACGAACGACCCATGGCCATCGCTGTCTCCCCTTCCCACCGAAGCGACTACTGATTCGTCACGAGTAATTCCTAGCGCAGAGGGAGAGGCTTCAGATGCCAGGTCGTCAGTTCCAGCTGCTCCATCGGGCCCGGCGGCACCTCGCAGATCCGATGGAGATCCGAAGAAGATGATCATTGGGAGCACTAAAGCCCTCCTCCGAACCGCGGCCACTGCTCTCAGGCTCCTCCCTATCCCAAATCTTGATCAGATCCCAAACGCCCTTTTGACAGGGATTCAAATCTATGAGGTTCGAGAATCTTGAAGATCTCGATGGTGGTCGTCTTTTATATCTGGTTGCAGACTCGTACCCAGTCGTCGTCGCTCCGTGGACGCGCACTGCGCACACGCAATTTCAAGTTGGGTTTATATTAAAAGTCACAGTCACCTTTACATGATGCATGAGTAGTCATCTTTTGTATTGAACCCTTAAAGTCACATGTGCCGGAAATAGAGTTAAACCCGATCACCTACTCCGAAAACCAGCGCGCGACACTTCGCTCCAACGACTGGCACAAAAGTTGGGTGGCGGTGTTTTTCGGCAGCATCCGGGACTGAATTGTTGAGTCCACACAACTTGTGCGCAACAGATTAGGTTGTAGTCCGGTGCATTTTTAGTGTCAACTCACATAAGATTTGTGCCCGACCCACCCCAAAGGGTATGAAGGGCTGCGGAGTCAGTAACCTGAGCATGCAGAGAATCTAAGCCTTATATATTACTTTGAGAGCATTACTGTGTTGGTGCGAGTTAGTGCAGATGGTATAGCGTTCGCAGAGGCTATGCACTTTTTTTGCTTGCTCGGGTTCGACTCCCATTTGGTAACTTCCTTTTTTCATTCATTCCTCACTTCTTGGTGATGTATACGGAAATTTGTCGCATGTATGAAAGGGGTGATGCATGAAAAAAAGGAGGTTACCAAGTGGGAGTCGAACCCAAGCAAGCAAAAAAAGTGCATAGCCTCAGCGAACGCTATACCATCTGCACTAACTCGCACCAACACAGTAATGCTCTCAAAGTAATATATAAGGCTTAGATTCTCTGCATGCTCAGGTTACTGACTCCGCAGCCCTTCATACCCTTTGGGGTGGGTCGGGCACAAATCTTATGTGAGTTGACACTAAAAATGCACCGGACTACAACCTAATCTGTTGCGCACAAGTTGTGTGGACTCAACAATTCAGTCCCGGATGCTGCCGAAAAACACCGCCACCCAACTTTTGTGCCAGTCGTTGGAGCGAAGTGTCGCGCGCTGGTTTTCGGAGTAGGTGATCGGGTTTAACTCTATTTCCGGCACATGTGACTTTAAGGGTTCAATACAAAAGATGACTACTCATGCATCATGTAAAGGTGACTGTGACTTTTAATATAAACCCAACTTGAAATTGCGTGTGCGCAGTGCGCGTCCACGGAGCGACGACGACTGGGTACGAGTCTGATCTGGTTGCATGCATGTAGAATGTTAGCGGCAACACCCAGGATCTCAAACAGTTGTGCGAAGTGATCCAGCAGGCGGGCAAGTCGGTGTTTGAGCCCCTCCAGACTTGGACTGGAAAGATTCCTCCGGAGCTTGAAACCTTAGTGGAGGAATTCCACGTGTACGCATCTCATTCTTCCCTTTTGCTCACATTCACTTATTCTCTTCGTAGGGCATTGCAAATACAAGTAGAAGACATTAAATTAGTTCAAGAAAAAAACATCGTCGAGAAGACCATTCAAACGTCTAATATAACACAGCAAATAACCAATATGAAGAACTGCCTCAATGATGCTATCCGTCGATTCGAGGTTTGCGTGCCCGACATTTTTTGAATGGTCAAATTCTAATTTGTCATGTTCGCCACAGCTGAGATCATTGACTTTAATTCTACTTCGCACCGAGCACGCATCGGTTCAATGTACGTGTCTGTGTACAAACCTGTGAATTGCCTATTTACTAATGCTCCTAGCCGAGATATCGAGACTCAAGCGAGCCCCGGCCGAGCATATTTACGTAAAAAGCAAATCAGAGTGCCTACCGGGCACACGACTCAAGATTCAAGAATCCATACTCGAGCACCTGAAGAAACCTGAGAACCGATTTGTTTGGCTACGGGGGTCCCCTGGGACAGGGAAGACCGCGATCTCCATGAGTATCGCATCCACTCTAGAGCAGCAGGGCGCACTGGCAGCGTCATATTTCTGGGACAAGAACCGGAGAGGATCGGGCTTGGATTCTATTGAACAGTTTCCCTCTACCCTTGCCTGCCAACTTGCATCCCTCAACGAGGACTTCAAATTGTCGCTCGTCAGACAACTTCGGAAACCGGATTTGGCCTTGTTTCAGGAATTACCTCTAGAAAAACAAATCAAGACTCTGGTGATTGAGCCTATACGTAACCTGAAGGACATATTCCCTTCGGGTACGGATCGTTTCGTCATCGTTTTGGATGGTCTCGATGAGTGCGGCAATCAGGAGACCCTTGAGTCCTTGATGGGGCTGGTACTTGGTCTTCAGGAGCTTCCGCAGGCATTTTCTGTGCTAGTTAGCTGTCGTCCTGAGCCAGGAGTCATTTCAGCTTGGTTTGAAGCTCAACACGAGGGTCTTGTTATACCATGTGAAGATGTGGATAAGATAGAGTACGATGAAGATTTCCACACAATTTGTTGTATTGTGGAGGATGGTCTTCGGGATGTCATCAGAAAATCTTCATGGAAACCAACAGAGTGGGAACTTAATGATTTTGCCTGGGCTTGCCGTGGGTTGCCTGTTATGGCATCAATCCGAGTTCGCGATGTTTGCCAGCGGACACGGCGTGGTCGTACTCTACAGTCGGCGTTTCAGGGCTTGCGTAGTGTCACTGGTACACCCACCGACCTCAATCAGGAATACTTGCGAATCCTTCGGCAAGCCTATGTGGTGGATTCAGCTGGAATTCCCCCAGATATATCCAAGATGTATCGCTTAGTAGTCACCGCAATTCTTACGACGTATGGGCTGAGGGATGTGTCTTCCATGTCGCAGATGTTTGGGTTTAGCGAGGATGAGATCCGTGCGACGTTGGAACCAATCAGCTCAATCATAAATCTTCCCTTGGACAATGCAGAGGATATCACCTTCTATCACGCAACGGCAAGAGAATTCATAACCGGGAAACCAATCGGTGATGAGAAAGACAAAGTGTTTTTCATCGATGACGTGAATGGGTATCTCCTTGGATTGCCGCTCCTTCGATATTTCAACAATTGTTGTGAGCAGAACGTGTTTGGGATACCCACGGATCCGCGTTCCTTAGGAGAAGAAGGGAAATGGGAGGAATTTATGGTGAAAAAGAAGGATTATCGCAGCCGCTTCGACTACGTTATTTACCACTTAGCCGACCACTTGGACCCTTTGCAACTTTTTTCACAAGAGTCCAATGAATTGCAAAACGAGTTTAATTCCTTCATTACACGAAATTATGTGTTAATATTCGCGCACTTGCAATCCCACATGGAGGAGACATGGCATGGAGAGATATTTCCTGAACAATTACTTCAATTTAACGTGAGTATAAACTATCTGTCCGATGCATTTCTAATTGATGTGGTGTCATCTTCGATGGAATCACGATTCAATCCAGCTTCTGAGAGATTTACATCAGGTAACTCAGCATGCCGAGGACCATCCATGGAGGTTCTATCGATCGATTCTCCCTTTCGCCCCACCCTCTGTTTACAAACAATATGGCCATCTCTCTGGTGTCCGGGTTTTCTCTATTCATGGAAAGTCTGATGACACGATCCCATTAAACGAAGATTCGTGCAGGGCTCAAGAAGTCATGCACGCAAAGTTGACTGAAAGGGTTCGCCAATGGGGACAGGAGATCAGCTACAAAGCTGAATTCTACCAACCTGATATTCGCAATGGCGTTGTGACCTGTGCTGCACTCTCCCTCGATGGTCGCTACGTTGTACTTGGGTTTGGCAGCGGTGTCATCGAAGTCGTCGATATTGACCATCAGCGTCCGATCTGCCAATTGCAGCATAATCCAGCCAATCTCCCTAACTGGATTGAATTTGTATACGGTAGCCACAGGGTTGCTACTGAGGATATTGATGGGAACGTCACAGTTCTCAGCCATGGCATCGCCCCAGTGAAGCTTGGCAATCTTCCTTCTGGTCTCTATCCTGCTGAAACCGCCATCTCAGATAATGGATTATTTATCATACGAGCACCACGAAATTTCGACAACCCTTGGTGCGATAACATGACACTCATAGCTGTCTCTGAGTATCCTTTCATCCGGCTCCTCACCTCTCCTTCGGACCTGTCTGTCCCATTCCCGTCCTCCCCATCCACCCAATACCGCAATGCAACCCCCTTATCTAGGCCTCACCGACGGACGCTTGGGTTCTCTCCAGGTGCACGATATGTCGGCGCGTTTGACGGGTTCAGCGCTTTCACATGGTCGACACAATCATACGAGCTTATTGCATCTTATCGTGTGACCAACCCCTTTTTTTGGATTATCAATCCCAACGTCCCTCCAACTCACTTCCATCTCGTTCCAAATCCTATATTCACTCAAGCCACTTCTTTATTGGTGGAAGACGATACAGCTTATGAACATCGTTCTGAGGATGCAGGGTGTGACTCTGAAGATGAGTCCTGGATCAAGCGCCCGTTTTATGACCTCTCACCAAGCAGCCACCGAGTATGGGAGGCCGAGTCCACTTCCTCTGCAACAAGGGAAAACCCACACATCTGGTCCCGATCGGTGATGTTTAATGGCAGACAAATACTTGAGCTTCCAGAGGAATATGAGCCGGTTACTTCTTTGCTAGCATGGTACGGTCACCGAGTGCCAGAATGTAGTTTGGAGTCATACCGCCCTCAGTCCAGCAGGGATGGAACTCGACTTCTGGTCCAGGGCAAGTCAAAGACCCCAATTGTCATCGATATTAGTCGGGTTGTTTAGCATTTATCAGTGCACCCATTTACTTCCTTGGCTATACACTCGATGCCTTTGCGCTGCACCGCTGTGTGAAATTGTGGACAGTCTTTGAAGCCTTGTGTGTCATGTACTATTCCTTTAACGTAATGTATAGAATACCATTGTTGGTGGTGACGGGGCTCCGGCGTTCCGCATAGTACAGGAAGACGAAGCGCCAAGACTACTAAGGCCTAAGCTAGATCAAATAAAATAGTGTGATCTCTCGAATAAATATTCAAAGCAACGTTGTTGACTAAGCTTATGACGCGCGCACGCACATTCGAGCTGCTGAAGGAATCCATCGGTTACATCACCTAAGATTTGATACGTATAATTGACATCCACCTAATCCCCTTCCCAATATGCTCCCTAGCCACGCTATTGAGATATGGGCACGCCCGGCCGCCCGAACGAGTAACGACTGGGATGAAGGAGGCGGGGAAAGGCTGGGAATACAGCACTGAAGGAAGGATCCAAGAAACTTGCCAGTATACATTTACAAGTGCATCGGGCTAGTACGATGCGTATGACTACAACTCGAATCATAGATGATGAGTGTTGAGACGATGTCACTGGATGCACGTCAAGCCGTAATTCATATGATCGTGTCCTAGAAATGTCATCGAATGGGCCATTTTAGGCACTTCCGACTAGAGTCGAGTGCCGGTATCGGACTCGGGGAGACTCACCTCAACGTCTCGCTGGTGCTCATGTGGCTTAGGCTACGCACGCATCCCAATCGTGTGATCGAGGGTCTCCAACGCTTGGAGGTCCTCAGGCATGTCAACCATTGTGCTTCGCTGAATGTTCCACTCCCATCGCCTGACCTGCAAAAACCCAAGGAATGAAATGATGAGAACGAACCACCCCAGCGTAGTCATCATGATGAAGGAGAACAAGTCAAAGGAAATATTCATCCTCATCCGGTTCACTCGGGTCATGGGTTGTTGAAGTGCTGTTTCCGCTGAAGGGACAGTGTTGGTGACGCTCAATATGATGCTCCGGACAGAGGCGGAGACCATTCCGCTTCCAGACCGCCCCAAGTGGCGTCATCGTCAGCCAAAAGGACGACAGTGTCTGGACTTCGGATATAGAAACCATGCTGAATAGGTTGGTATCAAGACCGGCTGAGCTTCCAAACAGGTGTGGCAATGGTGTGAGATGAATTGGAACGACAAGACAACACCAATAAGAACACGCTCCTGCAACAGGAAGACGCTTGATAATCAGGTCGGGCCGCTGGGCGAAAGAATAATACTGAGAAATGGCGACCATTGGCGTCGTGTGGTAAGAATGTAGCTGCCACTGGGATCCAATTTTACGCCATGGGTTAGAATACGAATGATAGGATACTTGCCAGTGGCGCATCTTTGTGTTCCTGGGGGATTAACGCAGATCATTAGCGAACACACTAAGACTATATCAGGCGTGAGGCGATCACAACCAAGATCATCAAGACGGTTTGCTGACTTCATAGATACTGATACAAGCAAGAAGCGTGTTGGGGATCTGGTCAAGATTTTTGATGGGGTGAACTTGAGAGCAGTGGCTGCGGCTTGGAGCAGGAGTTTGGTGCTGGTGACGATTGTTTTCTTTAGATCACTAGAGCTACGAGATGCGGATCCCACAGGGACTGATGTTCCGATATCTGCAGGTTCTTGATGCGTGCGGACGCTTGTGCTGTTGTTCTGGATGTAGTGTGTTGGGGGCATCGCACGCGGACCGTCAATTCTCATTTCGGTAATGAGTGAAGATAGCGGCGGCGACGGATCGGGAGGGATCTGGGAGTGGGGAACAGAGGGCCCAGAGATGGAGGCCTGCGGCGGATTGTTCGAAGGCTTTGAAGCGCGATGCCAGTGGGAATTACGATTTCTGCGCATGGTGCTAAGTGCAGCGGTGGGTTGAAGTGAGCGTTTGGCAGCAAAGCGCTCAAGAACTCTCACAAGATATATGTGTAAACTGCATTGTGGACATAACAGGTAAGATAACGTTGGCCGCGCGGCAAGTAATGAATTGGCTTCTTGACATTCGCAATTCAACTGACTTGTGGAATGCCTTCGATCAAATGCCTTCGATCAACGGCGTAACGGTCTAAGCTACTTGGTAGAGATGAAGTGGACCGAGTTCAAAGATGACATTGCGCACTCGCATAAAGATCTTTCTCACCGACTGTGTCGTGATGCATGCATGTAATGCCGAACCCTCACTCAGCTGTAGACGGCAATGCTAACAGCCGTTGAAGGTATTTAAATTTGGTGCTGGGCACGTAAATCCAAACGTTTAGAATCCAATAGCACTTCCACAGTCGACTCGGAGTTCAGCACTAGCAGGTCTAATGCGCAGAGGTGATACCTCTGTAATGGCCGTCTCTAGAAACTCTATGGATGAAACGTAAACAGAGTTGTTACTCGGGCGGAGGCGGTATCCTATGCGCATGATAGGTACCGCGATGGTTGCCCACCTAGTTGGCCAGCCGAAAGCATTCTTGAGCTCCAATATGTAAAACAAACTGAATAACGGTATGAGTTCAAGGGCAAACAACACGAAGAGCTAGAATGACTGAGTACGTAGCTCAATACTAATACCGGTATGAGCGAAAAAGGGAACGTCCCAAACGAGGTCCTCTTTCGTCTCAACCATTGTGCCCTGCCGAACGTTCCACTCCCACGTCTGACAAGCCAGAAATCCACGGAATGAAGTGATGGGAACGAATCATCCCAGCGTCGGAGTCATTAAGGAGAAAGGGGCAACGAATTAGCCCACTTAGTTCGCTCAGATCGTGAATTGCCATGACCGAAATGCTGATTCCCCTGGAGGGACAGTGCTGGCAACAGTGAATATGCGAAGACGGATGCTCTGGACAGAGGCAGGTGTCACTCCGTTCCCTAGGCCAACCTGCGCACCCCAAGAAGCAGCGGTCAGGCCATCAGGAGTCACGGGGACGACAGCGTCGGAACTTCTAATGCAGAAACCATACCGAATAAAAGGTGATACGGCTCGACTGCCAAACTTGGCTGCGCACATGGTGTGAAGGAGGGATGTGAGAAGGAGGCTAACAAATTGGAATATTGACACCAAAACAAGGAGGTTCCGCATGAAAGGAAACACGCTCCCAACAGGAACGATCTCGCTGTCCCTTAGACCGCTTGGTGCAAGAGTGGTGTTTCTCTACACCGAGGAATAGCGTCCGCTTGCGCCACAAGGCAAGACTGTAGCCGCCGAGATCCAATTTGAAGCACAGATTGGAATAGGAATAGCCAGACACACCAGAGACGCGTCTCTTTGCGCGTCCCCGAGACCAAGGCCACCACAAAAAATAGTAGGTGGGCAGGACAGTGCCGAAGGCTTTCAGAATGACCCAGGTCATTGAATCGCTGGGAGAGTTGGTACATTTACACAAGATAAGAAGTATTATAAAACTAGCGTAATATGCTCAGTTCTACGTGAACTAAATGTGATTGAATATGGGTACCTAGCGTGATAAATGAGTCAATCTGAGATGCTATCTCACCTCAGTTCCGTTGTACGTGAACTGAACAAAGACGCAAACGTCAAAATTTCTGCTTTATAAGCAAGTGCTCTGAATAGAGCACAAGCTTGGTAGCAAGATATATAGGTAACACAATCTGCCGGCCTCAACTCGTCATGGCGTACGTCGATAACCAAAAAATTCCACAAGAAGTACGTGATCTCGCACCTGAGCTATAGCCACCGATCCTATGTAGCCCCTGTGAGTTGGATCCTGGGTAGTAGGTACAGTTTCTTCCGGAACAAACAAACATCGCCCAACGGTACTCACCCTTTTCTCACGGGTCTCCTTAACTTGCCTCGGGCGACGTATCCATATAGCCCACGACCAGTATACTCCATCCAATGGAGCATTCTTCAGGCTACTGTAGTTGTTTTCTATGGGACACATGAGCCTTTTCTCTGGGCCTACCAGCACGCTTGCCAACTAGTTGCCTTCGGTTCCCGTCTCTCATTCGTCATCACCCACCGGATCTCCAAAAAAAGCATCAAAAAATAAAACGACCTCCTGGTTTCTGACCCCTTCATCGATATGGACGAACCCTCGCTTTTTGCGGTGCTCTTGATCTTCATGCTCATTTGTTTTTAACCTTGGTTTCTATGTCCACACTTCGCACTCCAGTTATGACCAGGCCAAAATCTTGCTTGGCATTGCATGATAACCGAAACACGACCACCCTACAATGCCCACTCCGATTTGCTATATTGCAGCATTGGGATGTTCCCCCAGCCTGGACTTTGGCTCTGCGCCCACATCCCGCTTCCGGTGCATTACGTTTCTGTATGCGAACAACCAAGGTCACTCCCCGCTGAGACCCATCATCTATTAGATGGGACATTGCTCCATCGAGCTCATGCATGTACTAGTTCTATCTTTACATTACCAATTTTTCAATAAAGATACTGGGCACACAGGGTCTCGCCGCACTTGCTGACACACCGAGATTTGGATTCAAATTACTCGATCGTCCCACCTAAATTTCGGCTGGCGACACCAAAGACCTCACGTGTGCCTTCGTCCAAATGGTCCCCTTCTACGTGCTGAGTGACGGCAATTGTATTATTGGGTATCTGATGAACAAGTCATGGGGGAGTAGGCTACGGATGCACTGCTCTTACCTTGCAAGGAAGGTGGGACAACTCTATTGAAATCCCGTTCTTTCCTGGGTCGCTCAAGAGTTTCGAGCGCGAATGTAAACTGGTGTGAAGGAGAGGGAAGTCAGTATACGAGACTTTGCTTTGAAGACAGTTATGTGCATTGCTTCGTGACAGTATACGCACTTTGCTAAGAGGGATGTAGTATAGACGCCTCCGAGCACCTAGGGAGTATTACTAAGGCCAAGCATCTGCATTGAAAGACAGGTTTTACTCACAAAGACGAAAATCATGGGGATAAATTGGGGGCTGTGGAACGCAACCTGCCCCGAGAAAGGCCGTCAGGATTACACATCAGAAAAGTTGAAAAAAATAAACATACAGAAAACATGGTAGCCAGCGCCAGAATGCTAAGTTGGGGAAACAGAGGAAGCTTAACCTAGTTCAGTAACGACAACACAAAATCATACCCAGTCAGCAGGCCGGTGCTGATGGCATATGCTGTTAACTTCCGTAACACTGTATCCATCCTTTAGGCAGAAATACATTCATTTAGGTCTACGAGTCAGATCAATCACTTACCGCCGAAATCCTGTGCGACGCTTCTGGAGGAAATATGACATAGCGAAGGCAATCACGAGATCAGCCACTGCCTTTGAAGGAATGTAAGCGAAATATCCTGGTCAATGGGAACGCATACCTCTAGTGTTAGCCACGATATAGTGAGTGGGTGTTTGGAAAAGAGTACGCTTTCGAGACCGTGAGTAACATTTCTGTCAGGTGAGATGACAAGAGCCTATCAGTAGAAAATCGCTGGTTTAGATGGATGGATCCTCTTACGCCTGAATAAAGAGCACTGTATGCAGCACGCGCGGAGTGCAGAGAATTTCAGAAGTGATTTAATCCCACAATTTTGCACCTCACCAACACCGGTCCCTAGGTCGAGATAATCAGACGCTCGAAAAAAACATTATCACTCGGATCCGCTCACCAAATTGCGCCAGAGTTAGCAAAATCTGTCCATAAGGATCCCGTAAGAAAGGAAATGTCTGTAGGATGAACGGTGATGACATACAAGCGATATCGGTAGCCAGATCGATCCACTGACTGGACACGATTCAGATGGATGTCAAAATCAAGGACTACCGGAGGGACTTACGTCGATAGAGTCTTAGGACGAAAAAAAATTGAACGATGGCAGAGCAAATAACCTAGTGGAGCGAATTATGAAAAGGTACATAACCTCCGGTGTACCTCGGACCGGGGTTGAGTGAAATAATGACCCTACCATAGATAACTGGTAGAAAGTATCAAACCTGTCGTGGGACAAAGTCACACCCAGTGCGATGAGTCTACGGGAGGGCCTACCATTTTATTAAAACCGGCTCCCCAGCATGTTCAACAATCCATATGTACACGTAAAGCGAAGTTATCCTAGACAAACAGCAAGTCATTGACAAATGTATCTGACGCGGCTTTTGGCTCACACTTGAAACATCTGCACGAGCCTGAAAGTGGAGTGCGCAGTTACCCAACCATCATTCAAATGTAAACTACTCGACTGGCCAGCACCCACCATAAGAATCCGATGACGGTCTTCTGAGAGATATGGTCCTTGGAAAACCTTTCGTAATAGAGAAAAGTCTGGATGGTAATTACACCGAGGAGTCTATTGCAGGAAGGGGAAGAACGTGAAGTTCATTTGCGTGGGCGCCGGGAGATGAAGGAGCGAAGATGTTATTATCCACAAAGACAATTGTCAATGTCATCGACTACGCACGCAGCCTGGAGTACTATCCCGGAAAAGGCACCCACAGCGATGGATTTGAAGTGGGACATACCCATCACTGGCCATGCCATTTGGTGAGGTAATCTGGGAATGGGAAACGGGAATGCTCAGCCCAACCCAACTGCGTAGACTTGCTACGCGCTATAAACATCCTCGCTGTTCGGCAATCGTAGCTGTTGGAATCTATCATTATCTATGAGTCACCGGAACCTTCCGGAATGTTCTGGATTGTCGTGGGAAATCTTTTCGCGCTTGCGTGCGCGCGCTTACATTCGCTGTACATATAAATACGCAAGACGTGCGTTGAGAAAAATCATCAGTAAAAGTAGCATACCTCGGTCTATCGCGAGCTGGAGCCGCTGAGCAGGGGATTGCCATATCTGGAAACCTCTCAGCCTAAGGGTCACATCTATACACTCGGATCATTGCTCAACTCTTCGATTCAGTTGCTCAGCTTTTCACTTCAGTTGCTACTATGGCTTCATCAAGGGATGATGGAATTTCTCTCAGCGGATACGAAATCCCTGCTTTAACCGGCAAGGAAACTTTATGTAAATCGAAGTAAATTGAAAGGAAATATACATTGACCCCAACTCACATGCCTGTAGCAGTGCAAGTTGCGCGAATGTTAACACATAATTTCGCGTAGTGAAGGAATCAAACTCGTATTGGACTCTTGTGAAAAAAGTTGTGAAGGGTTTAAGCTAGTACATGGTCAAATAAGTAGTAAATAACATCGGCTGTGATAATCCTCCTTTTCCGCCATAAATTCCTCCCATTTTCCTTCTTCTCCTAAAGAAATGGGATCAGTGGATATCCTAAACACGTTCTGCTCACAACAATCATCGAAATGTCGAAGGAGTGGTCATTCACGTTATCGGTGAAAAATACTGTCTTTCTCATTACCAGTTGGATGCCCTTCATGAATTCTTTTGCCGTTGCATGATAGAAGGTGGTCTCCTTTGCATTTTCCATGGAAAGATTTATGATTGAGCTGATTGGTTCCAATATCGCGCGGACGCCATCCTCGCTAATCCAGAATATCTGCAACATGGAAGATACATCATTCACCCCATCCACCATAAGAATTGCGGTGAACACTAAGCGATACATCTCGGAGGATTCCAGCTGAATCCACCGCATAGACTTGCCGAAGGATTCCTGATAGATGTATCAGTGATACTACGCAAGCCTGAAACGCAGACCGTAGGGTGCGACCACGCGATGTCTGCTGGCAGATATCGCGAACCCGGATTGACAGGCAAGCCAGGGAAAAATCACCAAGTTCCTACTTTGTTGGTTTCCATGAAGATTTTCTGATGACATCCCGAAGACCATCCTCCACAATACAGCAAACTGCGTGGAAATCTTCACCGTACTCCATCTTGTCCACATCTTCACATGGTATAACGGGACCCTCATTGTGAGCTTCAAACGCCAAGCTGAAATGACTCCTGGATCAGGACGACAACTAACTAGCACAGCAAGTGCCTGCGGGAGCTCCTGAAGGCCAAGTACCAGCCATCAGGGACTCCTGATTCCCGCATTTATCGAGACCATCCAAAACGACGACGAAGCGATCCTTACCTGAAGGGAATATGTCACACATTGGCTCGGTCATCAGAGCTTCAATTTGTTTTCCCAGGGGAAAATCCTGAACTGACTCCAAAGCTGGTTGCCGAAGGTGTCTGACGAGCGACAATTTGAAGTCCTCGTTGAAGGATGCAAGTTGGCAGGCAAGCATGAGATGCGATACCTCATAGTGATCGCGGTCTCCCCTGTCCCAAGAGACCCTCGTAGCCAAACAAATCGGTTCTCAGGTTTCTTCAGTGCGAAGAGGCAACACCTCTGCAATGGCCGTCTCTAGAAATTCTAGGGTGAAACTCAAACAGAGTTACCCGGGCGGAGGAGATATCCTATGCGCGTATGTAAAACAGACTGAACAACGTTGGGTTAAGTGGAATTATGAGTCCGAGGGCAAACAACAAGGATGAGCGAAAAGGGGAACGTCCCAAATGCATACTTGAGTGTCTTCAACATTCGAGAATGTCGCACGAGGTCATCTTTCGTCTCCGAAACCATTGTGCCATGCGGAACGTTCCAGTCCCATCCCAGCGTCATCGTCATTAAGGGGTAACGAAATAGCCTCCTTGTTTGGTTCGCTTAGATCGTGAATTACCATGATCGGAATGCGGATTCTCATGGCAGGAGGGACAGTGCTGGCAACAGTGAATATGCGAAGAAGGATGCTCCGGACAGAGGCAGGTGTCACTCCGCTCCCTAGGCCAGCCTACGCACCCCAAGAAGCAGTGGTCATGCCATCAGGAGCCACGGGGACGACAGCGTCGGGACTTCTCATACAGAAACCATACTGAATAAATGGTGATATGGCCCGACTGCCAAACTTAGCTAGTTGTACGATCGGGATGTTGCGTTTGTATTGATTGGAATGTGGGAAAATTATGCCACGCGCGAACACATACACGCTCACGACTCCTTTCGACTGGTTGATGTCTGTGCTAATAGAGGCTGGCTGCCTATGGTTGATGCCATAGTGCGTGGTGTTAGATTAGTGGCGTTGAGTGCCGAAAGTGATTTATGATCTGGCTGCTGCAAATGTTTTGCTATAATGGAGCCGAAGCTTTATTATGTGCGCACTCCAAGGATCAGTCCCGTTAACTTCTCAATTCAGACGACAGTTCCAAATTCAGGTCACCCAATGGCACCTGCTTCCAATGGAGGTGAACAATTACACAATTACAAGGCATTGTGATACGTTAGGATGGCGACGCTCATGGTCACTGCACGGAGTCACAATCAACCTAGGGACAATGTGCATTCCAATACTACCGTCCGAGTCACTATTGAAAAGCAAACCAATGATGCCATAATGATCTAAAAATTCTCTCAACCTGCCTATTGCTCTATTTCACAGTGCCGACGATGCTCCGATGAAGTCTGCAATTGATGCCGCAGTCATACCAACTGGTCAAAGTGTCCGACTAAGTACGATTTCTGAACAGGTAACTCTACCTCCCTCGTCAACTACGGTGGTGAGGAATCAAGGGGTGCTGCAATCCAGTGACAGTTATTGGCATTACAATGCTTAGAGTGTTACGGAGTGTTACATCGGAGATGTCAGTGTTCCAACACCATATCAACAGGGAAAGTCCCATAAATTGTGCGTATCAACGTTATCTTTCAAGGTCTCCCACATATCCACCACATCAATTTCCAGCACAAATTGCGACAACACTGTTGTCAAGGCCTTCGCGGGCATCCGTTCACTGAACGATTTCTTTGGGATGACAAATATGATCTTCCATTGCCACGCCCCCTTGTGTTGTTTCTGCAGCACATCCCAAAGCCTGTTAATGTGAGGTTCCTTGACTGGGTGTCGTGGAGAAATCATGTACTGAAACATGACAACACCGGTGATGGTGTGGTTCTCATCCCTTTCGAAAGCGAACGAGTCGATACCAGGCAGGTCCCCAGGAACCGGTCGGTAGTACTTGGCGGCATCCAGACAAGGGACCTTATCCACTGGAAAACCGGAGAGTGCCTCCACCTTCTCATTGTCGATGTGTTCCAAATGGAATAGTTTTTTGTTGCCGTCTTCGAGTCCTAGTACGTGAAGGGCAGCTTTAGTTTTTTCGAGGGTGTAGACATGCCCGACAGTTTCGAACATCAGACCGGTTGTGGAGGGTGTAGAGGGCTCCCTTATATAATCGTAGAAGTACTGGGCCAAACTTTCGACCATTTGTTTTTCATGAGCTTGTTGAAAATAAAGAGGGAAATCATCTGCGTGACCATTCTCGTCTTGGAAGGGATTGATTTCTACCAGATGGTGGTGATATTTCTTGGCTTCATGTGTCACCGCTTGCTGGAAGAGGGAGATGGGAGTGCATCCCATAATAGCCGAGTCGAAGTCGATATCTACCTGCTCTTGCGTACGATCGAGTAACTGCCTCGCCGAGCCCCCATACGTTATGAACGCAACACGCCAAGCTTCATCATCAACCCTCTGCTCCTTCGCATAACCGCTGGGAGAGATGAGCACTACTAGGCCTCTACCTACACAACTGGCGGCTTACCGGGATACACACACTTTTTGCCAGCTCCATCTTTTCATGTAAAACATGTTCGGATTGTTTTTCCTTGCCCATCTTTCCACCTCTTCTGGCTCGGACGACGATGCTACCAAGATCCTCCATCGCTGCTGCAGCAGAGTGTTGACCTCCACAGCCGAAGCAAGATGAGAGAGAACAAGGCCATCCAAATTGGCTCCTTCAGCTACGGAGAGCTCGGGATTCCGCCAATGTAGGAAGGAATCATTTGGAATCATGTAAACACCAGATTCGAGAAAGGCAAAACGTATCAAAGGTGACTTGGAGAGCACGGTGAGCTTTCCTTGTGCGAGCCGATTCAGGAGACAGTGCGTCAAATAGACAGCCTTGCCTTTAGGAGCGTGATTAGTCGCATTGTGCAATGACAATCCAGCACAATCCCACGTACCTATTCCAGGTTGTCCAACAAGCAAAATCGGTCTGCGCCGATGGAACCCAGCGATATCTGATTGTCTCTGCTCCTCCACGAATGCATCGAGCTCATTGTATTCGTTCCGCACATAAAATCTCATTTCGAGCACCTCGGATATATTCCATGGCACGTTCGGGATCTCCATCAGGTTGTAGAACAGTGCTCCAGTTTTCGCCGTAGCGTCACCCATCGTGACGTCCTGTGGCTTAGATTATTGAGATTTGTTATTGAGATCATCAAGGTCGGGTACGTGTATTGAGGTGCGTGAGTCCACGCAAGCGACCCTCATTTCCCCAGAGATGGTTGCGGATGATGGCCAAGCCGCCGTAAAGTGGATCCTTCTCAGTGATAAGAGAGACTGTTGGATAGGCGGAGCACACTGAGAAGTCAATAATGTGTGAACAAAGAAGTATTGCACACCTGTATTGGCCGTCTGTTTAAGGACTACAGCAAAAATTGGAAGGATTAGCTTGCAATAGCTGAGCTGAACAAACGAAACGATATGACTCACTACGCTGCACTTTGACTACCACATGGACTTACCCGAGTCTTGTCCAAAAATGTCGTTTACTTCATCATCAGGACCATCAAGAGGATCCTTCGTAGTTATACTACCCGTTGCTCTGTCAATAAGCTTTCCATCGCCCCTTATCGTCAAATTATCAGGCTTCTTTGGATCAGCACAGCATTCTTCAGACTGGAGGGCCTACCCACTTACCTTGTACAAGACAAGCGCGCCGACATTGTACTCGTCACGCAGCAGCTTGTGCTTCTCATAAATTTTATCACGGAGATCCCTGACAATTCTGACACCCTTAAGATCTAGAGGCATTGGACCTAGACCAATGCTGTCGGGACAGATGACGAAGTATGTTAGACGTTTCAGAGATTGCGGTGTGGTTGACTTGATCACAGAGGTCAGGTCGGTGGGGCGCGATGAGGTTTCGAAGATTGCGGCGCGGTTGACTTGATCATACTGAAATTATGAACTAGCGTCGTGTAAGCGCTCAGTTTTAGATACGTGAACTGCGGAGAGAGAGAGAGAGAGTCGTGGCTTTTATGCCCTCCACGACTGCGTCCATCAGCATGGACTCCAAAAACGGAAGCATCGGGCAATCCTTCAAGGAAATGTCCGTGCGCAATTAGAAATATAGTCCAACGGACTCAATGGACGGTCCACAGCGTACCAAGGAACAAGAAACTTCAACAGATCACGGAAGTCGATTGGGCACGATGACGTTTCAGGTCTTTAATTCGGTTCTGGGGCCATTTTTTGAGAACCGGAACCGGAATCGGTTCCGGCGAACCAGAACCGAACCAGTGACGTATTGAACCGAAACCGAATTGCATTTCGGTTCCGTCCCGGTTCGGTTCGGCTCGGAACCATTTGAACGTTCTATCTGGAAAGATGTAACCTTTGGATTTACCAGGTGTCCGACACTTCGAGTGTGTGTAGTTAAATTTCTTTTCTAATTTTTTTCCAGCCATCCCTAAATGCGTCCGACCCTGATCTCTACTTTATGCATGTATGCGCAATATCCAACGTGGTTCGCTACAATCCTTCAATGGTTTTGTGGTTCGGTTTTGGTTCGCAATACCCTAAGAGAACCGGAACCGAACCAGATTCGTGGTGCGGCTGGTTCACGGTTCGGTCCCGGGTCCTATGCATGGGATAGGGGAAATGGATGCAATCGCACCACCGGCACTGTTAAGCGTCTTGGACTGAAACGAGTTGCTCATGCTTCTCAGTAGTGCCTGGGTCCACTCTTTATCAACTGATCGTTCTTGCGCTCAAGGTTGCTTCATTCGTATCACTGCACCGTCAGCGAGGAAAATGCTTTGGAACTGTATGGAGGCCTTTGTGAGTTTACAACGCCGGACTTGGTCCACCCCATCTCTACCGAAGATCCACAGTCTGTCAGGACGGTACCATTTCTGCCATCGCGCAGTATTGATGGGCAATTAGCGGGCCCGCACGTGCGCGCGTCGAATCCGCGGCCGTTATGCAAGTTCCTAACTTGAAGCAAGGAAAAATATGAACAATTTCCTTACTGACGGCTTTTTTCGGCTTCAACGTTGTCCTACCTGTTATGTCCACTGTACAGTACATCATGTGAGCAGTTCTGCCGCCGAACGTCTCCTAGCTACACTCACACGATGTCCGAAAGGCCCTCAGCCCCCAGATTTCTCTCTCAGTTTACTAGGTCGCAACGCCCTTCTGAGCCTCTTGATGATCAGCCGCGGACTTCCATCTCTCCTGCTTCCAGCATCCGGATCACTGTTTCCGCGACTGCAAGCGATGTATCGGCTCACAGAGATCACCATGGTAATTCTGCAGGATCACATCCTGGTATCCTTGCTACTACAGCGCCGATTCTTTCGCTTTCTACTACTGGTGCCTCAGGGGATGATGCCACGAAGCAATCGACGTCTTTTCGAGACAGGATCTTTGGGCGATTGAAGAAAAGCCCTAGCTCCGATCCCAATCGTCTCAACCAATCAACCAATGTCGATCTCGATCATCCTATGTTGACTACACCCGTCCAGACATCCACGAACGACCCATGGCCATCGCTGTCTCCCCTTCCCACCGAAGCGACTACTGATTCGTCACGAGTAATTCCTAGCGCAGAGGAAGAGGCTTCAGATGCCAGGCCGTCAGTTCCAGCTGCTCCATCGGGCCCGGCGGCACCTCGCAGATCCGATGGAGATCCGAAGAAGATGATCATTGGGAGCACTAAAGCCCTCCTCCGGACCGCGGCCACTGCTCTCAGGCTCGTCCCTATCCCAAATCTTGATCAGATCCCAAACGCCCTTTTGACAGGGATTCAAATCTATGAGGTTTGAGAATCTTGAAGGTCTCGATGGTGGTCGCCTCTTATATCTGGTTGCATGCATGTAGAATGTTAGCGGCAACACCCAGGATCTCAAACAGTTGTGCGAAGTGATCCAGCAGGCGAGCAAGTCGGTGTTTGAGCCCCTCCAGACTTGGACTGGAAAGATTCCTCCGGAGCTTGAAACCTTAGTGGAGGAATTCCGCGTGTACGCATCTCATTCTTCCCTTCTGCTCACACTCACTTATTCTCTTCGTAGGGCATTGAAAACACAAGTAGAAGACATTAAATTAGTTCAGGAAAAAAATATCGTCGAGAAGACCATTCAAACGTCTGATATAACACAGCAAATAACCAATATGAAGAACTGCCTAAATGATGCTATCCGTCGATTCGAGGTTTGCGTGCCCGACATTTTTTGAATGGTCAAATTCTAACTCCTCATGTTCGCCACAGCTGAGATCATTGACTTTAATTCTGCTTCGCACCGAGCACGCATCGGTTCAATGTACGTGTCTGTGTACATGCCTGTGAATTGCCTATTCACTAATGCTCCTAGCCGAGATATCGAGACTCAAGTGAGCCCCGGCCGAGCATATTTACGTAAAAAGCAAATCAGAGTGCCTACCGGGCACACGACTCAAGATTCAAGAATCCATACTCGAGCACCTGAAGAAACCTGAGAACCGATTTGTTTGGCTACGGGGGTCCCCTGGGACAGGGAAGACCGCGATCTCTATGAGTATCGCATCCACTCTAGAGCAGCAGGGCGTACTGGCAGCGTCATATTTCTGGGACAAGAACCGGAGAGGATCGGGCTTGGATTCTATTGAACAGTTTCCCTCTACCCTTGCCTGCCAACTTGCATCCTTCAACGAGGACTTCAAATTGTCGCTCGTCAGACAACTTCGGAAACCGGATTTGGCCTTGTTTCAGGAATTACCCCTAGAAAAACAAATCAAGAGTCTGGTGATTGAGCCTATACGTAACCTGAAGGACATATTCCCTTCGGGTACGGATCGTTTCGTCATCGTTTTGGATGGTCTCGATGAGTGCGGCAATCAGGAGACGCTTGAGTCCTTGATGGGGCTGGTACTTGGTCTTCAGGAGCTCCCGCAAACATTTTCTGTGCTAGTTAGCTGTCGTCCTGAGCCAGGAGTCATTTCAGCTTGGTTTGAAGCTCAACACGAGGGTCTTGTTATACCATGCGAGGATGTGGACAAGATAGAGTACGATGAAGATTTCCACACAGTTTGTTGTATCGTGGAGGATGGTCTTCGGGATGTCATCAGAAAATCTTCATGGAAACCAACAGAGTGGGAACTTAATGATTTTGCCTGGGCTTGCCGTGGGTTGCCTGTTATGGCATCAATCCGGGTTCGCGATGTTTGCCAGCGGGCACGGCGTGGTCGTACCCTACAGTCGGCGTTTCAGGGCTTGCGTAGTGTCACCGGTACACCCACCGACCTCAATCAGGAATACTTGCGAATCCTTCGGCAAGCCTATGTGGTGGATTCAGCTGGAATTCCCCCAGATTTATCCAAGATGTATCGCTTAGTAGTCACCGCAATTCTTACGACGTATGGGCTGAGGGATGTGTCTTCCATGTCGCAGATGTTTGGGTTTAGCGAGGATGAGATCCGTGCGACGTTGGAACCAATCAGCTCAATCATAAATCTCCCCTTGGACAATGCAGAGGATATCACCTTCTATCACGCAACGGCAAGAGAATTCATAACCGGGAAACCAATCGGTGATGAGAAAGACAAAGTGTTTTTCATCGATGACGTGAATGGGTATCTCCTTGGATTGCCGCTCCTTCGACATTTCAACGATTGTTGTGAGCGGAACGTGTTTGGGATACCCACTGATCCCATTTCTTTAGGAGAAGAAGGGAAATGGAAGGAATTTAGGGCGAAAAAGGAGGAATATCGCAGTCGCTTTCGCTATGTTATTAAAAACTTATTCAACCACTTCTTCACAACTTTTTTCACGAGACTCGAATGAATTGCAAAACGAGTTTAATTCCTTCATTACACGAAATCATGTGTTAACATTCGCGCACTTGCAATCCCACATGGAGGAGACATGGCATGGAGAGATATTTCCTGAACAATTACTTCGATATAATGTAAGTATAAACTATTTGTCCGATGTTTTTCTGATTGATATATCTTTGATAGAACCACGATTCAATCCAACTTCTGAGAGATCTGCATCAGGTAACCTGGAACGCCGAGAAATATCCATGGAGGTTCTATCGATCGGATCTCCCTTTCGCACCACCCTCCGTTTACAAACAATATGGCCATCTCTCTGGTGTCCGGGTCTTCTCTATTCGTGACAAGTCTGGTGACACGATCCCTTTAAGCAAGGATTTATGCAGGGCCCGAGAAGTCATGCACGCAAAGTTGGCTGAAAGGGTTGGCCGATGGGGACGGGAGGTCAGCTACGAAGTTGAATTCTACCAACCTGATATTCGTAATGGCGTTGTAACCTGTGCTGCACTCTCCCTTGATGGTCGCCATGTTGCGCTCGGGTTTGGCAGTGGTGTCATTGAAGTTGTCGATATTGACCATCAGCGTACAATCTGCCAATTGCAGCACAATTCAGCCAATCTCCCTGACTGGATTGAATTTGTCCATGGTAGCCACAGGGTTGCTACCGAAGATATTGATGGGAACGTCGCAATCCTCGGCCATGGCATGGCCCCTGTGAAGCTTGGAAATCTTCCTTCTGGTCTCTATCCTGCTGGAACCGCCATCTCAGATAATGGATTATTTATCATACGAGCTCCACGAAATTTCAATAATCCTTGGTGCGATAACATGACGCTCATATCCGTCTCTGAGCATCCTTTCATTCAGGCCCTCACCTCTCCTTCGGACCTGTCCGTCCCATTCCCATCCTCCCCATCCCGCCCACCCTCTCCATCCACCCCATACCGCAGTGAAACGACCTTATCCAGGCCTCACCGACGGACACTTGGGTTCTCTCCAGGTACACGATATGTCGGCGCATTTGACGGGTTTAGCGCTTTCACATGGTCGACCCAATCATACGAGCTCATTGCATGTTATCGTGTGACAGACTCCTTTTTTTGGATCATCAGTCCCAATGTCCCTCCAACTCACTTACATCTTGTCCCTGATCCTATATTTACTAGAGCCATTCCATTGGCAGAAGACAACACAGCTTATGCACATCCTTCCGAGGATGCAGCTCGTGACTCTGAAGATGAGTCCTGGATCAAGTGTCCGTTTTACGACCTCTCGCCAAGCAGCCCCCAAAGATGGTATTCCGAGTTCACTTCCTCTGCAACAGGGAGGAACCCGCTCATCCGGTCCTGGTCAGTGATGCTCGGTGGCAGGGAAATGCTTAGCCTTCCAGGGGGATATAATCCAGTTACTTCCTTGCTCGCGTGGTACGGTCATCGAGTGCCAGGCTGTCGTCAGGAGCTATACTGCCCTCAGTCCAGCAGGGATGGAACTCGATTTCTGGTCCAGGGCAAGTCAAAGGCCCCAATGGTCATCGATATAAGCCAAATTGTTTAGCATTTACCAGTGCACCCGATTGCGCTCAAGTACTCGTCACTTCCTCGGCTATACACTCGATGACTTTTGCACTGCAACGCTGTGTAAAATTGTGGATAGTATTTGAAGCCTTGTGTATCATGTACTATTTCTTTATTTAACGTTAGGTTTGGTAATGTACACTTGGTGGCGACGGATCTCTGGCGTTCCGCAGAGTACAGGAAGACGAAGCGCCAAAACTACTGGAAAGGCCTAGGAGACTAAGCTAGACCGAATAAGATAATGCAATCTTTCGAATAAATATTCAAAGCAGTATTGTCGAATGGAATGGACCGCATTTCCGGCATTAGACTTCAACCACGAACAGCGGGTTAGATGGACATTCTATTTAAAGATCGTCCTCTTTGACATAAATCGAAAAATTGGTTAGCAGTTCAAACGGACTTCAGAAATTGAAGCCTTTGAGAGAGTAATTTAGTGTGGTTACTGGGCCGCTTTCCTCAGACGCTCTGATAGACGGGAAGAGTAAGGTGCCGGTATGAAGGTGGTTGGTCGCCAGGTTGATAGCACTGTCCCACACAGAATTGGTGAACAAAGGACACGAGATAAAACAAAGGCCCTGGATGACACTTTTATAATCATTTGCCTTAGAGAACTCTGCGAGGCGCACCGCGGTATCGCGAGATCTGGGGATCCGATTGTCATTGGACAGCCTTTTCGTGCGGGTTTGCCGAAGTATCCAATGTGAGCACTTCGAAGCAGGATGGTGATTTTTTTTTTAAAAAAAAGGGGGGGATATTCACGCACTAGTTGTGCTCCCTTGGGAAGGCCGCTAACGACGGCGATGAGACATCAATGGGAGAGTCCTTGTCATAATGAAACGTCATTGCAAATCGAAGTCGCCTCTGTTTTCGCCCGAGGTAGGGCACTTAGCTTAACAAGAGTTGTGAAAAAGAAAGGGTAGTTAGAGAAATCGGCGTCGAGGACGGCATAGTGAAGTGCTCTAGCACTCCAGTGGGAAGAGGCGCAAAGGCAGATGAAGAAAATGAGAGGGGGGAAGGGATGGATTGTTGGTTGAGCTTCTTGGACTGAAGGGAGTATTGCAGACTCAGAAAGAATCGGCGTCGCATTAAACGAACCGCGATTCAGCCGTTGTGCGACCCCTCGACATTCAGTACACCAATGAGAGGTTCCTTCTTGAAGGTGCCAGCTTAGTGTCGAGCGGTTCCACTAGCGATATTGTTTGTTTGTCATAGAGGCTGTAGTCCTGCCTACCACTAGCGGTCGCTAGACACATTTTGAACCACATACTATGACCGCAGGCTACTTTTGATTTCCGCGCGTTGTGAGCACAAAGCCCGTGCGTGACTAGGCATGCCGCATGGAGACATGTATGGGTTGAACGTTGAAGGAACAGATTCTCTGTGCGCACTCGCACTCGGTGAATCAACAGAAATATGGAATGGAGCATGGCAACGAAGTTGGGTCCGAGTTCTTCAGTTAGAGTAAGCATGATTGTATGGCCGAGTGTTGGCAAAGCCTAGATATTAACAAGCACCGTAAGGACTGGGCCTGAAAGATCGGATGCGATGGTGATTGACACGGGTGTGAAATAAGATAGTAATAGAAATAGAAGCTTAAATAAAGCGAGGATAGAGGAGAGGCAAGAACGCAAACGGAAGCAGAAGCGGAATGCAGGCACAGATCATGTCGACCGGGGAGAGAGGCGAGGACGTGCGAAGTGGTGGATGGTGGGAAAGAAACGATGTAGTACGGGTAGTGAGATGAATGACTTTTAGATGGAAGAAAATATGCATCGAAGGGCTTGACGGTATCACCATCATCGAGGGTCTCATCGCACAGGTCTAGTCGTCCATGGGGGAGGCGTCTGCAGATGAATCAGTGTCCCATTGTCTCCGGCTGAAGGCGGCGCGAGTTGGGTGCCACGTAGTCCTAAATGGCCAGTGCGTCATTGGGAAACGATGCTAATTGCTGCACTGTGGTTTAAAGACGCTAGTATTTACATAACGAAAGAGCTTGGATTCTTCACACTTGAGAGGGAATACACCTGAACCTTAGCGGCGTCGGAGTTGGCCGAACAAATGGGTCTCACGAGGAAATGTTGCTTCTCGATCTACGCAGTCGAGTGCATTGTCCCGCTTGGCTAGACCCAGATTCGTGTCAAGTCATCCCGGCGGCGTTTTCTGGCTCATCACTGTCTTCGAGTGGTTTACCCCGTACATACACACTCTCCATACTTGCCACTTAATGTTGGGGTTAATAATTAAGCCGTAACACTTGCTTGGAAGCTAAGCAGGTGACCAGCCTCTGAAGCTGCAGGTCGAGAGCTCGACAATACTTAGCGCGTATATGCGTCATCCGCAAGGAAGATAATTAGGACCGGTAAGCGATGGTGCATTAATGCCATCTGAACTTGGCCCATGTCTCTGCGCCCGGGGAACATTGCACGTGCGTCTTGAGTTGGCTGACAATGATTGGCATTTTGGTGAATGATTACATAATTCACTGCTTGACGAGCCTCTCTTCAACAGGAAGCAGCAGAGGCTGGAGTCCTGCCTAGGGAGGTGGTGCGGTCAATACCGTCCTACCTGTTACGTCTACTAAGGGTGAACAGCATTAGGCTTACAGCTGCGTGGCCTGCTATAGAACGTTTCCTTCACACCCATTTGTGATCGCAGCTACATCCCACGCACCATGCCCACAGATCGTAAATCCCACCACTTTTTCTCTCGGACGAAGCCACAGCAGGCTCCTGAGACCCCTGATGATCGGCCCCAGGCACCAACCCCCAACATCCAGGTCACTGTTTCTGCGACAGAAAATGACCGACCGATTCGGGTAGATTATAATCAGTCCGCAGGATCACACCCTGGTACACTCTCTGCTAGTGGCACCTCAAAGGATGATGCCGCACAGCAACGAACGCGCCTTCGAGACAGGATATCTGACTTATTCCGGAGAAGCCCCAGCCCCGATTCCAATCGTCGCACCCAATCAAGTACACTCCTGGGCAATAATTTCCTGACTTCGTCCGTCCAGGCATCCCCGGGAGATCCACCGCCATTTCTTTCTCCCCTTCCTGCCAAAGTGAATACTGGAGGGATTCCGACTGCACTCGTTGGTGACGACGACGCGAGCGTCCCCACGCAGCATGAATTCGTAGATCTCAGGCCCTCAGTTCTGGCTGTTTCATCGGTTCCAGCGGAACCGGCATCTCGTAGATCCGATGGCGCTTGGAAGGATATCATTGTCAGCGGCACCAAAGTCTCGCTCCAAACCGCGGCCACTGCTCTCAAGCTCGTTCCCATCCCCAATCTTGATCAGCTTCCAAACACGCTCCTGTCTTGGATTAGAATTTATGAGGTTTGTGGATCGCCTTGATGATCTTGACCGCAATTGCTTCTTATACCTCGTGCATGCTTGTAGAATGTCAGCGGTAACACTGAGGAACTCAGCCAACTGTGCGTTGTAATTCAACAAGCTCAAGAATCGGTGTTTGAGCCCCTCCGACAGTGGACTGGAGAAATCCCTCGTGAACTTGAATCCCTGGTGCAGAAATTCCGCGAGTACGCATGTTGTTTTCCTCTCGTTCCCGTTCACTCATTCTCCTCGCAGGGCTTTGAAAACACAACTGGAGGACATTGAATCAGTCCAGAATAAACATATCGTCGAGAGGACCATTCGAGCACCCGATATAACACAGCAAATAACGAATATGAAGACCTACTTGAATGACGTTGTTCATCGATTTGAGGTTTGCGTGCTCGAGATTTTTCGAATGGTCAGATCTTGATTCACGATGTTCGCCATAGCTGAGAACATCGACATTAATTCTGCTTCGGACGGAGCGTTTATCGGTTCATTGTACGTGTTTGAGTCCATGCATTTAGACTGCCTAATTTTCTTTGCTTCTAGCCGAGTTGTCGAGACTCAAGCGAGCCCCAGCCGAGCACACTTGTGTAACGAGCAAATCAGAGTGTCTTCCGGAAACGCGAGTCAACATGCAAGAATCCTTACTCAAGCACCTGAAGGAGGCCAAGAATCGATTTGTTTGGTTACGGGGTTCTCCCGGAATGGGGAAGACTGCGATCTCTATGAGCATCGCATCCACTCTTGAGAAAGAGGGCACTTTGGCGGCGTCATACTTTTGGGATAAGAATCGGGCGGGAACAGGCCTAGATTCTATTGAACAGTTCCCCTTTACCCTTGCTCATCAACTGGCGTGTTTCAACGAGGACTTCAAATTCTCGCTTGTCAGACACCTTCGGAAACCGGCTTTGGCCTCAGTCCAGAATTTCCCTCTGAAAAAACAAATGAAGACTTTGATGATTGAGCCGATGCGTGACCTGAAGGATATATTCCCTTCGGGCAAGGATCGCTTTATCATCGTCTTGGATGGTCTTGACGAGTGTGGGAATCAGGAGACACTCGAGTCCTTGATGGAGTTAGTTCTTACCCTTCAGGAACTGCCAACGGGATTTTCTGTGCTAGTTAGTTGTCGTCCTGAGCGAGGAGTCATTTCTGCTTGGTCCGAGGCTCAAGCCGACGGTCTGGTCATACCATGTGAAGACGTGGACAAGATTCAGTGGGAGACTTTCCATACGATCCGTCAAATGGTGAAGGAAGGTCTTCGGGGCTTCGTTAAGGAATCTTCATGGAAACCAACAGAGAGTGAACTCAATGGTTTTGCTTTGGCTTGTCGTGGGTTACCTGTTGTGGCATCTATCCGGGTCCGTGATGTTCATGTGCAGACACGGCGCGGTCGCACCCTCCAGTCGGCATTCCAGAACTTGCTTACTCTCACTCATGTGCCTACCGACCTCGACCAGGAATACTTGCGAATCCTCCGACAAGCCTACGTGCTAGGTTCATCTGGGATTCCCTCAGATGTAGCTAAGACGTATCGCTTAGTGGTCGGCACGATTGTTGTGGCGCGCGAGCCGATGAATGTATCTTTTATATCACAGCTATTCGAGGTTGACGAGAATGAGATCTATGCGATATTGGAACCAATCAGCTCAATCGTAGATCTTCGTGAGGAGACATTGGGGGTCACCTTCTATGACGCATCGGCAAAAGAATTCTTAATGGGGGAACCAGTTGGTAATGAGGAGGATAAAGTATTCTTCATCGACGACGTGAAAGGGTATTTTCTTGGATTGCCGCTCCTTCGACTCTTCAATGGCAATTGTGAGCAGAACGTGTTTGGGGTACCGGCTGATCTCCCCTTAGGAAATGAAAGAAAATGGGGAGAATTTATGGCGAAAAAATACCATTTTCAATATCGCTGGCGCTTTCACTATGTCGTTAGGTACTTACTCGAACATTTGGATCCTTCGCAACTTTTTTCGCGAGAGTCCAACGAACTGCAAAACGAGTTCGATTCCTTCATTACACGAAATTACTTGTTGACGTGGTTGCACTTGCAAAATGAAAAACTCATCGGGGATAATGCAAGTTTATTTCCGGAAGAATTGCTTCAATTCAATGTAAGTATAAGCTATTCATCTAATGCTTGTCTGATGTCATTTTCTGATAGAATCACAGTTCAGTCCAACTTCTGAGAGAGTTACATTGGTTGGCTTGGATTGCCGCGTCTGAGCCATGGTCTCTCTATCGATCGGAGCTCCCTTTCACCCCACTCTCATCGCCCCTTCACAAACAATATGGCCATCTTTCTGATCCTGTCCGGATCCTCTCCTTCTTTGGCAAGTTCTCTGGTGGCACCATCCCATTAAGCGAGGATTCGCTCAGGGCCCAAGAAGTTATGATGGCAAAGTTGGGGGAACCACGAGAGCAGAGTGATGGATTAGATGAGGAGACCAGTGAACCAGATGAAGATACCAATGGATCAGAGGAGGCAATCAATCACGACGCTGAATTCCAAGAGCCCGATGTTCGTAATGGTATTGTGACGTGTGCCGCACTCTCCCTCGATGGTCGGTATGTTGCGCTCGGATTCGGTAGTGGAATCATCGAGGTTGCCGATATCGACCACCAGCAAACGATCTGCCGATTGCAGCATGATTCGGCCAATCTCCCAGTCTGGATTGAATTTGTCCATGGCAGCCACCGAATTGCTTCCGAGGACATTAATGGGAACGTAACGATCCTTGGCGGTGGTATGGCCCCTGCGAAGCCTGGCACTCTTCCTCCTGGTTCCTATCCTCCTGGAACTGCTGTCTCAGATAATGGGTTATTTATCGCGCGAGCTCCGCGAACCCTTGACAACCCATGGTGTGACAACATGACGCTCATATCTGTTTCAGGGATTCCAACCCTGAAACACCTCGCCCCTCCTCCCTTCTCCCTCTCCTCTTCGTCTAATGATGAGAAGCTAGTCATTCCTCACCGTCGAACGCTCGGTTTTTCTCCAGGAGCACGATACATTTGTACTTTTGATGGGATTCACGCTGTAACCTGGTCAACAGATTCATGCCAGTGCATTTCGGGTTATCGGGTGACAAACTTCGAGCGTTGGATCATTAATCCCACCGTCCCTCCATCTCACCCACATTCCATCCCTGATCCTATATTTACTCGGACCACTCTTCCCTTGCCAGAAAGCGACACAGCTTATGCACATTGTTCTGAGGTGGAAGCAGAGGATGACTCTGGGGACGAGTCCTGGATCAAGCGGCCATTTTATGACTTCTCGCCAAGCAGGTTAAGATGGAATGAGCTTCGCTATTCGTCTGTCGCAACGAGAATTCCACTTCTCGGTTCCCACATATCAGGGCGGTGCAGTGTGTGGCTCAATGGTAGGGAAGAACTCGAGCTCCCATGGGATTATCAACCGATTGATTCCCAGCAAGCCTGGTACGGCCATCGAGTGCCACATGATTCTCTGGGGCTCTATCGCCCTCAGTCCAGCAGGGATGGGACTCGATTTCTGGTTCAGGGTTGGAGACGGGCTCCAATTGTCATCGATATTAGTTAAATTGTTTAGCATTTACCACCGCGTCCGTCCGTGCATACCCGTCACTCCGTTGGCAGTGCGCTGCAACACCATTTAGAATTGTGGGCGACGCTTGAAGTGTACATCATATATCATAACTACGATGTTACGGTACTGTTGGACTCGGTGATGAATACGTCACTCGTTATTGGAGACAATGGGCCTCTGGTACCCCATGAAGTGCAGAAAGAGGAAGTGCCAAGCTACCAGTGAGGGGGGTGAATAAGCTAGGTGGAATAAGTCTTCCCAGATTCAATGGAGTATTTTGGGCTTGCACTCAGTTTGTGGGCGTAGCATGAGCACGCGTGATCATAAGATGAAGAGTCTAGTACTAGACCCATCAAAAGGTCACGAAGGATCAGAATGCAGCACCGAAGCATAAGTTACAGGGGTATGCACTCCACCTTTACAACTGTGTCGAGCCACGATACGACTAGCCGAATAATCTTGAACTTGAAGGGTAAGTGATGTGTTGAGAAAATATCACCGGAAGCGCGTCAGGCCATAATCCATAAAATCGCATATGAAATGGTGATCAAAACTTAAGGGGTGACTTGGGTGCTTCCGACCGAAGTTGAGAAGTTGTATAGGGGGTAGAAGGGTCAGTCAGTCTGGGTGGAAGACGTGGGAAGGCGGTGTCTAGGGCGAAACCAACCCGTTTCAAAGGTAACTGATTTTCAGGTGAGTTGCGCACAAGGAGGATGATGCGATGAATAATTCTGGACATAATTTAGTCCATTCATATCTAGTTCGGTCACCGGTGCTTATATCAATTGCGGGCGATGATATGGGACGACGGGTTGGGTAAACGGTAACTGTTCGTTGCTGGAAGTGAAAAACAAAGAGATAAGGCATCCTTGTCCACTTTTGTCAATTATACTCCACTGTTACAGGTGGTCAGATATTGGGCTGGTCAGCAAACACTGGCGCCGCAACCAAACTGATTACGTAATCGCCGACTTGCCGACGGCCCACAGACCATGCTCAAAGACTGGGAATGACAAGCTCTACCATTTTAGGGTTTAACACCTTGAGATTCTTTTCGAGTTGGACGTATTCTCGAGAGTGGTCGCGCTTGTCTGGGGCTTGGGTTGCACCCGATTCTCTCAAACGAACCGTCGGAACAAGATGGCAAGAGTTTCTCGTTGTCCCTTCTCATCCACCCTGTTGTAGCCCAGAATTAATGTGCATGAATGCTGGGGAGGTTCAGTACAAATTCGACGACAATATAGAGTGGAAGGTCCCGGCACCAAGGTGCTCACTGCACATCGTCATCAGAGATTTCGGGACTTATATTCCGTCGAATTGCTCGTCATACCGACGTTGTATGCTGGGTTGTGAATTACCAACATGCGCTAAGCCCAACTTCCTAGTCGGTGGTTGGTTGAGCTGAATGAGCCCCTCATTCAGCCCCTCAATTTCCCCATGTCATTGCTCTGAGCACCAAACCTCGATTATCCGCGAAATATTGCGCATTGTAGCGGTTGTTTCTATGCTGGGAACTGCCTTCTCACATCTTGAGCGACTGGGTCTTTTCGGACAAGCTTCCAGATCCTGGGATGCCCGTTGTGGAAGGCAGGGACCGGTGTACGTTATCCCAGATCCTCGTGCCGATGAGGGTGGGTGTGAGGAAAGCTGCGTCGATCAGAATAGATTGAACATGTAACCCGTACATCTAGCTCAGGGATTGCCTCTGGTCATTTCCTTCGCTTGTCATCCAGGAGAAAACTATGTTTCTATTCGCGGTACATCACTCACCCCATATTCCTTAGCAGTTATAACCGCACTCGACTACAGTCCGAAAGGCCCGCCCGTTGGTGTTCGATTCTATAAATCTTCACTCACATTGTCTCAACACACATCATCTATGCTTCGACTTGATCATATTTATACACGTCGTAGCTCGATGTATTTGTGAAGATGTACACTCCAGAGTCTTGTCCTGCCCCTCTCATCCCCAATCGTTCGGGCTGCCGTATCATGGCACTACCGGTGGCATATTGGGAAGCAAATTGGGAGGGCGCTGCGATGAGATGTGTAATTGCCAGTATAAAGCCGCAGGGGATTTTTCGAATATTATTATCTCACATCCTTTCAAGTTGGCGAACCTTCTTTGAAATTTTATTTGAAAGGTTGCATAATTCTTTTCCGCCTAGTCCATATCCGCCTTGCCAGTAGTTTTTGGGCTTCGTCTTCCACGGGATGCTAGAGACCTGTTAACATCAACAGTAATGTTATGTGCATAACGTTACAGACGTTGTACATGATACACGCTTCAAAAATTGTCTACAATTCTAAACAGCATTTCATCGGTAAATACTAAACAATTTGGCTAATATCAATGACAATTGGGGCCTGTAACTCACACTGGACGAGAAATCGAGTTCCATCCCTGCTGGAATGAGGGCGGTAGAGCCCCAGAGAATCAAGTGGCGTTCGATAACCGCACCAGGCTTCCCCAAAATCAATCCGTCGATAGTCCCATGGGAGCCCGAGTGCTTCCCTACCATTGAGCCACACATAGGGCCACCGTGACGTGTCGGAATAAATTAGTGGGGTCCTCGTTGCGGTAGGCAAACGGCGGAGCTCAACGCTTTCTTCTGAGTTGCCCGGTGAGAGATCATAAAATGGGCACTTGATCCAGGACTCATCAGAGCCATGCCCTGCGTCCACGTCGGAATGATGTGCATAAGCCGCATCACCTTCTACCAAGGGAAGAGTGGCTCGAGTGAATATTGGATCAGGGACAAAGTATGAGTTAGTTGGAGGGACAGTGGGATTAATGATCCAATAGTCGAAGTTCGTCACCCGATAACCTGCAATGTACTGGAATGATTCTGTTGACCAGGTAACGGCGTGGATCCCATCAAAAGCACCAACATATTGTGCTTCCGGGGAGAAACCAAGGGTCCGACGGTGAGGAGTGGCTAACTTATCGTTGAGTTGAGGAGATGGAGAGAAAGGAGGAGAGGCGAGGCAATGGATAGATGGATCCCCCGAAACAGATATGAGCATCATGTTGTCATACCAAGGGTTGTCGAGATTTCGTGGGACCCGTACGACAAATAATCCATTATCTGAGGTGGTGGTTCCCGCAGGATAGTCACCAGTGGGAAGAGTGCCGAGCTTCACAAATGTCATATCGTCACTGAGGAGTGTTACATTCCCATCGATATCTTCGGTAGCGACTTGGTGGCCGCCATGGACAAATTCGATCCAGACAGGAAGACTGGCCGAATTATTGGGCTGGAATCGACAGACTGTATGCTGATGATCAATATCGGCAATTTCGATGATGCCATTGCCAAACCCCAGTGCAACATAGCGACCGTCGAGGGAGAGTGCGGCAGATGTCACAGTTCCATTACGAATATCAGGCTCGTGGAATTCAGCCTTGTAATTGATCCCCTTTCCTCCCCGTCCATTAGCCGTCTCTGGTAGTTCACTCAACTTTGCGTGCATGACCTCTTGGGCCCTGCGTGAATCCTCGCTTAGTGGGATGGTGCCACCAAAATACTTGCCAAAAATGGAGAACATCCGGACAGGATCAGACAGATGGCCATATTGTTTGTGGATGAACGATGAGAGTGGCGTGAAAGGAAGCTCTGATCGATACAGCTGCCATGGTTTGTACCCGACATTGAAAGCGACTGGACCCAACTCTCTCAGAAGTTGGATCAAATCGTGGTTCTATCGAATATGACATCAGAAAAGCATCAGATGAACAGTCAACGCTTACATGGAATTGAAGTAATTCTTTAGGAAATGAAAGGGGTTCGGGATAGCCGACTTCGTTTTGCAACTGCATGAATGTCAACATGTAGTTTCGTGTAATGAAAGTATTGAACTCGTTTTGTAACTCATTGGGCTCTTGTGAAAATAGTTGCGAAGGGTCCAAATGCTGAAGTAAGTATTCAATAACATAGTGAAAGCAGCGGCGATAATCCATCTTTTTCGCCATAAATGCCTCCCATTTTCTTTCATCTCCGAAGGGAGGATCGGCAGGTATCCCAAATGTGTTCCGCTCACAATAACTGTTGAAAAGTTTGAGGAGCGGAAGTCCAAGGAAATACCCATACCCTTTTACGTCATTGATGAAAAATACTTTATCCTTCTCATCACCAATTGGATCCCCCATTATAAATTCTTCCGCCGTTGCGTGATAGAAGGTGACATCTTCTGTGTTCTCTGAGGGAAGATTTATGATCGCCCTGATTGGTTCCAATGTCGCCCGGATCTCATCCTCGCCAATCCCAAAAAGTTGCGACATGAAAGACACATTCATCGGCTCACGTGCCACAACAATCGCCCCGACCACCAAGCGGTACTTCTTGGCCACATCCGAGGGAACTTCAGATAAATCCAGCACATAGGCTTGTCGAAGGACTCGCAAGTACTCCCTGCTAAGGTCGGCAGGCATGTCAGAGAGATCGAGCAGGTTCCGGAACGCCGATTGTAGGGTGCGGCCACGCCGAGTCTGTAGGCCAACATCGCGAACCCGGATAGATGCCACAACAGGTAACCCACGGCAGGCCTGAGAAAAATCATTGAGTTCCCCCTCTGTTGGTTGCCACGAAGATTCACTAATGAGGTCCTGAAGGCCGTCAACCACCATACGTCGCACAGTGTAGAAAGCCTCATCCTTTACGATCTCGTCCACATCTTCACACGGTATGACATGTCCCTTCTTTCGAGCCTTGGACCAAGCTGAAATGACTCCCGGCTCGGGACGACAACTAACAAACACAGCAAATGCTGGCGGCAGCTCCTCAAGGGCAAGTACTAGCGTCATCAAGGACTTAAGTGTCTCCTGATTCCCGCATTCATCGAGACCATCCAAGACGATGACCAAGCGATCCTTACCTGGAGGATAAATGTCCTTCAGGTCACGCATCGGCTCGATTATCAGAGTTTTAATTTGTTTTCCCAAGGGGAAATCCTGAACTAACTCCAAACCTGGTTGCCGAAGGCGTCTGACGAGCGACAATCTGAAGTCCTCGTTGAAGGATGCAAGTTGGCGGGAAAGGGTAGAGGGGAATAGTTCAAGAGAATCCAACCCCGATCCTGTCCGGGTTTTATCCCAGAAGAATGAGGCGGCCAGAGTACCCTGTTCCTCAAGAGTAGATGAGACACTCATAGAAATTGCAGTTTTCCCTGTTCCAGGAGAGCCCCTTAACCAAACAAATCGGGTTTCGGCATTCGTCAGGTGCTTGATTAGGGACACTTGCATCGAAGCCCGCGTGCCTGGAAGGCACTCCGATTTGCTCTTCACTAAATTGTGCTCGGCTGGGGCTCGGCGAAGTCTTGATAGCTCAGCTACAAGTATTAGTGATTAAACAATTTATAAGCACGCACACGGACACATACATTGAACTGATGAGTGCTCGGTACGAAGCAGAATTAAAGTCAATGATCTTAACTATGGCGAACATGGTGAGTCGGGATCCGCCCATTTGAGAATCTCGAGCACGCGAACCTCGAATCGATGAATAGCATTATTTAGACAGTTCTTCATGTTGGTTATCTGCTGTGTTATCTCGGACGCTAGGACGGTCTTCTCGACGATATGTTTGTTCTGGACTGTTTCAATGTCCTTGACCTGTTTTTGCAAAGCTCTGCGAAGAGAATGAGCGAATTTGAATAAAAGGAAGACTAGATGCATACACGCGGAATTCCTCCACTAGGGTTTCAAGCTCAGGAGGGATCTTTCCAATCCACGTCTGGAGGGGTTCAAACACCGAGTCCTTCGCTTGCTGAATCACGTCGCACAACTGCTTGAGATCCTCGGCGTTCCCGCTAACATTCTACTCGCATGCACTAGGTATGAGAGGAGACCACGGTCAGGGTCGCCAAGACCATTCACGAACCTCATAGATTCGAATCCATGTCAGAAGCGTGTTGGGGATCTGATCTAGATTGGGAATGGGGACGAACTTGAGAGCAGTGGCCGCGGTTTGGAGAAAGGCTTTGGTGCCACCGGCGATTATATCCTTTCGATTGCCATCAGATCTACGAGACGCCGATTCCGCTGTCACTGATGAAGCAGCTGGGGCTAACGGCCCGATATCTGACGGTTCTTGCTGCGTGCCTACGCTCGCTTCATCGTCACCAACTAACGCAGTAGGAATCACTTCGGTGGGAAGGGGAGATAGCAATGGCCGTGGGCCGTTTGGAGATGTCTCGGTCACAGGATAATTGGGCTGGGGTGTACTTGATTGGTTGCGACGATTGGGGCTGGGGCTTCTCCTGAATAGCTCGGATATCCTGTCTCGAAGGCGCGTTCGCTGCTCTGCGGCATCATCCTTTAATGTGCTACCAGAGGAAAGGTTACCAGGATGTGATCCTTCTGGCTGATCATGATCTCCGCGAATCGTCCCGTCGTTCTCAGTTGCAGAAACAGCAATCCGGATGTTGGAAAAATTGGGCGTTGACCCCTGTAGCTGGTCATTAGGAGGCTCTGGAGCGCGTCGTCGCTTCATCAGGGAGGGAAAATGGTGGTATTTACGATCTTTGGGCATGTTGCACTAGCTGGCGATCACAAATGATTATGTTCGCGTTCGGTAGCGCTCGGCTGCTCTCACATTATATATGTGTAAACCTAAGGCCCAGGCTGTTGGCTCTCGTGGAGTGGACGTAACAAGCGATGAACTGGTAATCGATGAATTAATCCGTTCCTGGAAAAAGTACTCACTCCGCACGTGCATATTCCCCGCGCTTAGGCTGACCACAGCCCAACAGACGGTGCAACGCAGGTGGCCAGCCTCTATTACAAACGAATGGCATACCGGCCCGAAATTTCAAATTTCTGCAACATTACATAAAATGAATGAGTCAGAGTGTGTGAACTAATGTGTCCCAACTCTCGCACTTGCGCTTTGCATAGCTCCCTAAGGCCAATGATTATAAGCGTGACGTCTAGGGCCCTTGTTTTCTTGCCTCGTATACGGTTGCCGAGCAGGGCCAGGTCAAACGTTCGCATCAAGGTCTTAAGTCACGTGACCTAGACATTTTTTGAGCTCACCGCTACGCGTGTTTAACGGCTTCGGCGCTGTTGAAAACACAGTAGGCATCACATCAGACTCGTACCCAGTCGTTTTCACTCCGTGGACACGCGCACGACACTGCAATGTGGAAATGTGACTACGTGGCTTTTGGGTTCAATGTAAAGTCACGTTCTGCTTTCAATACAAAGAGTCACATGCTACTCCGACAATTTGCGCGCGAACACTTCGACTGGTACACATTGGTAGTAGCAGCACACTTAGGCATTTGACGCGATCTCAGAAAACAATTCTGATCCTCATGTGAAACGTGTCTCGCGCAAATTGTCGGAGTAGCATGTGACTCTTTGTATTGAAAGCAGAACGTGACTTTACATTGAATACAAAAGCCACGTAGTCACATTTCCACATTGCAGTGTCGTGCACGGAGTGAAAACGACCGGGTACGAGTCTGATGTGATTCCTACTGTGTTTTTAACAGCGCCGAAGCCGTTAAACACGCGTAGCGGTGAGCTCAAAAATGTCTGGGTCACGTGACTTAAGACCTTGATGTGAACGTTTGACCTGGCCTTGCTCGGCAACCGTATTCGTATTTTTTGTTCAGCAACTTCGAGTGGAACTCGTGCTATCGCTCCTGGTGACTAACCACTTTCATCCCAGGATTTTACTTTCGTGTTTATTAATATTGCCCCTGAGGAAAGCCGTTGGTTGGGTAGGAAAGGATAGGGAAATAGCTTTCCGGGCTAAGGTGGTTCTTTGCTCTTAATTGAGGCACTCTGTTCACAAGGAAACTAGAACAATGATGATCCCGAGCGTCCACGGCTCGGACGACGTTAGCTGCCGACACTTATCGCCACTGCAGAGTCGTAATCAACCTAGGGAACACGGGGAGAAATAGCAACAAGTACAATATTTAGTCCCATCGTCCTCAATGACTGATTGAAAAATCGGCATACAGTTCATAACTTTGAGCCGACTATACATCCGATCCTCATTGAAAAGGAGCTAAAAAGTCACCTATTGCTCTATCTCACAGTCTGGATGTGTTGGCGATGCTCCTTTACAATTTGGACGAAGTTTGCAACACCACGGTACGCCAACAGGTCAAAATATATGAAGCGAAGGATCTCTTGATCCTCTGCCCAGTGCGGCAATGGGGGATGACCACAACTCAGAAAGCCTCTTCCACCAGCCATCGAGAACAGAGAGCATTCCAATGATAATTAGAGCGTAGCTTTGAGAAGATTTCTGGAAACGCTGAAACCGAAGCTCCATCACCAGGGCATCACGACCCTTCGTAGGCCATCGCGCCAAATATATCGTCCCGTGGAGAGTGCGGGTGCAGGTTCTCACACTTCATGGCGAAACGGATGGAGGGGACATAAACTCATAGGTTCCCTGAAGGACGGTTCGATGCATGTGCGGTTGGCTAATATGCGAGACTTACTGAGATCGATTCTGCAATGTCCGTTCCCATCAAGCGGGTGGGGTCGTACAATGCGAGATCGACGTCTGAAATAATGACCCAACACTCAGTTACATCGACAGACAGCACTAGTTCCGCAATTCCCCTCTGTATGCCCTTGGCAACGGCCATCACTTTGCCAACCTCCCGATTTGTTCTTGAATCTTCTAAAAGTGCTTTCAATGCCTCGACTTTACCGCACTGGGTCACTGAGTTCGCCGAGTTCGCCGACATCTTTATTGCCGCAAATGATGGCGTCATGGAACTCTTTCAACTTGTCGATGTTGAATGGCACAATTTGGGCATGTTGCATCAGCTTGAGATCATTCCTGATGCCAATGTCTCGTTGCATGTACCCGTACTGATGCAGAAAGCCATCGGACGAAAATTATGGAGAGAGAAGATGCGGATCGCAATACGTGCCAAGCATGGGGTACAACACACAAATGCACAAATCCCAAGCAATCTCACAGTGCTTGAGGCTGCACCCTTGACCCCGAAGAAGCAAACTTCGATAGTTCGGCCGTTCTGGACAGAGTGAACCGACATCTTTTGGGTGAAAGTTAATGGCCTTTGAATTGGGACTTGGAACTAAGTACGGATTGGTTGATTTACAACGTCTGGAATTGAATGGCCGAGTTGCGGTTCCGAACTCGCCCGTTGGACCTCGGTGCAAGCTGCATTCCGCGTCTTTCTTCGCACGAGAAGGCCAAGAGCACTTCATGAAGAAAGAAGGATTCAACATCGTTTCGTTCATACTCTCCTCCCCAGTCGCCCGGTGGTCACGGAATCAGATATTGAATGAACCATTGAAGTTGTATGACGGTGGAAGTACTAGGATTGTATCAGTTATATTGGGCCAGGTGTAAAAAAAACTTGCATTTACTTATATCGTATCCATCCTCGTCCTTATCCTTGTCGTCGTTTGAGATTTGCCACGGCTTAAGTTTCTTCGACCCTATTGTTGACAATGTGTCGGCGTCATTCACTGGAGATATGAGCTGACTTGCTCGACAGAGCTCCCTCCTCGGCCTCCCGCTTTCGTGGTTGCAATTGTTTGATCAGTGGGCGTGCATCGGCGTTTGACTTGTAGATGGCTCGCCTGTTCCTGATGCCAAAGGAGTTTGGCGTTGAATGTCTGATGGGAGGTTACCACGAAGGTATTACATACAATGCCCTTTTCCTCCTTTCACCCCTCCAGGATCTTTGTTAGGCTAGTCTGGGCGCTTGTAAGCCAAAGCTGGCAGAACGACGGCGACTTTGACTTTTGACGATTTACAAAGCGAATCTTTGACTCAAAGCGGATGACAGACTTATGACTTTCTCCCGTGATCTGACTGGAACCTAGGGAGACAAAGGACTAGCAGGGCAGGATTTCCAGAGGCCGCCTCAGCATGGGACTTTGACCAGCGAAGGACCCTGACCTCGTGACGTCATCTGTTCACAGTGCAGCGGAGTTGTCCGAATGATGGGCCTCGACGATGGATGTGAATCGAGGGGGAGTTCTGCTACCACAGCGAACACCCGGCACGGGCCTAAACCTTCACGCGGTGCCCCTGTTTAAAACTAATTAGGCCTCTAACATCTGAAGGGAGGATGACGTGGCCACCGTGGTAATGCCAATCAACCGCAACCCCATAAGCCCAGAGCCGCACTGGCTGGAGAGATGCAAGAGTGCGGGTGCACGTCCCGCCGTCAAGCCAACCCTTCCTTTTTCTTCTCACCACTACCTTTTTGGGATGACGAGCGCGATAGTGGCAACGCCAATGGTGACCTCCGTAAGCCCAGACGGGACTGGCCAGAGGACTGTGGGTTCAAGTCCCACCGTCACCCCAACCCTTCCTTATTCTTCTCTTCTCCACTACCTTTTGGGATGGTGAGGTGCAATAGTGGTAGCGCCAATGGTAGCCTCCATAAGTCCATGGGCAGGCCGGAGGAGTGCAGGTTCAAGTCCTGCCATCACCCCAACACCCTTCTTCCTTCTTTCTCCACTACCTCTTGGGATCATGGGGCGCGATAGTGGTAGCGCCAGGAGGGCCATCACCCCAACTCACTTCCTTCTCACTTTCTCCACTACCTCTTAGAGTGATGAGGCGTGATAGTGGTAACGCCAGGCTGCCATCACCGCGAAACTTTCATTTCTCTCCACTACCTCTTCAACCAACGGCCCCTCCACCGCATGTTTTTTTGAACACATGAGCTGGAAGCCACTTAACACCCTCAGCTGCCATCCTGAACACTGAACCGCCAACCGAGATGCAATCTCACAAGAACACGCTTCGCCTCAACCCACCCACAAGAACTGCTGTCACGCTGAACAGCCAACCGAGACATTACCAAACCCTAGGCCTGGGGTATCAATCCAACAACACATGGAGCCTTCACCCAATTCACCCGCAAGAACTGTGCCCACACACCCCACTTTCTTCGTCACCTTTCTGGGCTTACAGCAGCAAACCGCGCGCCCCCTGCACTGGGGGTTGCGTGTCTCTTCTATGCACTATTTCTTCACTATGCTTTACATTTCTCCACATCATTTGTTACTATTTTCCAGTGCAGGGGACGCACGTCCTTATGTGTTATTTCTTCACTCCGCTTTACTCTCCATACCACCTGATACTCGATGTCTCATCCACCCATTGACACTTAAACTCCTCTCCACCTACTACTTTCCAAACATTTTTCACCCGTGTCATTATAGTACGGCATATGCCGATAGGCACAGATACGTACTTTAAAATGAATACATCCATCCATCCATCCATCCATTGTCCGAATGATATTGTAACATGTAGTACCTGGTGGCTTTCATAATGTTACGTATCCACGTCGCTTAGCTCTAAGCCAGCCTTAGAGTAGTATCTATCATATGCTCCAATCTCGAATTCGCGCCTAATGAAGAAGCACCTAACTTGTCGCTCTGCCGCGCGGAGTGGATACATATCAGGAAAGGCCTCCTTGTACATGATGCTTTGAATCGATGATATTGCAATCGCCTCTATCTGGCAGCCTTGCTGATCCCAGCTAATGTTCCCTTACACATAAAGCCGATTTTTCAATCACCCTCCCACTACAGCACGCGATATGGTTAGCGAATGCTCAGGGTGGCATGATAAAAAACTTTCTGATTTATCTTTTCGAGACGATTTTCAACTGCGCGCTGGCATCCTTGTGAGCCCCTTTCGGGTCATTGCGGGCGCGTTATCTGACATTCCCTAAGCTTATCTCCGAAATTGGCCTAGTGACCTTTGTTCTTGCGTCCTCCCTGCTCGTGTATTCTTTGGTGAGCACTTGGCGATTGCACCTGTTCAAGCCCATGCTGTACTAGCTTCATTTGGCGTCTAATAGAGACAAGTGCGCAAGAAGCGTCGCGAGTCCAGAAACCGTGTACCAGGCTCCGGCGTTGAGCCTCAGCTTCAGCCCATATCTGTATTGTTTCTGTGCGCTATCTTCACGGACACAATGTAAGTCCCGCTACGTCAGTGTCGGTATTGACCATTCGTCATCGAATTTCCCGTAGTCATGGGATATCGAATACGTTATCCATCAAATGGGCTTATGCTGGAAAAGTCACCGAGGGTTCGTACTGTACGGCGCAAGGGGTGTTGAGACAGATCGGGTATTTGGGCGTGGGTACGCACGAGTTGATTCGTCTCACCGAATATCGATCCTTCAACACGCTGGTCACCAGGGTGGTACACCATTGCAATTGCAGTGTTGACTTACCTTCAAGTCTTCCATTCAAAATGGCTAGGGACGAGAGGTGCAAGGATTTTCGTCGCGGGATCTATTTGCTTCATTACCACTTTCACCGCTTTAATCACTGCAGTCCCTGCTGCCGTCATTCGCTCATATTATGGTAGTACAGGGTGAGACTTGCTCATGATTAGTATTCCGTGGACGCTCTAAACCTGCATCTCAGATTGTGGTGCTCAATCTCGGCCGATCACTGGAAGGCGCGAGTAGGTAGGGGATTTTCGCTTCTGCGAGCTACGGCAGCCTGGAATCTGGATCCGTAGGAACTATACATGCCTCGTTAATACTGGCCGCCCTGGTGACAATTCTTGCATACGGGATGGTAGTGTACAAGTGGGTACGTCAAGCATCTTTTGATGCTGATCGTGTCTTGAGACGGGATGCATTTGCCATGGGTTGGTATCCTGTCGGTGCGTGAAACCACCACATAAACTTGCCATCAGGCTCATCTTTCGCATCTCAGCGTATCTCATTATAGCCGCACCTTATTATCTCATGGCTCTCCGTCAACCCCATAACCCAACACTCGCTTCTTCCGCCCTTTTTTCATCGTGGGGGGCTCTTAACGTGATCTTGTGGTGCTTCACAGGAAGACATTTCGGATTCTCCCAAAAAACCTCAAGCTCAGATTCCCGACCCCCCGTAGATGTGGAGATGGCCGTACGGTCTTAGCTGACCCACTTAGAGGTCTGGTATTGACCATATGTACTGAGTTCGGATTGGATGAAATCATTACGTACATTTTTCTAAGCTTCCACTGTCGTCAAAAATGACATTGGTTCACTGAGTGGTTATATACCGATGCAGATTAGCTCTCCATCATCTTGCCAAACCATTATTTTTTGTTTGAAGAGAACACCAATGAAATGGTACCCCTGTAGGCAGCGAAAGAAGTGATACAGCCTCTAGGCGCTCTGGAGATGATGAGGTAGGAGTCCGCCCAATGGGGGTCCGGGAGTTCGCCCGCGGTCGTAGTCACAGTAGCATCCGCATTTGCATTCCGAGTGCAACGAGATTTCAGTTTGGTGCCCTTGTGATCGGGCTGAACCCCAGTGACTTGGCTTCTCTGTCATACATCACTTAACGCTACGAGACGCAGAGGGTTCTACCGCGAACTGAGAAAGACCACCGTTCTACGTACCTCTCCCCAACAGTGGAAATATAGGCCATTTGATCAACCGTGATTGGGATGCATTTATTTTTCTCGGTACGCCTGGGTTTGGAGATCAGCCGTGTTGTCAGGAACGCGGTCACAGTGAAGGGCTCGGCAATGGGCCACTAATGAAGCGCCCTGATGTGTCATTTTCGATGGGAAACTCGAGAATGGGAGAAGATGGGCACTAACACACAGCTATATCCGAAGCAGTAAGATTTTCCCTCTACCCACGGCGAGAGAGATACGTCCAAGCCCACTCCATCAGTCAACTCGACCTGTTCGCCAGATACACGATGATATAAGTGCTGTTGCTCAGCTCGCAGAGGGGCTCCATTCGGACAGTTTCATGAGTCCAACTCAGTCAGGGTTATTGCGTCGTCAGCGAAAATAGAGGGGCAATCGTAATAGAATTAGTTGCTAGATGCGCAGACTATAACATGAAAGATACATGAGTCTGACCTTAACATGATAAAAAGGAAATGGTATCACCTCATTCTCAATGAGGGAGCGGGAAAAATTACGGCGCGCACCTTGTCTTGTGGTGACCGGCGATGAAAAACAATCAAGACAAAAAAGATTGAGAGCGCGTGGTATCGGTGAAAGATCGCAACTCTGAAACAAATTGGGTATAATCGTTGTTAGCTACGATGATATCAAATGAAAGTCTCACAAAGCATAAGAATTTATTCAGCCCTGGAGATTTCCCACCACAATTCCGGAAGGTTCCGGTGCCTCATAGATTCCAACAGTTACGATCGCCGAACGAGAATGTATATAACGCGTAGCAAGTCTACGCAGTTGGGTTGGGTTGAGCATTTTCATTCCCCATTCTCAGATCACCTTACCAAATGGAAACGCCCTCCAGGTTCGGATATATTGCTGCAGGTGCCTTCTCCGGGATTGTACTCCAGGCAGCGTGCGTGGTCGATGGCATTGACAATCGGATAATGACATATTCGCTCTTCCATCTTTCGGCCCTTGTTCAAATGAACTTCATGTTCCTCCCCTTTATGCTATAGACTCCTCGGTGTAATCACCATTCAGACTTTTCTCTATTTCGAAAGGTTTTCCAAAGACCATTTCTTTCAGAGGACCGTCATCGGATTCTTATGGTGGGTGCTGGCCAATTACGTTTGGATGATGGTTGGGCAACTGCGCACTCCACTTTTAGGCTCATGCAGATGTTTCAAGTGTGAGCTAAAAGCCGCGTCAGATACATCTTTCAATGACTTGCTGCTTCTCTAGGATAGCTTCGCTTTACGTGTATATATGGATTATCGAGCACTCTGGGAAGTTGACTATAAGATGGTAGGCCCTCTGGTGGACCCATCGCACTGGGTCTGACTTGTCCCCACGACAGGATTGATACTATCTACCAGTTATCCATGGTAGGGTCATTATTCCACTCAACCCCGGTCCGAGCCTAGTCGGTGCACCGAAGGTTATGTGCCTTTTCATAATTCGCTCTACTAGGTTATTTGTTCTGCCATCGTCCAATTTCTCTTCATCCTACGACTCTATCGACGTAAGTCCCCTCCGGTAGTCCTTTCTTCCAAGGATTTTGACATTCATCCGAATTGTGTCCAGTCAGTGGATCGATCTGGCTACCAACATTGATTGTATGTCATCACCGTCCATCCTACAGACAACCCCTTTTTACGGAATCCTTATTGACAGGTTTTCCTGACTCTGGGGCAGTTTGGTGAGCGGATCCAAGTGATTGTGTTTTTCGAGCGTCTGATTATCTCGACCCAGGGACCGGTGTTGGTGAGGTGCAAAATTGTGGGATTAAATCACTTCTGAGATTCTCTGCACCCCGCGCGTACTGCATAAAGTGCTCTTTGTCAAGGCGTAAGAGGGCTCTCCATCTGAACCAGCAATTTTCTACTGATACGCTCTTGTCGTCTCACCTGACAGAAATTTTACTCACGGTCCCCAAAGCATACTCTTTTCCAAACGCCCACTCACTGTATCGTGGCTAACACTAGAGGTACGCGCTTCCCATTGGCCAGGATATTTCGCTTGCATGAACATTCATCCTTCAAAGGCAGTGGCTGATCTCGTGATTGGCTTCGCTATGTCATATTTCCTCCAGAAGCGCCGCACAGGATTTCGGCGGTAAGTGATTGATCTGACTCTTGTGGAACTAAATGCATGAATGGATTCCTGCCTAAAGAATGGACACAGTGTTACGGAAGCTAACAGCATATGCCATCAGCACTGGCCTGCTGACTGGGTATGATTTGTGTTGTTGTCACTGAACTAGGTTAAGCTTCCTCTATTTCCCCAACTTAGCATTCTGGCGCTGGGTGCCATGTTTTCTGTATGTTTATTTTCTCAACTTTTCCGATGTGCAATCCTGACAGCCTTTCTCGGGGCAGGTTGCGTTCCACAGCCCCCAATTTATCCCCATGATTTTCATCTTTGTGAGTAAAACTTGTCTTTCAATGCAAACGCTTGGCCTTAGTAATACTCCCTAGGTGCTCGGAGGCGTCTATACTACATCCCTCTTAGCAAAGTACGTATACCGTCACGAAGCAATGCGCCATCAAAGTAATGTCTCGTGTATTGACCACATGCTTCTCCCGCTCCTTCACGCCAGTTTACATTCGCGCTCGAGACTCTGGAGTGAGCTTCGTTTCGAGGGAGACAACGGAATATCAATACATTTGTCCCGGCTTCCTTCCAGGGTAAGAGCAACGCATCCGTAGCCTACTCCCCCATGACTTATTCATCAGATGCGCAATAATATAAGTGCTGTCACTCAGCACGTAGAAGGGCATCATTCGAACGAAGGCACAGATCAAGCTCAGTGAGCAGATTCAGGACCTTGGCATTGCGAGCCGAAATTTAGGCACGGCGACCGAGTAATCTGGATCCAAATCTCGGCGTGTCAGCAAGTGCAGCGACACTCTGTGTGCCCAGTATCCTTATTGAAAAATTGGTCATGGAAGACAGAACTAGTGCATTCACTCGCTAGATGGAGCAATGTCCCTTGTGATAGATCATGGACCTCAGATGTTCCAAGATGGGGAGCGACTTTGGTTCGCATGCAGAAACATAATGCACAGAAAGCAAGATATGGGCGCAGAGCCAAAGTCGAGGTTGGGGGGACATCAAGATACCAAATCGGAGTGGGCGTTGTAGGGTGGTCATGTTTCGGTTATCATGCGAAGGTTTTGACCTGGTCATAACTAGAGTGTGAAGTGGGGAGGGAAAGAGAAAGCAACGTTAAAAGAGGGAACAAGAGATCAAGAGCATCGTAAAAGCGAGGGCTGGTCCATGTATACTGATGAAACCAGGAGCTCTTTTTTGATACATTTTTTGGAGATCCAGTGCATGATGATGAATGAGAGACTCTTACCCAGTTTGTTGTCGCAAAATCCGAGCTTTTTTGATCATATTAAACTAGTCGAACTGCCTTCGGCTGGTTGTGAAGTGAGAAAAATGTTGAGACTTGTATTGATAGACGGTGGGGTATACATGAATAAATATTTGAACAGCCTGCATGCATTGCTCAATTGACATCTCCAGTTTAATGTTGAACATTGAATCACTCATCCAAAAAGTGAGAGACATTCAACTTCAGAAAGGAGCCCAAGTCCAGTCATTGTTAGAAATCAGTTCTGAAGCTGATAAGCATGTAGAGTAAACCTAAACAGTGCCCTAGTGGGTGATGTGACTGCCTCCAAAAAAAAAAAATTTTTTTCCCCCCTCAACTGTTAGATACTGCAGGTTTGGACAGTTCTGGAATGGAATCAGAGACAGCAACCCCTCCTTATATACAATGTACCTAGTAAATTGTAACCTCATGTCAGGGCACACCCGCCTGACCCGGGTCCACCCGGACCCACCCGGCCACACCACACCCGCTCCCTGCTGTCTATCCCCCTCCCCCCTCCTTCCTCCCTCTCCTCCCCTTTCTTTTCCCTCTTCCTTCCCCTTTCTTTATTTCATTCTTCTCATCTTCCTCTTCCTGTTTATTTCTTTCTATCTACATGGACCACCTTCCTTTGTATCGATGTATTATTGACCCATCCGGCCCACACACCCCGGATGGCTTCCTGCTATGCCCAGCACGCGTGCATGCAGCGGACGCTCTCAGGATCCCCCACGGGGACACCCGGATGCCTGCAGCTGCCTCCGAGGATGACGTGGCACCCGTCATGTGACTCAAGCCGCATGTACATAAATGTACCTGAAGTGGGAACCGAAGAAGTAACCTTCTCACATTCTCCACTTCAGGTAAGTAGTATAGTTTTCCCCTTTAATAATAATAACACATTCTCCACTTCAGCCTGAGTGGCCAGGGACCACTGTCCCGGATCGGGCCCGCCAGTACGCACGCCCGCTCCATGCCCCGCGACGGCCTCAGTGCCGGACATTACCCCCGGGCCCTCTCGACCCTGGACGCGTCCCTGACACCTCAGTCCAAAATCAACCTGAAATGCCCCCTAGAGACTTCCCCTCTGCTAGATCCGAAATTAGGGACCCCCAGGACAACCAGCAATGGCACAGCACTCTGCCTGAGTCACTGAGGCCAAGGTCCTTCCACACTAAGTCTCCAATTCCACTCTGGAGTTGTCCAAATCCACCCAATCTAACAGAAGGAAGCTAACTTCTCACCTTCCCACAGTGGCCCAATATAATGAAAACTTCCGGAGATATCCAGAAGTCACATGAGACCCAAGACCCAGGGCCCAGGGCATCCGGCTGCATGGAGCGTCTGTGTCACGACCCAACATATCTGTCACTTCCGTCAACACGTCCTAGTGCCACTTGGCCTGTCCTGCCTGCTATCATCATCATCCATCCATCCATCCATCCACCCATCACCCTCATCCACACTTCCTCCCCCACATGCGTACCTTCCAACCTAGGTTGCCTGCTCCATTGTTGTCCACTGTCAGGGCATGCCCCGCCCGACCCCCGCTCCGCTCCCCTGCTCCACACCGCTCCTCCCTCTTCCTTTCTCCTTTCCTCCTTTCTTCCTTCCTTTCTCTCTCTCTCACATGGACCACCTTTCCCACTGCTCAATGTATCACCGGCATGCACGCCTATTTCCCCTCCTGTATCTTACCATCCCTACATCACTGCCACCGCCGCCGCACTCGCCCCACACCCACAGTGAGCCCTCTCGGGATCTCCCATGGAGACACCTGGAGAGCCGTGGCTGTGTGCAGGGGTGACATGGCGCCCCGACCGATCCTGCATGTATATAATAATGGCTGGAGTGGGAACCGAAGAAGTAGCCTTCTTCTCATATTCCCACTTCAGGCAAGTAGTGTAGTCTCCCCTTTTAATGATAACTCATATTCCCACTTCAGACTAAGTGGTCGGGGATGCTCACCCTGCGACGGGATCGCCGCTATGCACAGCCGCTATTCGTCCCACTGAGTCCCGCGTGCAGGGACCTTGCCGCTTTCGGAGCTGTCCCTGACATCCACCCACCAGCCAGATGTCAGGGCACACCTGCCTGACCCGGTTCCACCCAGGCCCACCTGGGCCCACCTCACCCGCTCACCCGCTCACCCGCTCACCCGCTCCCCGCTACCCATCCTTCCTCCCTCTTCCCCTTCCTCCCTTTCCTCCCTCTTCCCTCTTTCCTCTTTCTCCTTTATTTCACTCTCCCTTTCTGTTTATTCTTTCTATTTACACGGACCACCTTCCCTTGTATCATTGTACTGTTGACCCGTCTGGCTCGGACACCCCGGACGACTTCCCGCTATGCCCAGCATGCGCACCTGCAGCGGACGCCCTCAGGATCCCCCGCGGGGATACCCGGATGGCTGCAGCCCTCTCCATAGATGACGTGGCACCCGTCATGTGACCCAAGCCGCATGTACATAAATGTACCTGAAGTGGGAACTGAAGAAGTAACCTTCTTCTCACGTTTTCCACTTCAGGTAAGTAGTGTAGTTCTTCCTTTTAATAACAATTCACGTTTTCCACTTCAGTCTAAGTGGCCAGGGACTACAGTCCCAGATCGGGCCTGTGTCAGGGCTCGGTCCTCGATCAGGGACAGCCTGACCTCAGTCCTAGGTGTGTGTGGTGTCCCGGGTGGTTGGGCGCTAGACCCTGTCCTCAGCTCCTCAAACTCACTGAAGGGACTAAGCGGGGATTGAGTTGTCATGTATTACAGAGGGTAACTACAACTTGCCTAAGCGGGGATTGAGTTGAGAAGAAGGGTAAGTTTCCCTATTCCCCGCTTGGCTACTATAAAAGGGAAGTGTACTGTACAGTTCATAACGTGACTCCGGGTAGAAGCCAAGCATGTTCCCGTGACTCGGAAAAGGTGTCACATGGGTTAAGGCGAGTTGCTCGCCTTAACCCACGTGATTTTTCCCGTGGGCTCACATGCGGGCTGAAGTTGTGAGAGGTATGTAGGGATGGGGAGGTCTGGGAAGTGGGGGAAGTCTGGGAAGGTGGTTCTGGGGTGTGGTTGGGTGCCCTGACAGCGGGGTCAGGGGTCGATCCCTGACAGCCCGTCAGTACACGCGCCCGCTTCGTCCCCCGAGAGGGTCCCTCCATCGGGCGCTACAGCCGGGCCCCCTCCACCCCGGACGTGTCCCTGACACCAGACGGCTTGCTAGATGGCTGGATGGCCTTTTCTCTTTTGTCCACTTGCGGACTATTTGTCAGGGGACGACTCCCGGGTCCCCATGACCCTCCCCTATGGTCCACAGCCTGACCTATGAACAGCCCTGTCCAGGGCAACAACTACTGTGGGTAAGAAGATGAGAAGGAAGCTAACTTCTCATCTTCCCACAGTGGCCCCATATCAGGAAAACTTCCGGGGATACCCGGAAGTCACATGAAGGAGTAGGAACCGGGCCCGGAGCATGCGGTGGGTGGAAGCGGGTCCGGACGCGGGTCCGGGTCCGGGCTAGTCAGGGTGTGTGCCCTGACATCACCCTCCCTCTAAGCCACTTCGCCCCAAAGTGGCCCTAGTCCCCAGGTAACCCATCCCTCAAGTGGTTAGAAAAAAAAACAAAAAGGCGGAGGTGTGTCAGGGCACACACCCTGACTAGCCCAGACCCGGACCCGCGTCCGGACCCGCTTCCACCCACCGCATGCTCCGGGCCCGGTTCCTACTCCTTCATGTGACTTCCGGGTATCCCCGGAAGTTTTCCTGATATGGGGCCACTGTGGGAAGATGAGAAGTTAGCTTCCTTCTCATCTTCTTACTGTCAGGGCACACCCGCCTGACCCGGCTCCACCCGGCCCAACCTGACCCGGTACCCCGCCAGTCCACCCTTCCTTACCCCCTCCCCCTTTCCCTTCTTCCCCCTCATCCTCCCCTCCTCAGTTTCTCCTTATCTTACTTCCCCTTTATTCTCTCTTTATTCTACATGGACGACTTTCCCTGTATCAATGTACAACTGACCCATCTGCAGCGCGCCCACCATGTACCCGGCCCGGGCACCTCGGGCGACTTCCCGCTGTGCCCAGCATGCGCGCCTGCACCGGATACCCTCGGGATCTCCCACGGAGACACCCGGGTGGTTACGGCTGTGTGCGAGGGTGACGTGGCATCCGTCATGTGATCCAAGCCGCATGTATATAAACGAACCTGAAGTGGGAACCGAAGAAGTAGCCTTCTTCTCAACTTTCCACTTCAGGTAAGTAGTACAATATTTCTCCTTTAATAATAATAACAACTTTCCACTTCAGTCTAAGTGGCCAGGGACTACTGTCCCACATCGGGCCTGTCAGTACGCACGCCCGATCCGCCCCCCGCCAGGCTCTCGGTCCCAGACGCTATACCCGGACCCCCTCGACCCTGGACGAGTCCCTGACACTTACCCACATGTCAGGGCACACCCGCCTGACCCGGCCCCACCCGGCCCCACTTCACCCGGTACCCCACCACCCAGTCTTCCCCTACCTCCTCCCCCCTTCTTCTTTCTTTCTTCCTCCATTCCACTCTCTCTTTACTTATCTCACCTTCTCTTTATTTTCTCTTTATTCTACACGGACGACCTTTCCTTGTATCAATGTACCATTGACCCACCTGC